GCATTTTAGTGCTTGAGGAATAGTTTTTGTTAATTTAGGCATGGCAGAATTGCAAAATTTTAATTTTTTTAATTTTAAAAATTTTAAAAAATTGCCCAAATTTGACATTTTTCGTTTCAAAACCCAAACATTCGGGCTTGTCAAGTTGCAAAAACGAAAGTATATTAAGGCGGAGAGAAAAGTGAATTTGCGCACTTTTCTCGACACCGTGCCTCAGGGAGGTAAGGAATATCCCGAACTTGGCCAGCAAAAAAAAAAACGGAAGGCCAGAAAGAAAGTCGACGGGCTAACGAAGCTAACATACTTGTCCTTTTTCTTTCTCGTAACGACGACACCTCATCCCCGTCCGTCTGGCGCATATTAGAGCAGGCAAAACGGTCGAAACGAGCGGCTGAACATGATTTTTTGCCATTTTTACTTGAACCTCGCTTGATTTTTTGTTCTTATTGTTTGTAATGGTACTTAATAGTACTGGTTTTAACTCCAAAGGTAGTTTTCGCAAGTTCAATAGTTACAGTACCCAAATTTTCGATTTTAAAAAAGTGGAAGTTTGGTGGAAGATTTGTAATGTATTTTGCACTGAAAATCTTCCACTCAACTTCCGTTTTTAAAAAGTCTTAAAATGACTTAAAAACGCGTTGTTGACACTTTTTAGGAGTGGAATTTGAGTGGAAGATTTGTAATGTAATTTGCACTGAAAATCTTCCACCAAAGTTCCACCCCTAAAAAAAATCTCAAAAATGCATTTTTAGGTCATTTTAAGATTTTTTTAAAAATGAAAGTTGAGTGGAAGATTTTCAGTGCAAATTACATTACAAATCTTCCACCCAACTTCCACTTTTATTTTCTTTATTTTTCCGAATATTGTCTACGAACTTTTGAGACAGTTATTCTAGCACCAACTCAACCAGTTAAAAACTTATTAAAGACTGAATTACTGTTCCGGAAGAACAGTTTGGACCAAATTTTCTTACTGTTTTCACATTTTTCGTATTCAACGTTCTGACAATTTTTATGTTATTTTAGGTTTATAATGTCATATGTTGTTGAAATGTTGAAAGTTCATGTTATATTGGGTTGTTCAAATAATCCCGAGCTTTCTCACAAAGCAAATTTTTGGAATGCAAAATGGGGCTCAGAATTATTTGAAAAACCAAATAGTTGTTATAAAATGAGCTGATGACCTGACTTTGATCTAAAAGTGGCCTAAATTGAAAAATAGGCTTAGTAAGAAACTTCCATTTTTAAAATTTCTTAAAATGGCTTAAAAATGAGTTTTTAACAGTTTTTAGGAGTCGAAGTTGTATGGAAGATTTTCAGTGCAAAATACATTATAAATCTTCCACTCAAATTACACTTTTAAAAAAAATTAAATTTTTCTAATTTTTTTTGACAAAAGACCAAAACCGTATTTTACCTCCCAATAAATTCAAAAAACCATGTTGTTGGCTGTCTAAAACCCTGTGTTTTTGAAGATTTATATTTTTCTCATCGCAAAGTGCCGCCGGCAAAGAAACCGAAAGTCTGGAGAACGAATGTACGAATTAATTATTTTTTAGTATTTTAGGATTATCTTCGTTCCTACGTTTTTTTCGTACATGTTTTTTTGGTTAATCTCCGAAGAACCCTTATTTTGGGTTTTTCGTGGAAGATTTGCAGTGCAAAATACATTACAAATCTTCCATGGGTTAAAAATTTCATTTTTTGGTGTTTGTAAAGAAAGTTTCCACTTCTATAACGTGTCGTGTTTTTAGGCGATTTCGAGACATTTTAAAAATGGAAGTTTGGTGGAAGATTTTCAGTGCAAATTGCGTTACAAATCTTCCACTTAACTTCCACCTCTAAAAAGTGTCAAAAACGTGTTTTCAGGTCATTTTATGAGATTTTAGAATTGGAAGTTCAGTGGAAGATTTTCAGTGTAAATTACATTACAAATCTTCCACTCAACTTCCACTTTTAAAATCCTCTATTTTAGGTCTTATAATGTAATTTTTTACATTTTGAGTACCCAAAAACGTATAACTAGCCTAAAAATTACTGATATGAACCATTTTTTATTGTCTATCACCCATTTTTAATATCAAACCACGTCTATATTATACTTGATATTACACTCAGGCCCGACCGACGGCACCTGTTGTGAGATCTTTTTTGTTTGAGTATTCTTCACGACTTTTGACAGATTTTTTGTTTTTTTATTACTTTTTCTCGTTATTGTCGTATGTTCGGAGCGTAAAACGGCCAATAAAAGGTGCTTTTGGCCACAGGATTGAAATTTGTCAAGTGTAATATAAATTAAGCCCTGAGGCGTTATAAACTTTGAAACTGCGTTTTATTTGTTTATTAGAGTATTAGGGGTGGTTCTTCAGATTATTTGTTAATTTTGGATCATTTGGCTTATATAGTGCTGGCTGAGGACATTTTATACGATGAAACATGTTAGTACACGTCTCATCGTATAACATGTCTCTGCCAACTGATATTCGTAAAATTTCTAAAAAACGCTTTAGTTTAATATTGTCAGACTTCAAATCTTTCCCTTCAAGAGCCTCAGAAGCCTGATGGCAATAAAAATTGCATGTAAACGAGCTCTTCAACGTGGTAATGTATGCACACTGCTTCCGATGACAATATATGCCTTTTTTTGGTTTACGTAATCACATGTTGAAGATGTCATGTTTACAGCATGTTTAAGTAAAGTAGAATACCATTTTTTAAGTTTTTCTTCATATTGTGTCTTGTAAACAAAGTTGTTGCACTTTTTATGAAGTGGAAGTTGAGTGGAAGATTTTCAGTGAAAAATACATTACCGATCTTGCACCAAACTTCCACTTTTAAAACTTGTCAAAAACGTGTTTTCAGGTCATTTTAAGACATTTTAAAAATGGAATTTAAGTGGAAGATTTGTAATGTATTTTGCACTGAAAATCTTCCACTAAATTTTCCCTTCTAAAAAGTCTCAAAAACTTGTTTTTAGGCCATTTTAATACATTTAAAAATGGAAGTCTTGTGGAAGATTTTCAGTGCAAATTACATTACAAATCTTCCACCTAATTTCCATCCTCAAAAACTCAAGAATTGTCAAAGCATAAGCTAGCCCATGCTTTGCAGGCTGTTTTCTGGTATTCATAAAAAGTAATATTTAAACGGACAGTCATTTTGGGGGCCGCTTTAACGAGCTTTTGTTCCTTGACCACTAAAAAGGAATGGGTTTTGGCTTTTAAGGCCCATTTGTTGCTTTTGTTTTAAAGTCGAGAGTCTTGGTCATTTTTCAAAAATTTCTTCGTTTTGACTTTAATTGACATTAATCCCGAATGTCAAAAGGGCTTGTTCCGAGCCCTTGAAACACGACACTTCATTAAACTTGATTGTCATGGATAATATAGCGGATTTTTTTATCATGGATAATATAGCGGAAATTTTTAATCGACCGGGAGTTTGATTAGAGCATTTTTTGAAAAAAGAAGGTGGTTTTGATCAATATAAACATATATTTTTAAGTTTTTAATGTCTAGGGCACGGAACATTGATTTGCGGAACATTTTAAAAGTGGAAGATCGGTGGAAGATTTGTAATGTATTCTGCACTGAAAATCTTCCACTTAACTTCCTATTTTCAAAAGTCTCAAAAACGCGTTTTTAGGCTATTTTAAAAATTTTTAAAAATGGAAGTTGAGTGGAAGATTTTCAGTGCAAATTACATTATAAATCTTCCACCCAAATTCCACTTTAAGTTTTAACGTTTATTGGATGACTTATGATCTTTTTCGTTTCCTAACAATATTTTTTGCAATTTGCAAAATTTGTAAAAGCTTTTAACTCAAAAATAGGCCAATTCTTTTATTTTTCGGGGAAGAACCGGTTGAATGCCTATTATAATATCTCTGGATTTATGGGATCCCAGATTTATTGTTATTACATTACTTTTTCCCGGCGACTACTAATAAATATTATAACAGGTGCCAATGATTTATTCTTTGTTTTTATATTGTTACTCTACTTCTTACGCGACAATTGCGACATTTTTCCGTTTTTTGACAAATGGTTTTTGAAGTGATAAAAGTGGGAGATCAGTGGAAGATTTTTAGTGTAATTTGCACTGAAAATCTTCCACCAAACTTCCATTTTCAAAATGTCTTAAAATGACTCAAAAACGCCTTTTTGGCACTTTTTAAAAGTGGAAGTTGAGTGGAAGATTTTTAGTGCACAATACATTACAAATCTTCCACTTAACTTCCACTTCTAAAAAGTGTCAAAAACATGTTTTTAGGACATTTTAAGGCATTCCAAAAATGGAAGTTTATTGGAAGATTTGTAATGTATTTTGCACTGAAAATCTTCCACGGTACTTCCAATTTTCAAATGTCTTTGCTTAACGTCTATATTTTGAAATATCGTTTCAACAACACGTTTTTATTACCAGTATCGTTGACTATTTCAAATGTAATACAATTTTAAAATTATTTCATCACTCTAACCTAATTTCAATTCCATTTGTCAAGTGTAACATAATTCAAGTACAAATTAAGTTACATATTATTGTAAAATTACTTTTTTACTTTACAATACGTGTTCAAATTGTAGCGGTTGTCCGTGACGACGAGCTGATTATTGCGTGTCTTTACATACAAAATTAGATTAACTCTACATTTACAGTTTGAAGAATGTCTGCCAACTGAGATTCCGGTGGACTACACGAGCTGTCTGGACTGCCTGTTTTGTCAAGCCTGTAAAGCTTATTACTACTTTACTGTGGAGAATACTATCGTTGGATGGACTGTAGATACTTCAAGGAATAAGCCTGTTACCTAACTTTATCTTGTTTTATACTGTTTTGACTGCCAATACTGTGACACATAATACGGCCAACTGTCGTTATCTTACTTTATACTGCTTGGACTGTCAATACTGTAACATATACTACAACGGACTGTCGCTCAACAAAGCGTGTACAAAAGTCGTATTGAAATAACAACACCAACTGTTGTGGCTCTACCGTTAATGTTCACGATGCTGCACGCTACGCCATCAACATCATTCGATGTGAAAGATGATGTCGTCGATGTTCAAGATACTCAAGGCGATGAAGACGACCATTACGCTTCAGAATCTGTTATCATTTCCTCTGACAATCTACTAGAAAAAACTTTCCTACATAGCGCGTCAAATATCAGATCGATACATCAACGTTTTGTTAACCGACAACGCGACAACATACGAAGCTTCAGTGTGGATGCAAATTATGTTAAGCCAAGTATGTCCAAGAGAAATTACGATAAAGGAAAAGATGACATGCTTGATGAATCAAATGTAACAACAGCTGGACCATCAGTAAGCAGTGAATGCAGTAATGAAGATAAGCAAATCAACTATTGTAAAGACAGTTGCAGTGCCAGGCACAGTAAATTAAAGCCTGTAGACCATCCCGAAGCTCCCCATTACCATAATATAACTTCAACTGTACTTCACATTTTACCAGCAAGCTATACAGAAGGCTTTTTTAACCAACCCTATAGTAATTTATCAAACACTTCTTCACTATTAAGCTTAAAACCATCATTATCAACATCTAAACTCATATTTTTTCTCCTCCTCCTACTAACCAACATTTCAACAACCCACGCCCTACGCTGCTACTGTACCGACGATCACTGTATTCCAGCTTACGGCGTATGTGAAGGTACCGTCTGTCTAGTCGGAATTCGAAAGCAAGACCAGTCAGTGATAAGAACCTGTGGCGATGAACCCTTAGGCTGTCAGAAGCACGCAGGCAACTGGGCCGACTTGTGTGCTTGTGATCGACCGTTCTGTAACACTTTTTCGTATCTACGTGAGTCGGCTCACGCTATGGAAGTGCCGCCGTCTAACGAGAAACCCGAGAACGATCATCCGAGTGCACTGATGCAGAATTCCGCCAGTATGAACAGTCGAAATGAAGCGTTTGAGGACCGTGCTGAAGATGAAGATAAAGTTATGTTTAATCGATTTGATTTCCCTCCGGGCGAATATATTGATGAGGATGGAAGGCATCATAAACGTGAGTTTTTTTTAACTTTACTTTGCCTTACCTTGACCAACCCTATTCTTGACTATCCTGCCTTGCCCTACCCTACTATTCTTTACCTTATCTTACTTCACCCTACCTTCCCCTACCCACCCAATTTTACCCTATTCATCCCTACGATACCCTTAAAATTTTATTTTCAGCCGGAATATCGACCCGAACCTCGCTGCTGACCATCCTCCTGGTCATCGTGCCATTATCAATTGGCGCCGCGACAGTTATGGTCGTATCATTCAATTACTACTGCCATCTGTGTTGAATATATCTGTTTGAGTTTGTTTTAAGTGCCTTTGTCAACTTGAGCAATATTATTGTATGCTTCAATGATCTCTTATATTATCTTAGGGTGGTCCGAAAGTTCTTGCTGTTTTAAAATTTTTCATTTTATTATTTTTATAACTTTTAGTGCTTTTGGGGTATAATAACATTTTTGGTGAAAAAAATGATATTTTTTTGAAAACCGCAAGAACTTTGTTTCCAATGTCACAATTCACTGTAAAATGCATTCAACTTATTGTAATTTGGTTTATTTTACATTTGTAATAACATACTGGCCAATAAATCGTAAAATGTACATAGACTTTGGCGTAAAGGCCTAATAAGTACCATATTTTACCTTAACATCAAGTGTAATATAATTTCAAAAAAAATTTTTTTACAAAAATACTGTTAATACTAACTAAAAGACCTTGAAATCATAATCCTAATTAATAAAACAAATTTTTAAGTGATATGTATATAATTGCAACATATACCCCAGGTCGATATTGTTGTAGGCACTAATAAGTGATGTAGCTTTTAACACTTGCAAAAACTTTCTCAGCCAACCCTACTCAATCTAATATTCCATGGTGACGGTTTTGGTTTGTAAGTACTCGTTGAGGGCCTCTTCACCCATATCCTTGCCGAAGCCACTTTGTTTGAAGCCGCCGAACGGTGCCGCAACGTCCGTCTTCTGATAAGTGTTCACGAAAATCGTTCCCGCCTTGATTCTTCGGGCTACACGAAGAGCCAAGTTCGTGTCCTTGGAGAAGACACCACCAGCTAGACCGTACTCGGTGCGGTTGGCTCGTTCAATCACTTCATCAACGTCACTGAAAGAGAAAAGATTTATAAAGCTGGAAGTTGATGTAATGGGTAATATAAAAATTGTCGTAAGTCAAAAATTACAAATCGAAAATGGTTTAAATTATGGATGTATGTAAAAAAAAAGTGTATAATGCTTATCAAATTCAAAATTCATTATTTAAAAGATCCAAAGTTGATATATGACTAAAAACGTAACTAAAACCAATAACTTACTCTTGTCTAAACTTGCTGATGCACATAATAGGACCAAACGATTCTTCATAAGCCGCAAAGTTTTCATCGTCAATGTCCGTCAGCACAGTTGGGTAGAAGTAAAGTCCTTTTCTGTCCAATCTCTTGCCTCCAAACGCGACCTTAGCTCCATCTTTCACTGAACTTTCAACAAACTTCTCCAACGATTTCAAATGAGCCAAATGGTTTTGTGGTCCATGATCCGTCTTCCTGTCCAATGGCTCTCCGATGACCATCTTTGAAGCTAGCTCAACAATCTTTTCAACCATTTTATCATGAATCGTTTCTTCGATGAAGATTCGACCGGCAGCAATGCAGTTTTCACCTTTGTTAAAGAAAACAGCGTCACACGTCTTCCTGGCAACTGTATTGATGTCAACATCATTGAAAATAATCAGCGGAGACTTTCCTCCAAGCTCCAAAGAACATTTCTTCAAATTGGACTTGGCACAGCTAAAAATATTCGATATTATCCATGTTAAAGTAACACCAAACTAAAATCTAAATTTTAACAAGTTTTCCCTTACCTTGCCATGATAGTTTTTCCAACAGGAGTAGAACCAGTAAATCCTAGCTTTCTAACTTTAGGATGATCAGCCAACGCTTGACCAATAGAACCACCAGTTCCAGTGATAACGTTGATCACACCTGGAGGGAATCCAGCTCTGCAAGCCAATTCAGCAAATTTCAACGCAGTCAATGGAGAAACTTGAGCCGGTTTATGTACAACAGTGTTTCCTGCAGCAATACAAGCCGCCATTTTCCAGGACAACATCATTAGTGGGTAGTTCCATGGTGTGATCAAGGCTACAACGCCGATAGGTTCGCGGAAGGAGACGGATAAGTTGAAGTTTGGTCGCGCTTCACTGATTGGAATTTGTTTACCCTAAAAATGAATTAATAGTACTATACAGTATATAATTTTGTTGTTTTAAAACTCTGTAAACTTTGAAAAAACGTTTTGTTCCGCCCATTGTAATGTTTTATGAGTCCCGCCGCGAAAGATTTTTATCGCCAACTCTCTCTTTGGCTTTCCGCTTTAAGTCGCGTCTTTTGGAAAAATATTATTTTCTCTTGATTTCTTCGTTTTTTGGGTAACAAAACCCTGCTTTTGTCTGTATTTTATATTTTATAACGTCTTTTTTAAAACATTTTATGTAAATTTAAAAATATCATTGCTAAATCTGCTTTTAGATCTCAAAAATGAGCAAAACTTATGGACAGAAACCGAAAAGTTTCCCATTGGAGGATGGTGTGCGTTATTATATTGGAGCTGAAGTTGGACAATACTTAAAATATGCCCGTGGACACCTCTACAAACGTTATCCCCAACTTTACAAGCGAATCGCGACTTCAGATGAAAAGAAAACGATCCAAACATTGGGCTTGTCCAATGCCTACATGCATTCTACAATAATGTTGCTGAAGGAGAGTGAAGTCGACGATATTTTTGAAGGACAAGAAGAGAAATACCGAGCTTCTACTACTGGCGGTGAGAATTTGCTTTATTTTTTCTGTTTTAGGTGTTAAAACGGGCAAAATATGTTGACGTAGATATCAAATTTTGATTTTTCAGGTCAGCCAAAGAGTGAGAGCCGTTCCACAGCTAAAACTCAGCCAAATTGGGCTTCAAGTCAAGTGATTAGTGGCTCGCATCATCTAGAATCAGTACCATGCTCTACGCCTAGTGGACACAAGAAAGGGCGAATGACTAATAGACAGTTTTGTTGTCCTCCAGATGATGATGATGCTTATCGGAGAGCGCTGGATAATGCTGACCAACCTGTAGAACTTGTGCCTATACGTTTGGACATGGAATTGGACAACATCAAGCTACGTGATACATTTGTCTTTAACAAAGTAAGAGGTTTTTTCTTATTTTATCTATGGTTTAGGTAGTGGTTGAGCAAAAACTTCCATTTATGTTCTTTTTGAGAAAATCACTTCAAATTTTCGATATTTTAAGACTTTTAAAACTCTAAATCATCTATTTTTCAGCACGAAAAGCTAATTACGCCAGAGATGGTGGCAGAAGCCATCTGTGAAGATCTCGAACTACCAGTTCATACCTTTTTGCCAGCTATTGCTCAGTCAATCGTACAACAAGTGGAATCTCACACGGAAATGCCGACCGAATCAACAGGGACAGATCAACGAGTTGTGATCAAACTCAACATTCATGTTGGTAACCAATCTTTGGTGGACCAGTTTGAATGGGACATCTCTGATAAATCTAACTGCCCTGAGGAGTTCGCTGTCAAATTGTGCTCGGATTTGGGCTTGGGAGGAGAATTTGTCAGTGCTGTTGCTTATTCTATTCGAGGTAAGTCGAAAATTTTAATTTTAGTTTTTAAAAAGTGAAAAACAGGACTGTTTCACTAAAAATCAGTTGAAAAAGATAATTTTCCCCTCATTTCAGGCCAAATCGCATGGAACTTGAAGACATACGCCTTCAGTGAATCCCCACTGCCAGTAGTGACATGCCCATACCGGTCAGCTTCAGACGCCGAACATTGGGGACCATTCCTCGAGACTCTAACCGACGCAGAAATCGAAAAGAAGATGCGCGATCAAGACCGTAACACAAGAAGAATGCGACGTTTGGTCAACTCTAACCCGTACGGAATGTGATTCGTTGTCACATTGTAAATTATTACTTATAACATTATTTCTCAGCTACTGTTCATAAATATTACCTAATTAATTAATTGAAAACTTTTGGTTTTTTGATATTGTTGTAGGTAGTAAAAATGATTTTTTTAATTTTTAGGGATCATAAAGTAACAAAAAGCCTGTACGATGATTTAAAATAGTTGGCATTAGTCATATTTTTACTTTTTCTTATTAATATTGTTCTTTTTTTATGTTTTAGGTATGTTTTTATTCTTTTTTTCGTAATTTCAGGACCATTTTTACGTGATAATCAAAGTTATTTAGTTAAAAATCCTCAACTTACATGAATTTTATCGCACCATCCGGCGAAATACCTCCATACTTCAATACTCATACCGACGTGAGTCTTCAAAGCCAACGTATAAACCGCACCAGCATCAATAGCTTCAATCGTAGCCAATTCTTCACGATGTTCGTCCATAAGGTCCGCCAACTTGTACATTAATCTTCCACGTTCTCGTGGCGATATCTTTGACCATTCTCCGTAATGGAACGCTTCATCAGCGGCACGCACGGCACGATCCACATCATCCGGAGTACATTTGGGCACATGACAGATGACTTCTTCCGTGCTGGGATCGATCGTGGGCATGACTTCACCGGTGGATGAATCTGAGAATTCGCCGTTAATCAAAGCTTGTAGTGGAACGACAATGTCCATGTTGTTAACGTGACGTTCCAATTTTTTGAATTCTAGCTTTTTACCGTCGTCACCACGTAGTCGCCTCACGACTACTGTAACGAATTCACCAAAGGTTGGACACATGTAAACTTCGGCATTCTGGAGCGATACGGAGCTGATCGTCTTGACTTCTTCGACCAAACGTGTCAAATCAGCACTGGTAGCACCTTCATCGAAGAAGTTTGTAGCATCGTCAACTTTGGCTCCACCAAGAATATCGGACCATGAAGCGCGAATCGGCTCTACCAACTTCTTTTCTTCTGGAGTCAATTCTAATTTCTCATCGTCGGCAGAATCAGCAGCTCCAAATCGGTTGGCTTTGATCATCTTTCCGTCTTCAAACTTTAGGTTTTCAACATTAACGTAACGACCATCAGAAGTCTTGAACAGAAGACCCTTATCGTGAGTCCAAACTTTGTTTCCAGGTGATCCAGACGCCTTAACTTCTTTAGCGTTGCCAGGAACTTCATATCGTTTCCACAAGGTGGAGCCAAACAACTGAACCTTCTGGCCATTCAAAGTGGTCCAAGCTCCAGGAACAGCGTCACAACCACGAATAAAGTTGTGTAGCTTCCTCTGCGTGTCCAGCTTGTCCCATTTGATCTCGGCCAACTCTGGCTTGGCAGTGATGTATGGTTCATACGAAGCACCTTCTTCTGGTTGAACGATACGAGGAGCGTTTCCTTCTGTAATCAACTTCACAGCTCGTACACAGGCTTTGACGCCTTCTGGATATAAGAACCGTTTGTACAGGGTGTTCAAGGTGTCGTTCTCTTCAACTTTGCAGGATTTTTGAAGAAGAATTGGTCCGGTATCGAGGCCATCGTCAGCCCAGAAGATTGAAAGACCAGCCTCGGCGTCGCCTTCGATCAATGTCCAGGAAATGGCTGAGGCTCCACTGAAAACAAGGAAAAAATATTGAAAGCCAATTTAAAACGATAATGAAAGATAACACTGGTTTACAAAATATACCTAATTTTTCAGAATTAGGCTTAATTTTGTTAAAGGAAATCAACTTTTTAACCAAACGGCCCTATTAAACGAAGCAAAGATAACATACCGATGCTTGGGCAAAATGGAAGGATGATAAATGATAGTACGATGCTTGGGGTAGTCCTGAACTTCAGTTGGGATGAACTGAGTACAGAATGGCAACACATTCAAATCCGGCTTGTAGCTTTTGTACTGTTCGAAAAGGTCTGGCAAAACTTCGAATTTGCCTTCGGCATTCTTCTTCCGCCAGCTTTTACACTTGATCACCGGAGTGCCATTCTTTTCGGCTTCTAAGGCTGAAAGTAAAGGTTTTAGCTTTGGTTTGAGGTATGATTTTCTATGATTGGTCCAATATTGAGAAAGATATGATGTTTTGAAATAACCTATACATATATGTGGTCATGGATAATATAATTTGAAATTTTTGAAAAGTGACATTACTTTTTGAACTAAAAGCTTTATTATCTGGTAGGAAATTCATTTCTCTATAATATAATGCTATATCCATCTATATTTCACCTAAATTTTCAAAGAAAAACCAAAAAATATTGACATACCCAACAAGTCAGCACGGCCATTTTTGTCCAATTCAGTACAAACCAGTACTACATTGTGACCATTTTCAATAAGTCGTTTGTACACATCAGCACCAAAGGCTGACTTTCCAATCACAGCAATTCTCATCTTTACAGTTTCTGGAAGATAATTCAAAATTTTCGAAATCATCGTATAACTTGTCACTTTTTGGGAAATCGCGGGAAATTTGAAAATTCTCGACCAAAAAATTTAAGAATAGGTAATAATAATGGATTTTAGACTAAATTGAACTTGAATAATATATTTTTTTGATATTTTTGATAATTTATATTAAGCAGTAGTGTTATGTTGACTAACTAAAGTAATCAGTCCACCAACCAGTTTGACAATTTTAAAAATATCTAAAAAATACCACCCAAAATGATTTTTTTACATTTTTTCAAATAAATGTTGTCAGATTACACTGAAGACGGATTGAAGTTTGTTTACAACAAAGAATTCAAGGTCTTATCAGCAAAAAAGAATGAACGAAAGGTCGTTTTTGGGTCAGAAATGAGCGATACATGAGTTTATTGTTGGAATCTGCACTAATTTTAAATAAATATCACGAGGGCATGGGTTTCTAGGCTTCTGGAGGCTATGAAAATTCGTTTTTTAAAATTATTTTTTAAAATTTTGTAAAAAAATTAACAATTAAAAGCTTAAGGATCAGTGGGCATATATGAACGCTCACAGCTCACAGCGAAAGCTGAAAATTGAAGAAAAATTATGTAAATTTAGGCTTAAAACTTCAAAAAATTCAGCTTGTAAGGGTTTGAAAACGTTTTTTGTTTCCTAAAACATTGTAAAAATGGGTATAATTAAGCTTAAAAAGCAAAGAAAACAAGCTTGTAACACAAAGAAAAAAGCCTAATCGCCAATATTTTATAAAAATTAAGCCTAAAATCCAAAGAAAAGGAATTTAAAACTTTATAATTGATGAAACTAAGCTTAAAGTGCAAAGAAAATAAGCCTAAACTCAAAAAAATATAAAATGAAGCTTGAACACTTAAGAAATCAGGCCTAAAACCAAAAAAAAAAGCCTACAAGCCAGGAATTTATTAATTAAGACCAAAAACCGAAGAAAATAAGCCTAAAAATCAGAGAAAATAAGCCTAAGCCTAAAAGTCAAATAAAATAAGCCCAAAAGCCATTAATTTACATTAATTAAACTTATTTTTATCACAAGCCTAAACTGACTTCTTTATAGGCCTAAAATCAGTAGAAAATAAGCCTAAAACTCAATAATTTACATTACCTAAACTCCTGATTATCCTAAGCCCAAACCCACTTTTATACAAACCTAAAACCAAAGTTTTTAAACACAAATGAAAAAATGTTCATTTTCCAAATCCAGCGCTCAACCTAAGCTAATATAAAGCACTCAAATCGACCTTAAATCAACTTTTTTACTGAAGAATCCGGTTGATCTGATCTCCGACTAACCGACTGACCTTTTTTGTTCAATTTAATAACCAGCTTGGTTTTATCAGCCCTGTCTATTTTTTTTTTTCTGTGATTTTCATACTGACCTAGATTTAATTCACACTGCCCTCAATTTTTGAAAAAAAATTGCCACCCCCTAAAAAATTTTTTTTACCACACCCGCTGAAATTTTTAAAAATATTCTGCCCTGCCTCCTTAAAACTTTTAAAATGCTTTTTTTACCCGCTTTCAATATTTTAGAAATTATTTTTTATCCACCCTCAAAATTAAAAAAAATTTTACCCCTGCGAACTAAAAAATGTATCATCCCTACCCAAAGCTTGTCCAACCTCACTTAAGCTGACCTTTTTCCATATTACACTGAACCCGCTGCCTTATATTCAGTTTCATTTTACCCCGCCCATTCGATGGGTCATTCCTCTGCAGTGTTTGTTTCGAATCAGAAGAGAAAACAAACCCAAAAGAAGGGGGAAACACGTGTGACAGTGGAATAATGATAAGGTGGTGACGCGCTCCGACCAAAAAAGACCGGCGAAAACGTTTGGGAACGTTGAGGTTGTTGTCCTGAACGATCACCGTGCTTCACCTGATGATTGTTTGTTGTTGGAAACGTTTGGAGAGGATATTGTTGATGAGAGTTGGTAAAACATACGTTTATTCTGTTTTATGACTTGGTTTGTGCTGTGAACTTTTGTTGAGCAATTGGGTTTGAGAAGGGAGGCTTATTGGGCACGGTATAGTGAAGTAAGGCAGGGTAGAGTAAAGCAGGGTAGAGTAGGGCAGGGTAGGGAGAGTAACGTAGCGTAAAGTAGGGTAGGGTAAAGTATGGTAGGGTAAGTTTAAAACTTTTTTTTAAATTTTTAACTATTATTCGTTTTTCTTCTCCCCTTGACTGCTCACCCCGCCCAGATCAACTAAACACAGAAAGGAAAAAAAAACCAAAAAAGCATGACAAAATATAAAAAGAAACCACACACAACATCAACCCTACCCTATTCTACGTTGCCCGACTGTATCCTACACTACCATATATTACCATACATTACCTTCCCCTTCTCTTCTCAACTCTACTTTAACTTACTCTATCACACTCTACTCTAACCTTTTTAATACATAATAGTTGCATACAAAGAGACAAGCAGGTTATTTTGGTATATAATATAATAAAAACAAGGGTCAAAACCACAAAATTTTTGCTTTGTTACCTAATTTAATGGTATAAGTAGATGGCCTTAGAGAAATTGCAAGAAATTATGTTACGCAACGTTTTATTATGTAATATTGTTTACTTTGTAACATTTGCTTCGATGTAAAACGACCAAACAAATTACCTCGAGTATGGTCATTTCACCGTCTTTTCTGCGGGGCAGCTAAGCCTAAACCTTACCCAAAGCCTTAGCTTATGCCTAAGCCAAAGCATAAACCTTAGCCTAAGCCTAAGCCTAAACCTAAGTCTAAGCCTAAGCCTAAGCCTAAGCCTAAGCCTAAGCCTAACCCTAACCCTAACCCTAAGCCTAAGCCTAAGTTTAAGCCTAAGTCTAAGCTTAAGCATAAGCCTAAGCATAAACCTTAGCTTAAGCCTAAGCATAAACCTTAGCTTAAGCCTAAGTTTAAGCCAAAGCATAAGCTTGAGTTTAAGTTCAAGCTTAAGAATAAGCCTATCTGTCCATTTTTTTTCTTCAAAAACAAGTTTTCTTCTGAATCGCCAATCAATCAAGCCTTGTAACAAATTGTATTGCAATTTGTAATAAGTTGTCCCTCGAACTCTGCTCGTCCATCTTGGAGTTGGTCTTTTTTGGTCTTTCGACGTAAAAGATGGTTATCAGTTATTTTCGTAGCAAATTCTATCAGTCCAAACCATTCCCAATGTGTGTGTTTTCTGAATTTTGTGAAAAAAGTTTCTTAACTACGTAGTTGACCTTATGGAAGATCGTTTTTGATTTGGAACGGTTTTTTAGATCTGTATAGAACACAATTATAGGCTTATATTAATTCTTATAGGCTTACGCAACAGTCTTAGGCTTAGGTACACAATTTTAGGCTTACATTACCTGGTTTAGGCTTACGCAACAGTTTTAGGCTTAAGTGCACAATTTTAGGGTTATATTATCTGGTTTAGGCTTACGTAACAGTGTTATTTATTCTTAGTTACACAATTTAGGCTTATATTATATATTTTAGGCTTAGGCAACAATCATAGGCTTAAGTACACGATTTCAGGCTTAGGTACACAATTTTAGGCTTAAATTTTTTGTTTTCGGCTTACGCAACAGTTTTAGGCTTAGTTACACTATTTTTGGCTTGTGTTATCTGGTTTAGGCTTACGCAACAATTTCAGGCTTAGGTATACAAACCTTGGCTTATACACAATTTTAGGCTTATACACGCAATTGTAGACTTATTTTTTTGTTTAGCAAAGTAGACTTTTGATTTATTTTTCACAGTTTTCTAAACTACATATATTTTTACCAAAGTACATAAATAAATAATCCAAGTTTGATAAAACAGTAAAAACAAAAAATCAAACTTGTTATACTTGGTTTGGTAGTCTGAAAACATTTTTAAATCTTTGCACTTTTGTAAAATGTTTACCATAACAACTAACTTTGGAAAAGCTGCATTTATACACATAATCACTATGTTCAGTTATTGTGATATCACAGCGTTCTGTGTTAATAGACTTAAAAAGGGCTTATTAAGCCTGGCCCTGTCAGGCCTTGATCCTGACCAGAATCGAAAAAAATTGAAAGAGGCCAGGTCGGGCGGGCTTGAAAGCCGAACCTAATTCTTAGCTAGACGTGCCTGAATTTTGCGCCAGACCGACTTGGCTCAAGCGCTACGCCGAGTGTCAGGTCTATTCCGAAGGCCCAGCTGAGGTTCTGCAACAAAAGATTGTGGATACGTGACCGGGTCAAAACAAATTTGGTCTACTCGGTAAGGTACGGTAGGATAGGGTAGGGTAGCGTAGAATAAATAAGGGTATAGTACTTGGCAAACGCCGAAGGATATTTGGTGCAATTCCCTAGCAAAGGGTTTTACATTAGTTTGTTATAGAGGAGTTGGTTAAGGCTCCACTACATAACACAAATTTTGACAAAAAAATGCTTTATAAGTCCAGTTGAAACCAAAAAATGGTACACAATTTTAACCAAAAAAACAAAAAAAAACAAAAAAAAAAACCATGTGTATAAACAAAAAAACCAAAAAAGCGACTGATTTTGGTTCACATGGCCATTAATTTCAAAAAACGTTGTCAATTCAATCACTAATCAATTTGAAGATAAAAACCGTGATGTATAAAACGTAATATCTAAAACACTATTATTGCTTACTAAAATACTAATTTTATTATTATATTTAAAAAATAAAAACTGTATTTCAAACAAACTACTACAAGATACGAAAACAATGCAAAAATTTACAATTGTATTCTTGTTGTTTGTCGCTGCTGTAACTGGTTCACATACTGCCTGTGACACAGCTCATACCGCTGTGCTCATCATTTTCTTACGCCTAAACCAGTTTGATAGAGACAGTACATTGAAGGAAGCAATTGAAGATCTTCACAAAGATATTGCTAATCCTGTAAGTTACATGTGTTTTTATTTTTGTTGAGCACGGTACCGCTTGGTAGGGTAAGATAATATAGGGCAAAGTAGGGTGGAATAGGGTAGGGTAAGGTCGTTACACAGAAGTTGGGTATTTTAATTAAACTTTTGTTTTCAGCAGACCTCCATTGATGATAAAATGTGCTACCAGTCAATACAACGGGCGTACCAAGCCCAAATCGGTCTGAAACAGCACACTCCTTTCAAATGCGAAGAGGCTGCTTGCAAATATATAATCGATATTAATATGCCCTAAATAAACGTTTGACAAGTACTTTGAAGCATGCTTCCGCATACTAAACCTACTAAGACTAAGCCTACTAAACCTAAACCTAGCAAGACTAAGCCTAGTAAGCCTAAGCCTAAGCCTAAGCGTACTAAGCCTAAGCCTACGCCTACTAAGCTTAAACCTACTAAGCCTAAGCCTAAGCCCAATTCTAAGCCTAAGCCTAGGTCTAAGCCTAAGCCTAAGCTTAAACCTAAGCCTAAGCCTCAGTCTCATCTTAAGCCTAAGCATAAGCCTAAGCCTACTAAGCTTAAGCCTAGTAAGCCTAAGTCTACTAAGCCTAAGTCTACTAAGCCTAAGTTTACTAAGCCTAAGGTTAAGCCTAAGCCTACTATGTTAAACAAAATTGTGATTTATTATATGTACTTACTAGAAACAACATCACATCTTTTGAGTCTTATATTAATATATCAGTTGACTAGTTTCAAAACTAAACTAACAATAAGCATAAAAGAACACAGCTGGTTCCCACGCCCATAAGACAAAAAAATCAAATATTCCCAAGTGAAATAATCATAAATTTTAACTGATAAAAACTGAGATCAATATAAAACAAAATCATTTTTGAAAGCAAAAGTTTCGAGAACAATGCAAAAGTCTACTGTTATATTGCTGTTCATTGTTACTGTGGTAACATGTAATCACACTCCTTGTGACACAGCTCATACCGCTGTCTGGATGGTGTTCAATGATCTTGCCCAAGTTGATAGAGAATATGCTTTGAAATCTGCACTTCGTGGTCTGCATAAAAAGATTGTTGATCCGGTAAGTCGGTTGTTGATTGACCAAGAGCAAAGGTTGTATACATCATGATTATGCAGTAGATTTGCAAATAGACTATGCCAAGCTTTTTAGTCTACTTTTTGCAATTTGAATTTTTCTTTGCAAGACCTAAACTGAGCCTTTGAAACTATAGTTTTAGATATGAGCTTAGTAGTCTTAGGCTGCGCCTAAATGTTAGGCACGGCCAATTTTGCTCAAGGCCGTCCCAATCCGGCTCGATTTGCTTCACGTAAAGTCGGGTCGGGCCAGACCGGGTTTTGATTTTCAGGCCCGGCCGATCTAAATTTGGGTTAAAACCGGCTCGGCTCGTTCCGAATGTCTACATAGTTCAAGCCTCGGGTAGGGTAGGTTAAGGTAGGGTAGGGTAGGGTAATTCAAAACATTTGTTTTTCAGCAGACCTCCATCGATGACAAAATTTGCTACCAAGCGATACAACAAGCATATCAAGCACAAGTTGGCATGACAGAGGCAACACCTTTCAAGTGTGATGAGGCTTGTCGATTCACATTTGATATCATTACATAAGATCTTTTAAAATATTTTTTCATTTTCCGAGCAATGGCTGCGCTGGGCTTGAGCTGAGACTAAGCTGGGATTAGGGTATTGCCAAGCTGACGCCTTGCTGGTGCCGAGCTGGAGCTGCGTTAGAGACAAGCCAGATGTAAAATTCGTTTTTTCAGCAAAAATCCACTCAAGACAAAATGTGCTACCAAGCAATTAAAAAAGCTTATGAACTACAAATGGGAAACACCGAGCCAACACCTTTCAAATGCGAAGAGGCTTGTCGGTTGACGTTTGATATCATAACATAATATCTCTTTGAAAAATATCTTTTATTATGTTCTTCAATTACTGATTAATTTTGAATATCTTACAATACGTAAGATTAAATAAATAAAAACTCTAAACGTAAACAAAAACTTTCTTTACAAAACATAAAATTGCAAGAACTTTCTTTACAAAACAAAAAATAGCAAGAACTTTCTTTACAAACTAAAAAGTGGCGCTCAAACAAAATTTTTAAAATTTTTTTGCAACGGCAGTTTGAAACATTTAAAGTCGCATAAACGCATTAGAGTGTAAACAAATTTCCTTCCGCTTTCTAAAAATGTTTCAGACAAGACCAAAAGGAGTCTTAATTTTTTTGGCTTTTGCTCATGACTATATAAAGATATTAAACATAGACTAAAATATAAACCTTTTTTATTGTATTTTAATAATTTCAAAAAGAATTCTTTGCTTAAGCCTGGCAAAACACTTAAAGCTATTTCCCTAACTCTATACCATAATTTAAGCCTAAAACAACAAAAAAAAACACTAATTACAAGGTGCGTCAAAAGTTCTGTCACAAAACTGTAAGCCCATTTATTTTACTTTGAAGTAATAAAAATCATCTTACTGTGAAGTAAAGTAACAATGTTTCGACAAATCTACTCTGACACCGAGCACAAGTGTCAGCAATGTAAACAGAACGTAGTACTTGTGGTGTCACCACAGTACCTCAGTTATGACATTGAGATTGAAGAAGGCCTCTTTGATGACATATTGAACACCAAGTTTGCTGTTATCAAGGTAAGTTATCTTATACAACAGACTTCTAAATATAACACTGCCGAGTTCTCAAGGGCTCCGGCTCAAAGACAGCTCCGGTTCTGAATTCGTAGCTGAGCCAAAGCGAAAAGATAAAGCAGAAAAAGGCGAAACCGTAGCTAGAGTAAGATCCAGAAAATGTTGAGTTACAGTACAAAAGAAGAAGAAAAGGCCCGGAAAGAAAGCACAATTTTGGTTCCAAAATGCCTCCGGCTCTGGCTCTGAAGCTGACGCCAAAAATTTTCAAAACCTCAAAACCGGAGCTGGAGAACATTTTTAAAAAATCAGAAAAAATTTCATTTTTTTTAGCAAAAACGAATAAAACTATCTGATACGGTAGTTGAAGACTGGATGCCAACAAACCAAGATCAAGAATTTATGGCACAATTGACTAATGGGTCTGCTCTTTTGATGATTTTGAATCGAAGAAATGCGGTTGAAGCCGGTTCTGAGCTGGCCAAGTTTCATAATCGGATTTGTAAAAAGTAAGAAAAGCATAAGCCTGAGCCTAAGCCGATTAAGTCTAAGTTTTTTACACCTAAGTCTACTAAGCCTAATCCAAAGCCTAAGACAACTAAGCCTAAACCTAGTAAGCCTAAGCTTACTAGGCCTAAACCTACTAAGCCTAAACCTAAGCCTAAGCCTCCTAAGTCTAAGCCTACTAAGCCTAAACCTACTTAGCCTAAGCTTACAAATCCTAAACCTACTAAGCCTAAGCTTACTAAGCCTAAACCTACTAAGCCTAAACCTAAGCCTAAGTCTCCTAAGTCTAAGCCTACTAAGCCTAAACCTACTTAGCCTAAGCTTACAAATCCTAAACCTACTAAGCCTAAGCTTATTAAGCCTAAGCCTTCTAAGCCTAAACCTACTAAGCCTAAGCTTACTAGACCTAACACCCTTATATTTTCAGCAAATTAGGTAAAACTGGTGTGTACGTAAGTCCAGATATAATCGAAGCCCAGCGTGACATTAGGCTTCTGTTTCCCGAAGTTAAGCAGCTACAAGACGACTTGGCCGCTGTTAGATCCTACGCCGCAACTCATATTGCTACACCGTTAACTAATGTAAGTTTTAGGGTTTTTTTAGTTAAAAAATCAAGTTAGGCAGTTGATTTAACACTTATTTAACCAAGTACTATTTTGAAAACTAAAAAAAACATGTACTATTAAAAAAAACTTGAAATTTCAATTCCTGCTTACAGGAACTGGCATCATTGAGAATAATGTCATCACAAGCCGAGCTCAGCCAAGCAGCCATTAAGGAGCGTTTTGGAAAACATCATTTTTAGTCTGTCTACAGCTTATTTTAGTCTATCTACTGCTAATTTTTCTCTTTTTTACAAGTGGTTTTGTTACAAAAACTGACAGAGAAAGTACCCAACCTGCCCCACTCAAAATGAGCTCACAATTTTTAAATGAATTATTAATATCACCAGTAGTACCCATAAAAAAATTTTTAACTTGCACTTTTTAGTTTTAAATTTGAATTATTTGAGTTTCCGCCAATTTGGCAAAGTTGGCATTGTGTTTCAAGCACTTTTTTCGACTTCCAAACAAACTAGACTTATAAAATTAAAAATGTAGGTTTATTTATAGGTATTCTACTAGAATATCAAAGAACAATGTTTAAAATTCTATAATGGCAAAGTTATAAGCTCGAAACACAATGCCAATTTGGCAGGAAATTCAAAACCTAATGAATAATTTTTTAATTTTGATTTTCTCGAGATTTCATGAATAGCGCAATTTAGTAGTTTGCTGAAGGCTTTATATTTACACGATTGTTCTATATAAAAAGTTTGAAGTCAATCATAGCGGGGCAGGTAGGACACTTTCCTTGTAAAACATGGGCTTTTGCCGGAACGAGCCAGAACGAACGAACCAAAAAAAAAATTTTCGCGGACCGGACCCAAAAGTCTGCAGACCCGGGCCGGTAAAAAACGGTCCGGACTGGTCCGGGCAAACCTCTGGAAATAGCCACATTTTTAAAATTTTTTTATTGACATAGCCACAAAGTGAAATAAATGCTAGTTATCAAAAAGTCGAGTTTGCTCTTGTGCTATTCATCATAACATTGACATCTAGCTACGACACATTCTCCTTTCTTGGGTTTACAGCTTCTTTCACATCCTTTCTGATTGCCTTCAAATGAACATAGATTAGCCCTAGCCCTAGCCCTAGCCCTAGCCCTAGCCCTAGCCCTAGCCCTAGTCCAGACCCCTAGCCCAGAGCCATAGTCCAGAGCCCTAGCCCAGAGCCCTAGTCCAGAGCCCTAGTCCAGAGACTTAGCCCTAGTCCAGAGCCCTAGCCCAGAGCCCTAGTCCAGAGCCCTAGCCCAGAGCCCTAGCCCAGAGCCCTAGTCCAGAGCCCTAGCCCAGAGCCCTAGTCCAGAGCCCTAGTTCAGAGCCCTAGTCCAGAGCCCTAGTCCAAAGCCCTAGCCCTAGACCTTAAAGCAGTCGCAACACTTACACACAAGTTGACCATGAGATATTCCAAAAAGAATGGCCAAAACGAAGAACAACAGATAGAAAATGTTCATTTTTCAACTTGAAATGTTGCTTTTGTAAACAGAACGTGTGTTATATAGTGGCGGAAAACAATAAAGTTTACATATTTATTTGAAAAAAGGGCTTTCAAATTAATATGCGATTTGTTACTTAAGCTGAATTTAAATAAATAAAATTTTTGCTATTTTTGTGCATTGCAGTGAAGTTTTTAAATCATTTGTTATACAAAAATAAAATTAAAAAAAAATTTTAACAAGAAATAATTTTTTAAAAATTTTGGAAGCACAATCAATGTATTTTCTTCACAAATACTGGTTTATAACTTCATGACAACAATAAACCAACGTTCTCACTTTGTGGCGTTCCGTCACACCAATATCGGCTCGGCGAAATGTCTCTTTTTTTTCTTTTTCGACGTGCAGAAACGGACAAAAGCCTCGAAAACTGGTAAGTTCTCATTAGTATTTCTCTTACTCTGTTATTAATTTACACTCTTCTGTTTTTCATGACTTTTTTTGTTATTTTTGCTTGTATTTTGGGTTATTTTATGTGTTTATTTGAATTTATGGGCAAATTATTTAGTTTTTCTGGATAATATTGAAGTAGAAGCGGTTTTAAGGCGGGGGAAAGTTGGAATAACGGCAAAATTTTAGAATGTGAATTGTCTTTAATGTTTTTACATTGTTTTCAGGAGGTTTTTGTTTATGTTTTACTATGTTTTCGGACTGATTTTAGAGGTTTTATACAATTCATCAAGGATTTGTAGATTACATTCAAATCAAAATCAATCTTTCTTTGAAAAAAGTTGAAATAATGACAGACCTTTATAATATAAATACTTTGTAAAGTTTTTACCTTGGTCTGAGGGACTTTTTGTAGGTATTAAAATACGTTCTTTTGTGGTATCTTACGAAAAGTAACGAAGAGGCGCGAGACCACGAGAGCAGCGAATATACGTGCATTATTCGAGGCGAATGCGTTTAATATATAGACTTTCTTTTATTGTATGGATTCTACTTTGTTCTTTATGGCAGTTCACGGGAGTTTGTAAAATTTTACAAATTTTTACATTTTAGGCGGTCAAGTGTAATATAATAGGTATAGAATAAGGTGTGGGGTTGGATTTCGAAATGAAGGAGGACATGTCAAATGGTTTTTTTTGGTTTGTAAATTTGTCTTTTGACGTCATTTTAGGTTAATATTTGACAATTTTTGAGCTGTACTTAAATGTATTTTGTTAGTATTGATGTGCCGACTTTAATATTCACTTTTAAGATTTTTTTTCATATTATCAAAAGTTTGTTTTAGCTATTTGAAAAGGAGATATTGAAGCATGTGTAAACTAACTTTCAAGCAATTCCATCTATCTGTTCTTTAGATATAACAAACTTTCTTATGTTAAACTAGCTATTCGATAAAACTTTAACTCTTCTTCAATCTTCTGCGGTTTTTCGTGTTTTTCGTAGTTCAACGTCGTCTATTGATCACATGTTGACATGACTTTGTTCGCTTTGTCATTTATCGACGGACAAATTAATGGATTTGACTTATTTTCAGGTTCAAATTTGTGGAGACTTTACCTTAACCCAATAATGTAAGTTATTTTTGTGTTTTCTTCAAAGTTTAGGTAAATTTCGCGATCGCAAGGTCGTCTGGAAGATCGGGGCCGCACGAAGAATAGTTTTTTTTTGTAAAACACTATTAAAATGGCATTAAAATTTGAGAAACAACTCAAATGAATTAATATTTTAGTGAATGAGGTAACCCATCGCGATGGAGAAGCGGATGCTGAAGTTGTACACGGAGTTTCGGCCGCCTCCAGAAGCTCGCACTTATCGCCCCACGCCAGTCGAATTCAAGGACCCAATTCGGTATATCAACTCGATTAGGGAGGAAGCCGAAAAGGAAGGGATTATCAAGATAATTCCACCAAAGAATGCCTTCAACCATCGATGTGTCATTAATCCGGATACCTACACAATTGACACTAGGTTTCAGAAATTGTGTGGAATTGATATGCTATGTCGTGATCGAATGTACTTTATTAAACAGCTGGAGGTGTTCTGGTTTAACTATGATATAACTTTCACATGGCCTTATATTAATGATTGCTATATTGATATGAAGCGGTTGTACGAAGTAAGTTTGTTTCTTTATGCTAAATTGATGTTAAAGGATTGTATTTATGTGATAACTGTAGATTTAGACCTCAAAAATGGTCTGGAATAGCCGTTTTTTATAAAAAAGGTTATGTACAATATCGAAAAAGTGAAATAGTACCTAATTTTGTTTTCAATGTAACTTTTGTGAAACAATAAGTAAAAGCTTGAAAGTTGGTGCTAATATGACTTATTGAGTTTGTCATCTAAAACAAGAATTTGGTTTCTGGAATTTGCTAAAGTTAAAAAGTTACAGTACATTTACGGGACCCTATGGAACTAGTTTTTCGATAGAAACTCTAATTTAGTCTATAAAGCAGGCCTTAAACAATTCTTTTAGTTAGTAACTCAACAAGGAGGACCAAACGAAGTCACGAAAGCCCAACACTGGCCGGAAATTGCCAAAACTTTGGGTTTTCAAGCAAATAATGGTCAGAATATGCGTGAAATCTACACGAAATGGCTACAACCTTTCAAGGAAAACTTTTTGGATCACGAAAAAGTGACAGAAGATGTGATTTTACTAGATCCAAACGAAGATGTTAAAGCCGAAAACAGTGGAAAAGAAGCTGAAGTGAAGGAAGAACAAAAGGAGGAGGAAGATGATGATGCTCCGCCATCGAAGCGGTTAAGGAAGGGACGAATGATGGCTGGGGTTCGATGTAAAAATGTTTTTAAGAGTGAAGCTAGTAAGTGTTTGTTGGTTTTTGAGGGGTTTTAGGCAGTTTTTAGGGCTGGTTGAGGAATTTGGTTGTTTTAGGTAACAATTTTCGAACTTTTTTAATTTTTTAAAAATATTTTAGGTAACAAATTTTTGTTTTTATAAATTTTGGAAACGATTTCTGAATTTTTCGATTTTTTTTGATATTTTGGGTAACATATTTTGGCTTTTTATGATTTTTTTCAAATTTAGGTAACAAATTTAAAATTTTTTTTAATTTTAGGTAAAAAATGTTTTTTAAGACTTTTTTTTTGTAACTTAGGTAACAAAAACCAGTTTTTTAAAAAATATTTATAAAAATTTCAATTTCAGCTTCAAAAATTACCGGTAAATGTGGTCTCTGCATGAAAACAACCGAAGACGGCGACGCCGACTTTATTAACTGCACCAATTGTAATCAAGAGTTCCATTCCGAGTGTGTTCTGATGAAACAATGCAAAACAGTACCAATGAAATGGAAATGCCGAGTTTGTTTGAAGAAAGAGCTAAAGGAGTACGAGTTTTACTTTATCGACAACGACACGACAAAAACATTGACACAGTTTAGAACCAAAGCCAATCAGTTCAAACGGAACTACTTCAAAATTCCAAATTCGAATCCGGTAAGAGTTTTGATTGTTTTGGCGGGAAAAACGGCATATTTTAGGGATGGAACTTGAGTGGAAGAATTTTAGTGCACTTAGCACTGAAAATCTTCCACTAAATTTTTATTTTTTAAATGTTTTAAAATGGCTTAAAAATGACTTTTTGGCACTTTTTAGAAGTGGAAGTTTGGTGGAAGATTTTCAATGTATTTTGCACTGAAAATCTTCCACTCAACTTCCACTTTTAAAGAGTGTTAAAAACACGTTTTCAAGCAATATTTTTAGTTTGGTGGAAGATTTTTAGTGCAAAATACATTACAAATCTTCCACATCTATAATTTGACATTTCAGGTCTTCGTTTTAAGCTTTTGTTATTCTTGGCAAAAATATGTCATTTTCAGAGTGTGTCAATGGTAAATGTGGACGAAATTGAAAAGGAATACTGGAAGAACGTCGCCGATTTCGAATCCAAACTTGAGGTCGAGTACGGTGCTGACCTAGAGTCGAAAAAACTGGGCAGTGGATTTCCACGCATCACTGACATTCATCGAGGCGCGGATATGGACCGTAAAGCATACTTTGCCCGTCATCCTTGGAACCTGAACAATCTGCCAGTACTAAACGACTCTGCGCTATCACATGTTGGTACCGACATTAGTGGAATGGTGGTACCATGGGTTTACGTGGGCATGTGTTTCTCCACCTTTTGCTGGCACGTGGAAGATCATTGGACCTACAGTATGAACTATATGCACCTGGGCGAGACTAAGGTCTGGTACGGGTTCGGCCGAGAGTACGCGGACAAGTTCGAGGAGGTAATGAAGCGCATCTCTCCGGACCTATTTCAACAAAACCCAACCATGTTGAACACAATGCATAACATGCTGAACCCCGCGATTCTAATGGAAAATGGCATTCCAGTCAAAACGATCAGACAGAACGCTGGCGAGTTTGTTGTAACCTTCCCCAGAGCCTACCACGCCGGATTCAATAGTGGTTTGAATGTGGCAGAAGCCGTCAACTTTGCACCATGCGACTGGCTGGCCGTGGGAAGACAATGCGTGGAGAACTACATGAGAACCTCACGATGTTGTGTCTTTGCTCACGATGAACTGATCTTCAACTTGGCCAACAGTAAGAAGACCTTGAGTTTGGGAATGCTAGCCGCCGTCTTCGATGAACTGGAAGAGATTTACCGAAGAGAAGTAGCCTTCAGAAAACAGCTGGGCGAAGCAAATTGCAAAAATTCAGAATTCTGCGAATTCGGCAACCTTCCAGATGACGACAGAAGCTGCGCAATATGTGGTACCACGTTGTACGTAACTGGACTAGAGTACCGTGGTGAAAAACAAAGCTACTTTGGATGCTCAAGACATTTCCGGACACTGATCAAGAAGTTTGGTCGCGAAAACATGATCGTACGCTACAGTCTAACCCTTCAACAAATGAGCATGATGAAACAGTCAATAGTACAAAAGGTACACGCGGGCAACGAATGGCGAAAACAAGTCAAAATAGCCATGACGACACGAATCCCATACCGCGAAGCCAACTCCATGCTAGCCATCTTCCAAAAGCAACAACTACCGTCCTGCGAGGAGAAGGAACAACTACAGAACGCCATGAATATCCACAACGAATACTTCATGACGGCCAATAGAATTCTAGCCGCGAAGATCAAGTTAAGGGACGAAACCCGAATCCAAAGAGCTGATGACCGTGTGTCACCACACAGCTTGATGGAGATGATCAAACACATGAAACGACTGGTAGTTCATGATCAATCGACAATCGATAGACTGGAGGCAAGATATAGAGACTACCTGAAGTGGACATGGAGATACAATCAAATATCAACCAAAGAGAAAGACTTGTCTCAGCTAGAGTTCATCCAAGCCATGGAGAAGATCCAACAAGAAGCCGAAGCCCTCAACATGAAGTTAGATGAGATAGACGAGGTCAAGTACATCATCAAGGTAGCCAATTGGAAGTTGAGGGTGGATACCCTGATTCACATGTCAAAACAATCAGAAGACTTGGATACGGATCATGACTTCTCCTGCCGAGCTACGATGACGGAACTGGATGAACTCAGGTTCTACGGCCGAAGTCATCAAACAAACAAAAGGGTTCAGAATGCAACGGCATTGGTCGTGGAGCTGGATAGAATGAGGGCATTGGCGGTTAGGAAGCTGGATGAGGTAGGGTTTTTAAAATTAAAAAAAAATGGACGTTAAGTGGAAGTTGTGTATTGTAATTTGCACTGAAAATCTTTCACTCGACTTCCATTTTTAAAAAGTCTTCAAATGGCCTAAAAACACGTTTTTGAATGTTTTTGGAAGTAGAAGTTGGGTGGAAGAATTGTAATGTATTTTGCACTGAAAATGTTCCACTTAACTTCCACTCTTGAAAAGTTTCAAAAACTTGTTTTTAGGCAATTTTAAGACATTTTAAAAGTGGAACTTTGGTGGAAGATTTTTAGTGCAAATTACATTGCAAATCTTCCACAGAACTTCCACTTTTTTTGAATTGCGATTTTGGCTTTTAAGCCAAACTTTTACATCTTTAAACAATGTTTATCGTTTTGAAACGCTTAAAAATAAGCCTAAAACCTTATTTTTCAAAAAATAACTATTAAAGTCTTTTTGAAAACTAATTTTCAAAGCTTTTTGCAGTTAGAATCCTACTTCTCACCTACAACCTCTTACAATCTGGAAGAATCCCGTGGTTTTGAAGATGTGATGCAATTCGCCGAAGGGCTTCGAGTTATTCATTGGTTCACTTCGGACGAATTGGAAGATTTTCGGACGGAATTCAAGAATCTCGAAGATTTACACGAAGAAATATTGGCATTCAGCGAGAATGACGTGTACAAGTTGAGCGGGGTTTATCAGTTGATGAGGAAGATCACTAAGAATCCGTGGGTTTTAAATTTCTTTGAAATTTTTAAATTTTTTTGAAAATTTTTAAAAAAAAATTAAATTTTCAGCCTCCTAATCAACCCAGTCGAGCTAGACCTACTGGAAGAGAAACGTGATGCCATTCTCGCCTTCATCGAACAAACATACACATTAATGCTGAAAGAGCGAACCTATCACAGTGTAGTTCAATGTCTCCTACCACGACGAGACCTAATCAGTATGGCGGAAGAAGCGACCGAAAAACTGTACAAACAGCACAGAGATGGGTACTCGGATGAGTGGCCAGAACTGAAAAATATCAACACTATTCATCATCTTAGGAGCTTGGTAAGAAGGGTGGCTGGGTAGGGTTGGCGGGGTGATAGTAGGGGACTGTTGTTGAAGGGGTGCTAGGGTAGTGTTGGTGAGGTCTTAGTAGATGTACTGACGGTGTGCTGGTACTATTTTTTACTTTTCTAATGTCATAAAATGGCTTAAAACACGTTTTTAACACTATTTGAAAATGGAACTTGAGTGGAAGATTTGTAATGTAATTTGCACAGAAAATCTTTCACTAAACTTTCATTTTAAAATGTCTTAAAATGGCCGGTAAACGCGTTTTTGACACTTTTTAGAAGTGGAAGTTCAGTGGAAGATTTTCAATGTAATTTGCACTGAAAATCTTCCACTCTACTTTCATTTTTTAAAACGCCTTAAAATGGCTGAAAAATTATCTTATACTATTTTTGGTTTATGGTAGGGAATTTTACGCTTTTAGTTCCCCGTATACGACGCCGACGAAACGATACGACTATTGTCAAAAGCCAGAGAGAAAAACCTTCATATGCCTGCGTCCAAATCTTGTATCGACTCCCCAACCTGCTCCAAAAAGCTTACAGAAGAAGATAAAGCAGACACGATTCAGTGTTTTGTCTGTCTACAATCTCAACATGTGTCGTGTGCGTTATGGTCGTATGCGCTAGACAACTACCCGGAAGGCCTATACCTATGTCATCGTTGTTGTAGGTCGGAACGGCCGCTGATTGAAGATGTTCGAAAAATGGTCGCAAATGCGCCACAATTGGCACTGGAAGTGGAGCTGGTCCGGCTGGCAACTCAAGACGTTCAAAAGCAATGGAACAGTGCAAGGGAAAGTCAGGCTCAAGGGTAAGGTTTTTGGCTTTTTTGGGCTTGTTTTTTGCATTTTTAAGTTTAATTTTGAAGTGTGAGGCTTAGTAAGTGTTTAGGTTTATTTTTGTGTTATTAGGCTTATTTTTGAATTTTTAGGCTTAGTTGTGACTTTTAGGCTTGTTTTTGAAATTTTAGGCTTATTTTTCTATTTTTAGGCTTATTTTTGAAATTTTTGGCTTATTTTTGAATTGTCAGTCTCATTTTTGATATTGTAAGCGTAGTTTTAATTTTTAGGCTTACTTTTGAAGTTTTAGGCGTATTTTTGCGTTTTAGGCTTCTTTTTGTGTTTTTGGCTTATTTAGGCTTGTTTTTGAATTTCAAGCCTAGTCTTGAGTTTTAGGTTTCTTTTTGGGTCTTTAGGCTTACTTTTTGAATTTTCATGCTTATTTTTGATCTTTTGGGCTTGTTTTTGATATCGTAGGCTTACTTATTTATCTTAGGCTTATTTTTGAATTTTTAGGCTTTGTTTATAATTTTAGGCGTAGTTTTACCTATGCGGCTTATTTTTGAAGTTTTAGGCGTATTTTTACGTTATAGGCTTCTTTTTGGGTTGTTAGGCTTATTTTTTAATTTTTAGGCTTACTTTTGATTTTTTAGGCTCACTTTTGAGATTTAGGTTTATTTTTGGGTTTTAGGCTTCTTTCAGGTTTTTTAGCTCTCTATTGTATGTCTATTTTAACATTAATTAAAAAATTTTATCTAAAAAATGGTTAAAATTTTAGATCGATCACTCCCCTCCACTACGCCCTAACCCTCGAACTCTACGACTCGAAAATTTTTAACGCACTTTATGAACGGTTTGGGCCAAAATTCGACGAGGAACAAAAGCAAAAATGGCGCAGAATCAGAGAAAACAACCGTGAAATGCCACTAACAACGAATGGCACCCGAGACACGATACCAACCTTTGCAAAGAAGCGAAAGTACCGGTGTATGAGGATACGAACCTTAGCCACACTGCCGTTCAGAAGGAAAGCTAGTCTTGTGGAGAAGTGCGCCAGTGAGACGTGTCTTCAGTTCAGAGGTGAGGATGGTTGAAGTGGGAGTAATTTGGTTTTTTGACGAGGTTAGGGTAGATTCTGATATTGGGTTTGCATGGGACGGATTTTTGTATTTTGGGGGGGGTAGGGTAGACCGATTTTTTTTTCAATTTGCTATCTTAAAACAACTATTTTTAGGAGTTGTGATCTTTGCAAAGGGTGGTAAAAATTTTTTTTTGGGGCGGAAGGTAGGGTAGAACGAAAATTTTTTTTTTGATTTTTCAAAAGTGACCGTTTTTTAGAGCTGTGATATTTGCAATAGGGGGTAGTAAAATTTTTTTTGGAGAAGGGTTAAAAAATTTTCAAAAATTTTTGAGGCTTTATATTTTTACCCGCCTTTTTAAAAAAAGCTATTTATTAATGATAGTGTACTAAATATCGTCAAATTTCTAGCCGATTCCTACCGCGAACTCCAGTGCATTCTATGCGAAAAATGGTACCACTTGGCGTGCACGGATGTACCATTCGAAGACGCAAAAATGATCACATCATTCCATTGCAACAAGTGCAGCACGAACTCGCAACCCAAGAATCTCCATGCTGCCATGCCTCGTTTGGAGCCACAAAACGAGCTGATCATCCTAGAGTAATATCGGCTTAGGGTCGACGGTACGATGTCAGCTTTAGACCTACAGTATGATATCAGCTTCAGACCTGCAGTATGATATCAGCTTCAGATCTACTGTACGATATCAGTATCTTAACATACGCCGATGATTTTATAGTAGTTATGACCCCCCCCCCTTCCCTCTCCTAGATTAATATAAGTATTTGTAACGTAACCTTAATGTTTGAGCGTTGTTGAATAATTAATTAATTTTTTTTTATCATTTTTTAATGTTTGATTTGGGCATTTCCTTTTCGTTTGTTACACGGTTTTTCACTCTCAGAAGCTTTAATTCGAGTGTCGAATAAATATTCATAATAACCTCATGGGTAATATATTTTTGGAAATTTTTTGTAATTTTCAAATTTGAATAAGTACTCGTAATAACATCATGGATAATATAATTCTTATAAAAACTTGAAAATTGAAAAAAATTTTTTTTTGTTTTTTAATTTTTTTGAAATTTTAAAATGAATAAATGTTCATCATGACATGGGTAATATAATTTTTAGTAAAATCGTCGAAAATTAAAAATAAATTTTTAATTTTAAAAATTTTTTGAAATTAAATTTAATTGAAATTTTAAACTTATTGTCATGGATAATATCGCAAAAGCCCAATTAGTATATACAATTTATTAAGACCCATAAATAACCGCGCATAACTCAAATATACAACAAATGGTACCATAAAGAGGTACCAACTAACAATTTTCATAAAAATCTTTTCGAAAAGTTTTGGTTTTATTATGCATTCTGCGCCCTAGATTCGATTTGATCGTTTGCAGCCTGCGCATTGGCTTCACAGTCGGTTGAAACGTGCGTCCTAGCTTCTGGAGTCGATGCAGTCTGCAAGTCATTTTGGATCTGTTCGTTCGTAACTTGCGCCCTAGCTTCATTATGATTTTTTGCAGCCTGCGACCCAGCATCAGGGACATTCGGATGTCCCGCAGCCTGCATCCCAACTTCAGGAGCCGGTTGAAGGTTTTCAAATTGTGCCCTGGCCCGATTTGGACCTTTTGCAGCCTGCGCACTAGAGTCAATAAGATTGAGGTCAAGTTGTCTTTCAATTTCGATTTGGTCATAAGCAGGTGGAGCACCTTCTTCACACGGCATCCGATTCAGTAACGAGTCAGTATCACCGCCATTAATATTATTATTGAGGTCTTCTGAAGGCTCCAAAGTCTCGTTTAAGCAGGTTACCGAATAGGTTGGAGGTAACGGTTCTTCTGACTGAAATTTTTTGGTATTACGGTGAGAAATACTGTATGAAAGTATTAAACGTACTAAGGACGGTATGAAAGCCCAGTATCGTTTGGCAGTACGCTACTCTGCCCTATCTACAGTCTAGTGTAGCAGACTGTAAATAGGGTAGGGTAGCGTGAGGTATTATAGAGAAGGTTAGGATACAGTAAGGCAAAATGCTCTAGGGAAGACTAAACTTCAGAATCCTACAGTAGGATACTGTAGGTAGGGTACCGTAATATAAAGTAGGGTAAAATAAGGCAGGGTAGGGTAGGGTAGGGTATGGTAGGGTATGGTATGGTAGGGTATTCTTACCGTACTATTCTCAACTGGAGGTGTCCAACTCGGCCTCAAGGCAGTAATGACTGCCTGACTATATGAAGGTAGAGGCTCAGGAGCATGTATAATTTGCATTTCCCGTACAATTGAGTGTGGTGAGTGTTGACAGCACCTCTCCTCCAAATGGGGTTCAATTAGGCATGGGAAAGAGGAGGGTAGATTGAGAGAATACAGTAGATTCTGTTGCTCACGTAGCCGCTTAGCTCGTCGCCGTCGAAGAAACTTCTGGATATGAAGAAAGGCATTCATTAACAACCCGCATACGATAACACCGACTAGCCATACCACCGGCGACCACTTGAAAATATCATCCAAAGAGATCTGCAATGGGCGTGGGTTGTTTAAAAATAAGAAAAAAAATGTTTTAAAATGCCGAAAAATTTTGGAATAAGCCTAAACTTAATGAGTCTAAGTGCGCAAGACTAAGCCTGCAAGTCTAAGCCTACTAAGCCTAATTTTACTAAACCTTAACCTACTAACCTTAATCCAATTAAGCCTAACCTTGCTAAGCTTAAGCCTACTAAGCATAAGCCTACTAAACCTAAACCTACTAAGCCTATGCTTACTAAGCCTAAGCTTACTAACCCTAAGCCTGCTAAGCTTAATCCTACTAAGCCTAAGCCTACTAAGCCTAACCTTACTAACCCTAAGCCTGCTAAGCTTAATCCTACTAAGCCTAAGCCTACTAAGCCTAAACTTACTAACCCTAAGCCTGCTAAGCTTAATCCTACTAAGCCTAAGCCTACTAAGCCTAACCTGACTAACCCTAAGCCTGCTAAGCTTAATCCTACTAAGCCTAAGCCTACTAAACCTAGGCTTATTAAGCTTTCAAACATTAAGCCTGCTAAGTCAAATACTGCCTAAACCTCCTAAGGTTTAGCAAACTAAGCCTATGTAAAAATTATAAAAAGGGTAATTTTGTGCCATTTAAACTAAAAAATGTTTTTTAAATTTTTAGTACATTTTTTCAAAGATATGTACAGTACGTTTGTAACCTAAATAACAAACACTAAATTTCGTATTTTACCCTACCCCAGAACTGCCAATTCCATGGATCACGATCCGTATGAGTAATATGAAAACCAAAAGCAGCGAAAAGTAAGACAACATTTATAAGAGTCGCTTCGAAATGACAAAAAAACCTTTTTTCAACTTGTTTTTTGTTAAATTTTCTGTCAAATTACATTGTGGTAGTTGCATTTACATTGTAATTAATGCGCTCGGGTTACCATCAAGTTTAAATTTATACCCCAGCCTATTCTTACCCTACCCTACCCTACCCCACCCCACCCTACCCACCCTACCCTACCCCACCCCACCCTCCCTACCCTACCCTACCCTACCCTACCCTGCCCTACCCTACCCCTACCCTACCCTACCCCACCCTACCCACCCTACCCTACCCCACCCCCACCCTACCCTACCCTACCCTACCCTACCCTACCCTACCCTACCCTACCCTACCCTACCCTGCCCTACCCTACCCTACCTTACCCTTCCCTACCCTACCCTACTTTTCTAAATTTTAAAAAAAATGTTATCGACCGGTCGATTTTTCGACTCAAAATTTTTTTTTACTTTTTTTGAAAAAGATGGCTTATACGGTCATAGTAGTAATTCATATTTAGTCACCCTGGCCGTCTCAATCAATGTAAGCCTAACGTCTGACGTAAATTTTCAGCGATGTTACCTAATGTTATGATATAAGAAGATAGCCTAAGAAAAATTGCAAAAAATCCTATTGCGCAACGTTTTATTAGGTAATATTGTCGTTTTATATAACATTTGTCTCGATGTAAAACGACCCAACAAATGACCTCGAGCACAACAATTTTACGCTATATCCTCTGGGAACGTATCGTTGTCTTACCTAATGTGCCAATAAACAATTTAACCTAGCAGCTTAAGCCTAAAAGCCTATCATTAAAACGCGAATTAAAGCATAAGTCTAAGCTTAAACCTAAGCCTACTAAACCTAAGCCTACTAAGCCTAAGCCTACTAAGCCTATGCCTACTAAGCCTACGCCTACTAAGCCTAAGCCTACTAAGCCTAAGCCTAAGCCTAAGCCTACTAAGCCTAAGCCTACTAAGCCTAAGCCTACTAAGCCTAAGCCTACTAAGCCTAAGCCTACTAAGCCTAAGCCTACTAAGCCTAAGCCTACAGTTGAGGTGGGCCCCGCCCACTGAAGAGTGATGGAACGATCAGCGCCCATCATGATAGTTTTGGGACGGGACGACCTGGCAATAGGTTGTCCCCGATCTCATTTTAATCCCTTGCTATATTATAATCGTGTTTACTATCAATAAACTAATATGATCACCTAGTTTAGAAATGTACCTAAATATATAATATATACTAAAATATAATTGGTAGCAGCCCGGTGACGATCACCGCCCCCCTAAAAATTTTGCCAAGGCTATGTGGCAAGGATCCATAGTAGGCTCGAAGGCTCGACAGCATTGCCCTTGGGAAAGGCAAACGACTAGCTACATGCCTGACATGCTAAGACCCTAGAATTCGTAAGGAATTCATTACCGTACTCAAATACCGTAATGGGTCTGGCATGTTTTCCCCCTAGACGATTGGCACATATGGGCTCTGTGACCGACCCGTAGAGGCCTCTTCCTGGCCAAAACGTACAAAAGGAGAACGGAAGTCACAAAAATTGAGCGACCTCGTGGCCGAATCGTGGCACTTCACTGTCCAAAGTCCCCTTTGTTATGTCGCCTTTCAACGACAGACTCTTCGGCAGAAGACACTAACAAAGGCGATCGGCGATCAGTGATATGGCAGAGGCTATTGTTAAGTGCACTCAACACGATTCGGACAGACGCGCTCAGACAGATATTTGAATTTTTCGTGTCAACTAAACAGTTGCCAGGAACAAGCTCGGAATGGCAAAAAGGGGCGGGGATTGATCGCGTTAATCGAATGGCTCAGCACCCAACCCAAAATCAAATCAGTCGCAAATTGACACTGATGTCGATCGGTCGCCTATTTTAGGGGGTGACAGATCGGGGTTTTGGGGAAGGTTATGGTAGTTTGGGTATAACAAGACAATTATATATAAGAGGGATTAGATATAAAGTAAGGAATATTTTTCAGCTTATGAATTGATAAAGCCAGTATGTATTAATAGCAAAACCACCAAAGCCCCTCTACCTGTCGGAGCGCATCCATGCGGTGTTGAGATCTGTCTCGTGAAGAGCAGAGGAAACACACAACGACGGACGGTCCGTACAAACTCCAGCTCAACAAGCCTGGGTATCAGAACCACGGGCTCCAAGAGCTGCATTTGAGGGCGAGTGGGTATATGAAACACGACCAGAGGAGAGAGAATGCCCAAAGAGAATGAAGAACCTGAACTTCTTCCCTCGGCTCTTCTTCAACAAATTTGAAGAGCAGCAGCACTCCTTGGAAAACCCTACGTCATACGTAGTGATCTGTGGAAGTGGCTATTACAGCGTGGCCGTTGCGACCACTAAACCGGCGCACAACGAACCTGTCGTTATACAACTTCAGGGACAGTGTACTGAGAACCCAGTTCACCTACCCCCATGAGTGTAGTTAAGGTCACCTCATACTACCCAGCCAAGGGAGCACCCAACGGCGAAGGAGAAGGCCCAAATAATGGACGGCAAAGTCTACAAATGGCACAACAGTGGCCTCGACCAGAGGGATTAGCCAAAGTCTACCAGCTATGCTACTTACCCAACGTCACCATATACAACGGTCGGGTCACGCTCACGACCAAGAACCGATCCGGGGTCTTTAGAGCAAACCTGACCACGGAAAATCGACAAGTTGTCCCGGTCACGAGCGCCATCAACCACGCCCATGACCCCGTTGCCACAAACGGAGACATGGTCTTCCTGGCGGTTAAGGTCGAATTCAGCAATATTGGAGCGTTTCTAAAAGCCAACTTAGACGCTCCGATTCCATTGCCCCGATGGATACAGCAAGAATATCCCTACGGCAACTGGACAGTCGAGAACGATTGGCCTTCAGAAATCCCCATTTTGATGGCCAACAGAGAAAAGAGCCTAAGGCCATTCTGGCGGTACCGAAACACGGACTACAGACAAGATCAATGATCTAGTAACAATACTAATAAATTGGTTTTGTATTTCTCGACTTCACGCCTCATAAACCACCACCTATCAATAGGCTTCTACAAAATCTCTCCCTCTTTCAATCTTTTTCAAAAGTATTGGAGGAGTTGAGGTGGGCCCAGGGTTGGACGCAGGGCAGGGCGCCCTGTACCATGCCCTACCACAGGGCATGGTAGGGCATGGTATAGATTGGAACAGGGCAGGGCACGGCCTATGCCCTGCATTACCCTGCAAATGCCCTGTTTGTGTCATAGTAAGTTTTGGCGGACGCTTCCGCCGAGCGGTCGATAATCGGCGGACGCCACAACTTGGTTAGTTTAGTAGCTAGAAACATGTAGTTAAATTCATAAATAATTATTTGTCATACGTTACAAATAAAGCATAATTTTAAAATTTTAAAAGTCGTATTGATATCGACCGGTCGATAGTTTTTAGTATATTTTAATTGCAAATTATATATATATATTCTTATCGCTTTGTTGTTACAAATTGTATATACATTACATTAGATACAATTCTAAGCAAAAGACATTTCTTTTTTGTACAGAATAAACATTTATAAATTATCGACCGGTCGATAACAATATTGCTTACAAAAACATAAATTACTGTTTTAATGCGTAGATTATGACAGATAACAACTTCTGCACTTAACTACATGTTTCTAGCTGCTAAACTAACTAAGCTATGACATCCGCCGATTATCTACCGCTCGGTGAAGGCGTCCGCCGAAATACACCCAAATGCCCTGTAAATACCCTGTAAATGCCCCGATGCCCTGCAGGACAAAGGCATGGTAGGGCAGGGCGTGAAATTGGAATGCCCTGTACAGGGCAGGGCATTGCAGGGCACAGGGCATGGCATGGAAATTTGCCAATGCCCTGCCCTGTGTCCAAGCCTGGGTGGGCCCCACCCACTGAAGAGTGATGGAACGATCAGCGCCCACACGATAGTTTTGGGACGGGACGACCTGGCAATAGGTTGTCCCCGATCTCATTTTAATATATAATATATACTAAAATATAATTCTACTAAGCCTAAGCCTACTAAGCCTAAGCCTACTAAGCCTAAGCCTACTAAGCCTAAGCCTACTAAGCCTAAGCCTACTAAGCCTAAGCCTACTAAGCCTAAGCCTACTAAGCCTAAGCCTACTAAGCCTAAGCCTACTAAGCCTAAGCCTACTAAGCCTAAGCCTACTAAGCCTAAGCCTACTAAGCCTAAGCCTACTAAGCCTAAGCCTACTAAGCCTAAGCCTACTAAGCCTAAGCCTACTAAGCCTAAGCCTACTAAGCCTAAGCCTACTAAGCCCAAGCCTACTAAGCCTAAGCCTACTAAGCCCAAGCCTACTAAGCCTAAGCCTAAGCCTAAACCTAAGCCTAAGCCTTTTTAATGATACAAATGCCAATACTTACCCGTTCAGTTCGGTAAAATTTCATAAAAGTAGGTTAAAGGATAACGTAAAAACATAACATGAAGTGAAAAAGGCAAAAATGGTTTTTAGCGACAAAAAAGGTTTACTCTTTTGTGAAAACACTACTAATAACTTTAAATTGTCACGTTTTAAAAAAATTGATCGATTTCTTTTGGCGGTTTTTTTGCTTTTACTTAAGTTTAAAGGGCATTCACGTGGAGAACCAGAGTATTTTTTTTTAGTTTTAAAATGAAAATTTTAAAAAAATTGAAAAATGACATTACAGTAACAGTAACTTACTTTAAACTTGAGTAGAACGAAAGCAATCATAAATAGAAAGAAGATACCAGCGAATAAAATCAGGCGTTTCAGCTCTTCGTAAGCCTGGTTTTGCCTGAAATGATGAACGTTTTTAGTCATAACTTTTGTAAAATACGTTGTGTTGATCTGCTATGATTAAAAAATATTGCCTAAGGACTTACAATTAGCATACTTTAAAATCAGTTTGTTACTGTAACTTAAATTTGCAAAAAAAATTTTTTTAACTGGCACATAATTTTAACCAAAAATTAAATTTTTTAAAATTTTATAACTTTTTCAAAATAATATAAAAGTTCTTGAAATTAAGTCAAAATGACGTTCATTACTCTCAAAATGTCATAGCACAATGTCAGTGCAGAGTCTTTACTAGAAGTTGCAAAATCAGTTTTTAAAGTTACTAGCCCCAATTTTTCGAAAAAACTTAAATTTTTTAAAAAACCTGCAATTTTTTCAAAATAAGAGCAATTTTTTTGAAAATTTGTCAAAAAGCTCAGCATGAGATATAAAATCATATACTGAGAGATCTAGTTTTTATGTTCACCTAGTTTTTCAAAATGTCGTTTGAAAATAAGTACACATAAATAAAAAAAACTTCTAGCCCTACCCTACCCTAAAACTTGTTCCCACTGCCTAGAATTATCCTTGCCCTACCATGCCTTACCCTAGCGTACTCTGCTCTACCTTAAATTACTCTAAAAACTTTATTCTTCTATAGTTCTGTTATAAACAAATCTAACAATACCTTACTTAAACAACCCCGACTGCCTCGTATTACCACGCCATACCTTATTCTAAACTATAACACTAAAAAGTAGTAAAAGCTAGTATTTCCACATTATTGTGTATAAACTTCAAGCCCTTACCTTCGTTGCCACTGCAAATCACTGAACATGTATCGGTCGTTCATCATCATATTCCTCCCCAATGCTGGTCCAAGGTCCAGCATGAAAGCGTCATCGCTGTTGCCAAAATGGTTTAATAAACACCGGGAATGTCTCATATTGTAGAATATAGTATGTTTTTATACTGTAGTTTTAGGTCAACTTGAGATTGTTTGAACATAAGCTTATAGGTCGAGTATTGGTGCTATTTCATAGTACTGTTAGGGTAGAAATGATAGCTGAATGTGATGATTCAAAGTAATATAGGTCGTTTACGGCTGAGTAGAAATAATATGGCAATGAAAAACACTTTAGTAGAAGATTACAACCTGAAATTAAAAAAAAATGAAAATTTTCAAAAATTTCAAAAAAACTTTGGCACAAAAGTTCTCGGACTTTTGAAAAAAAAATGCTATAAAATCTAAAATTTATCACTTATAACGAATAAAAATGGCATAATAAGACCTTGTAAGTCATAATAATAAAGTTTTTGGCAAAAAAAAAATTTTTTTGATAAGCCTAAAATTAAGCCTGAAATAAAAAGTGAAGCCTAATTGCCATTTTTTGATTTCAATTTAATCATCTAACAATGAAAAAACTGTATAAAAAATTTTAGGTTCTAATTTTATATATAGGCTGAGATATAGGCTTAAAATCGAGAAGGCCTAAAATATTTATTAAAGGCTTTAATAATTTAAAATTAAGTTAAAAGCAAAAATGTAAGCTTAATTGACTTTTTCTAACAAATTAACAATTTAACAAAGATTTTATTTTTAGGCTTAAATATAAGCCTAAATCAATATCAAAACCCCTTTATGTATAAGCCTAAAATTACTCAAAAATCAAAAAAATATGAAAAACAACATAAATTCAAAAAAACTAAAAAAATCTTTTTAAATTTAAAAAAATGACGTTTTATAGTAAACAAGTAACCGCAAATTCATGAAAAATGGTTAAAGTTTGTTTAAGCAAGATGGGTCAATAACAAGTACAGTTATGATTTTATGAAAACGTTGATAAGATAACAAAGTCAGTGCTTAAAAAACCACATTTTACTTCACAACACACTGCTTTTGTCATATTGGAAAAGGTTTTTCAACATTTTTCTATATGACTTGCAGGACATGTTTCATCGTATAACATGGTTTGCGCAAGCTGCAGACCGGGGTTTTTTGAGTTTTAATGGTTTTTTGTTGGAAAAAAATTAAAATTTTTAAAATTATACGGTTAAAAAATGAAAAAAAATGATTTTTTGCTTGATTTTTGTTGAAAAAAAAATTTTTTTTGGTTAATTATCTTACACTTGCTATCAAATTTATGACTTTTGACCGTATAGTCAAAAATAACAATTTAGGCAAAACAAAATTTCGGAATTTAAAAAAAAACTTGTAAAAACAGTTTAAAAATACAACAAATGTGTCGCTGGTAATACCCTTGTTTGTGGTAAGGCGTGAAAATAGAGGCTCATTTGCAGACGCCGAACCTTGGAAGTAAACAAACAAAGTATTACTCTTGATTCAATCATAAAGCAAATAGACAATCTAGTAAAAGTTTACCACTGCCACCACAATGTTTGCCAGAACTGTTGGACAAATAAAAAGCTTGAAAAAGCAGAGTATTTGAGTTTTTGAAATTTTTTCTACCTTGCCCTACCCTACCCCACCCTACCCTACCCTACCCTACATTACCTTGCCCAGCTTTAGCAAAAAATCCTTCCGGTTAATTATATTGTACCCCCAGCCTACCTTACCAAACCCAGGGCCGGGCCTCCCCTCTCACTTTTGGTCTTGGGACCACGTTCAACTTTAAAAAAAAAATTTTAGGGACGGGTTCTCACCCTTTATCGAACGTGGTCCTCCCTGTGGATTTTTTATAAAAACTTAAAAAAACAAAAAATTTTTTCAAAATGAAAATTTTTCGAAACGTCAAACAAAAAAGCAAAAAAAAATCGAACCGGCTTGCAATTTTTCGTCGATTAAATTAACAGGAAACAAAAAAGGAACAATGGAGAGGTATACCTCTTTATTGATCATCAGGTCACGTTTCTCGAATTGCTGGATCGAAAAGTGAAAAAAGAGAGCAAAATAATGTCACTATTAGTTTTTCAAAAGGGTGGAAAAGTAATGTGTACAATATAAATTACTTTTTGAACTTTAAGCCTATCAAAAACGTCATTTTTGGCTGTTTTTAGGCCGTATTTTGAAATTCGTATACTAAAAATTTTTTAAATTTCATTTTTTAGGCAAAAAATGTCATTTACTACCCTTTTTAAACCACATTTTTTCAAATTTATCTGTTGTAAACAAAGGTATGAAACTTTATAAAAATAAGACATTTTAAAAATGAAAGTTGAGTGGAAGATTTTCAGTGCAAAATGCATTACAAATCTTCCACCCAACTTCCACTTTTTAACTAGTCGATATTGACCAAAAAGTGCCGTTTTTAACCTTTGTACACGTGAAAAATCTTCTGAATAAATTATTTTTAAGCTTTTTTTTAGATCAGCCTTACACGGAAACCGAAAAAAATTATTTGTTACCTAAAATTTAAATTTAAAAAAAATTAAATTTATACCAAAAAAGTATGAATCGAACCCCCTAATAAAGGTTTTTGGAGAAAAACAGTTGATATTTTGGGAATAAACAGTTGAGAGAGCAACAATCGAGAGCGGTAGGCAGTTATCGAAAAGAGCCCTGTTATCAAGGTCAATGTTTTTGGGTCTCGCTAATTCTTGACTGATCGTCCGAATAATAATATCAATGTTTCAGTTTTACTGAAAAAATAATTGTCCTACCCTACCCTACCCTACCTTACCCTAACCTACCCTATCGTATCCTACCCTACCATACCCTATCCTATTCTACCCTACCCTACCCTACCCTACCCTACCCTACCCTACCCTACCCTACCCTACCCTACCCTACCCTACCCTACCCTACCCTACCCTACCCTACCCTACCCTACCCTACCCTACCCTGCCCTACCCTACCCTAACCTACCCTACCCTACCCTACCCTACCATCAGGACCAATAAACCTATGCTTTAACAACGAAGCCTTAACCTACTAACCACAAGCTTAATAAACCTAGCTCTACTAATCCAAAACCTACTAACCCTAAACATACTAAGTCTAAGTGCACTAATCACAAGCCTACTATGTTAAAACATAAACGGTTCGATTGTATTATACATTTAAGTAAATTGCAATAAATTTATTATGTAAACATACATCAAATTGATGCAGTATGTATGTTATGGTACAATTACTTGGTAGGAAGGACTGGCCGGTCAGGACATTCGGATTCGCATTCAAAGTCAACGTAAGAAGTTTTTTAATAAAATTTCTTTCGCCAGCAGCAATAGCTTCATAACATTTGGATCTTACAATATCAGATTCCTTCTGAAAAACGGAGGTTATCGGTAAGATATATATACTATATACGGTGAGAGATATATACTATATACGGTGAGACATATATACATATATACGGTGAGACGTATATACTATATAGAATATGACATATATACATATATACTACAGACAAAACATTCTTACATAATAGTTTGCAGAAGATAAGTCGCCATCTGCAATTACTTGGTACAGTTCATCTCTCTCTTTCTGGTCCATCGCGTCAAAATATGCGCGTCCAATCTTTTTTGCGGTATCACAAAATAACTGTAATATAAATGTATTCAAGTCATTTTAGATACGGTTAAATGCAGGGGCGGGCGGGGACTTTTGGTCTGGGGGCGAGGGTCGATCAATTTTTTTTCCAAAAATCCACAGGGGGACCACGTTCAAACGTCCTACGCAGTGCCGGGCGGGGACTTTAGGTCTGGGGGCGGGGGTCGCAAAAAATATTTTTTGCGAAATTTTTTTTTCAAAAATCCACAGGGGGACCACGTTCAACTTTTTTTCAAAAAATTTTTTTGGAGGGGAAGGATACCTTCACCCCCCCCCCAGCGCCCGACCCTGGTCCTAAAGACGTCAGACTTCAGATCAAGATCTTTATTATATCGGTTTACGTTTATATTATAGTATTGTTGATTGTTGAAGGAAGGTAAATCATATAACCTTATATTAAGGGCTTATTATTCTAGCGTATTTCTGTAGGATCAACCCTTCATTAATCCGTCTACATTAATAACTTAAGAATCCATATTAAACTATAAGTTATCTTTTTATCACCCTATTCTACTTTAAAGCCTAAGCATATCAATATAGTAAATCCAAGTCCACTAATCATAAGTTTAGATTGTTTTTAATTTGTTCACTTTACATTCTTCAAGCGTCTACAATTACAATTCGGAAGATATAGATTAGATTAGCCGATGATTTTAATGCCGTAGATTGTAACGTACAGTGCTGAAGTGCAGGGATGTTCAAGGTTCAGATGAAGCCCAACGGAGCTATCTCTGAGTCGACCCGATACCCCCCCCCCTTCCCCCCCCCCTTCCCTATTTACCTTCCCTTGTTAGATTTAATAAATTGCAATATATTTATTATTTGAATATATTTCAAATTGGTGCAGTTAGAATGTATGTTATAGAAAATATATTAGTTAGAAGGAACCTTCTGGTCAGGACATTTAGATTCGCAGTCGAAGTCAACAAAAGAACTCTTTCCAATTTCACTTTTTACACAATCACAAACAGCTTGAAGACATTCGAAACTTAATTCGTCACCAGATTCTTTCTAAAAAACAAAAAAATTTGGGTGAAACCTAAGTACTAAAACACAGACAAAAAAATCTTACAGCTTGTCCTGCTGTACTACATGTCTTATTAGCAACTTCTTGGAACGCCCAATCTCTGGCTTTTTGGTCTTTGAAAAGGTTAAAATTTCTACGTGCACTTTGTGTCATTCTATCACAAAATTCCTGTAATATTAAAGCCTTTTATATACATGTCCACAGACAGGAAAATCAAAATTACACATATACATACACATAAACATACACATACAAATACACATACGCATACACATACTCATACATACACATACACACAAATGTTAAAAAGAAAACGTTTGCAAAAGCGTTTGTCATACTTCATATGTTTTAATATCATCCCTTCTTGCTGATAAAACAGCGACAAGAACCGACAGAAGCATCAGCTTTTTCAACATCTCAATGTAGACTAGATTCAGTAATCAAAAATTTACTATGAAGTATTACATTAACACTAAAAAGGCTTTTTATATAAACGTTTTTTAATTAAAAAAGTTAAAAACAAATAAAAGATTATGTTTTACAACATTGTTTGCGAAATTTTTAAACTTAAAAATGCTAATTTTTTAATACTTTTACGGTGAATGAAGTTTCTAATGCTATAAAATGTGTTTAGAACTTATGGTTGCTTAATTAACACTAATAAACTTTAAATTGTATAAAATTTTAATTTGGTCTTACAGTACGCATCGCTCCAACATTAAAATAAAGCTGCCTCAACTATTGTCGTCGCGCCGAGACTCAAAAAAGCTAATTTGTGCAGTTGAAAAATATTTTTCTTCGTGAATCGGTTGAATATTGTTCAGAATAGGGGTATTTTAATGTTGCTTGATGCCGTATTATTGTCTGGTATAACTATTTTTCTGTTCTCTACCTGTATTTCTACACCTACAAAACTTTTATAACGGAAATTCCAAATTTCTTTTAGAAGTTTCAACTTGAATGTGATGATGGATAATATTCTCGAATACTTTTTGGGATCATGGCTGAAAGAGCAAACAATAATAAAAAAAACTATAAAAACAATTGGTAAGTTTTAAACTTTTTGTGTTTTTAGGCAAAAAATGTCTATATCGATATTGAGGATATTGTTCATAAAGGCCTTGGTTTTTTAGGTAAGACAAAAAGATCTGCAACCTTGCCGTTTTTGTTACAGTGTACGGAGTTGAATAAACGCTTAAAGAAGTTTAAATTGTTTTTAGTTGCAAGACATTACCTTTTTGTTTTTGATTAAAACTTTTAAAATAAACCTTAATATAAATATTATAAATGATATTACGTTTTTTAGGTATATAAAAATGGCAATATTCCAAATTTGCAAAACACTCTGTATGCCCAATATACCAAACAACCCGATCCACAAAGGTCTTGTTATATGAAACCATTTGGTTGTCCAAGTGTATGCAAACATATAAATATACAAAAAAAAACAAAATTTTATTAAAATAAATAAAAATTACAGAAATCATTTTTTTGTTTCACAATAATAGAAAAAACGTTCTTTAATATTCTGAGCGTTCAGGGCAGTACGATTCGCAATCAAAATCTACAAAAGTGTGTTGTTTGATCTGAAGTACGAGGCCTTTTGAAATAGAGTTGAAGCATTCATAGCAAGTCTGTTTGTTGGCTGCTTTCTAAACAACAGTTTCTTCATTAGGTTTTAAGAACAGAGGAACTTCCTTATCATTAACTCATAACACACACCTGCATTACAAATTCTTGCGTAAGGAACTCTTGTAGCAACAGGGGGAGCCCTTTGGCACCCCCCCCCCTTGGTCTGGCCTTATATTGGCCGAGACAAAGTGATTTTTTAAAGAGGCTAGATTCATAAACGTCGGCTCTAGGGCTAGGAAAAGGACCTGGTTTTTAAAAAAACCAACTAAAATACGTTGTATATGACAATGTGAATAAAAGCAAGACTTACACATTTCTGGGCAGTAATGCCCAACTCTAGGGCTCCTCTTCGAAATCTTTCATCAAGCTCGTCAGATGCAATAGGGCGTAGGTAGGCCACACGAGTTTCATCTTTTCTCTTCAGGCATATTCTCTAAATTACATACTACAGTCGAAATCCTGTATAACGAATCGCTTGGGGTCTTAAAATTTGTTCGTTATAAAGGAGTTCCGTTATACAGGAGTTTTTAATGCACTGTGTGGTGTAGACGGGGATTCAAAAATTGTTCGTTATACGGGGTTTTTGTTATACAGGAGTTTGTTATACAAGAGTTTCACTGTATTATGAAGACAAATTGATCTAGCCGTAGCTCATATATATAACTTTTCAAAAAAAAGTACCCTCCACGTATATTCGCTTCCGTCTACTGTAGCAAAAACAGAGATGAATAACAGCAACAGCAATATGGCGTGCATAGTTATTTTTAAAAACAATGGATTTGAAAAAAAGACATTAAAAACACATTTTGTGACTGATTGAATAATTATTTATGTATACAGAACATAGAAAATACGTTTAATTTTATTTCATCGAGAAATAGTTTTTTTTTTACATTAGAGGTAGGGTAAGTTTCTTTAACACGTAGGTCAATATTTATTGAAAAAACAATGTTTATTAATTTGACTTCAAAGCTAGCTGTTTCAAAAACTCTTAAAATTCATTTTCCTCATTACACTTGGATTCACAGTCATAATCAACATACGAAGCTTTACCAATGTTGGCTTTATAAAAATTTGCAACAGCAGTATAGCATTCATAGCAAGCTTTTCGACCAATCTGTTTCTGAAAGTTGAATAGTTATTAATTATTATATTGAATTGTAAAATAAATTCGTATAAAATCAATAATTTTCAGTTACTAAAAATTATTTATTTTAATTTTAAAAAATTAATTTAAATTTTTTTCTGTCTTACACAAGATGCAGCAATTGATTTTGAAACGTTAGATCCTCGTCTGCAGATATCGTCTTGAAGATCTTGCGGATCTCCCGATTCCGTTTCGTTACGTATCACGGATTTTGTTTGAACACATAGTTTCTGCAATGGTTAGGACGAGTTAGGCTTATGAGGATGGGGTTTGAGTTTAGGATTACTTTTGAAATTTTTCTTTAAGTTTCAGTCTATGCTTATATCTAGGCTTATAATTAGGCTTAGATGTAGGCATAGGCTTGCACTTACGCTTACTAGGGAATTGCACCAAATATCCCCCGGCTTTTCGGACGAGACCTATATAGGATGAAAGAGCGTAAAAAGTTACCGAGAAAACCGTTTATAAGAAGATTCAAATAGAAAAACTTATGTAAATCCTGATGTGAAAAACAAAATTTTAAAATTTAAATTTGGGATTTGTTAAACAATTAGGACTTTAACTTTAACTGAGTACATTCAAAATACGATGGGCAGAGGACTGGGACTAACACGAGGCTGTAAGTGCTTGGAATGACCAATTTACCAACTTCAGACATCTCAACACGTATGCTGGCCTGTTCAAATTTCCAGCGTGCTACGGTGACGATGGACCGCAGTCTATTTGTTACCCTTTTGCTATTGTTTGTTTCATTACTCTCAGTACAACTTTGAGTGAGTACTGTGGTATGGTACGGGGAGGGTAAGGAGGGGTAAAGAATTGAAAAAGGAGGAGAAACAAAAATTTTTTCAAAACCTACCCTACCCCCTTCCCTTCCCTCCCTCCCCCCCCCCTCACTTTTTTCTCCCTCCCTCCCTTTCCCTTTGCTCCGCTCCCTTTTACCAAGCTTTTACAAATTCAAATTAACCATTGTAATTATACTGTATAATCCAAAATTGTAAGGTAAAAATTTATTATGAAACTGTAAAATTTCTTATATGTTCAAAAATTATGCCGAAATCTTAGCGTTTCAGTTTACTCAGGACATTTCGATTCGCAGTCATAGTCTACATATGGACCTGTACCCATATTAGCTTTAAAGGCATCAATTATTGTAGTTATACATTCACGACAGAGTGGATCGTATGATGTGTACTAAAAATAAGCAGGGAAGAACCACTGTATAACGAATCTGGGAAGATTTGGAGAGGGGTTAGTTATGAAAAAGTGTTTGGTATATAGGAATAAGCTATAATAAAAGGAGAAAGGATTAAAACAAGGTTCGCGAGAAAATCGAACATTGAACGGATAGGTGCGGCACATGGAAAAAAAAGTATTTTTAAATCTTTTTGTTTTTTGACCAATGATTGTACTCATTAAGTAGAATCAAAAAATATTTTCAAAAAAATTTTTTTTGGGTTACTGTAGGAGTACAGTAGATTTTACTTAAATTTTGTAACTTGTTTGTCTGTTAACCGATTTGGATGAAACTTTTTTTGTTTGATAGAAGACTTAATACAAAGAACTTTTGCTCTTGACTACTTTTTTCCATTATGCCCGTAAGGCATTTAAAAATTTAAAAAACTTAAAAAATAGTAAAAAATATTACACTATGCTATTTTTCTCAAAATAAAAGCACTTTGGAAAGACGTTTTCTCTACGAATTATTAAAACAGAAGTAAGTATCGTTAAAATGAGTGTAGTCACTTTTCCTGAAATTGGGGCAAGCGTGAGTTATGAAGCCGTGAACCTAAGGCAGTTACTCATTTTGACTTATCATAATATTATAACTTGGCTCAAAATGCTTCTAAACGGTTAAAAATTTTTTTACTTTCTTATTTTGACTTTATTTATTGATTTTAATTAATTTTTATTAATAAAAAATTTTTTTTTTGTTTTTGTGTTTTTTAGACCCAGTGGGGACGCTAAATTTTAAAGATTTTTTTAAAATTCGAAATTTGCGCCAAAAAGATTTTAGACTATGCTGAGTTCGAAAATATGGTTTTTTCTTTTGATTACTGTATACTACCCCAATTTCAGGAAAAGTTACTACACCATTTTAACGATACTTACTTCTGTTTTAATAATAAGTTAATTGAGCCCGGCCTACTTTACAAATATATACAGTGGAACACCTATATAACGAATCGCTCGGGGACTCAAAATTTGTTCGTTATAAAGGAGTTTCGTTATACAGGAATTTTAAATGCACTGTGTAGTGGTAGACGGGGCTTCAAAAGTTCTTCGTTGTACGGGAGTTTCGTTATAGAGGAGTTTGTTATACAGGAGTTCTACTGTAGTTTACAAGGAAAGTCCCCAACCCATCCTGATCTGATTGACTTTCGGTCGGCCTTCATCTGGACCTTGAAGATGCTTGCAAATCAGCAAAGTACGTTACAAGCTACAGCATCAATTCTTCATCTAATACAAACTCTTGTATAACGAACTCCTCTATAACGAAAATTCTGTATAACGAAGAACTTTTGAAGCCCCGTCTACCACTTCACAATGCATTTAAAATTCCTGTATAACGCAACTCCTTTATAACAAACAATTTTCAAGTCCCCGAGCGATTGTTATACAGGGGTTCCACTGTATAATTTATATCTCACGAATTGTAATTGTAGGCGCTTAGAGAATGTAAAGTAAATAAATAAATTGGTGGTACAAAGAATTCATATAAAAAATTTTGAGCTAATTCTGAGCGTTTCAGACCGGGTAGCTTTTTTTTAAATGTTTTTTGCGACATACGTCGACGTTTCAAAGACGTTTTGTAATTTAAAAAAACGGTCTTAACTTACACAAGGTGCAAAATCATGCACTAGGTTTGCCACACTACCTCTTATAAAGTCGTCTCGCTCCTCTCCAGAATAACGTTTAACGATATCTTCAATGATTTTTTTGTGATGTTTGCAAAGTTCCTGGAATGATTACGATGTCGCACATATGTCATATTACGTGGGCTTTAAATATTAAAGTATCTTTTGGTTGTTATTTCGATTAATAAATTTGTTGTTGAAGAAAGTTATTCTTTGTTAAAGTTTACAAACGAAATCGACCATTCTTTTCAGGACAACCTAATATAAATGTACACAAGTCATCTTAGATACGTTTACATGTCTATAACTTAAATTATACTTTAACTATGCACATATACATAATGAAAGCTTTTTGCATACCCTAAATGTGAAATGTTCCGTTTTAGCTAAAACAGCGACAAGAAATAATAAACACAGCAGCTTTTTCAACATTTTCAGACTACACTCAGTAAAAAAATCTCAATGATGTAGTAAATTAGCAATAAAGTCTTTTTATATATACGTCATTTCCAATCAAAAAAATTAAAAAGCGAAGATGTTAACAATTTACAATAATTGTATGTGCCTGTGAAAGTTTTGAGCTTGTATAATATTAATTTTTAAAAATTTTTGCGACACATGAGGTTCTCAACGCCATAAAATTTGTTTCTAACTAATGGTTGTTTAACTAACACAAATAAAAGTTTCACTTATGACGATTTTAACAATATTTTTTTAGTAGGGTAGGGTACCGTAGGGTAGGATAGGGAAGGATAGTTTGTGCGTTGGTAGCGCAGTGGCTGTGGGGCCGCTCGCTATTCGGAAGGACCTCGACCCCGCAACCGCCGGACCCAGGCGCCTTGAGGAATGGGTAGTTCTGAGTGCACGGGGACTAGGCACATCTACACTTGGCCTACACGAGTATATGATTGAACGCCAGAATTCTTATGGAGCACCTCACCCACGACTCAGTGATGCGAGGAACAGTGAAATACCTAGGGAGATGCCCAATCATGGGAAACGGCAGACTCAAGGATAGCTCCGTTGGTCTTCATCTGAACCTCGAACATCTTTGCACATCAGCACAGTACGTTACAATTTACGGCATCAAAATACTACTCTAATCTATATCTCCAGAATTGTAATTGTAGACGCTTGAAGAATGTAAAGTAAACTAAACTAAAACTAAACTAAACTAGGGTAGGGTACCGTAGGGTAGGATAGGGAAGGATAGATATCATTCTCGGCGCCGCCGTGTACTGCCTTATTGTGTCTTTTAGAAATTTTTGTAAGGCTATTAATTGAGGTTTTTGAATTACTGGGAAAGTTTTTATTGTTTTTATTAATGCACTACATTGTTTTCTTCACATTTCACAGTTTTAACAATTTTAAAATGAAGTTATTATTGATTTTGTGTTTTGTACTTATTGTCGTTTATTGTAAGGATGATGATACTACTTACCAGGTACTTATAAAATTATAATTTGTTAAACCATAAATTTAAAATTTTTATTTTACGGTTTAACAGTTGAGTTTTAAAAAAGTAAAACAAAATTTTTATATCAAGGTTGTTTGTAGGATGTATGCCAGTTGTCACAATATGTTTTACGACGACTGTTTAATAATGAAGATCAAGAAAAAAGAGATAAAACTATAACACACATGATTGATAACTGGACGAAGGAGAAGTGTGTAAGTATTTATAATGTTAAAGAAGGATTTAATAGTAAATCCTACTGGTTCGGTGTAGCGGTCCTAGCGACCAGAGTCCTTTAACAGGAGCTCGTTTACTATATTGTAACAACCAACATCTTTCGTTTTCATGTTTATTTGAGTTTTTAGGAAGACTGAGGGGACAGCGACTGACCCTCTTTCCATAAACAACGAACTGAATTGATATTAGGCTGCGCTCTTGCCCTTTTATACCATCGCGGGGTTTGATTAATGTTTATCTCCCGCCGAGCCCAAACGCAGCCGTAACAATAAGCTTAAAATTTTTCTTAGGCTTAAGTTTTGGCTTAGGCTTAGACTGAGACCTAGCTTTAGACTCACTTAGACTTAGACTTAGAATTGGCCTTAGGCTTAGGCTTAGGTTTAGTCTTAGGTTTAGGCTTAGGTTTAGTCTTAGGTTTAGGCTTAGGCTTAGGCTTAGGCTTAGGCTGTGGCTTAGGCTTAGGCTTAAGCTTAGGCTTACAATTAGACTTAAACTCAGTCTTAGGTTTAGGCTTTAAGTTTTACCTAAGCATTGGCTTCGACTTATGCCTAACCTCAGCTTCAAAGCAAAAAATTTTAGGCAAATGTCATAAATTTCACAATATGCAGAAGTTGCATGTCGTTGATGATTGACAGTTACCACACGAATCTCCATAAAAAAGACTTGATAGCATTTAATTGTGAAGAGAAGTGTCCTGATGTGAAACCACGCTAATTTTTTACGGTGTAATAAAAGTCAATAAACATTGTGCGTTTTGTGGCCCTGTATAATAAAGAGATTCATTTCACTGGTAGACAAAGTTTGATTTACATAGATATAGTATTTAGAACAGCATAGGGTAGAATAGGGCAAAGTTGAATAGGGTAGGGTAGGGTAGTTCATAAATATCACTCTCGTTTCATTGAACGTACATTGTTTGAGTATTGGTTAAATACGTTTTCACCAATGTAAGAAACGAATGTATTTACAATTAAAATTTTTGTCTAGCCACTTTTTTCTTTTTAATTATTAAAATTGTCTTAGTTGTTTAAAAATGAATTCAAAATTGGTATTAACGTTGTGTGTAGTCATTACTGTAGCTTATGGTTCAAAGCTGTTTATGAATTTAAAAATCTAGTCAAAGACAAGTTTTTATTGTCTCAAAAGAAACGGGACTACTATCTATTAGACACAATTAAATCTTTGGAATTTGGCTTACAAATATGTGTAAGATTTTCATATATAAATTTTTTTTATTTAAAAAATTTGTTTGTATGGTATAATAAGACGTGGAAAATTGGATTCAGTGATAGCTTTTACAGGTCTAATGTTATAAAAAACATATTTTTTTAGCAAGAACATTACGACGAAGAGTGCATATTGTGTACACGCTGTGTTATTTATGCAGTTTGCCAAGAAGTTGGGAAACGCTCTTACATTCCAATTCCATGTGATCAGGAATGCATTTAACATGGTTAGATATTACATGTATAAAAAATAAACTTTCATATTTATACGAACATTTTTTTGTAGTATGGCTTCAAAACTTTCACATTCACAAACAATTAGTGTAAGCGTTAACATTTTATCTGTTTTTTGATGCAGACACCCTCTTATAAAAAAAATTAATGCGAATGTGCTACATTATTGTGATTTTTTGTTTACTGAGTTCAGTCTACATTGAAATGTTGAAAAAGCTGCTGCTGTTTACATTGATTCTCGTCGCTGTTTTAGCTGCAAAAGATCAAAAGAAAACGTGGAGGGTATGACAAAAGTTTTTAAAATATATGTATATGTATATGTATTGTATATGTATTGTATATGTATATGTGTATGTATATGTATTGTATATGTATATGTATATGCATATGTATATGTATATGTATTGTATATGTATTCAGCAACATTGTGTATATGCCAAAGAAGTAATCCGTAACATCTGAAAGCAGTCAGAGATATACAACGACTTTGATCGCAACGCTCACTTTCAAAACCGTGCCAACGAGTTGGAAAAGATGATAGCCAATGGAAACTGTGTAAGTGTGCTGTACCATGCAAATACTATCTTGCTATTCAAATATACTATATTGTATGATAGATAATACAGTTACTACACGATATATAACCTTGTTATAACATTTTTAGGAAAACGCTAAAGATGATGCAGCTTGTAGATGTGCCAACTCTCTCTTGCATGGATTTAAAAAACAAATCAATAAATCACGCCCAGCCAAGGTGTACTGTAACAAAGATTGTCCTGAAAGCTTGTAGCCTTTAGTATTATATTATTTTAATTTTTTAAATAAATTAATTTTTTGTTTTAAAATTTTTATTCAGTTAATTTAATACAATTTATCAGGTGATGACATAAAGAACTCGCCATTTTTTACAGGAAATTTGATGAAAAGTATGGCGGGTTCTTTAAGTCGGCATTTAATAGTAAACAAATTGATGTTATCATTTACATTTTTACGTTAGTGAAAAAGTTTTTCAATAAAATTTACAATTATTTTAAATTAGTTTGTCTATCGCTTGCACGCTTTGTCACATCCCAACAGTTTGTACTCTGTACTGTCAACCAAGTTGTAGACACCATTAGCCAAAGCTGACCAACATTCGGAATACTTTTTACTGCGCTGAAAAAACATTATTTAATACCCTACCATATCATACCCTACCCTACCCTACCCTACCCTACCCTACCCTACCCTACCCTACCCTACCCTACACTACCCTACCACTACCCTACCCTACCCTACTCTACCCTACTCTACCCTACCCTACCCTACTTTTCCCTCGAGGATAGCTCCGTTGGTCTTCAGCTGAACCTTGAACATCTTTGCACATCAGCACCGTACGTTACTGTCTACGGCATCAAACTATTAGCCTAATCTATATCTCCCAAATTGTAATTGTGGACGCTTGAAAAATGTAAAGTAAATAAACAAATAAAAGTAAATTGTAAACACCACAGCTACAGTACACCTGTTCTTCCAAATTAATAAATTTAAAAAAATTTTAAAAAAATGAAATTCCCAGATAAATAAAATTTAATTTTAATGTTTTGCTTACACAAAGGCTCTTTAAAACAAACCCCTCGTTTCCTCTATACTCACAATCTGAAAATGAATTTTCAATTGCTACTAGCCCTATGTATTCTTCTTGTTACTATGGATGAAAGCTCTGCTCTATATCCTACTGACCTGCTAAGTATTTCTCCGGCGTTTTAGATAATATTGCTTTTTAATGTTATCAGCTTTGGCAAAAGTATGAGATGCCGACATAAAGAACCCGCCATTATTTACAGGAAATTGCAAGAAAAGTATGGCGAGTTCTTTATGGCGGCAGCAATAAAAAGGTTAAACTAGACATGAATGAGGTGCCACCCCCCCCCCACCTAAAAAAAATTTTTTTTGAAAAAATGCTGCACGTGGTCCCCCTGGAGTTTTAAAAAAAACTGGAGGAAGGAGGGGGGGAGGTGCTTACCACTTTACGGCTCGGTGGACCCCCATAAACTAGACCTGAAAAGAGCTGAACTAGGCCCAGCTTGTTAAAACAAATTGTAAACAAGGCAGCCCTGATTGTGCGGGCTCAAAGTTTATTGAAGAAGCCTGAATGAAGGTCTAGTTTAGGTCCCGCAACCAAAAATTTGACTTGCAAAATCAATAAGCAAGCCTAAGAAAATTCGAAAGGGAGTAGGCCAAACCGAAAAATTAGCCCCGATAGAGGTCTAGGTAAACTTATTTTCTTGATTTTCCGACCCCCCCCTTCTTGTTCTCTCTATCCTCGTCCCTTTCTCCCCCCCCCCCTTCTCCTCCTCCTCACACACCCACACCTTTCATAATGCCCAAACTTTAAACAAAAGGTATGCCTTAATTGAAACATTGTAACCGTTGCAGAGTTTTTGCAAACTTTACAAAAACGTCGTTAAACAGATTATGGGACAACCGTTCTCTCAAGAGGCGAAAGACGCTGTATTAAAAGAGTACGTTGAAGCATTTAAAAAGTATGTCTAAGATTGTGTAACTTAAAATCGTTTTTAATTTTTTTTTGATTTTTACATTGTATATACTTCATTAGCTAATAAAGAAAGTATACGCCTGACCCGCTCTGATAGACTTCAATCTCTTTATATAGCAAGATCACGTAAATATAAGACTTTCAGCAAAATACTTAATCGCGCTTTCCAATCAATCTTGAGAAAATCGCAAATCAAAAAACTGTGTTTTAAATTTTGCGCCAAATTGGCATTTTGTTTCAAGCTTATAACTTCGCCATTTTTTTACTTTTAAACATTTTTCTTTGAGATTCTAATAGAATAACTTTAAATGAACCTACGTTTTTGAATTTTTAAGCGTATCTTGTCTGGAAAGCCAAAAGACGTGCTTGAAACACAATGCCAAATTTGCCAAATTGGCGGAAGACTCAAATAATTCAAACTTAAAACTCAAAAGCGCGAGCTAAAATTTTTTATGGTTACTATTAATAGTACAAGGAATTCATATAAAAATTTTTAGCTGATTCTGGGCGGGGCAGGTAGGGTACTTCTCTTGTAACTAAGAGCTCAATTCATCATAACGAACAGTGGTACCATTAGTACCATTTTTTATTTTTTGATTTTTCTTGCAGTTTTAAGCGCTTTTATTTAGGTTTTTTTGGTACGAATGATACTAACGAAAAAATTACCGTACTAATGATACTATCGATACTATTCGTACTATTAGGTGCTGACATAAAGAACCAGCCGTACTTTGCCTGTAATTTTCACCTTAAAAAATGGCGGGTTCTTTATGTCGGCACCTAATACTAATCCCCGAGCGATTCGTTATACAGAAGTTATAAACGCACTGATAATAGCCAGAGATTTTTAGAAAAAATATGCCATACCAGGCTGCGCTGAATGTTATACTGCAATTGGAGACGCCTTTCAAGCTAATATCGGGAAAAGTTCTTATGTCGACTATGATTGCGAATCGAAATGTTCTATTAAATAAACTGAGACTTTTTAAGGATTTCTTTTTAATAGTTTATTTTGCGACAAATAAACTATGTTGTTCAAATATAAATGAGCCAAAATTTTCAAAGTTGGGCGTTTTGAACGGCTTAAGCATATTCGAATAAGCTAATGTCTACCCTACCCTACCCTACCCTACTTTACCCTACCCTACCCTACCCTACCCTATCCTACCCTATTGAACGTGGTCCCTTCTGTGGATTTTTTCGACCCTTTCCTCTCGATCAAAAGTGCCGCCCAGCACTGCTGCCCCAGCTTATACAGGGTGCGCCCAAATTTCTGTTACACAGTAAGTTTTGTAACAGAACTTTGGGCGCACTCTGTGTTACCCTATATAAGAAATCTTCTCACCTCAGAAAGCTTGGTGTAAATATTCCCCAACTCTATGAATGCATTGTTTCTTTCTCCCAGATCTGTCATGGTAGAAAACAGCTCTTCGAAATGATGATCTTCAACATCACAAAACGTAAAGGTATAATTGGAATTACAAAAAGAAATGGCAGAAAACAAACTCAAAGTTAATAGCCATCTCATAGCAAATTTTATTTGTAGTAGGCACAGTTATATTCTTCACAAGCTCAAAACTTTGTATATAACAACGATGATTAAGCAAGAACAACTCATGGTTAATGTTTAAGCTTCATAAGGAGACGGAGCTTAATCATCCATGTGTGTAATATGTGAAGCAACGTCCGGGTTGATCTTTTGATCAGGACAATGTGGAGCACAACGCAGTTTCACATACCACTTTTGATTAATGTTAGCACGGAAGCCATCGATGACAGACGTTACGCAATCGTAACATACAGATTTGTCGTGCTAAAAAAAATTTTGTGAATAATGTGTATGCGCTCTAATATATATATTAGGTTGTTAGGTAAGTCGTGGGCCCCCCTAACCGTGTATCAGAAAAACATTTTTTGCGTTACAACAAGAACGAATTATTAATCAATATAGTTATCATCAACATTAACACAATGTGTCCAACGTTTTTAAGCATTTTTATCCCAGTAGCATAGGATTCAGAATTTCTAGAGCCTAAGAAAATTTTGATGGCTTCCATGAAATCGTCATCTTCAGTGGATTGTCGCTGACACATAAATGCTGTCGAAGATTTGAAAATATGGTAATATGTAGCTATCATGTCGAGTAAATACAAATGATGGTCAAAAACTTTGTATCCAAACCCGTTGTTTTTCTGCGGTCATCGTTGCCAAGTGGGGGCGGACACTGTCATGAACAATAATTGACCTTCTGTTTCTCAACTTTGAAGGTAGATAGTGGCGCATTTGGTCAATATTAATAGAATACGTACTAACAGTTATGGTTTGGCCAAGTTTCAAGGAATTATAGAGAACTAATCTACAGGACCTCCACTTTTCTTCAAGCGTCTCATCTCCAGAAGGAAGCTTTTGGAACCAAATTTTTGCTGTTGGGTAGCTCACAATACTTTGTCCATGTGTCTTATTTATGAATCCGGCCGTAGTTTTAACGTTACGACTTGTTTTGTACTCTTTTACATCACTACCCAAAGTCGTCATTTGCCCTATAATGTTCTGGCCACTAAAACAACCAAACAAAAAATTAAAAGAGGTTTGAAACTTACATATTCTGAAAATATAGGTTTTAAACTATAAAAGGACATCAAAATTTTCAATTTGCGATATATATTAATTTTTTCCTGATTTTTCAAACATTTGTGTTGAAAGGGGGCCCACGACTTACCTAACAACCTAATATATATATGTACATACTCTCTGGGCCAATTACCATGCCCTACCCCGCCTTTTTGCAAATAATATTAGGTGCCGACATAAAGAACCCGCCATTTGTTACAAGAAATTACAAGAAAAGTTTGGCGGGTTCTTTATGACGGCACCTAACACATGTATATATCATACAATACTTTACCTTACATTATGATACTTTTCTCTACCATGTCCTACCCGTGCAATGTTCATATAAAACCTACACAATATGTTCTTGCCTTCTCATCTTGTTCAGCCAACTCTTCAAGGTTTATAGCTCTTTGCTCAATGCCATAAAACTCATATTCATATAAGGTCAATTTGATCATTTCTTTGCAAAATTCCTAAAATTTTACCCTTATTCATACATTTTACTCTAAAGTATCTTCGGGGTAGAGAACGACAGGGCAAGCTAACAAAAAGAGGCACAGCAAGCCAGAATAAACAAGGCAGAGAAATCTGATAAAGGAGGACGTTGTAGTACAGAGGACAGAGCAAGGAATTGCAGAGCGACACAGAGCAGAACAGTGCAGGAAAAGGCAGGTTAAAGCACAGAAAGGCAGGGCAGGGCAGGGCAGGACAAGGCAGGGCAAGGCAGGGCAGGGCAGGGCAAGGCAGGGCAGGGCAGGGCAGGGCAGGGCAGGGCAGGGCAAGGCAGGGCAGGGCAGGGCAGGGCAGGGCAGGGCAGGGCAGGGCAGGGCAGGGCAGAAAAAAATAAACGTACCTCCCATGTTTCGCTGTATGCTGTAGCAAACGGGAAAAACAACAAACATATAAGTAAGATTTTCATTTTTCAGTTGTTCGTAAATTGATATTAGACTAGACAAACTCCGTGCATTAAAACATTTTTTCCCAAAGTCGTAAAAAAGTAATTAATTTTTAAAATTTTGAATAAAAGGCAAACTGTAAAACAATATTAGGGTTAGAGGTCTGGGCTAAGGCTCTGAACTAGGGCTTTGGGCTAGAGCTGCGGGTTAAGTTAAGTCTCAGGTCTAGGGCTTTGTGCTAAGGTTCCGGTCTTTAGGTTAGGGCTCTAGGTTCCGGGCTGTAGGTTCCGGGCTCTGGGCTAGGGCTCTGGGCTAGGGCTCTGGGCTAGGGCTCTGGGCTAGGGCTCTGGGCTAGGGCTCTGGGCTAGGGCTCTGGGCTAGGGCTCTGGGCTAGGGCTCTGGGCTAGGGCTCTGGGCTAGGGCTCTAGGTTCCGGGCTGTAGGTTCCGGGCTCTGGGCTAGGGCTCTGGGCTAGGGCTCTGGGCTAGGGCTCTGGGCTAGGGCTCTGGGCTAGGGCTCTGGGCTAGGGCTCTGGGCTAGGGCTCTGGGCTAGGGCTCTGGGCTAGGGCTCTGGGCTAGGGCTCTGGGCTAGGGCTCTGGGCTAGGGCTCTGGGCTAGGGCTCTGGGCTAGGGCTCTGGGCTAGGGCTCTGGGCTAGGGCTCTGGGCTAGGGCTCTGGGCTAGGGCTCTGGGCTAGGGCTCTGGGCTAGGGCTCTGGGCTAGGGCTCTGGGCTAGGGCTCTGGGCTAGAGCTCTGGGCTAGGGCTCTGAGCTAAGGCTCTGGGCTAGAGCTCTGGGCTACGCCTAGCGCTATGAAAAATGATTACTGCTAGGGCCATAGTCACAGTAAATTTATTGAATAAACATTATCACATAAAAGTTTAAAACTTGGCACTATAATTATTTCGAAAAGTTCGACTATTAGAGTAGTTACTCCTACTACTCTTATTACTCGAAGGTACAATAGTTACAGTAGTTCTGCCAAAAATACTTGGATTTTCCATTTTTTTATGTTTCCCAACTTTGAGCCATTTCAATACGATACGACGGTACGGTGTGATGAACCACAACATTGTAGCATAGTCCAGAGCGCCATGTAACGTCATCAATGACACTGCTACCATGGCTATCGATGTGCCGTTGGTCCATTGCATGTAGAAGGTCAAAAATATTGTAGCAGTGGGGAAAAGGAGCAGAGCATAGCCTACCCATAGTTGCACTCCTACTGCCTGAAATTTAAAAATTTTAATTTTGATGGCAATTAGTACAACTATGCAGATACTATTGCAATTTTGATAATGTGTTACCAGTGGTACTATTGGAACCACTTTGTCTTAAAATAAAATTTTTTTGTTTTTTACTTGTAATGCTATGGCTTGTACCGTACCTTTTTATAAATGGTACTACTAGTACTAGTGGTACCATTAGTACTATTTTGCCTTTATATCATATCAAAAGTTTTGATTTTATTTTAAAATATTCTATTACTTTTTATAAACGGTACTACTGGTACTAATGGTACTACTAGTACAGTTTTTAAAATTTCTTTTCGATTTTTGCTAAACTATTTTAATCAAAAAACAAAATCTTCAAAATTAAAAAAATGGAAGTTGAGTGGAAGATTTGCAATGTATTTTGCACTGAAAATCTTCCACTCAACTTTCATTTTTAAGATATTAGCCATTTTTGGAAAATTTTGATTCACCGACTTTGAACAACATTAACTGAAGCCTCTGAGTGTTCTCTATCGTGACATTCTTCCTCTTTTCCAACTGCATAACCACAAACAAGTTGATGTACAAGCCAGTGCCCAACGTAAAAAAGGCTAGCATGATCAGAAATCCAAGGAGAGAACCATATATTGATACCGGTATGATTGGTACACATACATAATTGATATTACCGATTTGGTCTTTTAACTCTGGCAATTGTTGAAGTAAGTTGTTACTCGGGCCTATGTCGTCTAAAATGCCTTAAATTACAGTGTATTTAATTACTGATTACTGTAATTTATAAGCCCTACCTATAGCCCTAACCCAGAGCCCTAGCCCCGAGCCCCAGCCTAGAGCCCTAGGCCAAAGCCCTAGCCCCGAGCCCTAGCCCAGAGCTCCAGCCCAGAGCCCTAGACTAGAGCCCTAGCCCAGAGCCCAAGCCCAGAGCCCCAGCCCAGAGCCCTAGACCAGAGCCCTAGACCAGAGCCCTAGCCCAGAGCCCCAGCCCAGAGCCCTAGCCCAGAGCCCTAGCCCAGAGCCCTAGCCCAAGTTCAAGCCCAAGCCCAAGCCCAAGCCCAAGCCCAAGTTCAAGCCCAAGCCCAAGCCCAAGCCCAAGTCCAGAGCCCAAGCCCAGAGCCTAAGCCCAGAGCCCAAGCCCAGAGCCCAAGCCCAGAGCCCTAGCCCAGAGCCCTAGCCCAGAGCCCTAGCCCAGAGCCCTAGCCCAGAGCCCTAGCCCAGAGCCCTAGCCCAGAGCCCTAGCCCAGAGCCCTAGCCCAGAGCCCTAGCCCAGAGCCCTAGCCCAGAGCCCTAGCCCAGAGCCCAAGCCCAGAGCCCAGAGCCCAAGCCCAAGCCCAAGCCCAAGTTCAAGCCCAAGCCCAAGCCCAAGCCCAAGTCCAGAGCCCAAGCCCAGAGCCTAAGCCCAGAGCCCAAGCCCAGAAACCAAAAGCCTAAGTTTAGCTCTAGCGTTAGCTCTATCCCTAGCTTAGCACTAGCTATAGCCTTAGGCTTCGGCGTAGTCTTTACAGTTAGTTAAAGTAAAATTGAAAATTAAAACTTGTCTTACCAATCATATCAATCAAGAAGAATGGCGTTAGGCAACATACATAAAAGCTAAAATGAATACATCCAATCACTATATAACAGGTGTAGCCGTGTTCAAAAAAATCGCCAAACCAGCCTGGGAAAGCCTGAAATTCCAAATAATTACAGTAACCGCCTTTTTTTAAAAAAATACAGTAACTGGATTTGTTTATAAAAAGTTACAGTAACCGCTCACAAAAAATTTTGAAAAATAAAAAAACTTTCTTTACAAAGCCAGAAAGACGTTTACGTGGTTCAGATAATTCTGTGCCCCACACCCAAAAAAATTGCTTTTAGAAAGGGCACACAATTATTTGAACAGATTTATAAGTTGTTTTGAGCTTGTTCAGATAATTATGAGCCTTTGTTGTTTAAATAATTCTGTGCCCCCTGACACCAAAAATTTGTCTAGTGAAGGAGCACGGAATTATTTGAACAATCTAATAGAAAAAATGTTCCAAAAAATTAAAAAATCAATATTGTACTACCTGCGAGTATCGATAGAACAAGCTCCAGACAACGCCCATCTCAACATTGATACACACCACCAGTAGACAAAATGCGACGCCTCTGGCAGTACTATTCGACATGCTAATCAATGGTCGCATTACAAAACAACCGGTCGGAAACATGAAAGTAGGTCTCAGTATGAATAGTCCTATGTCGAAGATGAAGCACCATATCACATTGTTGAGTATGTAGAATCGGTAGCGCTTCATTTGATTCGATCGGAAACAGGTTAGATATACCATCAATGGCATTAACATTAACTCTACTACTAGACAAGTACCATATATGTAGCCTTCGTAGGGCTCGAGGATGTTTTCGTACATCATGGTTAAGAAATGATGGTGCAGTACTAAAAAGTTAACATATAATAGTAAAAAGTTAACACATAGTACTAAAGTTGAACATACAATACTAAAAAGTTAACACAACACATAGTACTAAAATTGAACATACAGTATTAAAAAGTTAACATATAGTACTAAAAATTGAACATATAATAGTAAAAAGTCAGACATAGAAGTTAACATATAGTAGTAGCAAGCAAACATATAGCACTAACAACTAGAAATATAGTACTATCAACTAAACATATAGTACTGATAAGTAAAAATATAGTACTATCAATTGAACATATAGTAGTAAAAAGTTAAAAAAATAGTACTATAAATAAAACACATAATATTTAAATTTAAACATATATTACAAGGGAGACATTATTCCTTCCGATCATAAAGCAGTGAATCCAGAGCCCTATTGGCCCCCTCGCCACCCCCCCCCCTACAAGGTGATTCACTCCGTCTCAATACTCTCGCTACGCTGATGTCGCGACAAGTACCAACAACTGAAAACGTAGTACTAAAAACTAAACATCAGAAAGTTCACGTAGACAAACTCTAAAATTGAAAAACTATTTTGTTCGTTTACAACGAAAAACTAACACAACATACTTCAAGATACAGCATTTCAGCTTCAAATCCACCTGGTCTAACGCAATTTTCACCAGTCGTAGAATACTTATTAAAAATGTCGCTAATTCATTCATACGATTACGGTGATTTCTGGAATTTGAGCAAAGTAGACCCAACAACATTCATATTTCGTTACAATTGCTTTCGCCCGGCTGTTTTGTAATTCAAATGTTTCGTTGCGGGACCTAAGCTGGTGCAGCCTACAGCCCTCGAACCCACATGTGCTGGTCCGGTCTCCTTCAAATTTACTCTAACTTGGCTTAGGGCTTGGTTTAGTAGAGGGTGTTTTAGGCCTTCCGTTAGGACAAGCATTTTTTGTTCTGAGGGCGAGGTTGAGGAATCGCCACAGGTACCTACCTACCAGTATCGACTTTTTCCAATTTTTTTTTAAAATCCACAGAGGGGACTCGTTCAACTTTTTCAAATTTTTTTTTTGGGGGGGAGGGTGAGACAGAGGGTACAATCTGTAGCTGAAAAGATGGTTTGATTTGGAAAAGAATTGGCCATAGATTACGATTTTTGTTTCCGCTTCCATCAATATTTATATTATCATTGGCAAGAAACCGCTCATGACAATGACAAGTTTAAATTTAGATATGATTCAAGTCCGGCTAAACAAACTTTTTTAAATATTCATTTTGATTTTGTCATCACAGCCTTATGCTACATAACCAAGGCCTGGCGGGGACTTTTTGGTCTGAGGGCGGGGGTCAAAAAAATTTTTTTCAAAAATTCACAGGGGAGACCACGTTCAACTTTTTTTTCTAAAAAAATTTTTTTCTGGGGGGGAGAGTTCCCCCCCTTCACCTCCCCCTCTCCTACCTAGCGCCCAGCATAACTATTACTTTTCTTTCCACATAACTAATATTTTTTAGTTGACGCATAACTTTTACTTATCACACACCAAATTTACACTGTAATATTAACCTTGATTGTTCTGTAATCTCATTGTGATATATTGACTTCCTTTCCCGCCAACTGCTCTTTTTACAATGTGAACCCCAAAAAGTAAGTTGAGCAAGCAAAACGCGCTAGTCCGAGTGAACCCATCGCACATTGTTATGATCCGTGTCCAATTACATCAACGTATCTTACTGCTTCATCAACACACAACATAAAGAATATTCCAACTGTTTTCCGCTTTAAATACCATTTTGTTACAAGTTAAAACGGCTTTTTGTCAGTTTGTCAAGAAATGTGATTTTAGGGTTCTTTGGTTTAGTTTTGAAGAGGTTAAGGTGGGAGTTACTGTACAGGGAGCAATAGAAGTAAGTAGTGTTACTATAGGAATTGTAATGTAAAAACAAGGATTACAGTGATTATTATTATAATTATTATTACTATAGTAGTTATAGTAGCAAAAAACAAAGCTTTATAAAAATTTCATTTTTAAGAGTACCAGTTGTACCATTAGTACTAGTTTTAATTTTTTGAGTTTATAAGAATACTAGTAGTACTAATTCTTTAATTTTGTGAAAGAATTTCCATTTTTTTCAAATATTATGGCACTTTTTAAAAAATGGAAGTAGAGTGGAAGATTTGTAATGTAATTTGCACTAAAAATGTTTTACGAACCTTCCACTTCTAAAAATGCTTAAAAACGTGTTTTCAGACCATTTTAAGACATTTAAAAAATGGAATTTGCGTGGAAGATTTTTAGTGCAAATTACAGTACAAATCTTCCACAAAACTCCCGCTTGGAATAATTGTCTTTTAGTAGGTATTGTAATCAAAAATATTCACGTTTTAAGAATTTAAGAAAGATATTGCCATTGCGACTTATGAAAAACATTTTTTTGAAAATTTTTGATTTGTAAAGAAAGTTTTTGCAACTTCTTCAATACAACAAGTTACATTTTAATCAAATCTCAACAGCAAAAACTTAATTGGCTTACCACTTTTCTCTCGATTAATTTATTTTTTTTCGAAACTTTTTTTGCAACTCACAATTCGTCACAGCTCATCAGTCATTTCGATATTATTTTAGGAAAGGGAAGGGCGATATTACTGTAGAATGGCTGTAAACAATATTATCATTTACGATATTTGTCCATGACTGAAAAGGCGGGAAAAATTGACAGAAAGAGCGGAAAGTTTTAATATTTTATTAATTTTGGTTATTTTTGGTTTTTTTCATAAAATATTGAAAACTCGGGCTACTGTAACATTTAAAAATTTTTAAATTATTTTTAGAACAGAAGAAATTTGTAAAACTAAATTTTATAAAAGTAAAAACACTATTTTTGATGAGTTTCAATTATCCCCAACCTTAAAATTACAGTACTTACACTACCGTTACATAATGATTAGACCCACCACGAAAACGCTTGCTCGCCAAACACGCGTTGGCGTTCCGTTGTATTAATAATGTTTCGTCCGCGTGGCCCTTTTGTGTATAATTCGACGTATTACAAATGAAATAATAACGACGATTGATGTTAAAATCGTCTTTATTATGATTTCCTATACCTTTTGATTCTTATTACTTTACTTTTGTCAAAAAATCGGTCTCAATGGCAATATTGTACTATACTAGTCATTTGTAGATTATTTCACTTGCTAACTATGAATTCTTTACTTTTACGACAAACTCCTGGGCTTTATAAGTAAGTTTACTGTTTTTTCTTAGTGTTCTTTTGGTGTTTAGGTATGAAATTTGGAGATTTAATCGTAAATTTTGGCTATATTGTTTTAGATGGTTATAGATTGAAGAAAGTTCAGTTTTATTAAAATTAAGTTTCAGAAATGTCGCAAAACTTCACACGGGCAAAAACATGTTAAAAGGAGCACAAAGTCAACTGAAAGAGTGTGATTCTATCCAAGCATCGTATCTTCTGAACGATCGTTGTATATTAGTAGATGAGCAAGATAATGTGATTGGTCACGCATCAAAGGGCGACTGTCATCACGCTGATTCAGCCGGGTTACACAGGGCATTTAGTGTGTTTTTGTTTACACCTGATAAGAAGTTGATTTTGCAAAAGCGATCAGCATCAAAGGTCACTTTTCCTTCAGTTTGGACCAATAGCTGTTGTAGTCATCCTTTATATGTGGAAGATGAGATGGATCATTCCAATAATGCTGTTGGTGTGCGACGAGCTGCTCAAAGAAAGTTGGAACACGAATTGGGAATTCAGGAGTTGGATATGGAGAGGATGAATGTTATGGGCAGGTAAGGAATATTATACTTGAATCAAAATTTATGAGCTTTTTATTTTAGTTGTTTTAGGGCTTTAAACTAAAAAAACTGGTTTTAGATTCTTGTACAAAGCTTCATCAGATTCAGAATGGCTTGAACATGAACTGGACTACGCATTGGTTGTCACAAATTTCAATCCCGCTGATATTCATCCAAATCCTGAAGAAGTGGCTGATGTGATGTCTGTAGATCCTCATAAGTTACGGGACATGATTCAAAGTATGTTTTTTGTATTTTTATATTGTTTAACTGTTTAGGAAGAGTTATTTGACTCACTTTTGCTGTTTTACATGCATTTTTCGTCAAGTTATAAGCTGTTTTGGCATGGGTAAAATCAGAATTTGATGGTTATTTTACTGCTTCTGACATAAATCAGAAGTTTTTTTATTATAGTTTTAGAAATGATAATTAAAATGTAGTATAGAGTATTCTACGCCTAATCATATCAATCTTCACTTTCAGCAAAGCGATTTTCTCCTTGGTTCGCCCTGTTCAATCAGTTCAACTGGCTCAGTTCATGGTGGAATAATCTCGACGATCTCTCGAAACTAAGCGACATGAAAACGATTCATCGCCTTAATTGAAACATATTTTGACACTTTGCATTTGTATCATTTACTTTTCCTAAGTTATCGTATTTTCATACCGGTCGATGCCTATTTGATAAGTATAATGGAGTTATTTGGCTTCAAAAGAAGGCGAAATCGAATAAATTTGATTGATAATTGAAAAATTATGTTTTTGTTTGTAATGGAAATCCAATAGCTGTTTATATGGGGCAAAGATATTGAGGTTGACATGGTGGGAGTTGTGTGGAAGATTTGTAATGTAAATTGCACTGAAAATCTTCCACCGAACTTCCACTTATAAAACGTGTTTTTAGGCCATTTTAAGACATTTTGAAAATGGAAGTTAAGTGGAAGATTTTCAGTGCAAAGTACATTACAAATCTTCCACCAAAATTCCATTCACAAAACAACTTTTAAAAATATTTTTGTTAAGTTCGAAGTAAAATAGAGCATTTTAAGGCCAATGCATTCATTTCTAAGCCGGCTAAATGGCCTTTTTGCATTTATGTGCAGTGTTTTGGCAGCAGCGACGTTCCTGGTATTTATTCAGACTTTGTTTGTAAATTACACAGTACCAACGAACATTGAGATTGAAAACATAAGATTGTAAGTTGATGTGACATAGATAGTATCATTTTCTTTATTTTTAGACTTATTTTTCTTGTGTTATTACCTAAAATTGAGTTTTTTTTTATCTAAAACGCTGAAAGTGTCAATTTTGTCACCTAAAATAATGAAAGTTTTGTCGAAAATACAATTTTTATTACCTAAACCCATTTTTTCAGAAAGCCAGTCCACGACTATGCTTCAGAGTCCGGTCGAAGTGATTTGGCGTCAGCCGTTTTCAGTTTGTCTGCTGATCTCACACCAGTCTTCAACTGGAATGTAAAACAAGTTTACTGTTGGCTACAGGCTGAATATGAGGTAGATGGCAGGGTAAGTATATTTTTTGAGTTTTTCTTTGAAATTTTAGGTGTTACGATGAAAATTGGCCAGTTTGGGAGTTGGAAAGAAAGTTTATGCCAGTTTTTGTTCTGTAAAGGAAGTTCTTGCTATTTTATGTTTTGGAAAGAAAGTTCTTGCCCGTTTTTGTCCTGTAAAGGAAGTTCTTGCTATTATTAGCTTTGTAAAGAAAGTTCTTGCTATTTTTCGGCTTTTAAAGAAAGTTCTGGTCATTTTTAGTTTTGTAAAGAAAGTTCTTGCCTTTTTACGCCATGTAAAGAAAGTTCTTTCTATTTTCATATAACTTTTGGAAATTTCGCTTCAAAATTCTCTCATTTTCAGCCAGGCAACCAGGTCGTCCTCTGGGACAAGTACTTTTTCCGCCACCACAACAACCTCATCAATGAAGAACGCATCAAGCCGGCCTACTACTTCCAGGACGACGGTGTGAATCTACGCAATCGGAACGTCACATTCAGCCTCCACTGGACCGTCGTCCCAAATGCCGGCTGGATGCGGAATGTGCAAGGTCAAGGCGCCAAGTCCATCATCTTCCCCGAAGCCTACAAGTGGTAGAACCTTAATACGTGTCCATTCTCTAACTTATTCGTTAACTATTGTAATGTAGACGCTTGTTATCGTAGTAAATTCGGCGTTTTTATCTGGTTTTTGAAAGTTTGGTACCTATTTTCGAAGGATTGTTACCTATTTTAGGTATTACAGTTGGTTTTTGTCCAAAAATAATATTTTCTGGCCAGAATTTTTTCAAATTATTTTAGGCAACATCCAACCCTTAATTCAAAAATGTAACAATTTATAACAAAAACAAGATAACAATAGTAACTTTGAGTATTTCAATCCATTTTCAAACAACTTCCATCTCGACATCTTCGGTCATGACGCCATTCAGCTCGTTTATCGTATCTTTCCGGGCCATTTTGTTACCGTACTCCTGAAAAAAAATTTTTATTTTTTTTAAATTTTAAATGCTGAAAGGAAAGTTATTGCCATTTTTTGTGTTGTAAAGAAAGTTCTTGCCATTTTTTGTGTTGTAAAGAAAGTTCTTGCCATTTTTTGTTTTGTAAAGAAAGTTCTTGCCATTTTCAGCTTTGTAAAGAAAGTTCTTGCCATTTTTTATCAACCACCATTTACCACCTATACTTACATTCAAAAGCTGAAGCAACTTCTGTTTTTGTTCATTGTTCAACTCCAACTTGTAGGTCTTAACAAACTCATGTACAGCCGAATGCAACGACAATGGCATACGCTCTTCACTGTCGTCGTATGAGCAGAAGTAGTCGATTAGACTGTCGATACACATTGATGGCAAGGTGTATCTCTTCTGGATGAATCCGGTCAAGATATACGAGACTGGTGAGCTCATTGGTCGTTGTTGGGCCAACTTAATAATGGCAGTGGCTGCGTGGAATACGGGCAGTGACGTGGATCTTACTATGGCCTTCATGACGTGAGCTACATTCATGGATATCATGTCTGGATCACACATTGGCAAGAGGAGACCCTTGACGAAGGCTGTTGGCTTGTAAATGGCCTTTTTGATGGCTGTGTAGAGATGAACATTGAGTTTGCGGTACTCTAGAATGTCGTCTAGTACACGTGGGAGGAGGTAGTAGCGATAAAAGCTGAAATATTTAAGTTGTAAAGCTGGAAAAGACAAAATTAACATAAAAGATCCATTCCATTTTACAATTTACCTACCTAAAAACAGAAAAGAAATTTATAAAACATACCGTTCACAAGCTTTGGGAGAAGCATTGGCAGCAAATAACCTTGTAGCATGGAGAAGAGCAGCTGCCGTGTACTTTTCGGGCTGTGTTATTCTAAAATTATCAATAATAAAACCAATCTACACCAAATAAGATTTTTAAAATAGCTTTTTTAACATTTAAAACAACTTTTAACTCTTAAAACATAATATAAACCTCCAAAAACTAAAACAAATACCTAAACATACAATATAAACCTACTCCAAGATCTGCTCCCAGTTCTTCAAAGCCGGAATTGACTTGAAAGCCTTTGGAATCTTGCCAGAACGATAATAGTGCATGTATTGACCAATTTCCTTGTACATATTGACCACGTTCTCCGACAAACCAGCTGTAGGATCAGCAGCAGCTGTATTGAACTCTCTCTCAAACTGAAGCTTCTTCAAATCAGCATTCTGAAGAACTGTCGATCCGAAATCAGCTAGATTTCTTTCTTCTCCATGCAAAAATTCCGGCAGTTCTTGAGTTTCTCTAAAATTGAAGGTAGTATAAGGTAAATTGATCTAAACTTGTGTTATTGTAATAAAAATACTGCAAATATGTATTCAAAAGATGCGCAGAAATATTCTTGCTACCGTTAACAACTTTATAACAAAAAACTAACTTACTCGCTGTTAAGAGGAGGAAATTCTTCATCATCAAGCAAATCTTCTTCCTCGTCTGATGAATCGTCGTCTTTTCTCGCAGATTGGCGTGTTTGAAGTTGAGAACTAAAAGCATAACAATAAGAAGACAATTAACTTACTATACATCTTGTGCCAATAAGATTTTAGGTTCAGTCTTCTTGGCTTTGGTCGATTCTTCAGCAGCCAACTGGCGAGAAGCTTCGCGCAAAATCTTTGAACTTAAACCATCGGGAACAAACTGAAATTGGCAGAATTAACAAAAATACACCTTAATATCACTCAAGAGTTTTTTATCCTCAACTTAGGCTGTAAAAATTCAGTAAATAACATGTTTTTCAATTATAATGAATATAGTACCTAAAACAATATAAAAACCAGCTAAACTCACTTCTGATTCTCCTTTGGTCTTCTTCAAGATACCTCGAGGTTTGGCACGGTTCTGAGCAAAGGTATTGACTTCAATTTGATCTGCCAAACCACCTGGAGCTTTTATCAAGTCTCCAGCTCCAGTTTTAATGTGTTTTCGCTTGCCCATGATGTCTAAAAATTAAAAATACATTAATTTATGCAATATTTGCACATTCTAAAATACTCGTTCAAAATTTACTATTAAAAACAAGGTAAAAAACGAGGAAATTTTATCATAAAAAAATATTTTTGGGGAAGACTTTTTCCTGTCCGTAGGAAGAGACTTCGCAGTTCGCAGTCTCTGTCCGGCAGCTTGCGTTTGACAGCGGGTTTTATTTGGTTTGAAAAAATAAAAGAAAATTTTGCAAAAATCCTTGAAATTTTGATAAGTTATGATAATAAATTATTAAAAATGGTTATTTACAGGTTCTTAAGACTTTAAGGAATCTTTTTATCTTTTTTTCTTTAAAAAGTTTAAAAGATGTAGTAAGTTATGGCTTATAAAAGGTACCTAACATTATATCGCCTTTAAAAAATTGTTGCCGTTATCTTATGATAATTATTTTTGTTGCACAAGTTGCGTTATAAGCTTGTCTATAATTTATAATAATTTCAGAATGGAAGGTCCTGAAAGAGATAACGATCAGGATGATTTTAAGTCGAAGAAGGTCTCAACGTAAGTTAACATAATTTTCATTGTTTTCTTCAACTTTAGGTAAAATACGTCATTTTGAGGTTTCATTATATTAAACCATTTTGCTTTTAGTGACACAGATTATAATAAAAGAGCGGCCAAGATAAGCAAACGGGATGCGATTGACGCTCAATTTGGGTACGTGAAGCTGAAGGATGACATAAAACGAGATGCGTGGCTTGTTAACGTTCAGCCTGTAAGTTGGAACGCTAATATAATGTTCTTTACATTATACTTAAGCTTTAACATTTATATTATGGTTTTTAGAGTGAAATGATTGACAGTTTGGACTATCGGATATTAGCCTGCATTGATCTGTACTTTATTGAAGAAGATGGTGAACGTTTCAAGGTCTCATACCCTTATTATCCTTATTTGTTGTTGGAAACGTTGGAGGAGTATTCTGTGATTGTTTCATCTTATTTGACAAAGCATTACGAGTATTGTTGGATTGAAAATGTGGAAAAGGTCAACTTGGACATGGTATGATGTTATACTTGAAGGAAAATGGATGTTTTTCGAAATTCTTTGAATACTTTGGAAGCAAATTGATATTTTTAGATGAAATATAATGTAATACATCATTTAAACTTTAAATGGCTTTATAATTTACAGTGAATATTTTAGGACAACCACTTAACTGGCAGCAAGACCAAGTACCTGAAGGTGATATTTTTAAGTGAAGCAGAGATGCAGCAGTTTAAAAATTCGTTGTTAAAGACGATTTTGAAGAACAAGGAGAAGGCAAAGAGTAATACTGATTATACAAAGCTCTTGCAAAAGTAAGATTTTTGATTTTATGTGTGTTTTTGTGATTTTAGGCCAATTGTAGGTTCTTTAACATGGTTTTTTGGTCATAAATCTTCAAAAACATGCTAAAATTAAATTGTTATAGTATCATAAGTTCATCAAGAACATAGTTTTTATATTCCAGACATTTCGGCACAGCAAAGTCGGACATTCCGGACACACTGGACCTTATCATAGACATCAGAGAGTACGATCTGCCTTATCAGATGCGAGTGTGTGTAGACAACAAGATCTTTGCTGGTTTATGGTACACAGTAGAGTGTTTGAATCCGGAAACTCAGAAGCCAAGTGTGGTACGAAATTTCGACAAGGTGGAGCCATTGGAGCCGGTTATTTGTGCTTATGATATTGAGACCACCAAGGCTCCGTTGAAGTTCCCTGACGCTGAAGTTGATCAGGTAGGAGGGTGGGGTGATTTTTGAGGTGGATACTTTATTCTGGATACAATAATGCTGTTTTATAGGTAATGATGATATCCTACATGATAAACGGCACAGGCTACTTGATTATCAACCGAAAATGTGTGTCAGCAGATATCGACGACTTTGAATATACTCCAAGACCCGAGTTTCAAGGACATTTCACAGTGTATAACATGCCAGATGAACGTACTACACTACAGAAGTTCTTCGAACACCTACTTGAAGTCAAACCAGCTATTATGGTTACCTACAACGGAGACTTCTTTGATTGGTAAGAGCTTTTTGTGGGCGGGGTAAAAATTAAAAAAATGTTTTTTTGGGATGAGGGGGCAAGAAATGGGATTATAATCTTTATGCCTAAATGAAAAAAAAAATTTTTTTAGGGCGGGGTAAAATTTCAAAAAATTTTTTGGGCTTGGATTTTTTAGGGGGGGGGGGGGCGGGGGTAAGAAATTTTAATATTATGGTTGTTAGTTTAAAATAAAAAATTTGAAAGGGCGGGGGTAAAATTTCAAATTTTTTTTTTTGGGGGGGGGGGGGGTTAATATTAGAATATTTAAATTTATTACCTAATTTCAGGCCATTTGTGGACAAACGAGCGGAACATCACGACCTATACCTATCAGACTTGGGCTTTTTCAAAGACGACCAAGATGAATATAAACACCCTTCAGTAGCCCATATGGACGCCTTCAGATGGGTGAAACGAGACTCCTACCTTCCAATGGGATCCCAGAATTTGAAGGCGGCTACACGAGCCAAATTACGCTACGATCCGGAAGAGGTGGACCCAGAAGAGATGGTACAAATGGCAATAGATGAACCCCAGAAAATGGCCAACTATTCAGTATCAGACGCCGTAGCTACGTACTATCTGTACACAAAGTACGTACATCCATTTGTGTTTGCCTTGTGCACCATTATCCCATTAGGACCAGACGACGTACTGCGCAAAGGCTCTGGTACTCTATGTGAAGCTCTCTTGATGGTAGAAGCTTTTCACAACAATATCGTTTTTCCAAACAAACACATCATAAAGGATCATACCATGACTCTAGATGGGTTTTTGATCAATTCCGAGACGTATGTTGGAGCGAAAGTTGAGGCATTGGAGTCGGGAGTGTTCAAGGCGGACATTGACGTCAAGTTCAGGCTGGAAGTGGAGGCGTTGGAGCAGTTAAAAGTAATATTTTGAAAGGATTTTAGTGGTCTTGATGACAATTGACAAAAACTTAATTTGGTACTAACGGTACCACTAGTACAAAAAACATAAAAGTTTAGTTTTAACGGTACCAGTGTTATTACTAGAACTAAAAACTTTGAAAATTCTAAAATGGTACTAACTGTACCAGTGGTACCATTAGTACTATTTCGGTTTTTTTGTTACTTTTAAAGGTGTTTTAAGCGTTTGTTACTTAGTTTTTCTTTTTTTGTACTATTGGTGCCATTTTGATAAAATGTTACTAGTGGTACCATTAGTACCATTTTTTATTTTTCGGTTTTTTTGCTGTTTTAAGCGTTTTTATTGTATTTTGCCTTTGGTATTAATGGTACTAATTTGGTACTCATAGTACTAGCGGTACCATTAGTACCACTTTAAGTCGTGCATTTTTTGACTTTTTTCTATGTGTTTTGGGATTAATGGTACTCTTTTTGATGGTTAAAAGTACTAAAGTTCGTTTCCAATTTTTAGTCAGAAGTCGAAGCCACGATGCGCCACGCTGTAGAAGGCGAACTAGGTGTACCACTAACCGAAGTAACCAATTTCGAAGAAGAATGTGGAAAGGTAAAAGAAGTCTTGTCGAGTTTAATCGAACACCCAAAACGTTTCGAACCACCAAAGATTTATCATTTGGATGTGGGAGCCATGTACCCCAACATCATCCTCACCAACCGACTTCAACCACCTGCTGTGGTGACGGAAAAACAATGCATGAACTGTGTTTACAACACGAACGATGCCAAATGTAAACGAGAGATGGAGTGGGTTTGGCGAGGCGATTTGAGTAGGTTTTGGTAGGGTTTTGGGGGATTTTAGGAGATTTTGAGGTATTTTTGAAGAAAAATGACGTTTTAAATTGGAAATGAGGAGTTTGGTAACTTAAAAATTAGATTACTTAAACGGTAGTTAATGTATTTTACCTTTCTTTAAAAAAATTGAAAAATTTGCGTTAAAACATGAAAAAATGGAAGTGGAAGTTGAGTGGAAGATTATTAATGTAATTTGCACTGAAAATCTTCCATCAAACTTCCACTTCTAAAAAGCATCAAAATCTTGTTTTTAGAGCATTTTAAGGCATTTTAAAAATTGAAGTTTAGTGGAAGATTTTCAGTGCAAAATACATTACAAATCTTTCACTCAAATTCCACTTTTTTAAACTTTATTTTTAGTGCATAAATGACAAAGGTAGTATTAAAAAAGCATTTTTATTTGATTTAAATTTAAGATATTGATAAAAATTTAATTTTCGAAAATAAACTTTTACGATATGTTACAGTAACCGCGACCAAAGGCGAATACGAAGGCTTGATCATGCAGATCGAACAGGAACGGTTCGGTAAAGATCAAGTGCCATTTTACAGTTTGAACAAGGAGGAAAGGGACAAGATTGAAAAGAAGAGAATTGATGGTGAGTTCAGTACTTATTAGTACTATATACTTATAAATAAACGGTACTATATAATGCAGTTGACTTTGCAGCACGTTTTTGTAGTATGAGATGTGGGGTACTGTATAGCACTATGAAAAATGTTATTGTTTTGTCTAGTATCATGAATAGTACCGTACTATATAGTACTATAACTAGTACAGTACTCAATATGTAGTATGTTATATTCGATATTACATAATACTATGAAACAGTACAGTAGTTAGTGGCAGGGTATTTTAGAATTTTGTCGCCGTGCTCACGGTAAGATTCACACAGCACGTGAGGAAAAGAGAACGACACGGATTTGTCAACGTGAAAACTCCTTCTATGTGGACACTGTCAGAGCCTTCAGAGACCGAAGATATGATTACAAGGCGTTGTTGAAGGTAATAAGTGAAGAAGGCAGTTTGTGGTACTTGCAGTACCAGTGGTATCACTAGTACCATTATTTATTTTTTTTTAAATTTTGTTTTTTTTTGCGTAGTGGGTTGTTAACATAGGCAAAAATAGTTTTGTGGCAAACTGTACCAGTGGTACCACTAGTACCATTTATAAATTTTAGGCATTTTTTGGATTTTTAACATTTTGTACTGTTATTTTGTTATCAAAAATACTACTTTTTACAAATGGTACCATTGGTACTACAAGTGGTACCATTAGTACCATTTTCAAATTTTTAAACATTTTTTGGATTTTGACGTCCTGTATTGTTATTGTTGCCAAAAATATTTTTAGTACAAATGGTACCAGTGGTACCAATAGTACAATTTCAAAATTTAAAATTTTTTTGAGGGTTTAACGTTTTGTACTGTTATTACTACCAAAAATACGTTTTTTAGTACAAATGGTGCAATAGTACTGTTTTCTAAGCCATAAAACATATTTTCAGAAAGCCAAGAACCAGCTGTCAGAGCTGGACGAAAAAGACATAGCCGCAGTAAAAGCCGGTCAAGCTCGAGTAGTACTATACGAATCACTCCAACTAGCTCACAAATGCATCCTCAACTCATTCTACGGCTATGTAATGAGGAAAGGATCAAGATGGTTTTCGATGGAAATGGCCGGGATCGTATGTTACACTGGAGTACAGATCATCACAGAAGCTAGAAAGGTCATCGAAAAAGTGGGAAGACCATTGGAGCTGGATACGGATGGGATTTGGTGCTTGTTACCTTCGTCTTTCCCTGAAAACTTTTGCTTCAAAACGAAGAACGGGAAAAGTGTAAGGATTTGGGGGGTTCTTAAGGTTAATATTGGTGCTAAGAGGTTAATATTACTGTCTAAATTTGACTTTTTAAAAATTTTTTCTTGGTCTAAGCAATGAAAATGACAAAAAATCCTACACTATACATTACATGTTACTATTTTTGCTTACAGAACCCAAAAAGAGCGTTTTTAGTAACTGGAAGTTGAGTGGAAGATTTGTAATGTAATTTGCACTGAAAATCTTCCACTGAACTTCTACTTTTAAAATGTGTCGAAAACCTGTTTTTAAGCCATTTTAAGACATTTTAAAAATGAAAGTTGAGTGGAAGATTTTCAGTGCAAATTACATTACAAATCTTCCACACAACTTCCACTTTTTTAATTGGGTTAATTTTGGTTTTTTATTGAAAACTGGTTCAAACTTTGATTACAAATCTTAAAAAAATTGTTTTTTAGGCTTATATTTTTAAAAATATTTTAACTTTTTAAATAAATTTTAAACTTTAGCTAACAGTATCATACCCAGGAGCAATGCTTAACGCCCTAGTACAAAACCTCTTTACCAACGACCAGTATCATGACCTAAAACAAGATGGAAAGTATGAAATAAAGTCGGAAAACTCAATTTTTTTCGAAGTCGATGGCCCATACCTAGCTATGATTCTGCCAGCATCGACTGAAGAAGGCAAGAAGCTGAAGAAACGCTACGCCGTCTTCAACTTTGATGAATCTATGGCAGAGCTGAAGGGATTCGAAGTGAAACGACGTGGAGAATTAGGTATCATCAAGGAGTTTCAAACCACAATCTTCAAAACTTTTCTAAAAGGCCAGACTCTGGTAGAGATTTATGGTAATGTAGCCAAAGAAGCCGACTACTGGATCGATATTCTGGAGTCACAAGGAGCCGAACTAACTGATGGGCAACTTTTTGAATTGATTGCGGAGAATAGATCAATGAGTAGGAAACTGGAGGAGTATGGAGCACAAAAGAGCACTAGTATCACCACGGCAAAGAGATTGGTGGAGGTAGGGGGATTTTAAAGGTTTTTTTTGGGGGGAGAAAGATTTGAAAAGTTTTTTTAAAGGTTTCTGGGGTTTTTAAAGGGGTTTTGTAAGGGGTTGAGGTACAGTATTTGGGAGAGGGAGGGGCAAAAAGTAAACGGGGGGGGGAGGATTAAAAATTTTTTTTTGAAATCTTAAAATGTTTTAAGATCCTAAAAACACGTTTTTAAGGCCTTTTAAAAGTGGAATTTATGTGGAAGATTTGTAATGCATTTTGCACTGAAAATCTTCCACTCAACTTCCACTTTTTAAAAAGTGCAAGAATAAGTGTTTTGATGTTTAGGATGGATTGAAATTTACTTTTTACGTTTAAAAGCTGTTTAAAATGATTAAAAAGAAACTAAAATAAAATGTTTTTTAATTTTTCAAGTTTTAAATATGATTTTAGTTCCTGGGGGAAGACATGGTGAAGAACGCGGGTCTAGCCTGCTCATTTGTCATCTCAAAATATCCACTTGGTGCACCAGTGACCGAACGTACGATTCCACTACGAATCTTCCAATCCAAACCCAGCATAATGGTACACTTTTTGAGGAAATGGTGCAAAAACCACGAAATTACGGAAAATGTCAATGTCAGACAGGTGGGTAGATACCTCTGTGATGTTTTACTAGGACTAGAAATTTTGTGGTCACTGTAGTTTTTGGGTTACGGTACTAAATATGGCTTTTTAGAGTATAAAAGGCCGTCTGTTCCGTGAATAATATAATTTTTGCTAAAAAGACCTAATTAACCTAACTTTTCAGCTGTTAGACTGGGCCTACTACAAAGAGCGTTTCTTCGCCTGTATCAGAAAGATCATCACGATTCCAGCGGCGCTACAGAACGTCCCGAATCCCCTCCCAAGAGTACCACACCCAGATTGGCTGGAAAGAGTGAGGAAGGAGAAGATTGACAGCGTTTTGCAGCCTAAAATCAACTCGTTCTTTAAAGTAAGTTGATGTAGAGGTTCAAGAAAAGAATGGAGAGTTTGATTTTGATGGTTTAGGCTAAAGATTATAGACGTCTCGGGTTGAAAACGGCAGAAAATGAGGGAAAAATGGCTGATCATTGGGGTTTTTTGGGAAAAATTTTTGATTTTTGAAGGTTTTACAACGGAAAATGAACGTTTTATGTCATTTTTAATAGACTTTGCAGATATCTAATTAATTTAGGTAACAATACTGAATTTTACAGCTATTAGCTATATTATAGTAGCCAAGAATTTAAAAAAATAACGTTTTAGAAAGCAGAAAAGCCAGTTCAGAAGACCCCAACGCATTCTCAAACCTCCAGAAGCCTGAAACGACCATTACTCTCGTCCCAAGTACGACCATTAGACCTAGAGCCAACTACACCAAAACGAAGCCGCAAAGCCCCATTAGATGGGACTCCAACAAGGTCATTGAGTCGAATGTCAACTACAAGTCATACCAGCACACAACCGGTCAAACCGTCACTGAAAAAGGACGGCTTCTCGAAATGGGTAGGTTTGGAAGAAACCTTGTTTACAGGGGAGGGGGAAAGAAGGAAGGGGTTTTTAGGATGAGGAGGAATTGGCAAAAACTTTATTTATTGTATGGATAGAGATATTTGATTATAATGAAGAAAATGGACTGTTTTTAAAAGTGGAAGTTGAGTGGAAGATTTGTAAAGCATTTTGCACTGAAAATCTTTCGCTGAGCTTTCATTTTTTAAATGTCTTAAAATGGCCTAAAAACAAGTTTTTGAGACTTTTTAAAAGTGGAAGTTTAGTGGATGATTTTCAGTGCAAAATACATTACAAATCTTCCACTCAACTTCCACTTCTGTAAATTGCCGTAATTTTTATAGGAATTTAAAATATGGAAGAAAGTTTGATTACAAAGCTTGAAAATGAAGTTATTGTTCAACTTTTAAAATTTTTTGATTAATTTTAAAAGGCAATTTTAAAAAAATGTCATTTTCAGATAGCTTATCACATAACCAAATGGAGACGGCAAGAAAAAGAAAAAAGATCGTGGAAAGCGGAGGATACGACAAAGAAACGAGGCATATCACGACTTCAGCAAATGGTAATGAACGAAAACGAACGTCTACAAGTTCATGTCTGGCACATTCTACAAGTCAAACCGACCAAAACTCCTGGGCTATTCGATGTCTTCGCCATTATCAATGGAAATCGACAGAAATTCGAACTAAAAGTACCAAGAACTATCTATTTGGACGATGCTATCGAAAGAATCGGGTCAAAGTTGTCAGGATTGGCATTGCCTAGGAATCGATCACACAAGTTTTTGTATGAAATCACATTGGATGAGACTGAGTTTATCAATTTGAGAACGTATGTTGTACTTGAGGAAAGATTTTGGGGTATTGGTACCTGAGACGAGATTTTGGGGTATTCGGAGGTTTTTTTTGAAACGGTACTAATGGTACCACTTGAAATTTTTGTTATTTTTTTCATTTGAGGTTTTCAAAGGTTAGAAAATTTTTTTTTAAATGACTTTTTAATTTTTTTGTACTACTAGTACTAATGGTACCAGTTGTACCACTAATGGTACTAATGGTACCACTTGCAATTTTTGTTGTTTTTAGGCATTTTGAGGTTTTTAAGGGTTATTTAATGCTTTTTTATGAATTTTTTTATACTTTTCGTACTACTAGTACTAATGGTACTACTAGTACTAAAGGTACTAATGGTACTAGTGGTACCATTAACAAAATTTTTTTATTTTTTACGAATTTTTAGGATTTTGGGACTCAATAATGTCTTTTTTGTGAAAATTTTTAATATTAGTACCAACGGTACCAGTGGTACCATTAACAAATTTTCAAAAATTTTTGTGAAATTTTTAAATATGTTTTATTTGTGGTACTAGAAGTACTATAAGTTCACATGTTTTATAATTTTAAAACCGTTTTACTTTCAGTGACATGTGTGAAAGTGCCTGCATGAGACGAGTACGCGGCGTGTACGAAACCCAAGTACCACCATTCTTCAAAGCTTTGATGCAAATGGGTCATACAGCAAAAATTAAAAGTTTGACAAACGCTACGAAGATCTCACTTGCTCAAATTTCCAGGGTAACTTTTGATATCTTATTGTTAAGTCAGTGACGTTATGCCAAAATGGCGGGAAATTTAAATTTGTATTTTGAAAAAGTTCGAATTTTAAACTCAAATTTTGCACATTTATTAACAATGGTACAAGTATGCACTGTCCAAAATTTGAGGTTATTTGGACTATTTTAGATAAAGTTATGACAATTTAAAATTAGCCTATTCCTAAAGTATTGTTATAGGTGGAGGAAGTGCCCGGCTTGGATCCAGACGAAATGAAAATCATTTTCTTTTATGAAATGACATACAGAAAGGAAAATGTGGTCTTTTTATTTGCACCATTTGCCAAAGTGGCACAATTGTTCATTACAAACAAGAATCAACAAATCCCGAATTTGGCTAAGGTTTTCGAAGAGGAACTTGGAGCATTGTAAGGAGATTTTTGAAGTTTTGTTCATATTTATTTATATCAATTAGTTAAAGTAGGTTTAGAAAGACATTCTGCGTATGTTTTAAGTTGCTATCTATTTAGTTTTTGACTAAAAAAGATTTTTAAAAAAAAGTTTACAGGAGGGGGGGCAAGCTCAAAAAAAACGATTTTTTAAAAATTTTTTTAAAATATGTTTTTATAGTACTTGTTAAGATCATAAACGCTACAGGAAAGAGTTTTTTGTCAAGAAAAAGTTTTGTATTTGATTAAAAATGGCATTTTTTGCAGAAAAATCTACAGGGGGACCAAGGCTCAAAAGAAAAAATAAAAAAAAAATTTTTTTGAAAAATGGTTATATTATAGTCATAAAGGTCATAAAGGATACTGGAAAACATTTTTACTCATAGGGAGTTTTGCATTTGATTAAAAATGGCATTTTTTGCAGAAAAATCAACAGGGGGACCAAGCTCGAAAAACGTGAACTTTTTGGGACATTTTTATTGTAATGTAAATGCTATTTTTAGTTTTAGAATGTTAGAAAAGTTAATAGGAAGTTTTTTTATATCAAGAAATTTTAGTATTTGTTAAAAAATTGCAATTTTTTACTAAAAAACGCCATTTTAGGCCTATTTTTGGTAGTTTTTATTAATTTATGACAATATTTTCAGAGAAGATGACTCTCAACTCTTTGAAAACACATTGGAAATTAAGTTTTCTCACACTCAAAACGATTCGATTAAAGCTGAAATTGGTCGATTTGTCAAAAACCTCAATCTTCAATCATACGACCCAGTACTATATCTAGTACAATCGACCAGAACTCCAGAAGAATTTGGTACCAACTACTCATTTATCAACTCGTCAGCACCACAAGTACGTCTAAAACAGGATACGGCGCAAAGCGTGTTCCAATCAATCGATTGGACTCAGAAAATCATCAAAAACGCGATGCAAAGCTACCTCGGGGCATATTTGAAATTGATCGAAAAATTGGAAATTTCACGGATATCAGGCATACCGATCTGTAACCTGACCGAGGACTGGTACTGTCAAGCATTGGATGTGCAGTACGCTCAGTTGTTGCGAAAAGAGAATCAGATTCTATGGGCATCAGAAGCACCGCAACCAGACTTGGGCGGCAAGATCAAAGACCAAACTGAAGATATGGAACATTGGGACAACGTGTCGTTCCATCATCTACACAGTGATGTATACAATGATAAGGCTTTTGTGGTAAGGGTTTGGCCCGAAATTCCGAATTAAAAAAAAAATTATTTAAAAAAAATTGTACGGTAGAGTACTGTAGAAAAAAAGGAGGGTACGGTAGAGCAGGATAGGAAAAAGGAGAGTACTGTAGAGTACGGTATGAAACAACAGGACACGGTAGAGTACGGTAGACTATTTTATTTGATTTCAGAACGACTACATTGTAGTAGAGCTGGAGATGGGTAATATAGCACCAAACGCGGTAATGCAAATGAATGCCATCATTGAAGCGGAAGGAGCGTCGGATGTGATAAACTATGGCACGGAGGTAGTGAATATGTCAGTTATGAACCAATTCCGACCACGAGAAAGCGAAATCAACGAAGCAGCGGCTGTCACCAAGGCCTTAAACACGATCCGAATGATGGCACTGAAACTGATCGAGAACATGAAGAAGGGGGACTCTTATGCTGACATGTTGTTCATTCATTTACAGAGGTGGGGATTGAATTATTTTTTGTTTGTAAAAAATTAGATTTAGGCTTAGTTTTGGGAACTTAGGCTCACTTTTGAGGTTATAGGCTTAGGTTTTGAGATTCTAGTTTTCAGGCTTATTTTTGGTATTTTAAGCTTATTATGTGGTTTTAGGCTTAGTTTTGGGGTTTTAGGCTTGTTTTTGGGTTTTTAGAATTATTTTTGGCGCTTTAGGCTTATTTTTGAGGTTTTAGGCTTATATTTGATTTTGTGTGCTTGATTTAGTTTTTAAGGTTTAACTTCGAATTTTGAGGCTTATTTTATTTTTTAGGCTTAGTTTTGACTTTTAGGCTTATTTTTAAAGTTTTAGGCTGTTTCAGGTTTATTTGTTAGGTTTTAGGCTTATTTTTGAGGTTTTAGGCTTCATTCTGCATTTTAGGCTTAATCTTGCATTTTTAGGCTTAGCTTTGAATTTAGGCTTAATTTTTTAATTTTTATGTTTAGCTTTAAACCTTTAGGCTTAGCTTCACTTTCTAGGCTTAATTGGACATTAGTGTGCTTAGGTTTAAAATTTTTCAGGTTTACTTTTGTTTTTTGGGTTAATTTTTGTTTTTAGGCTTAACTTTTACAATTTTAGATGGATATTCGACCCTGCTTCCCTCTTCTACGACCCAGCCATAATCCAAATGATAATCACTCTGATGAAGAAACTTTGTTTACTGATCGTTTGCGGAGTGAACAAGAACGGCGGCCGAGTACTACACTGCTCATTCGGCCGACTAGTACTCTCTACTCAACATCGTACTATCGAAGAAGCCACGGCCTTTGTGGATTCATTAAGAAAGACAATGATTCAGAATCCACTGTTCTACGCCGTGAATTTGATACCGTACCGGATGAGCGAGAGTACGGTATGGATGGACATTCACAACTATGCTCGTGTGGACTGTGCTGAATGGGACTATAAGGCCAGGGAGTGGAAGTTTTTGGAGGTAGGGGTGGTTGGAAATGGAGTTTTTGAAAATTGAAAATTTTTTTTGTGGTACTATTGGTACTAATGGTACTAGTGGTGCCATTGGTACTAGTGGTACCATTGGTAATATATTTTAAAAATTGTTTTTTTATAGTCATAATAGGGTCTAACAACCGTAAAATTTGGTTTCTTGCAAAAAAAAAATTGGTACTACTGGTACCGTTGGTACAAGTGGTACCAAAATTGGAAATAATTTGGTTCTGGAGGTATATAATAAGTAGAAAATGAAAAAAAAACGTTTTTGTTGAAAAAATATTTTTGGTACTACTGGTACCACTAGTACCATCATTTAAATGAAGTTGCATTTTTAAAAATTTTAATTTTATAAAAGGCCAGGTTTTGATGTAGTTTGGCTTAATTTAGATCTTTGTTTTAGGAACTGACTCCGAAATCGACCTTAAAAATGGCAGATCACTTTCCAGAGAACGGGAGATGCATGTTGAGGAACTTGATCGGAATTTACATGCTCAACGTGGCTAAATTTAAGAAGACTAGGCTAAGTGAGAATGTAAGTCTGTTTTTGTGGAATGAAATAGTATCATATTGAAATGGCAAGAACTTTCTTAATGAAATGGCAAGAAGTTTCTTTGCAAAACGTAAAAGGGCTGTTTTTCAAAGTGGAAGTTGGGTGGAAGATTTGTAATGTATTTTGCACTGGAAATCTTCCACGGAACTTTCACTTCTAAAAAGTATTAAAAATGAGTTTTTAAGCCATTTTAATACTTTTTCAAAATGGAAGCTGAGTGGAAGATTTTCAGTGCAAATTATATTACAAATCTTCCACTCAACTTCCACTTTTTGAAAACCCTAAAATTTTCTGTTTCTTCAGAAATTTGAACAAAAAGAGTTCATAAATTACTGTGGTGACTTCCTTCAACACATTAGTGAGAACGAATGGACGATGGAAGATGGCGAGACCAAGATTGCCAGTATTTACAGCAGTGTAAACTCGCTATACCTAAAACGATTCAAGTTATACGAGGAATTGACCGAAAGAACAGCCATCGGCATGATTTTGAAGTTCCAAAACATCAATTTTAATCCAGCAATCGAGTTTGTCAAAGCTCTTACTGAGGTGTTTCTACTGGATGGTGATATCGCTGATGTAGTGGAAGATATCAGGACAAAGGCCTTGAACAATATGGGAGTGAATGAGAATGCATACGTAGCGGACTTTAAACCACTATATCAGAGGGTGATACTGCAACAAGTGATTTGTCCAAATTGTTTCTACAACGTTGATCTGGACATCACTTCGACCAATATTGTGAATGAGGAGGGAGTGGTGATGGACACGAAAAAAGGTAAAATACGAGCGTGTCTTTTTTTTAATTTGTTAATGTAATGAATAGATATGATAGAAAAAATACTGTAGAGCAATATAGAAGAAGTTAGGAATGAAAACTTTGGGATTGGTTGATTGAAAAATGGCATTTTTATGAGATTTGTCTGTACCTAGAAGGGTTGAGACGAATAGGTTGTGGAAAAGGTAAAATACGATGGTTTTCGAATCTACCTATGTTAATGTAATGAATAGGTATGACAGAAAAAAAAGATTGTAGAGTAATATAGAAGAGGTTAGAAAAGAAAATTTTGAGTTTGGGTAGCTGAAAAATGGCATTTTCATGAAATTTTCTATATCTCGAAGGGTGGAGAAGAATAGAACATTGAAAAGGTAAAATACGTTTATTGGTGGGACTTCATGTTAATGTAGTGAATAGATATGATAGATAAAAGACTGTAGAGTAATGGGGAAATGGTATAAATTGAAAATTTGTGATTGGTCAATTAATAAATGGCATTTTTCTGCGGGAAGACTATGCCTGAGAGGTCTGAATTGAGTCATGTTTTGAGTATGCTAGGGTAGGGTAAGATGGGGAAATTTAGAGTAAGATAATTGAAAGCTGTTTAAAAGAAAGTAGAGTAGAGTATGGCATGGTATGACAAAATAACTGATATTGTATAAACAGAACTTTTGTCTAAATAGTTTTTTATGTTATTTTACATAATATGATGGTATAATAAGATAGCCTTAGAGAAATTGCAAGAAATGATGTTACGTAACGTTTTCTTATGTAATATTGATTAATTTTGCAATATTTGCCTCGATATAAAACGATCCAACAAATTACTGCGAGTGCTGGGGGATTTTAGATCATTTTACTGCGAGGGAGGAGCTTTTTATCTGCGTGTTTTATGACTAAAGTAAATGGTAGGGTAGATGAACTGTGAAGGAGTGGTCTTAAAGGGCAGGCAGATTAGGAGTACTGTAGAATAGAGATTCCAAAGGTTAGGGTATTGTAGACTAGAGTATGATTTCATTACTGTAGGTTATGCACCGATATCAAAGAGTACAGTAGGGTGGGATAGTGTACTTTAGGGTAGAGTAGGGTATGGTAGGATAGAGTATGGCAGGGTAGGATTAGGGTAAGGTAGGGTACGGTAGAGTAGTGTAGTATGGTAGAGTAGGGTAGGGTAACTAACTCAATATAAAGTTATAAAATTTGTTGTTTCAGTAACCTTCAAATGCCCTGAATGTCCAGTCAACTTCCCGAGAGAAGTGGTCGAAGTATTGTTGATGAAACGGCTAGCCAAAATCAACAAAGTCTTTGATGCGCAAGACTTTGTGTGCACCAGATGCAAAACGGTATGTCATATTTTATAGTTTTTAAAAAATTTTACATTTTTTTTGAAAATAGTTAAAAAGGGTACCAGTAGTACCAATAGTACCATTTTGAAAAAAGTTTTTAGAAGTGTAAAAACTGTTACAAAGACAACAAATTTGACTTTTTAAACTTAAAATGTGTAATAGTACTACTGCTACTAATGGTACTATTGGTACTAATAGTACCATTTTTTAAAAAGTGTCTTAAATATTTAGAAACGGTTAAAATACAGAAACTACGACTTTTGAACTTAAAAAGTGTAATGGTACTACTGGTACCAATAGTACCATTTTAAAAAAAAAGTTTTTAAATGTTTAAAAACGGTTAAAAAAACAAAAAGTATGATTTTTTGAACTTAAAAAGTGTAATGGTACTACTGGTACCAATGGTACTGTTTTTGTAAAGTTGTTCTAAAACGCCTAAAAATGACAAAACAGTCAATATTAAACTTTAGGTATAAAGTCTGAATTATTTTCAGGAATGCACCAACGGTACCAACACAGTATGCCCATCCTGTAGTTTTGTTTACAAGCCTACGATACCAAATGACGATTACACTTCACATTTACAACTCTTACTGGCCGTGAGCAAAGTCTTTGAGTTCAGAAGCCTGGAAGGCGTGGTTACCCATGCTTATCGACTTCACAAGCTTAAACAGCCTAAAATGGACTAGTTTTTTAGTTTATGATGGTTATCTTGTTGTTGTTGTACTGGTACTAACCTTGTTTATTAGTTTTTTTATGCGTTGGAATATTATTTTTGACTAATTTTTATGTTTTACAACTTTTAATGTTATACTATGATATATCATGTAAATAGATGGATCTTAGAATAAATTAAACTTTGAGTACTAGTGGTACTATTTTTTAGTTTTTGGGTAGTTTAAAGCTTTGTTTTAGCTTGATATTACTTTGTCATGGAAATAGCAAACTATTATAAAAGTTCTGGTTCTATTTATTAGCCATCAAGGCCTATATTACACTAGGGATGCTACGTATCTAAATGAAAATTCTGAAGAGACGGGTGAGTTTTTTCTTTATAATCTATTGTAATATTGAACCCAAGACTATTAGCTTCATTTTGCGCTGTAAGACGTAAAATTTTACAATTAAGATTTTGAGATATAGGCAATGTTAATATCCACTTGTATTTTAGGTATTGAAAAGTTAAATTTATTGTATCCCGAGAAGTAGAGGTCTGTAAATTAAGTTTTATGGCTTAAATCAAAGCTGAGGTTCTAGAATATTTTTTCACATAGCATTTTTAAATTAAATGAAAAAATTTTTTTTAAATTTTTTTTTTGAAAAAAGTTGAACGGGGTCCCCTGTTGATTTTTTTGAGAAAAAAAATTGAAAAAAGTGGTTTATATGGGTTAAATAAGCCTAAAACTAAAAAAATCAAGTTTTTTTTCTTTTTAAAAAAAATTGAATTAAAAAAAAATTTTTTTTTTGAAATTTTTTAAAATTTAAAATTTTATAAACTTGTAACTCACACCGCTTGAGCTAATCCGCTGATGACCGTTAAACGGCTATCAAACATAATTTATGTACTTTAAAAGACGGGCGAATCAAGTTTTTGTTTCAAAATTTATCGCCGCTTATGAGTCGACTACCCAGCGGTTACAATTATCGAATTGTGATTGTTGATTTGTAAGCGATGTCGCGCTTGTGTTCTTTTTACAAGATTTTCCACTTTTTGCGAAACTTGTTAAGGGTCATCATATTTTGACGTGAAATGTTGAGAAGCTGTCGGTTCAGGAAGGGGCTTTGGATAGGGAAGGGTGTTTTTAACTAGGGAAAGGTATTTTTGGGTTAGGGGGTAGTTTTTGGCTGGAGAAGGGTGTTTTAAACTAGGGAAGGGTATTTTTGGTTAGGGTGTAGGTTTTGACCAGGGAAAGGGTATTTTTGAGTAGGGTGCTAGTTTTAGCTAGGGAAGGGTATTTTTGGTTAGGGTGTAGGTTTTGACGAGGGAAAGGATTTTTTTTGATCGAGGAGGGGGCTTTGGCTAAAAAAGGCGTATTTTTGAGCTGGGGCGTGGGTTTTTGCCAGTGAAAGGGCATTTGTGATTAGGGTGGCAATTTTGGCTGGGGAAGGGTATTTTTGACTTGAGAAGGCTGTTTTTGGTTTGGAAAGGGTATTTTTTGATGGAGTGGAGGTTTTGGCTAGATAAAGGGCATTTTTTAGGTTGGTGAGGGAGTCTTAGCTCGAAAAAGTTTATTTCTTGTTTGGGTGGGGGTTTTGGATAACGAAAGGGCATTTTTGATTTGGGGTGGGGTTTTAGACAGGAAAAGGTTATTTTGGAGCTGGGGTAGTTTTGGTTGGAAAAAGAATATTTTTTGGATTTGCATAGTTTTGCTTATGAAGAGGTTACAAAATTCGTCTGGCTTGCAGAAGGCGGTAAGTTCGAATCCGGCCAGTTTCATTTTTGCGTTTTTTTTGTGCAAGACTTTTTTGGCTAGCCAAACAATATTGTGATTTAAAAATGTTTGTTTATGCATAATTGCTATTTTTAGATACTTTTAGAAAACCATATTTATCAAAAAAATATTTTTTTTAACTTTAAACCTGTACCTTATAAACGTAAAAGTAAATTGCGCATACTGTAACTTAATAACCAAGGCCATTCAGCGGTAACTTTTTATGACTTTTTATTTTATAATATCTAGGTCTCGTAACTAAAATCATTTTAAGAGAAATTAGCAGTTTTGAAAGCCATCTAAGTCTACCACAAGGTCCTAAGATTTTCTAGGCTTATAACGCAAGGTTATATTCTTTCTAGTCCTATAAGAAGCCTTTGAAGCTTTTTTAAGCCTATAACGAGCCTCCAAGCCTTTTAAGTCTATAACAAGCTTTCGAGCCTTTTTAAGCCTATAACAAGCCCTTGAGCCTTTCAAAGCCTAAGACAAGCCTTTAAGCCTTTTTAAGCCTATGACAAGCCCTCAATTCTTTTTAAGCCTAAAACAAGCTCTTAAGCCTTTTTAAGCCTAAAAGAAGCCTTCAAGCCTTTTTAAGCCTATGACAAGCTCTCAATTCTTTTTAAGCCTAAAAAAAGCCTTCAAGCCTTTTTAAGCCTATAACAAGCTTTCAAGCATTTTTAAGCCTACAGCAAGCCCTCATTTCTTTTTAAACCTAAAACAAGCTCTTAAGCCTATAACAAGCTTTCAAGCTTTTTTAAGCCTACATCAAGCCCTCACGTCTTTTTAAGCCTAAAAAAAAGCTTTTAAGCCTATGACAAGCCCTCAATTCTTTTTAAGCCTATAAGAAGCCCTTAAGCCTTTTTAAACCTATGACAAGAGCCTAAAAGAAGCTTTCAAGCCTTTGAGACTTTTTAAGACTATAGCAAGCCTTTAAGTCTTTGTAAGCCTATAGCAAACCTTTTTAAGACTATAGCAAACCTTCAAGTCTTTTTAAGCCTAAAAGAAGCCCTCAAGCCTTTTTAAACCTAAAAGAAGCCCTCAAGCCTATTTAAGCCTAAGAGAAGCCCTAAGTTAAAAAAACTTCTTTAAAAAACCGTTTTAAGCCTAAACATCATGAACTCAAGAAGACCGGGATGACGTTCCCGAACCGCATTCCCTTCCTTCCGTCTTCGGATCGTCTTCTGTTTTTTGTCGCGTTCCCTTTCCAGTTAATAAAACCGATGACGAGATGGATCATTTTCTTAATAGTGATAACTGATAATAATCTGAGGATTCGGTGTGCCGGACCGGTTCCGTCCGTTTCACGGTGGGAGGGAGAGATTCATCAAAATTTGTTAATACCATCGCCTGTCATTTGTCATGTCGTATGTTGCCGATGTACAGATTAAGATAGATGGGGGGACGTGGTTGCTTGTAGCCACTGTATAATAGGTGTGAAGTACCGGACTTGTAGTTTCTGTGTATTGCGAGAATTACTGTGCTTTTAGCCACTAGTGAGGAGTACCGTGCTTGTAGCTTCTGTACAATAGGTGAGGGATACTGTGCTTGTAACTACAGAACTTTACGTAATGCTTACTCTGCTTGTAGTTAATGTAAAGTAGATGTGAAGTACTGTGCTTGTAGCTACGGTACAATAAATAAGAGGTACTGATATAAGGATAATGTGCTTGTAGTTACGGTACAATAGGTGAAAGATAATGTGCTTGTAGCTAATGTACGGTAGATGAGGGGTGCTTCTGGCCCTAGCTCAGAGCACTAGCCCAGAGCCCTAGCTCAGAATTCGAGCTCTAGTCCTAGCTTTAGCTCCAGCCCTAGCTCTAGGCCAAGCTCTAGCTTTAGCCTTAGTCTAGATAGCTCTAGTTTTGGCACTACCCCAACTTTAGTTCTAGCTCTAGATCAGATCCCTAACCCATCATTAGCCGTAGCTTTAGTTTTAGCTCTACCCTCTCTCTCTTAGCTATACCCTTAACTACCTTACCTTAAATAGAGCTTCCAATGTCAAATGAACACTAAATTGTTGCATTATCAGATAATCAAAGCCTCCGGCTAATCGCTTTTGACAATTTCGTCTGCTTTTTTAAAAGTTTTCACTTTTTTCGCGCGACGTTTTTAAAGTTTTTTTACGACTTTTGAAGTGAATATAAAAGTGGCGGTTGTGTATTTGTCGAAGGAAACGTAAAAGGGCACATCCGAGACGACCCTAATACGTCACCTCGTGTTACCGTATACGCAAATGAACGCTTTGAATTGGGCGGGGTGAGGGGTTTGTAGTTTGTAGTTAGTAAGTTTTGGAAAGTAGGTTACTGTATCTTTTTTCTTACTGTATATTAAGGTTTGAATAATTTGGGAATGGTTTTCAAAGAGGTAATAGATATTTTGTTCAGAAGGTTCATGTGTCTAGTATAACATAAGTTTTTTGAACATTTTGAGAATTTTATGTTATTGATTGATGTTAAAAACTTACATTACGAAAAAATAATAGTATTCGGTACATATACAAAATGTATTAGCTTTGTCAGAATCAATTTTTATGAATTTTTAAAATATTTTTTTGCCAGCTGGTAGTGTAACCTATTTTTTCATTTTTTGAAATTTTGAGTTACATTTCAAGTCTGGGACTAACAGTACAGATTAAGTGTAGTATTGTAAGTTTTGAAAGTAAGTTTTGTAGCATAGGTTATCTTGGTTTAAGTTTTATGAGCTGTTGAAAGTTTTGGGTGTCAGAGAGGCAAGTGTAACATATTTTTTTTCAATTTTTTGGTGTTTTGAATGACATTTTAAATCTGAGACTAATAGTACAGGTTAAGTGTTGTATCTTTTGTCATAATACTAAATTTTGTATTACAGGCTATATTGGTTTAAGTTTTATGATCTATTGAAAATTTTGCAAATCAGATAACAAGTGTAATATTATCTTTTGTTGTTTGAATCATTTTTTGAGTGAATTTAGCATTGATACGAAAAGGTATGAAAGATTGTTTTGTTTCTTGTTACATTTTCAAATATTTTGGTCATATGTCAGATTATACCATTTTTATGACCATTTTCCTGGGATCAAGGGGGGGGTAGTGTAATATGTGGATGTTTATATAGATTTTGACGATTTTGAACTTGTTATGGTTAAAAAATAAGTTTTAAATAGTTGTAAGATGCTGTATTTTACGTTTTGGTGTTTTTGGGGTACTGTAACGTGTTAATTTTTTAATTTTTGTGGGAATTTGTAATGGTTTTTTAGGGTCATTTTTTATGATTTTGATTGTATTTTTAGTGTTATTGCTAGTTTGAAGTAAGTTTTTGATGATATTGATAGTAGATATGTCGTAGAGTGACATTTTAAACGTGTTTTAAGTTTTGACAAATTGTTTTTTGCTTGCTTTTCAATATATTTCTAGGTTCAAATGTCTAAAACCTCTAAAGTTCAAAACATTTATCGTGCTTGCATCAATATACTGCAATTGCCAGACGAAACTTTTAAAAATTGACATTTCAGGCAACAAAAGAAAGACGATATTCAAATCGCCAGCGGCGAAGCGGCATGCGTTTGTAGAAGCAGGTCATCAACTTTGCGTATATAAGCCTACAATACGGTGACACTTCGAGGTAACTCGATGAAGTTACGCCGCTTATGCTGCGCTCATAAGTCTACCATGATCTCTACTTTATGTTTGTTAGTTGTTATTGTTTGTACAGGTAAGGGTTGGGCCGATTCTTGTGCATTTTGGGGTCGATTTTTTGAATTTTGGTTTTGGCGCCAAATTTGGCATTTTAAAATTGGAGGGTTTAAAAGGCATTTTAAAATAACTTTTGGCTTTTTAAATGCATTTATTTTTTTCGTATTTTACAATGTAAGATTTGGATCAAGGAATTTTTTGAATTTTTGTTTTGGCGCCAAGTTTGGCATTCCGTTTTAACCTCTATAAAATGATATTTTAGCCATTCTTTTTGCTATTAGTTATGTTTTCTACAATTTTAAGGGCTTAAAATCGTATTTTTCAACAAATAAATTTTAAAAATTTGAATTTTATTTTTCCCGCCAAACTAAAATTTTCTTGGCATTCTGTTTTAAGGTAACAAAAACCATTCCTAAGTTGTAAAATACGCATCAAAATTACCTTCCTTTTAGATGCCGCTGCCCCGAAAGATACGAGGCAGCCGTACATAAACAAAGATGGTGCTCAAGTGGTGCCGATGGGCAAGGAGGATACGGAACAGTTGTATCAGAAATGGACGGAACAGGGAATGAGTTCGGTTATTGCTGCATTGGCACATACAAAGTGGGTTTTTGGAGCGTATAATCATAGTTTATAATGTTTTGAGTTTTGGTACTAGTGGTACCAGTAGTACCAGTTGTACCAGTAGTACCAGTGGTACCATTTTTTAAATTTTTTGGTTTTTAGTTTAATTTTTTTTTGTATTTTATGTTTTTTAATTAAAAAAAGTTTTTGAACTATTAGTACCACTGGTACAAAGTGGTACCGAATTTTCAAAAAAAATTTTTTTTTGATTTTTATGACGAATAGAAATATTGAAGTAAATTTTAAGCAGGTTTATTATTTTTAGATTAAAAAAGCATCGTGCACACGTTCGAAAGATGTTTGGCGAATGTACGAAGAATGCCAAGGACATTAGTTCACAAGCGAAATGTGTAGAAAAGCTGGATAACGGCGACTTTACACCTATTCTAGTGTTCGCTGGGAAGGTAAGACCTTTACTTCATTTTACTTTACTCTACCGTACGCTAATTTACCTTACCCTGCTCTACCATACCCTACCGTACCGTACCCTACCCTACCCTACCCTACTCTACGCTACCCTACCCTACCCTACCCTACCCTACCCTACCCTACCCTACCCTACCCTACCCTACCCTACCCTACCCTACCCTACCCTACCCTACCCTACTCTACCCTACCCTACCCTACTCTACCCTACCCTACCCTACCTTACCCTATCTTACCCTACCCTACTTTACCCTACCGTACGCTACCTTACCCTATCCTATCCTACCCTATCCTCATGCTACCGTAGCTCAGCGTACTTCTGCCTGCCTACCGTATTCTGCTTTCTTCTACCTTACTCTACATGGCCCTTTGTCTTACCCTACCTACATACCTTCCGAATTTACTCATCGTATAGCCACCTATTTACAGAGAAAAAAGCTGACCCGCCTAGAAAAGCTGAAAGAATTGCCCAATCCAGAAACTCCTAGGCTCAACCGCTTAAGGCATTCCTCACCATGGGTTGGGAACTTTAAAACCCTAAGGGTGAAAAGAGCATTGGAAGTTCATAGAAGTGAAAACTACCACTTGTATCGAAGTAAGGACGAGATGTCACCTTTTGGAAAGGTGGCCAAGACCTTGTTACAGTCGGTTTTGGAGGTCAAGAAGAAGGATATACACGACCGGTGGGTTGATGTGACAGTTTTTATGACATTTTGTGCTAAAGCTATTACATACATCAGCTAGAATTTCGAGCTTTTTTAGAAAAATGGTATTAGTGGTACTAATGGTAATAGTGGTATCGATGATACTTTTGGTACCAATTTTACAAGTATTTAGAATGTTTATAACGATAACGATGGCACTAATGGTACTAATGGCAGTTAACAAAAAACGGCCGATTTTGAAAGTGGAAGTTGGGTGAAAGATTCGTAATGTATTTTGCACTGAAAATCTTCCACTGAACTTCCACTTCCAAAAAGTTTTAAAAATGCATTTTTTGGCTATTATAAGACATTTTAAAGAATGGAATTTAAGTGGAAGATTTTCAGTGCAATTTACGTTACAAATCTTCCACTCAACTTCCATATTTTAAAATCGATTTTCTAATGTAAAAGCGACTACATTTTGGCTATTTTTGGGTTGCTTAGAAAGTGGTAGTCATGAATTTTAGTTCTAGTACTATTTTTTAGTACTACTAGTATCATTAGTACCAAAATTCCTATCTTTAAAATTTTTTTTAAAAATTTAATTTGAATATTTGAGTCACAACGAAAAACCTTACCAATACAGGCTTTGTAAACAACTTTTTTAACATTTTGTATTATTTTAGATGGGAACAAGTGATAGAACAAGCCCAGAATATCAATAAGGAAACCTCAAGATTATTCGAAAAGAGAGACGATTCTGATGAAAACCTAGACGATCCTTTGAAATTCAAGTCTATGGCCAAACAATATGAAAATAATGGGGTTATGGAACAGACTAAAAAGGTACCAAATTTTGTTTTTTTTAAACTTTTTATGCGGTACAAAGTGTACCAGTGGTACTATTTTACTTTTTTTGAGTTGAAGTTTGTTTTTTTTAGCATTTTAAGCCTTTTTTTTATAATTTTAAGACTTTTTTAGAAAATGGTACTAGTGGTACTAATGGTACTAGTGCTACCAGATTGTACTATTGGTACTATTTTTCAACTTTTTGTTCTTAAAATTATGTTTTATGTCTTTCTTGATTAAAAAATGACATTTTTGGAAAATGGTACTATTGGTACCACTGGTAGGTACTATTGGTACTAATTTCAATTTTTTTATTGAAAAAACATTTTTTAGGCTCTTTAAGACTTTTTTAGGCTCTTTAAGACCTCACCGAAAATGAAATTTGGTAAAAATGGTACTACTGGTACCGTTGGTACTACTAGTACTATTTTTAATTTTTTTATTAAAAAGGCATATTTTGGGCTTTTTATGACTTTTTATTATCAAAAAATGGCATTTTTAAAAAGTGGTACTATTGGTACCACTGGTACTGCTATTTTCAAAATTTTGCCTTTTTAGTCCATTTTACAAAAAATTCAATAAATTTTAAATTCCAGCTAGCCAAACTGCAAAAAATCGACGAAGATGATCCAAGCTCGCCCGACGTACTCAATGACATCGTATCAGAGTATGGCAAACAGAATAAGCCTAAAAGCCCGGAGGAAAAAATCACAAATTTGCTGAAGGATGGCATCAAGCTGGGCTATTCATTGGCTGGTCATGACACAAGTGACTTTGATGAAAAGTCAATGAGGATCGCTTCACCACGGTTCTTGAGCTTGATGCCTGAACTAAACTCTAAGAATCAGGTAACAAACTGACACTTCTGTAGCTTAAAGTTTAAAAATTGATTTTTGGTACCAATTTTTAGATTTTTGTTACCAATTTTTAGATTTTTGGTACCAATTTGTTGATTTTTGGTAGTATTTATTTGCTTTTCGGTACTATTTTTTCTTTCAGATACTAGTTTTTTTCGTTTTTAGGTACTAACTTTTCATTTTTAGTATTATTTATTTCTTTTTAGGTACTTATTTCGTACCAAAAAAAGTTATGGCGTTCTTTAAAAAGTGGAAGTTGAGTGGAAGATTTTTAGTGTAATTTGCACTGAAAATCTTCCACTGAACTCCCAACTCTAAAAAGTGTCAAAAACTTGTTTTTAGGCTATTTTAAGAAGTTTTGAAAGTGGAAGTTTAGTGGAAGATTTTCAGTGCAAATTACATTACAAATCTTCCATCGAACTTCCACTCCCAAAAATGCTCAAAAGCCTGTTTTTAGGCAATTCTAAGACATTTTGAAAATGGGAGTTAAGTGGAAGATTTTTATTGCAAATTACATTACCAATCTTCCACTCAACTTCCACTTTTATTCTACTTTTAAAACTTAATTTTTGGGTTGATAAACAAAATTCAACACTATTTTCAGCTAGACCTGGCTTCTCCATCACTGCTTTCCCTTCACAGTCAAGGTTCGGGGCTGGAGAACCTGACCAGTATACCAAGTTTATTGACCGGAATCAAAGACCAGGATCGACAGGCTTGGCTGGACTTGATTGTTGAAGCTTCTGGAGTTTCGGATCATCTGAAGGATTTGAGTAACGTAAGCTTTTTTGAATTTTGTAAACTAGGACTAATAGTACAATTAGTACCGTTTAGTATTAGTATCAAGTACTACTACTGCTAAGTAGTGCTAGTACTATATAGTATCAGTGCAGTTTTCTTTTTTTTATGGTTGAAGTGAGAGCAGGAGTAGGGTTAGTACTAGTACTAGTAGTACCACTGGTACTAACGGTACTACTGGTACAAAATTCTAATTTAAAAAAAACATTTTTTGTTTAAAATAGCCTAAAAACACGTTTTTGACACTTTTTGAGAGTGGAAGCTGGAAGATTTTCAGTGCAAAATACATTACGCTTGACTTCCACTTTTTTAAAATTGATTTTTTGGTCAAAAAGCGGCTATACTTTGGCAAATTTGGGGGTTTTTTAGAAAGTACTAGTCATCAAATTTAGTTTTAGTACAATTTTTAGTACTATTAGTACCACTAATACCAAAATTTCGAATTTTTTAAAATTTTTTGCGCTTTTAAATTTAATTCGAATTCAGAATTTAGACAAGATGAACGGCGCTTTCGAAGACGGTTTCGACAACTACCGTAATCTGGGCAAACGCAGCACGGATGGCATGCCGTTGTACTTCACCAAGGAGAATGTGACCAAAGTTTATGGCAAAAAAGGCGAGGACAATGTGGAACATTGGGAAACGTTGAACAGAATGATATCAAAAGAGCAGGTAATACTATATAGCATGGCATTACTGTAGTTTTAATAAGTGTATAGATAGGGCAGGGACAGTTTAGGCCTGAGAAAGGCTTGTACTGGACTGGAGAAGGCATTAAGGAGGGGTAAGGTGTTGGGATGGGAGGGTGTAATAGGTAGGGTAGGGCCAGTCTAAGTCTGGAAAAGGTTTGTACTGGTCTGGGAAAGCATTATTAAGGAGGCGGGAACTGGATAGGGCCAGTTCAGGCTTTGTCAAGGCTTAGTGTAGGTCTTAAAAAGGCTTGTCCTGGCCTGGAAACTGCATTATGGAGTGGGGGGAGAGGGCAGTTTTCATGCCATTTCTTCTTTTGTAAACAAAGTTTTTGTCATTCTTATAAGAAACAACGAAAGCTCAGTGTATTCTTAACATTATTTTCAAATTTCGTAAAATTCCAAAGTCAATAACAAAAGTTATGGCACTTGAAAAATGTGGAAGTTGAATGGAAGATTTGTAATGTATTTTGCACTAAAAATCTTCCATTTAACTGCCATGACAAAAAAGTTTTAAGAGAACTTAAAAACACGTTTTTAAGAGTTTTTAGAAGTGGACGTTTGGTGGAAGATTTTCAGTGCAAAATACATTACAAATCTTCCATCCAACTTCTATTTCCAAAAAGTGTTAAAAAGTCATTTTTAGGCCATTTTAAGACATTTTAAAAATGGAAGTTGAGTGGAAGATTTTCAGTGCAAAATACATTACAAAGCTTCCACTCAACTTCCACTTTTAAAAAAGACGTTTTTTTGGTTTTTACTTGAGCTTTTTGGTATTTTTTGGGCTGTAAAGAAAGTTTTTGATAATTTTTTTCATTTTTATGATAGTTTTTACAAATTTGGATATCTATGTTAATATAAAATGGCATTTTTTTTAGTTAAAAGATATGAACTCAACTGGCTTCGCGATCTTAACTCCACAACAACAAGCCTTTATGTATGGCAAAAAGTCGCCGTACGCGGATTCTGGAGCTCTGAAGCGTTTCCAGAATCTGACCAAAGAGGACGTCTATTCAGAATTGGACAAAGATGTCAAAGCCTTGGCCGACTCGGGCTCTAGGCTTGATACTAGGCTTAAGGATGTGGTGTTGTCGCCGATTACCTTCACCTACATCGTGAACACCTTCAACTACGGGTCATCGACGATTCTGTCGCCGTTGGCGTTCTCGCCGTCGATTCTGTCGCCGACCGTGTTCGGGCCGATGATCGTGTCGCCGTGGATCTTTTCGCCTCAAATTTTGTCGCCAAAGTTGTTCTCGCCTCTGATTCTGGCTCCGTACATCTTCTCGCCGCTGATCTTGTCGCCGCTCAACTTTCACGTTCAGATTCTGTCGCCCGGGATTTTTAATCCGCACGTTCTGACACCGTTCCTACTGTCTCCGCTGATTTTAACTCCTCAGGCAAGTTTTTTTTGAAATGGAGGGTAGGGTAGCGTAGGGTATGGTTGGTTTTGGAAGGGGTAGGGTAGAGACAGAATAGTATCAGTATAGGGTAACAAAGAGCAGAGCAGGGTAGGGTGAGGTTTTGGGGTAGGTAGGGTATAGACAGAATAGTATCAGTAGCGCAGTACTATTATAGGACTAGGATATTAGGCTACAGAGGGTTACTGTAGTAGCACGGCAGGGCTGGGTAAGGTAGGCTAGGCTAAGGCATATGTAGGAATAGTCAACTACGGTAGGTATAAGAAAGTTACACTGGGCTACGGTAGAACTACAGTAAGAAAGTCGGGGTGACTGTAAGACAGCATACTGAAGTCCAGGTCAAGGTAGGGCTAGAGTAGTACTAGGCTAGGTTCATGCTAATGCTACAATAGGTATGACAGTAGTACGCTGTATTACATTAGGGTTATAGCGAGGTTATAAGAGGGTTACCGTGGTAGTTAGGTAGGGTTGGTAGAGTTGTCACAGCAAGAAGGGTAGGGCAGGGCAGGGCAGGGCACTGTAGGTATAAAGTAGGGTAGGGTAGGATAGGGTAGGGTAGGGTAAAATAGGGTAGGGTAGGGTAGGGTAGGGTAGGGTAGGGTAGGGTAGGGTAGGGTAGGGTAGGGTAAGGTAGGGTAAGGTAGGGCAGGGTAGGGTAGGGTAGGGTAAGGTAGGGTAGGGTAGGGTAGAGTAGGGTAGGGTAGGGTAGGGTAGGGTAGGGTAGGGTAGGGTAGGGTAGGGTAGGGTAGGGTAGGGTAGGGTAGGGTAGGGTAGGGTAGGGTAGGGTAGGGTAGGGTAGGGTAGGGTAGGGTAGGGTAGAGTAGGGTAGGGTGGGGTAGGGTAGGTTGTGTTAAGGGGGTGGATGCCTACTTTAAGACTATTCAAGCTTTATTTTAGGTATCAAAACATAATAAACTTTACTTTTTAGGTATTCTCACCACTAATCCTATGTCCGCAAGTGTTGACACCATTGATTCTGAACCCTTCCGTGGGATCGCCCAAAGTCTTGTCGCCATTCGTCTTGTCGCCGTCGATCTTTTCGCCGCAGGCATTAAGTGCTTTGGTACTATCTCCGTACGCCATAAGTCCATTGTTCTACTCTCGGGTCGTGTTCTTCCGACTTATTTTGTCGCCATCGATCCTCAGTTAACAGGATGTTATAGTAGACAGTAATATTGGATGTTATAGTAGGCGGTAATATTGTTTTAGGTATTGTTATTGACCGGTGAACTTGAATTTTCTTAATATTTTGTTTTATTCATGACTTATTTAATCATATCTTACTTTATTTGTATTATAATTTGTTCTCAAAACAGTATTTATTGGAAATGTGGACGAAGTGTCACAAATTTTATCAAATTTCTTAATTTTAATGAATTGATGTCTTTCTTGGCTTGAGTTATATTTATTGTTTTTAAAACCACTTATTAAACCTTATTAATGTTATTTATTAATAAATTAACTTATATTTCATAGGCATTGTCTAAACAAACATAAACTTCCGTATAAAACCTCTGCAGCCTGCAAAGTCTAGGGCGCAGCTACAAAAAAGGCCGCGTTAATTTTTCGACGGATTTTTAGTGAAGAAAGGGTAATAGCTTGTAAATTGTAGCATATTTCTCAACTCTTCAACTTATAAACATTAAAAATGGCTTCGAAGGTATGTTTAATATTATTTCTAAGTTTTTTTATAAATTTTACTAATTTTAGGACGAACAACAAAGAAAAAAGAAGGAATCTATTGTGGAATTGGCCAGATTCATCGACAAAAGAGTCCGTGTGAAGTTCCAAGGCGGCAGAGAAGGTAAATTTTACATTTTGATTTTTGATTATGTTTTTAGGCGGATATTAAACTAGATTTGAGGTTTATTTGGTTGATTTTAAGGTATGAGAAAGAAAAGAGGTATAGGTGTTGGATGGGTCATGGAGAATATAGTTTTGCCGCTGTTAGAGTTGGTTTTTGTCTTAGATTGTTTCTTTGAAGTTTTAAAAAGTTATTTTACAACTTTGAGTTAATTTTGACGATTCTAAAGACTAAATTCGATGGATAGCGGTTAAAAATTGAGAGTAATATCAGGTGTTGACATGAATAATTTAATTTTTTTTATTAGAAGTTATTCCTGGGTTTAGGTGTGTGTGTAATAGCTTTTTCATTGTGTTATACAGTTTTTGTTAAGTTTGAGGATTGTAGAATTAATATTAATTGTTTTATGACTAAAAGTGTGGAATAACATCAAGTACTGTCATATATAATAATGTTTTGGTCAATAGCTTTTGGCTCAATGTTTCAATTTATGTAAAACTGTTTGGAAGACTTAGATATACGTTTTTAGAAGCTACTATTTGTATATATACATAGTTTCATCTTCAAAATTTAGTTCTCCGATCTAAATCTCAGTCCCACTCATGACCAATATAATTTTCTAAATTCTAGCTACCGGAATCCTAAAAGGCTACGATGCGTTGTTGAATTTGGTACTTGATGATACAGTGGAGTTTCTGCGAGATCCAGAAGATTTGTTACGAATTACTGATGAAACCCGGAGCTTGGGATTGGTTGTAGCACGAGGTACGGCAATCACGGTGGTGGCGCCGAACGACGGAGTGGAAAATATTGAGAATCCTTTTGTTCAGGAATAATTATTGGTCTCATGCGTTAATTAAAGTCATATTTTAATTTTTAGTCGTTGTTTGAAAGAGCTAAGGGTAATATTGTTGTAGGTATGAATGGGTTGAGGGGAAATGGCTGTAACTTTTAAGAAGTTGAGTATTAAGGTTCGTCTTTTTGGGGGATGCGTAGCAAAATCAATGTGCTACAATGTCTCAAAATTTCAAAGTTCTATCTTGTTTTTGAAAAAAGTTGTGACAAAAAGTTCTTCACGATACCTGATCTACTACAACATCAAACAAGAAAATCTTCATTATTTATAAATTTATTGACAAAGTACGACTATCATTAATGAAAGACGTCAAAATCCAACAACAAAATGCGAAATTAAAAATAAAAATCAAAAAGGTAATATTGAAAATGTCAGTTTCAACGCATTAGCGCAATAATTTGTTCTCGCAAAAGCCCAAAGTACTTTGGTTGTTGGGCCTCGTTCTCGAAAACGTGTCGATAATCACGGTAAACCACGCTCCAGCCATATAATGTGAATGCGAACGCTAGTAATAGCAGAATGAAGAAGAATACGAAGCCAACGGTGTAGAGTTCGGCGATCAGGTTATAGATTATCGACCAGATCAAGGCGAATACTATGAAGAGCTAAAATGCGAGTTTTTAATCCAAAATGATTGTTTACAAGCTGTAAAATGACAAAAAAATCGTTAACAGATCGCAAAATGGCAATAACTTTCTTTACAAAACCTAAAAAGGACTTTTTTAAAAAGTGGAAGTTGAGTGGAAGATTTCCAGTGCAAAATACATTACAAATCTTCCATTCAAATTCCACTCCTTAAAAAGTGCCATAATTTTTCAAACAAATAAAAAAATTTTAAAAATACTGAAAAGCAATACCACTGGCACTTCATTACACTATAAAAACCAAAAGTGGTACCAATGGCACTACTAGTACCTTCAAAAATAAAATTTTCTAAAATTGCAAAACATACTGTCACAATTAAAAATGCAAAGTAACCAATGTCAATTTGTCGTAGATTTGCCAAAATCGCAACCAAGTTTATGCACACACCCCCGAAACATAAAAGGAACACTAGCCAATGTAATGTAGGTATTGATACGACTGCCAAAATCAACCAGATCCCCGCTGTCACTCCACATACTATCTTTACTAGGTCCTGAAATGGCGGTAAACATCATATTTTAGAATTTTTTGTCACTGGAAATAAAATTTTTGCATTTTTAAAAAGTGGAAGTTGAGTGGAAGATTTGTAAGGTATTTTGCACTGAAAATCTTCCACCAAACTTCCACTTCTAAAAAGTGTCAAAAAGTCATTTTTAGGCAATTTTAAGACATTTTTAAAGTGGAAGTTAGGTGGAAGGTTTTCAGTGCAAAATACATTACAAATCTTCCACTAATCTTCCACTTTTTTAAAACTTTGAAAACATACATGTACATGAATTCCCCTGAAGCCATAGAGGTAATCTTCACCTCGGTCTGCTAGCGGAGCTTTAATACGGTTCCTGAAGGCTTCCATTCAACTAAAATTAGATTGCTTTATCATTCACAAGCTGAGAATCAGATGGACAATAACATAGAACGCTCAGGAAATGAGAACTATACCATAATATACCCTACCTTACCCTATTCTACCCTACCCTACCCTTACGCCCATCGTATCCTCCTGCATTGCCCTACCTTATCATTAAAAACTTCAAATTTTAAAGTTTACCGGTCGATTACAAGTACATAACGTAATAGATAACCCCAAAAAAAACTAATGTACCATAAAAAAGTAATTAAAAACGGAAAAAAAACAAAATTTTTGCACATTTCATAAAAATCTTTAAAAACTTTATCCAGTACATACATAAAAATCAACCGGTCGACATCCTGATAACCCAAATTTTCCAAAAAAATCTTTAAAATTCTCAAATGTTCGGCCCCGAAAAACAAATTTTAACAATTTTCGACAAACATTGTAAATAAAGTTTAGGTTTATCATGTTCTGCAGCCTGCGTGTGACAAGTTATACGCAGAATACAAAATACCGCCATTTTTTGCTTTGTAAACAAAGTTTTTGTCATTTTATGATCTGTAAAGAAAGTTCTTGCCATTTTTTGTTTTGTAAACAAAGTTCTTGCCATTTTTCGTTTTGTAAAGAAAGTTCTTGCCATTTTGTGTTTTGTAAAGAAAGTTCTTGCCATTTTTCGTTTTGTAAAGAAAGTTCTTGCCATTTTTTGTGGTGTAAAGAAAGTTCTTGCCATTTTGTGTTTTGTAAAGAAAGTTCTTGCCATTTTGTGTTTTGTAAAGAAAGTTCTTGCCATTTTGTGTTTTGTAAAGAAAGTTCTTGCTATTTTTTGTGGTGTAAAGAAAGTTCTTGCCATTTTGTGTTTTGTAAAGAAAGTTCTTGCCATTTTGTGTTTTGTAAAGAAAGTTCTTGCTATTTTTTGTGGTGTAAAGAAAGTTCTTGCCATTTTGTGTTTTGTAAAGAAAGTTCTTGCCATTTTTTGTGTTGTAAAGAAAGTTCTTGCCATTTTGTTGCGTAAAGCCAAAAAAATCAAAAAAATTTTAAAAATTCAAAAAAATGTTGAAAACCCTAGCCTAAGGGGTGGAAACCTGTACATATCAACGTAATAAATTATTAAAAATTAAAAAAAAACAAGAAACAAGAGGATAACAGGGGTTGGGTAAACAGCACTCCGAGCGATCTGTTTGAGATTTTGAATAAACAAACAGTCGAGGATAACGACAATTGTGCTGGCAACATATTTGGCCGCGTGTTCATGCTGTTTGGACTTATGTTTTTTGCAAACCGAACAGAAACAGAAATTGCAAGAACTTTATTTACAAAACAAAAAATAGCAAGAATTTTCTTTACAAAACATAAAATGGCAAGAATTTTCTTTACAAAACAAAAAATGGCAAGAACTTTCTTTACACCACAAAAAATGGCAAGAACTTTCTTTACAACACAAAAAATGGCAAGAACTTTCTTTACAAAACACAAAATGGCAAGAACTTTCTTTACACCACAAAAAATGGCAAGAACTTTGTTTACAAAACACAAAATGGCAAGAACTTTCTTTACAAAACACAAAATGGCAAGAACTTTCTTTACACCACAAAAAATGGCAAGAACTTTCTTTACAAAACACAAAATGGCAAGAACTTTCTTTACAAAACACAAAATGGCAAGAACTTTCTTTAAAAAACAAAAAATAGCAAGAACTTTCTTTACAAAACAGAAAATGACAAGAAGTTTCTTTACAGAACAAAAAATGGCAAGAACTTTCTTTACAACACAAAAAATGGCAAGAACTTTCTTTACAACACAAAAAATGGCAAGAACTTTCTTTACAACACAAAAAATGGCAAGAACTTTCTTTAAAAAACAAAAAATAGCAAGAACTTTCTTTACAAATTCAAAAATTGGCTAAAGATTGTTCAACAATGACCTAAAATACCCAAAAAAGCGAAGAAATTACTGAAAAAACTTTGTTTCCAGCCCGCCAATTCAACTTTTTCCCCTTTTTTTGTAAACCAAACAAAAAACAAGGCTTCAAAGATCCCAATTAACGATTACCACGCCGTATTTGTGTTATGATTCACGAGAAAATAGATAAAACAATGGGTAAGACTATCAATTCCCACAAAAAGTAAACAATAAAGGGGCTCGGAATTAATTATTTATGGAGTAAAACCTGTTATCTCAACACTTTTCGACATTCAAACCTGCATTTACTTTGTTTACAAACAAATTTTTATTTTAAAATTGGGTTTTCGAAAGAAAAATGGTTAAAACTTTCTTTACAAAACACAAAATGGCAAGAACTTTCTTTACAAAACACAAAATGGCAAGAACTTTTTTTTACAAACTGCAAAAGCCAACAAAAAATCACATTTCTCTCCACAGATAATTAAATTCCTTTTAAAACGATTAAAAAAGAGCCTAAAACCACATTTTCAAAAAATGGAAATATGGAAGGTTTTTAGTGTATTTTGCACTGAAAATCTTCCACTCAACTTTCATATTAAAAAAGTCTTAAAATGGCTTAAAAATGAGTTTTTGGCACTTTTTAGAGGTGGAAGTTTGATGGAAGGTTTTTAGTGTATTTTGCACTGAAAATCTTCCACTTGACTTCCACTTTTTTAAAATGTCATATCTTTTGTTATAGACTATAAAATTGTAAAAATATTTAAAAAACTGCAAAAACTTTCTTTCCAATTATATTTTCATATACTTTTAGATGCCTCACCTAAAAACAGTACTAGTAAGACCACTGAATTGAAGACCAAGTTCCTAGTGGTCCTCATGGGTATTACAGCTACTTGCCTAGCCTTTTGCTGTAAATTCCTTGGTGGTATCTTCTACGTAGTAATAGCGACATTAGGTGCTACATCAGGGCCAATAGCTGGTGTCTTCCTACTAGGCTTATTGGTACCGAAAGCCAACAAAAATGGTGCACTTTTCGGATTTTTTGTGTCTACAGTAGTAATGATCGCGATTACTGTAAAAAATAACATTGAAAAACCATACAGTAACTATGTACTGCCCATGATTGATGAAGACAGTACCTGGGGCAGTTGTACTAATGTGACTAGAGAGAGTATTAGTACTATTAGAAGGTATTACAGTGGAAAGGGCAAAGAGTACCATTATGGAGCACCTGGTACTAGTCCAATGGCTAGGTTGTCTTCTTATGCTTATTCTCCGACTGGTAAGTTGAATTTCAAGCAGAAATGACTCAAGTTTGGCATGAAAAGCTAGTTTGAAAAGTGGAAGTTGTGTGAAAGATTTGCAATGTATTTTTCGCTGAAAATCTTCCACTCAACTTCCATTTTGAAAATGGCTTAAAATGGCTTGAAAACACGTTTTTAAGTGTTTTTAGAAGTGGAATTTCCGTGGAAGATTTTCAGTGCAAAATACATTACAAATCTTCCACTCAACTTCCACTTTTTAAAATGCCATAACTTTGTTTTCATTAATAAATATGGTCTAAATACTGATATTATTGTGTCAGATGGCATTTTCTTTCCAAAAAAGGCAAAAAATGGCAATAACGTTCTTTACAAAACCATAAAACCGCAATAACTTTGTTTACAAGCCCCCAAAATCTTAAAAATTGCTAAAATACTCACTTTCAAGGTATGAAATGGCACTTACTTTTCAAGAAATAACTAAAAAATGGTAAAAACTTTCTTGATAAAACCATAAAACCGCAAAAACTTTGTTTACAAGCCCGAAAACCTCAAAAACGGTCGAAAATCCATCAAAACCCCCAAAAACTGATAGTAACATAATGGAAAAGCTATGAAAAGATCAAGTTTTTTTTTATTTTGTTTAGCGATTGAGTCAGGTGGAACTTAAAAAAGATGAACCTTTAGCTATTTTGCAAAAAAAAGAGAAAAAAGTCGCCGTTGGGGGAGATCATGGTGAATATAGCGAGCAAAGAACGGTTTAAAGCTTGAAAATAAGGTGAAAACTTTGTTTACAGGGTAGAGAAAGGCTTGTGTTTTCATAATTTTACTAAAAACGGTTAAAATTTGGTCTGTAAAACATAAAATGGCACGTTTAAAAAAGTGGAAGATGAGTGGAAGATTTGTAATGTATTTTGCATAAAAAATCTTCCACTTAGCTTTGATTTTTAAAAATTCTTAAAATGACTTAAAAAGACGATTTTGACACTTTTTAGAAGTGGAAGTTTTGTGGAAGATTTGTAATGTATTTTGCACTGAAAATCTTCCACCAAACTTCTATATCTAAAAGTGGTCGAAAACGTGTTTTTAGGTCATTTTAAGACATTCAAAATTTTTTTTAATTTTGGTTTTGTACCAGTAGTACCATTAGTACCAAAAGTAGTACTAGAAATACCCATATTCTTACTTTTATTTTACTTCGCTCATAAAAGAACAAAGATCGGTATTAGTACTACATGACATGATACGGTTTTGTACTGGTACTACTTTGTACTATTATACTTATACCAGTTAATACTAATACCGTCTTCAAAATTTGCTTAAAGCCAATATTTATTCAAAAATACTTAAAAACTATAAGAAATCAATACTCAATCCCAATATCCTTATCAGTTGTATTCCTGGAGACTTCTAGAACATCCTCTTCGACCTCTGCCAGCTCTCCGATTGGTTCTTCTTTGTACAATTGGTACACTAGGTCGCCCAGAAACCAAACCGAATCTCGATGGTTCAGCTTTTCCAACTGAAAATGGAAGAAACTTTGTTTACAAAACAGAATAATGAATTTTTTTATATATATAAAGATAAAAATAAGCCTAAAAGAAGTTTTGTAAGCCTAAAGCACATTATGTAAGCCCACAAATGGTACCACTTTTTTGTGGTACCAAGTGTACCAGTAGTATCAACAGTACAATTTCTGAAAAAATCTCTTAAAAAACGTGTTTTTAGGCCATTTTTAAACGTTTAAAACCGGAAATTTACAAAAAACGACCAATGTTGAAAGTGGAAGTTCGGTGGAAGATTTGTAATGTATTTTGCACTGAAAATATTCCACCAAAATTCCACTCCCAAAAAGCGTCAAAATCGTGTTTTCAAGCCATTTTAAGACTTTTTAAAAATGGAAGTTAAATGGAAGATTTTCAGTGCAAAATACATTACAAATCTTCCACTCAACTTCCATTTTTTTAAAACTGCCAAAACATTATTTTTTTTAGCAAAAACTGACAAAACTAATCATTTAAAATGAAAAATACAATCATTTTGGTCTGTACTCACCACAATCAATGTGTGATAATGATCATTCTTCTTGATCTCATGCTGTGTTTCATTGATTGGTCCAACGATATCGTCGTCAATGCTTTCGATCCCTAATATCCGGGTTTTTGCTTCGTATCGGTAGCTGTAAATGGAAAAAATTAATGTTTTAAGTAAATTCAAAGCTAGCTTTGCAGTGTTTAAGCCCAGTATAAGTTTAAGATGGGAATGCCAAGAAATGGAAATTTGGCGGGACAATCGAAATTTAAATTTTTAAACGTTTAAAATTGAATTTTTAACACGTTTTTTAAATTTTGACGTCTGGAAGAACTAATTTTACATGTAATATCATAAAATGTCATAAAATACCTCTTAAAACAGAATGCCAAGTTTAGCGGGCAAATATACATTCAAATTTTTTATTCTTAAAATATGCTAAAAATTAAAATTCTAAGCTTAAAATGAATCAACATAAACATATTTTTCAAAAATAAGTTAAAATACACCCTTAAAACATAATGCCAAAGTTGGCGGAAAAATCAAAATTCAAATTTTAATCTTGTAAAAAACTTCAAATAAGTAAAAAAAAATTAAAGCGTTACTTACGCAGTGTTAATATCAGTTAGAAAAGCACTTTCACCGTCTGGATTGAGTCCATTTACAGGATTACACAGTTCATACTTGGGGTCATCTCTGCACTCGATCATACCACGATGAGCTCCAGCGACACCCAGCCAGGTACGAATACGTGAGGTTAGTGGGTCACCTAGATCGTCTCCTGTGTCCACACATTTGCCTCCTATAATATATTACTTTAGATATGACTTTTGCACCCTACCCTACCTTTCACTAGCTTTCACTACAGTACCCTTCCTTACCTTAGTATATATTACTTTGTCCTACTGTATTCTCCGTCACCTTACTGTATGTTCATCTACTCTACAGTACCCCGACCTAAACCTACCGTTTCTTGCCTTACCGTACTGTAAACTTTCTTACAGTGCCCTACCTAACCTATCCAACACTACTGTACCTTCTTCTACCCCCCCCCCATCCCTCCCCACCCACGCCCAAAAAACAAAAAAACCTACCCAAAATAGCCTTCTTCGAGAAAGCCACGCCCATTGAGAATCCAATCACATCAACTTTCGGGTACGTTGTGTAGTTTAACACAGCTTCAATCATATTCCTCACCTGCTTTATATAACTACAGTAAGCCCTGTCATGCATGTAGTTGGTACCAGTCACATTTTTGCCATAAGTGGTACTATAAACCTCAGAAAAAGAGTACCCATGAGCATGGAATGGCTTCAACACGTAGTCCAGGTCCTTGGCACGACGAGTTTGACCGTGAACAAAGACTATTGGGACTTTACTGAAAATATCAATCGGCATATAAAAGTTTTAAAAGTGCCATAACTTTTTGGACCATTTTCGAAATTTTGTGAAATTTGGTCATCATTTCAGAAATAGTAGCTAATTTTTAGCAAAATTTAAAAACTTTTAAAATTTTGATTTAAAACATCAAAAAAACGAATTTAAAAATGTGAAAGTAAGTGGAAGCTTTGTAATGTATTTTGCACTGAAAATCTTCCACTCAGCTTCCATTTTTAAAATGTCTTAAAACGGCCTAAAAACACGTTTTTGACACTTTTTAGATGTGGAAGTTTGGTGGAAGATTTTCAGTGCAAATTAGATTACAAATCTTCCACCAGACTTCCACATTTTTAAAAGTGTTGTAACTTTATTTCCAATTTTAAAAAAACTTTGAAATTTGGTCAGAATATCAAAAATACTCTTACAATCAACAAAAACTGTAAAAATTGCAAGAACTTTCTTTACAAGCTCTAAAAATTGCATTTTTCCCCTATAAAAGCCCAAAAACATAATAAAAACATCAAAAACAAGCCAAAAACCCACTTTAATTTAGGTACGCCTTCCTCATCCGACCCTCCAAATGATCCTCGTTCACCTTCATCATCTCTAGCCAGTTCGGAAGCAACTTTCTTTCCAAAATTTTGTTCAATATGAGCTCGGAATGGCTTTGAAATGGTCGAATTGGTCTTGTAGAGGAATATAAGACATAGTAAACCCGTTAGTAACCAGAAGTTCATCTGAAATTGAGTAGAATCAGTAAAAGCTTGGCCTGTAAAACAAGAGATAGCATGTTTTAAAAAGTGGAAGTTGAGTGGAAGATTTGTAATGTATTTTGCACTGAAAATCTTCCACTCAACTTCCATTTTCAAAAAGTGTTAAAAATGTGTTTTTAAGCTATTTTAAGACATTTTAAAAGTGGAAGTTTGGTGGAAGATTTTCAGTGCATAATACGTTACAAATCTTCCACTACACTTCCACTTTTAAATATGCTCAAAAACATGTTTTTAGGCTATTTTAAGACATTTTAGAAATGGTTATTTATAAAAAAAAACTTTTTTTATAAATAACCAAAAATTGTAAAAAAGGGCAAGCCGCTGTAAAATTGAAATGCCTACCATGCCTAATCAAAAAATATTAAAATTTTAAATTGCAAACTGTTAAAAAAAATTTAAAAAACTTTGTCTATAGGCCAAAAGAACGCAAAAACAGACAAAGAAAGCCCTGAAAAATGTTCAAATTAGCAAAAAATCTAAAATTAAACCACTATAAGAAATGTATCATACTATAATCAATGCAAATCGACTAAAGAACGCAAAAAATTACTGCGGAAAGAAGGATTTATGGTCGAAAAAGAGGTATACCTCCGCTGTTTTCACGTGAAAAAAACGTAAAATTCGAAAGGTTAAAGAAACAAGAGCGCGCTTTTTTTGTTTGTTCAAAAAAGATTGTCTAGATTAACAGTCATTGTGAAAATGGCAACAATCTCTTAAATAATTATGAATCATTTAGCCTTTGGGCAAATATAAAATTTTTTTTATTCCGGAACTGAAATTAGTTTACTGTAAGCAAAACCGACCTCGAGGGCTGGGGGGAGGAACAGGGGGGGTACTCCACCATTCAGAAAAAAAAATTGAAAAAAGTTGAACGTGGTCCCTCCCCTCTGTGCATTTTTTTGACCCCCGCCCTCAGACCAAAAGTGCCAAAGTAGCTAGAGTAGGACAAAGCTATCGTATGTAAGGCTAAGGCAGGATATGACTAGCACAGAATAAAGCTGGGTGAAGTAAAGCTAGCGTAATGTGGAACTATAGTAGGCAGGGCCGGGCGGGGACTTTTGGTCTGGGGTCCAAAAAATCCACAGGGGGGACCACGTTCAACTTTTTTTCAAAAAATTTTTTTCTGGGGGGGGTGTACTCCCTCCCCCCTCCCCCCCCTCCCCCTCGCGCCCGGCCCTGATAGTAGGTAATACTAATGTAAGGCAAGACTATAGAAAAGTAAGGCTAAGGTATAATAAACCCAAGTTAGAAAAAGGTAGATTAAAAACAAGATAGGGTGAAGCGAGGGTAAGGTATAGTAAAGCTAGGGCAGTGTAACACTAAGATTGGGTGGGATAAAGCTAAGACAAGGTAAGAGTAGGGTGAAGTAAAACTAAGATAGGGTAATACTAAGGCTAAGGAAAGGCCAAGTTAGGGTAAGGTAGAGAAAAGTTATGATATGTTAAGGCACGGCTAGGGTAAGACTAAAGCAAAGTAAGGCTAAGGTAGAGTAGGGTAACGCTAAAGCAAAGTCAAGCTAAGGTACAGGGTAAAGCTGTAGCAGAGAAGAGCTAAGATAGGATACGGCAAGAGGAACCCAGAGCTAAGTCTAAGGCTAGTGATTAAGAAAGGCTAGACTAAAGCTAGGCTTAAAGTAAAGCAAACTTTTAATAAAAAGGTTACTGTGTGTAGACCTTATAACTAAAATCGTTTTAGAATTTAGAAAAGCAAACAATGTATTTTATAAAGATTCCTTTTTCAAACGTAAATTATGTTTATCTTAAGAGCATTATATTACACCCAGATTGATACTAATGGCCGATTGTGAAATAAACCGGTTTTTATCAAAAGAAAATGATTTTTAGTCTACAAAACTATTTTCTAGACTAAACTAACTATAGCAATCAGGGCCGGGCGCGAGGGGGGACGGGGGGGGGTACCCCCCTCCCAGAAAAAAAATTTTTGAAAAAATGTGAACGTGTTCCCCCCTGTGGATTTTTTGGACCCCTGCCCCCAGGGAGAAAAAAAGAGAAGGGCAGGGAAGGAAAGAGCAGGGAAGGGCTGAGCAGAAAAGAGCAAGGAAGAGCAGGGCGGGGAAATGCAGGGAAGCAGGTTTGAAAAATGCTGAACGTGGTCCCTCCTGTGAATTTTCGGAAAAAAAATTGCAAAAAATCGGCACAGAGCTACCTGTGCCGATTTTTTGGACCCCTGCCCCCAGACCAAAAGTCCCCGCCCGGCCCTGATAGCATTGTACTAAACTTACTATTGTAATGGCGACTAAAGCTAAACTTAGTAAGCCTCACTATATACAAAGTAAATCAAGATTCTAAGTCTACGGTTCTGACCATATAAAACAAAGAAAGCATAGTAAACTGATCTAGCACAATAAGTCGAGTACTAAATAAAAACATTATTTTCAGCGGCATTACTTAATGTGATAGCCTTAGAGAAATTGCAAGAAATGATGTTACGTAACGTTTTCTTATGTAATATTAAAACTTCATATAATATTTGCCCCGATGTAAAACGACCCAACAAATTACTGCGAGTGCTGGGATTTTACTCCGTTTCACCGCGGGGCAATCTTCGTTCTCTACTACAATCTTTTTCTGATCTTTAGCTTGAGCATTGTTCTAAGCCTAATCTTGAGTCTGTGCTTGAGCCTAAAGTTCATTCTGTGCTTAAGCCTAAGTTTAAGCCTAAGCCTAAGCCTAAGCCTAGCTCTAAGTCTAAGCCTAAGCCTAAGCCTAAGCCTAAGCCTAAGCCTAAGCCTAAACCTAAGCCTAAGCCCAAGCCTAAGCTTAAGCCTAAGCCTAAGCTTAAGCCTAAGCCTAAGCCTAAGCTTAAGCCTAAACCTAAGCTTGAACCTAAACATAAATCTAAGCCTAAGCCTAAACCTAAATCTAAGCCTAAGCCTAAACCTAAACATAAAGCTAAGCCTAAGCCTAAACCTAAACATAAAGCTAAGCCTAAGCCTAAACATAAATCTAAGCCAAGCTCTAAGCCTAATTCTAAGCCTAGCTCTAAGCCTAAGCCCAAGCCTAAGCCTAAGCCTAAGCCTAAGCCTAAGCTTAAGCCTAAGCCTAAGCCTAAGCTTAAGCCTAAGCCTGAACCTAAACGTAAATCTAAGCCTAAGCTTAAACCTAAACATAAATCTAAGCCTAAGCCTAAGATTACTACATACGTTTTAGCTAATGACATGCCAAAAATCTGAAATGCTTTTTTATTGTACAAAGGTTTTAAAAAATATAAAATATTAGAAAATTTCACGTTGAACCATCCCTTGTAGGTACAGCAGGTAAAGGCACATCTAATCCTTTGAGTGTACAAGCAAATGAAATCTGCTGTTTTTGAGGATTCATCTTTTGTTTCCATATTAAACTAACCAAAACACCAATTATTATTGTCATAAATGTGCCTAAAATACGTTTTTTAAATCAATTGGACTAGACTATAGTGTTTTAAAACATGTGGAAGTTGAGTGAAAGATTTGTAATGTATTTTGCACTGAAAATCTTCCACGGAAATTCCACTTCTAAAAACACTTAAAAACGTGTTTTCAAGCCATTTTAAGCCATTTTCAAAATGGAAGTTGAGTGGAAGATTTTCAGCGAAAAATACATTGCAAATCTTTCACACAACTTCCACTTTTCAAACTAGCTTTTCATGCCAAACTTGAGTCATTTCTGCTTGAAATTCAACTTACCAGTCGGAGAATAAGCATAAGAAGACAACCTAGCCATTGGACTAGTACCAGGTGCTCCATAATGGTACTCTTTGCCCTTTCCACTGTAATACCTTCTAATAGTACTAATACTCTCTCTAGTCACATTAGTACAACTGCCCCAGGTACTGTCTTCATCAATCATGGGCAGTACATAGTTACTGTATGGTTTTTCAATGTTATTTTTTACAGTAATCGCGATCATTACTACTGTAGACACAAAAAATCCGAAAAGTGCACCATTTTTGTTGGCTTTCGGTACCAATAAGCCTAGTAGGAAGACACCAGCTATTGGCCCTGATGTAGCACCTAATGTCGCTATTACTACGTAGAAGATACCACCAAGGAATTTACAGCAAAAGGCTAGGCAAGTAGCTGTAATACCCATGAGGACCACTAGGAACTTGGTCTTCAATTCAGTGGTCTTACTAGTACTGTTTTTAGGTGAGGCATCTAAAAGTATATGAAAATATAATTGGAAAGAAAGTTTTTGCAGTTTTTTAAATATTTTTACAATTTTATAGTCTATAACAAAAGATATGACATTTTAAAAAAGTGGAAGTCAAGTGGAAGATTTTCAGTGCAAAATACACTAAAAACCTTCCATCAAACTTCCACCTCTAAAAAGCGCCAAAAACTCATTTTTAAGCCATTTTAAGACTTTTTTAATATGAAAGTTGAGTGGAAGATTTTCAGTGCAAAATACACTAAAAACCTTCCATCAAACTTCCACCTCTAAAAAGTGCCAAAAACTCATTTTTAAGCCATTTTAAGACTTTTTTAATATGAAAGTTGAGTGGAAGATTTTCAGTGCAAATTACATTACAAATCTTCCACTCAACTTCCACTATTTTAAAACCTGTTTTAAAGCTATAAACAAAATTTTTACCGTTTTCTCCATTCTTTAGTAATTTTTCATTAACATCCTTCATATTTTGATTATCTTTAGCATAGCATATTGTAGTACCATTAGTGCTCTTAGTGGTAGTGTTGAAGCTGTTTACATAGTCATTAATGTCGTCATTACTTTTGTGAATGGCCAAATCGTTATGATTTTGGTAATGAATATCAGAACTAACTTTGGTACTAGTGGTACCATTAGTGGTACCAGTGGTACCATTAGTAAAAACCGTACTTTTAGTACCAAATTTTGAGTTTTGTTCGTTTTTAGAAGTGGTAGAATTGACCAAACCATTTTTGGTACCATTAGTACCATTAACAGTACCATTAGTAAGTACAGCTGTAAACTCTGTGGTTTGAGCCACTCCACTTGTACCATCAGCACCCTTCTTCATATAGTCCTCATAAATCACAGCAGCGATCGAATTCAGCCCACTAGACACCGTACTCAACGTAGCACTAAACAACGTGCTCAAAAATAGTCCAGGCATCCCCGGTATCGAACCCAACACACGGCTAGCCAATAATATCGACAGTTGATCAGGCGTTTTGGCTTCACCCGAGGCGATTGGGTCGCAGCCGTGGAAGTAGGCAAAGGTTAATATGCCCAGGAACATACTCATACAACCGACCGCCAGATGAGCTGGAATCGTCATTACCATGACTTTTTGAGCATGTTTGAGGGAAGGTAATGAGCAGAAGCGTTGCAATGCCATTTGGTTTAGACCGAACATACCCATGGCGTGCATTGTGCCGCCTACGAACATTATCAGCAGGTTATTGTACTAAAAAAGGAAAATTAATAAACAAACTAAAAAAATTGCACTAATAGTACCAGTAGTACCAGAAGCACCAGTAGTACCATTTCTAATCGTTTATATAAATTATGTCTTATTCATAGCTTAAAAACTCTCATTTTAAACGTTTATAAAAATAAGAGTACCAACTGTACCAAAAGTACCATTAGTACCATTTTAAAATTTTTATGTAAATTATGTACTACTCAAAGCTCAAGAACGTTTTTCTATAAAAATTTTTGAAAATAGTTGTACCAAGTGTACCAGAAGTACCAGTAGTACCATTTTAACATTTAAACTCTTTTTTGCAATTTTAAGCTTATAAACTCAATATTGTGTCAGTTTTTGTTTGTTTTACCATACCTGTAATGGGTTTGGGTCATAAATTAGTATAGATTCGGATAATCTACCAGTATCTTCTGCACGGTGAAGAACATTCGCTAATCCACCTGAAATTAAAATTTTTATTACACTAGGCTTTCTTTAGTCACACCACTACCCTACCCTACACTATTCCACTCTACCCTGCTGTAAATGGTTTATGAATTACAGTAACCTACCAGCATCGAAAGTGCCTTTCACAACCAGAGTAGTAAGACCAATGATAAGGAATATTGCCTGTAACGTATCAGTCCATATGACAGCCTTAATACCACCGATCGCTGTGTATAGAGTTCCACATAAGCCTACAATCTGAAAAAAATTACATAATAATGGTACCAAAAGCAAAAAATGGCATCAAAACTAAGTTCAGTACCATTATGAGTATCAAAAACAAAAAACAGCTCCAAAACAAATTTTTAATGTCATCAATAGTATCATAAACTCAAGTAGCACCAAAACTAATTTTCAGTACCATTGTTACAACCACAAACAAAAAATAGTACTAAAACAAAGTTTCAGTACCATTGCTACAACCACAAACAAAAAATAGTACTAAAACAAAGTTTCAGTACCATTGCTACAACCACAAACAAAAAATAGTACTAAAACAAAGTTTCAGTACCACCTATACACAGTACGAAACGCTTACCATAATAAAAGGTTCCACTGGCAGATCGGCCACGCCTGATAGTGCTATAGCCGGTGCATATATTACTATAGCCATGTATACTAAACAGTTGAAAATGAACATAAAAGTGCCAATCCTTTTCAACCATACACTATCAAATCGATACTCAAAGTACTCGTAGATGTTGACAAACTAAAGTATTCACTTTTGCTTTACTTTACGAAATATTACAGTAAACCAAAGAATTTTAAAAAATGATGCTACAATAAAATTAAAAAAATACCTTAAGTTTGTAGAACATAGGTATGAAGAATAGCCCAACGATAACAAAAGCACCATTCCCAAGTAGTAAAGAGGCTCCCATGCCCATACCTGTAAAGCTAATATTAGATATAAAAACCTTAAAACATAAGCCCTAAGCTTAAATTTAAGCTAAGCTTAAGCCTCAGACTAAGCCTAAACCAAAGTCGAAACTTCAAATATAAGTCTAACTCTAAGCTAAAAGCTAAGCCTAAAGATAAGCCTAAGTTGAACTGCTTAAGCTTAAGCCAACGCCTAAAACTGAGCTTGAATCTGAATCTGGGCATAAGCCCGAGCTCAAGCCTGTCCTTAAGCCTATGCCTATATCTAAGCCTAAAGTTAAATCTAAGTCTAAAAATGACAGTAAGCTTAAACCTAAGCTAATCCTAAGCGTAAGCCTAAGCCTAAGCCTAAACCTAAGCCTAAGACTAATCCTAAGCCTAAGCCTAAGCCTAAGCCTAAGCCTAAGCCTAAGCCTAAGCCTAAGCCTAAACCTAAACCTAAGCCTAAGCCTAAGTCTAAGCCTAAGCCTAAGATTAAGCCTAAGCCTAAGCTTAAAACTAAGCCTAAGCCTAAGCCTCAATTTAAGCCTGAGTCTAAGCCTAAGCTTCAGCCTAAGCCTAAGCCTAAGATTAAGCCTAAGCCTAATCTTAAAACTAAGCCTAAGCCTCAATTTAAGCCTGAGTCTAAGCCTAAGCTTCAGCCTAAGCCTAAGCTTAAGCCTAAGCCTAAGCCGAAGCCGAAGCCTAAGCCTCAACCTAAGCCTGAGTCTAAGCCCAAGTTTAATCTTATGCCAAATTTAAAGCTTAAGCCTAAACCCAAGGTCTAGTCTGATCCTAAGCCTACGCCTATCCGTCAGCCTAAGCTTAATCGCTTTCTTAAGTTTAAATCTAAGCCTAAACCTAAATTTGAGTTTAAGTCTAAACCTAAACCTGAACCTAAACTTAAGTCTAAGCCTAATTTTAAGCTTAAGTCTACAAGCCCAATCTGAACTACATACTTACCGCGTTGATAAATCTCGGCCGGCACTCCCAACAATGCAATTCCACTGATGAAGGTGGTCAACAACGACAAACATACCGGTATAATGGGCAGATTCCGACCACCAACCAGGTATTCTTCTGTCGCTGAATGCTCAAACTTTGAGTTTCGAGCGACAACTGCATGATAAACACCCACGCCCACTGATAACAGCAGAAACAAACAAAATAAACAGTAGTCGAAGAGACTGAACATCTGAAGACGGGCTTTTTAAACATGCAAAAACTTTATTTACAGAGCGATAAATTGCAAAAAATTTGTTTACAAGACTCGAATGGCAAGAACTTTCTTTACAGTACATATAAAAACGAAAAAATTGTATATATAAGCTAGAAATGACAAAAACTTTCTTTACAAAACCAAAAAATTCCTTCAAAAAGCTAAAAATTTCGATTTAAAAAAGTGAAAGTTGGGTGGAAGATTTGTAATGTATTTTGCACTGAAAATCTTCCACCAAACTTCCACTTTTTAAAATGCTTTAAAATAGCCTAAAAACTCGTTTTTTAAGAGTTTTTAAAAGTGGAAGTTGGGTGGAAGATTTGTAATGTAATTTGCACTAAAAATCTTCCACCATACTTCCATTTTGAAAAAATGTTTAAAATGTGTTTTTAAGCCACTTTAAGCCATTTTAAAAATGGAAGTTGAGTGGAAGATTTTCAGTGAAAGATACATTACAAATCTTCCACCCAAATTCCATCTTTAAAACACAACAAAAAACTAATCGGAAATACTTGCAGACATTCAAAAACCTTTACTAATTGTAGTCAAACCATTTCCTGACAAAAGGAAAGTGTGTTTTGTGAGTAATCCAATCAAAAATTTAAAAAAAAGTTTAAAAAAATTCTAAAAATTAAAACCTAAAGCAAAATTTTCAAAAAAAAGTCAAATTTTATGACACATGTTAGCAAAATTATCACAAAATGGTCAAAATTCATGTTTGCTTGTAAGATTAGACAAGTTCTGGGCGTCTGGTGATAACAGATTCATGATAAGTAGTGTCATATACAACACTAACAAAAATTTTTAAAATTTTGTTTTTTTTTAATAAAAATTAATTAAAAAATCAAAAATCAAGTTTTTCAATACCGTATTTTACTTAAAATGTCACACAAACCTCTTTTGGTGCAATAAAAATGACAGTGGAGATTTTCCAATAATTTTTGTGGCTTTTCGCACTTTTTACGTATAATTGCCCAGTAATATCAGATTTTTTCAAAATTTTCAATCAAAATTTTAAAAAAATTAAACTTAACTAAAAAATTTTCAAAATTTTGAAATTTTTTACATGTTCTATGAAAAATGGCATTCAAGTATTTTCAATAATTTTTGTGACACTACGCATCAAGTACTTATAAACCTCGATTAAAACTAAATTTCAATGACACTTTTGCAACTAATTTTAAAAAATGAAGTTTAAAACTTAAAATTTTGGCCATGGTAATATTAAAAATGACATTAAGGCTTAGGCTTTTTTTAATAACTTTTGTGACATTTCGTATCAAAAAGGTATAAGTGCTAAATAACATCATATTTTTTCAAAATTTTAGCACAAAACCAAAAAAAATAAAAACCAAAATTTAAAATTTGACACTTGCAAGTGCACTCGTAACATAAAAAATGGCATAAAAGCTTTTCGATACTTTTTGTGGCATTTCGTCTTAAAAATTCTAAAGATAACTAAGATTGAATAAAAAGTAACAAATTATTTTAAAAAATGTAATCTCACATCTAGAAATGTCATAATTATTCCATTTATTAGGTTTAAAACCTAACAGAACGTTTTCCGATAATTCTTCGCACACTTCGTTCAAAAAGCCGATAAATGGACGGAGTCTCTAAAAGAAATAAAATTATTTTTGAAAAAAGAAGGTTTCCGGATTTTTAAACATATTTTATGGTTTTTGCGAATGTTCCAATGTTTATTTTTTTGTTTTGACTTTATATTGTTTTTTGCTATCTCTGGATCATATTTTGTCTAAAATACGACTTCCAGCTGCTTTTTATTGCGAATTTCTTGTTTAAAACGCACTTTTGTGTCGTATTTTGGATACGACAAACATTTTTGAGCGTAATTTTATAGGATTTGTGGTGTTTTGGATTTGTTTTTGTGGGAGAATAATATTTTCTTTGAAAGGTTATGTTAATATAGTTAATATTCACTGGAACTCTTGTATAACGGAGCGCTTGAGGAAGATATTGGTTTAAAAGTTGTATAATATGAAAGAGATTTGTTATAGAGAAGTTTTAAATGCCTTGTTTTGTTTTGGCTTGAGATATAACGTTTTGTTTGTTATAAAAGACGTTTTGTTATAGAGAACTTTGTTATACGGGAGATAAACTGTCTATATTTAAAAAATATATTATTTTATATAATTCCTAATCATTTCAGATCATTCCATCATGAACTTACTGCTTATTCTCCTAATATCTTCACTAACAATAGCCTCATCGACAGTTGATGGAGATGATGAAGAAGAAGATGTTCTAGATGAAATCACTGACCCAATTGTAAGTTCATTTCTTTTTTTATTTTGTTTTTAGAAACTAAAACAATTTGAAAAGTACACGCAATGCGCTGACAAGGACTTTAAATGCATGAGGAAGTGCCATGTGATGGTGGATGTAACTGGAAGCTGTAATCAGTTCAAAAGGACTAGCTGCTTTGACTTGATTGTAAATTACAATCACACGTTGAGGTCTACACCATTTCCTAGCTATTTGATTGGGTTGAAGAGGTTTCCAAAGTAAGGTTGGTTTCAAGGACGTAGCTAGGTATCTATAGGCCTGAGTATAATATAGTGGCTCTGTTAATATAAGTTGAACCTTTTTATAGAGAATACTTTGGGGGGTGGGGGGTTTGAAGAGCAGAGTAAGGTAAGATAGGGTTGGTTTGAGTAGGATAGAGTAGGGGGAGATAGGATAGGGTAGGGTATGACAGGGCTGGGAATAGTAGGGTAAGACAGGATACCATAGAGTAGGGTAGGGTAAAGTATGGTAGGACAGATTGAATATGATTTTCGACAACTTCAATTGTAATTTTAGGTGCTGGAGCGTCTTAGAACCGGTGATCTGTTCGATTTGGTACAGGAATTGTAGTACTGTCGAAGTAAATCACTTGACGGATAACACTAAGCCAAGACTGGTATGTTTTGATACTTTTAACTCATTTTACAGAGTAATGTGTTCTACATGACAAGGAGTTTGAATTTTGAAAAGAAAGGTGTGAAGGGTAGGATGGGTCAAGGTAGGGTAGGGTATGGTAGGAAAAGATAGGAAAGGATATGTTATGGTAGAGTAGGGTGGGTAGGGTATAGTAGGGTTTAGATTGTTCATTATACAGGTGTCCCACGGTAATTTTTTTTCATTTCCAGAAGCTAGAATCATTCGAATTGCTGTCAAGGCAGAGCTGTATTGATGTCAGGACACAGTGTGCAAACTTTACCCACTTACTTCCAGAAGAATTCAATTGTGACAGCCATTTGTTTAAAGATTTTAAAAACTTTGGTCTATACCACACGGAATGTGAAGTAAGTTCTTAAATTTTAATTTAGGTAACTCTGGCTTAGAAATGTCATAAAATATTTTTTAATTAAAAGAATAGCTAATTAAATGTCATTACTCTAAGGTTGTTTGAAGACAAAATTTCATCAGATCATGGGCTTTGCTTGGGAGTGGAGGGATGGGGTAGATCTTCCAACTAGACAGAAAGGTCGCTACAAATTTTTTCTGGATGGTGGGGGAGAAAGTTGGGTGGAAGCCAAAAGAATTTTTAGTCAACAGTTAGGGGTTATCATTATTATTTTTTTTTCAATTTTTTTGCACACTGATACCTACCTATCCAATTTTTTCGATTAGGCTTTGGGGGGGTGTTGAGAAAATTTCATAGGAAACAGGGAAAATAGATTTTTTTGAACTGACATGTTCATTTATACCAGAAAAAAATTTTTTGTTTTAGAAAAAGATACTAGAGACGTCCTTTTATCAGATTCTTTTAATGAGGTTTCGATGTTCTGTACAATATAATATTTTAGAGGAAACCAAAATTTGTCAGAAGTTTAACAGCCGAACCGTCACGATGCATAAAACCACTTGTATTATCGACCGGTGCAAATGTGACATCTCCATTAATTGATCAATGTTATCTACCTTGTAGGTAAGAAGTTTTGACTATTTTATATATTAATATTATTTTATTAGGTTGTTCAAATAATTCTGGGCTTTTTGAAGCAATTTTTTGGGGTTGGGGCACAGAATTATTTGAACGACTTAATTGAAGGACATTTTTTTAATTGTAAACAAAGTTTTTACATTTTAAATTTCCAGAACAAGCTATTTCGATGCAGGCCAAGGATTTTATCATTTTGTTTGCGGCTACACGATTACTGTTGCTCTGCTGGCTTCGGGGCTTATGGTAAGTTTCATCAATTGTACAATACAGTAATTTTTTTTATACCGGGATCAGGGCCGGGCGCATGTTGGGGGGGGTACTTTGTTTTAGAATACCAGCCCCCTCCCCACCAGAAAATAATTTTCGAAAAAAGTTGAACGTGGTCCCCCCTGTGGATTTTTGGAAACATTTTTTGACCCCCGTCCCAGACCAATAGTTCAGCCCGGTCCTGACCGGGCTTCTACTGTATAATATGCCATCCTTTTTCAGCTGACCATTTACTTGAAAGCAAAATCTTGTGCCTTACCAATATGGGCGTTCGTGCTGATGGGTCTGGGTTTTTGTACAATGGTTTATTACGCCATATGGAGTATATCGTTGTTGTTGGTGTATTTTGAACAAACAACTGTGTGCGATTCGGATGATGATGGATTATTGCTGCGACTAGGGAGTTTTCCAGTGTAAGTTATATTATATTACTGTATTTTTTATTTTAAAAAATTTTAAAAAAAATTTTTTGAAATTTTTTTAAAATTTTAATTTTTTTTATTTAAAAATTTTTTTAGTTTGAGCTTGTGCACGGTACAACGATTGACATTACACTTATTTCTATCCCAATCGTTTATCTTGATGTTCATATTGTCATACTACCTTCTACTCGACCGGAAACTGAACAAAATCTCGAAGAGCACGAACCAAACAATTGTTTTGGTGGTGATATCAGTCAGCATTTGTTTGGTATTTATTTCTTCTTTGTGGGTAAGAACCTAGATTTAAGTACTATAGGCACCTTTGGTACTAAAAAGAAGTTCTTAGCACTAAAAGCTAGTCTTTAGTACTAAAACCAAACTAATATTATTGATTTTAATACAGTAATAGACTTTAGTACTATCATTTATTGCAGAAAAATCATCAGTATGCAGACCCGTACTATGGAGTATGTCATCCAGGAATGGACCTAATCTTAAGTGGTGTCTTCGTCTACGCATTCGCATTGATAGCATCAATACTGTTGTTGGTATGGCATCTGTACGTTGAGAAGAAGAAGAAAAAAGAACAGGAAAAGAAGGAACGAGCACTAATGGACCTAAATATGGGCGGTATTCACATCAATCTGTCATTCCCGAACCTAGGCACCAGTTTGCTCGTCTTCTTGGGAGGGTTGTTGACCTACGCTACCAAAAGCAGCACCACTCATGATGAAGTGCGAAGCGTGAGAGGGTCGATTCAGTGCTACACGAGCAGCATTCAGGCAATGGAACGGTGGGCTTGGGGGTGAGTTTTGGGTAGGGTTGTAAAGGGGCCGGGCTTTGGTTTGAGCCTACTTGGTTTAGCCCTTACTCACCTTTCGCCAGTCATATCTTTCGTTGCGGGACCTAAGGTGGGCCCCTGAGGCCTCGGTTTGGCCCTTATACACTTTTTGATAGGCAAACCTTTCGTTGCTGGACCTAAGATGGACCATCAAGGCCTTGGTTTCTGCCCGGCTCTAGTGCTTATCTGTCCCGGCCCAGCCTTTTCAAGTCTTCTTCTACCCCACCCTAATTTTAAAATTTCAGGAACAGCACGTCCGAATGTGATCAATACCTACTGGATTCAAATCCATTCCAAGCAGTTTGGGTGTTTGTCCGGATGCTTCTTCTACCTATAATTCCTACACTGCTCATCGTGATCTATATCTTCTTGCCCAAACAACGTGACTTGTTCAAGATTGAGCCAAAGCTACCGAATGAAATTGAAATGCACGAAATTATGCCTTTAAAACAACAGGATCCAGGTAATGAACAAGCTCGGAACAGCATTGGCAATGAAGATCCAGAAGCTCAGCATTTGATTCCAGAATCTGATTCGACTGAACCAGAATCTATTCATGAATCCAACGATGAACAGATCTCCAAGAAACGCGTCACGAAGCCAAAGAAGAAACGCTTCAAGCCAGAATCCCAGTTCAAAGATGGCATCGACTCCTCAGCTACCGACGTAAGCTACGCCTACGGTCGAAAAGACCCGACTATTCCACTCCAGGTCCGTGATCAGCTCCTCAAGGCCAACGGTGTGAACAAGATCGAAGAGCCGGTGTATCCGGTCCAGAATCCGGATGGCACGGTGTTGTTGATTCCACTACATGTGGCTTATAGTCAAATGCAAGGTCTTTATGGTGAAGGGGCTGTGGGTCATAATCAGATGGTTCAAGGTATAAATCAAGGTCAACATCATGAACATCAAGGCTTAGTCAATGGTCAGAATCTGGGAATGATGAGTCAGAATCCTCAGATTCATGAGCTTCAAAAAAATTTGGCTAGTACACCCAAAATGGACCAGTTTAGCCATGGGAATGGGCTACAGACCTACAATCAGCCAGGGACGATTGGGGTACAGACTATTGACTACAGTCAAACAGGACCAAGTGGGCTACAGACCTATAATCAGCCAGGGGCAAGTGGGCTTCAGACTATCAACTGTCAGCTAGGACCAAGTAGGTTAGAGAGCTATAATCAACCAGGGCCAAGTGGGCTTCAGACCATCAACTATCAACCAGGGCCAAGCGGGCTACAAACCTACAACCACTCAGACCCTAGTGGTCTACAGAACCCTGCGACAACAAAGCCACAGTCACAGAATGTAGAAGGAGATTCAGATGAAGATAGCTTAAGTGACATTTCAAGTGGAAACTCATCAGATCGCGACTCCAACGACTTCAAATCAGACGACTCGAATCCGTTGGAAAAGGAAATTGTAAGATATTGCCTTATCAAAAGTGCTTAGGCTGATAGGGAAAGTACCCAACCTGCCCCGCGCAGAAGCAGCTCAAAATATTAATATTAACGGTTTCAGATAATTGCACGTGCTCTAGAGTACATGGAAAGAAAGAAGAGCGAAAGAAAAACGGACGGGTAGAACTACAATGGTTCCAAACATATTGTCAGTACTAACGGGTACCTTTCAGGAATGATCTTATCAATTGTCAATTGCCAGTATTTTACATTACTTTTTTAAACTTACCAATCACAAGAGTAGTTATGAATTTTACGTTATTAAATACAATAATTATTAACAGTGTAGCTTGTTTATAACATTGGGCTGTTCAAGGTTCGGTTTCCAAGTTTCAGAAAGGGTAGGGTAGGATAGAGTAAGTTAGGGCGGAGTAAAATAGCATAAAAATTTTTTATTACACTGCAATGGTCATAATCAATTAGTTTCGATCGCGCTCGGCATCATTTGTGGCACCATCGGCTACGTGAGTTCGGCCTCCTTCACCCACCAGATTCCCTCACAAATCAAAATGGTTTAGACGCAACTGATATTTACTATTTAATAAGATTTAATTGAGTAACTAACGGTAACGAACCTTTGTATCTAATCTAATCCCACAAAAATTCTACTGGCTATTGGTCTTTTCTCCTCGTTCAGTTAGGTAGGTTTTTGCTAAAATTCATTTTAACCCTATATTATACATCACAAAAGAATTTTAAAAACTTATTTATTGATCGTACACCCTTATAATATTTATACAATGAAAGGATAGTAATATGAATATTTATTAGTTAGAGGATACTGATGGGGGGGGAGAAGAGTCGGAGCTTTCGGACTTGGCTTGGTTACTCACGCGTATGTTAACGATTGGTCCATGAATTCCTAAAGCAAAATATTGTAGCTTATGTTTTAAATTTTTACACAATGATTAATTATATAATTATATACAGTTGTAATCTAACATTTTTCAGGCGCAAAAATATAATACTTACGTGTAATTCCATGTCTCTGTTCTTTTTAGCATCTTCTTCATCGTCCTTCTCTTCATCTTCTTCAGCCTTCTTCTTGGCGTCTTCTTCATCATCCTTCTTTTCGTCTTCTTCGGCCACCAACAAGTTAGGTAGCATATTAGCAGCTTCATTACTATCTGTATGATTAATACTAATATGCATGCGATCACCAGAAAAATATACGTGATCTTGACTTCATCTTCTTCTGAAAGACAGCTGCACTTCTTCTAAAGCACAAATTAAGATATTAAACACACCTACCATTTCTTTGTCTCATACAATGGCACGACGGAGCTCGCGACGTCTCCACAGGTCCCAGAACGATCGGTCAGACATCATGCCTTCTTGTTTTGAGTGTCCATTGTAGGACTTGTAAACCGAGGTGTGGATGGCTGGGCCCTAAAGTTTTAAATTCATTAGCAAATTTGGGTCTCTTCAGAAAAATAGTACCAAATGAACCAGTGATACCATTAGTACAACTGATACTTTTAATATTGTTTTTCAATATTTCTGAAATTTAAGAAGAACAAAATTTAAAAATTTATCAAAAAATGGTAACAAGTGTACCAGGTTTGGTCCCTCATATATTTTTTAAAATAATACCAATCCAAATAAAACTATCCAAGCAATAAACCAATTCTATTACCTATATTTCTATATTAAACACAACCCTATTCCAACCTGAAAAACAGCAAAATAATTCACCTTTCTCCACGGGTCTGATACCTTGATGAAGATTGCGCAAAAGCTTGAAAAACAACATTAAACCGATATTATCCATGGCAAATTCAACCCCCTATATGTCTCTGAAACCGTATCAAATCAACACCAAACCTTCTGAACTGTTAAAAATTACAAGTAGCTACGTTTAGTAGCAACCTCCTATCTATATTACATAAAACCGTGCCAATGCGAGCTATATTATTCATCAACCACCTGATATTACCTATAGCTCCCTTTGATCCCTTATAACGTTTTTGAAACAAAACAAAACACAATGAAACTTTCCAAGCTGTCAAACAATTCAATTATCTAAAACTATATGCCAAATACAACCCTATTCAAGCCTAAAACACATTGCTACATTACAATTTGTGAGTGGCATCCCAAAAAACTGACGAAAATCCGCGAAAAACTTTTCTTCAAATTTGGCCGTTTTCAGTGTCAAATAGTAATCAAAATAGCTTCCCGCGCGACGAAAGGGAAAACACTTGGCTTGAAATTACTGTTACAAAACAAATCACAAAAAGTTGATATATGCATGATACAATGTCAAAAGGCAACATGTACTTTGTCAAAGTCAATTTTGTGAAATTCTGCCTTTTCTTCGAATAATCCTTCTTTTCTGGCCCAGATAATATAAAGTACAATTAGAACTAATGGTACCACAGGTGTCAAATGCATCCGAAAAAATATCCAAAAGGCTTGATATGTGTGTGAATCATTAAGGTATTCGAATTCAGTTGTCTAAAATAATATGACTTATCAATACTATAGGCACAGGTCTTTAGTCTGCTTCGGCAAAGTAAAGACTTTATGAAAATGAAAGTAAAGTGAAAGATTTTCAGTGCAAATTACATTACGAATCTTCCATTCAACTTCCATTCTTAAAATGTCTTAAAATAGTCTAAAAACGCGTTTTCAAGGACTTTTAGAAGTGGAAGTTTGGTGGAAGATTTGTAATGTAATTTGCACTGAAAATCTTTCACTCTACTTTCATTTTCATAAAGTCTTTACTTTGCCGAAGCAGACTAAAGACCTGTGCCTATAGTATTGATAAGTCATATTATTTTAGACAACTGAATTCGAATACCTTAATGATCCACACACATATCAAGCCTTTTGGATATTTTTTCGGATGCATTTGACACCTGTGGTACCATTAGTTCTAATTGTACTTTATATTATCTGGGCCAGAAAAGAAGGATTATAAATTTCACTTTCAAAAACTGTCAAAAACGCATTTTTAGGCCGTTTTAAGACTTTTTAAAAATGGAAGTTAAGTGGAAGATTTTCAGTGCAAAATACATTACAAATCTTCCACTCAACTTCCACTTCCAAAAATCGTTTTTTTTTTGATGTTTTAGTCACGTTACTTACTCAGCCGTCATCATTTCCAATGATTGTGTGCTTATTTCGTTAAGTTGCATCGCTCCTCTGACAGCACTAACTTGATCCGGAGTGGTACTAGTTCGAGCGTGGTATGTGAGTAATGCCAGGAAGAATAGGACAATACAGATATTCAATACTGCTATCTGTCTTCTACCTAACCTGACGGGCTTTGCAGGTCCGGTTTTGCCACTTAGGTTTACGAACGTCGACGGTCCAGCCAAATAATAATATTTAGCGAGCAGGAGTATCGACAGAATTAAGGCGGGGACGTAGACGAGAACGCCACTTGGAACGAAGTCCATGCCCGGATGACAGATACCGTAGTAGGGGTCCGCGTACTCTGTGTTCTCCTGAATAATATATGTAGTTCTTTTAATAGTGATAATGCCTACCCTACCATACCCTACCTTACCGTACCCTGCCATACCCCACATTTACCCATGCCTTGTGTTTTACCTAGACTGTCCGGATAAGACTAAAAAAATAAAAAACTTTTTCCGGACCGGACCAAAATTTTTTTCATCTGGATCGGACCAGAGTGAGGTTATTCCGGACCAGACCAAGATTTTTTTATCCGGACCAGACTGAGGTTTCTCGAGACAAGACCAAAATTCTTCATCCGGATCCGTCCAGACCGCACCAGACTGAGGTTTTTCTAGTCCAGTCCGAAATTTTTCATCCGGACCGGACTAGACTGAAGTTTTTCCAGTCCACTCTAAAATTTGTTATCCGGACCGGACCAGAATAAGATTTTTCCGGTCCAGTCCAAAATTTTTCATCCGGACTAGACTGAGGTTTTTCTGGTCCAGTCTATAATTTTCCATTCGGACTAGACTGAGGTTTTTCTAGTCCAGTCCAAAATTTTTCATTCGGGCCGGACCAGACTGTTACCAAATTTTTTTTTCATTTGGACCGGGGTTCGGGCCTGGGTCTGGACGGGTTCGGCAAAACACTGCCCGTGCCTCTCCCTGTAGTTTCAAATACAAAGATTCTACCACCCCCCCCACCTTACTTCAAATAAAGGATAGTAACCTACTCTACTCTGCCCTACTCTACTGGGACAGGTATGAAATCCCCCCCCCCCCCCTTCGTAACGGTAGCTGTTCTTTAAAGTCGTGGTGGAATCGGACTTAATTAGCAGGAAATATAACTCAATAAGGACCAGCGATATTGTTATAGCGAAGAACAACTGAATGGTCAGGCTTTGAATGGTACAGTAACTAAAAATGAAAAAGTTTGAAAATATGCACAAACTTTGTTTACAAAATGAAAAATTGCAAAAAATTTGTTTACAAAGCAAAAAATAAAAAAATAATTAAGTGCCGACATAAAGAACCCGCCATACTTTGCCTGTAATTTCCTGTAAAAAATGGCGGGTTCTTTATGTCGGTACCTAATATTGTTTGCAAAAAGGTAGGGTAGGGTATGATAATTTCCAAAAACACGCCTTACCTTGAATAGCTGTCCAATCTCAACCAAACTCCCTCATTATCCTGTACGCATACTGTAGTTTGGTCGTAGTAACCCATAACCAAGAATATGCTCCACAAACCGTAGTAGATGATGGTTGTAATGCCTAGGCACACAAAAACAAATGCCCAGGTTGGCGTGGCATCAGATTTGACTGGCTTAACGAGTTTTACCTGCAAAATATAGAGGGTAAGGTAAAGTACGGTAGAATAAGGTAGAGTAAAGTACAGTAGGGTAGGGTCAAGTACAGTAGGGTAGGGTAAAGTACAGTAAGGTAGGGTAAAGTACAGTGGGGTAAGGTAAAGTACAGTAGGGTAGGGTAAAGTACAGTAGGGTAGGGTAAAGTACAGTAGGTAGGGTAATGTAAGATAGGGTAGAATAGAATAGGGTGCTGCTATAATAGTGTACGGTAGGGCTATGATGCGATAATGCTAACATAAGTTACGGTAAAACTAAAGTAGGGTACGGTAAGGCTAACCTAAGTTGCAGTAAGGCTAAGGTAGAGTACGATAAAACTATTGTAGGGTACTTTCTAGCTAAAATTTTTGACTATTAACAACTAGTAAGAAATAGAAAAGGAAAAAGCCAAGCCAAGCCCAGCCCAGCCCATCCCAGCCAAGCCCAGCCAAACTCAGCCAAACTCAGTTAAGCCAAGCCCTAGCAAAGCCAAGCCCAGCCGAGCCCAGCCAAGCCCAGCCCAGCCAAGCCAAGCCAAGCCAAGCCAAGCCAAGCCAAGCCAAGCCAAGCTAAGCCAAGCCAAGCCAAGCCAAGCCAAGCCAAGCCAAGTCAAGCCAAGCCAAGCCAAGCCAAGCCAAGCCAAGCCAAGCCAAGCACAGTCCAGCCAAGCCAAGACAAGCCAAGCTAAGCCAAGCCACGTCAAGCCAAGCCCAGCCCAGCTCAGCTTCGCCAAGCCCAGCCAAAATCAGCTAAGCCAAGCCCTAGCCAAGCCAAGCCCAGCCAAGCCCAGCCCCACCAATCCCAGCCAAGCCCAATTAAGGCCAGCCAAACCCAGCCCAGTTAAGGCCAGCCAAACCCAGCCAAGCCCAGCCAAGCTCAGCCAAGCTCAGCCAAGCCAAGCCAACTTCATCATACATACCTCCCTACTATACATTCCTCTAAATATAGTTTTAAAAAGACATACCGCACATTGTTCATCGTATAGTTTCAAGTTACAGCTCGTACCCTTGATATGTTTCGCGCAGTCAAATTCATCAGGTAACAAATGAGTGAAGTTGGCACATTTGCTTCGAACATCAGAACAAATGTTCGTGGAAAGAAGTTCAAATATATCCAGCGACTAAAACATTGGTTTATTAAGAATGGCACGTTTTAATACTGTTTTTCTCATCAGAGTTGGCTAACTTACTTATTCCTACAATATTAATAATTTTGTTGTTCAAATAATTATGTGCCCCCACACAAAGCAAATTTTTGAGGTTAGGAGGCACAGAATTATGTGAACAATCGAATATAAATAGAAAAAAGTAGTTCAAATAATTATGTGCTCCCCCAAAAATTTTGGAGCTAGGAGCACAGAATTATTTGAACTATTCAATTTGCTTTTTAAAATATTTTTATTATATATAGCTTTAAAATCAGATCCATTGACAATTCCTGCAAGTCAAATCTTTCGTTGCGAGACCTAGGCTTGGCTCCTGCGGCCTTAATTTGGGCTTAGCTCTCAGGGCGTACGCGTGCCGGCTCGGCCTTTTTTACTTCTGTTTTGACTCGACCGGGCCAATCTAGCCCATTTTCATGTTTTATTGCAAAAATTGATGTAAATTGTTGAAAAACCTACCACTCTTCCTGAGCAAGATTGCTTATAAAGATAATCTCCAACCATTGTACAATTCCTGTACCAAATCGAACATACTGCTGGTTCTAGAACACTCCAACATTTTTAAATGGCACGTGTTTAACCAACTGTATTGTTTTCAAAGGAGGCGGATCAGAATCAGGCATTATATATCATATACTTAACTTTAACAAAACTTACTCCGGAAACTGCTTTAGTACACGAAGATAGGTCGGAAACGGTGTTTCTCTCAAATAAAAACCGTAATCTATGTTAATATCAAAACAACTGGTAGGTTCGACGTTGTTACACACATGGCTTCCACGAACAGCTAAGACAACACATCCTGCTGTTCGTTCAAAGGTGTCGTTCTTACCTCCATCATGAACCTCATCAACAAGCCTTTTCAGTTCTCTCGCTAGCTGAAAACAAGATGAAAAGAAAGTTATTATAAAAGGGTTAGCTAGGGTGGGGTAGAGTAGGACAGAGCAGGACAAGACAGGGCAAAGGCAAGGCAAAGGCATGGCAAAGGCAGGGAAAAGGCAGGGCAAAGGCAGGGCAAAGGCAGGGCAAAGGCAGAGCAAAGGCAGGGCAAAGGCAGGGCAAAGGCAGGGCAAAGGCAGAGCAAAGGCAGGGAAAAGGCAGGGAAAAGGCACGGAAAAGGCAGGGCGAAGGCAGGGCGAAGGCAGGGCGAAGGCAGGGCGAAGGCAGGGCGAAGGCAGGGCGAAGGCAGGGCAAAGGCAGGGCAAAGGCAAAGCAAAGGCAGGGCAAAAGCAGGGCAAAGGCAGGGCAAAGGCAAGGCAAGGCAAGGCAAGGCAAGGCAAGGCAAGGCAAGGCAAGGCAGGGCAAGGCAAGGCAAAGGCAGGGCAAAGGCAGGGCAAAAGCAGGGCAAAGGCAGGGCAAAGGAGGGCAAAGGTTTTTCTAGCTATGAGACATTTATTATGCCCTTATTTTCTACAGTGTTGTACTAAACAATTTTAACTCCACGTACCTCTGGGCCATTTTGTGCCTGCTTAAGAATAAATTCAGCAGTAGTAGGCTCCGAGGTAGTAACCACAACCAACAAACAGATTAAGAGAATAACCAATCGATTCATAATTGGTGTATCTCCTGAAGTTTCAGAGTAACACTACAGTATTCTTTTAATAGCAACTTAGGAAAAAATGAAGGACAGAGAGAAGGTGTGCTGCAAAAACTCTCAAACTTAAGGAATGCCACGAAAAAGGTGGAACATAATGAAGGTGCACAAAGACGCTATCCAAGGCATGCAAGTGCCGTTTGTTTGCTCATCCACCCTCATCAACTTCCACTGTATAACGCAAAAACTGTCTCATTGTTGCGTAATACGGTAGAACTCATGTATAACAAGCTTCTCTATAGCGAAAAACCTGTCGCTTGACCCAAGTGCATTTGTAATTTGCGAATTGCATTTCTAAAGGCTTGGGAACTTAGACATGGGGAACGGACCGACCTTCAGGGCCGGGCGCTGGGGGAAAAGGGGGGGGGGGGGACGGGAGGGGGACCCCCCCCCCGAAAAAAAATTTTCAAAAAAGTTGAACATGGTCCCCCCCTGTGGATTTTCGGAAAAAATTTTTTCGACCCCCAGACCAAAAGTCCCCGCCCGGCACTCCCGACCTTAATTAATCCAACTTTAAGTCGGGCCGGGTCTGAAAATCGAGGCCCATCTCAAGAAAACCCGGCCCGTTTGATATACAAAAGGGAATACATCTTTATGTTAATATTTATTTATGATATTCATGCTTAAAAGTAGACAGGTCTTTTGATAAACACTTCACACTTTTTGATTTCTTTTGGCTTTTCTTCCAATAATCCTTCTTTTCTGGCCCAAATTATGTAAAGTACGATTAGAACGAATGGTACCACGGGTGTCAAATGCATCCGAATGAATACCCAAATGGCTTGGTATGTCTGTAGATTATTGACAACAATGAATTCAGTCACGAGTTGTCTAAAATAATAGGTCTTGTCAAAACTACATATTAACACATGTTTTTAAGTCCTACAATAAAAGTAAAACACTTGGAAAAGTGGAAGCTCAGTGGAAGGATTTCAGTGCAAAATGCACTAAAAATCTTCCACACAACTTCCATTCTTAAAATGTCTTAAATTGATCTAAAAACGGGTTTTTAAGGTTTTTTATACTTGGAAGTTTGGTGGAAGAATTTCAGTGCAAAATGCACTAAAAATCTTCCACACAACTTCCATTCTTAAAATGTCTTAAATTGATCTAAAAACGGGTTTTTAAGGTTTTTTATACTTGGAAGTTTGGTGGAAGAATTTCAGTGCAAAATGCACTAAAAATCTTTCACACAACTTCCACCTCTAAAATGTTTCAAAAACGCGTTTTTAAGGCATTTTAAGACTTTTTAAAAATGGAAGTTTAGTGGAAGATGTTCAGTGCAAAATACATTGCAAATCTTCCACTTGACTCTCATATTTAAAATAGCTTTTTGGTGTTTTTACTACGTTACTTACTCAATCGTCTTCAGTTTCAATGATTGAAAGCTACTTGAGTAAAATTGAAGCAATTCTCTCACAACTCTAACTTGATCAAGAGTAATAATAGTTTGAGTGAAGTATGTCACCGATGCATTTATAAATACAGTAAAGCTGCCATTTAATACAGTTAACTGACAGTATCTATTGAAACGGGGAAGCTTTGAATTATCAGCAGACTCGTACTCGAATAGCAGCAATGCTGACAGGATTAATGCAGGAATGTAGACGAAGACGCCACTTAGAACAAAGTCCATGCCTGAATGACATACACCGTAGTAGGGGTCTGCGTATTCTCTGTTCTCCTGAATAATAAGAATTACTTTTGATAGTTAAACAGCCCTAGCCCTAGCCCTAGCCCTAGCCCTAGCCCTAGCCCATTTCCTTCTGTAAAACTCTACCGTATCCTTCCTTACCCTTCAGACCAAAGATCAAAACCTTACCATTGTAATGAAGGATGTCATTGAATATGCAACTACAGAAAACGCGACTAGACCGATGACATATTTGTTATCCTTCGAAGCTGTAGTTGATTTGCTTTTAATTATCAAAACGTATGATTCTATGAGCGTTAACAATATTGTTGTGGCTAATAACAATTGTATGGTCAAGCTTTGCACGGTACAAAACCTAAAATTAAAAAATCGCAAAAACTTTGTTTACAAAATGGAAAATTTAAAAATTATTCAAAAGAGTAGGGTATGGCAGATAAGTTACGAAAGGGTAAAGCAAGGTTATGCTAAGGTAAAGTAAGTAGAGTAAAGTAGGAAACGGTAAGGCAGATTAGAGTAAAGTAGGATACAGTAAGGCAGATTAGAGTAAAGTAGAGTACGGTAAGACAGAGTAGAGTAAAGTAGGGTACGGTAGGGCAGAGTAGACTAAAGTAGGGTACGGTAGGGCAGAGTAGAGTAAAGTAGGGTACGGTAGAGCAAAGTAGAGTAAAACAGGGTACGGTAGGGCAGAGTAGAGTAAATTAGGGTACGGTAGGGCAGAGTAGAGTAAAGTAGGGTACGGTAGGGCAGAGTAGAGTAAAGTAGGGTACGGTAGGGCAGAGTAGAGTAAAGTAGGGTACGGTAGAGCAAAGTAGAGTAAAACAGGGTACGGTAGGGCAGAGTAGAGTAAATTAGGGTACGGTAGGGCAGAGTAGAATAAAGTAGGGTACGCTAGGGCACAGTAGAGAAAAATAGGGTACGGTAGGGCAGAGTAGAGTAAAGTAGGGTACGGTAGAGCAAAGTAGAGTAAAACAGGGTACGGTAGGGCAGAGTAGAGTAAATTAGGGTACGGTAGGGCAGAGTAGAATAAAGTAGGGTACGGTAGGGCACAGTAGAGAAAAATAGGGTACGGTAGGGCAGAGTAGAGTAAAGTAGGGTACGGTAGGGCAGAATAAAGTAAAGTAGGGTACGGTAGAGCAGAATAGAGTAAAGTAGGGTACGGTAAGGCAGAGTAGAGTAAAACAGGGTACGGTAGGGCAGAGTAGAGTAAATTAGGGTACGGTAGGGCAGAGTAGAGTAAAGTAGGGTACGGTAGGGCACAGTAGAGAAAAATAGGGTACGGTAGGGCAGAGTAGAGTAAAGTAGGGTACGGTAGGGCAGAATAAAGTAAAGTAGGGTACGGTAGAGCAGAATAGAGTAAAGTAGGGTACGGTAGGGCAGAGTAGAGTAAATTAGGGTACGGTAAAGCAAGGCAGTGCACTTTTTAAACAATACTTACGTCGGATAGCTGTCTAACCTTAACAAGACTCCATTATTATCAAGTTCGCATACTGTAGTTTGTTGAAAGTACCCCATAGATAAGAATATGCTCCACAAACCGTAGTAGATCATGGTTGCTACTCCTAAGCACACAAAAACAAACGCCCATGTCGGCAAATCACGGTTTTTGATTGGTTTGACGATTTTTAACTAAAAAATGTATGAAAAAAGAGTAAATGAAAAACATAGGTTACTGTAGGGCAGGGTATGATAGGGTAATGCAGAGTAAACCTAAAGCTAAGTGGAAAAAGGTACAGTTCTAAGATAGAAAGCACAGTATGTTACAGTAAGGCAATGTAGGGTCTGGTAAGGTAGAATCGGGTAAATTGTATAACTCTTAACTTACTAAAGCAACAGCTACGAGTACGGTTACTGTAACACAAAATCCGTAAACAAAATTGTGAAATCCTTCAGCGACTTCAAAATTCGTTGTTCTAAAACATTAAAAGTATTTAAAAACGTCGAAAATAAAGTTTTCTTGTATTTTAAAAATTTTATTTTCGTTTTTTACTGCTAGTACTAAATGCAATGTCAATTAAAAATGTTTGTTTTACTAGAGAATGTCAACAACAGAGCCGGGCGGGGACTTTTGGTCTGGGGGCAGGAGTCCAAAAAATCCACAGGGGGGACCACGTTCAACTTTTTTCAAAAATTTTTTTCTAGGGTAGGGGTGAGAAAAGAGCCGGGCCGGGCCCACTTTTTAGGCCCGGCCCAAGCCCGGGGCCCAACGTTTAGGCCCGGCCTGTTTTCAATTTTCTCTCAGGCCGGCCCGGCCCGGTCAGAAAATATCTAGGCCCGGCCCGGGCCGTTTTAAAAAATTTAAAAAATTTTAAAACTTAAAAAATAAACGGAAATTTGGCTTTGCATTGTTCTTTTAGATCATTTATGTATCATGGTACCCAATAAAATCAAAAAGTCAACGGGGATTAAAATAAAAAATTTTTAAAAATTTAAAATATTTTTTTTCGGGCCCGGGCCCAATTTTCAAGCCCTCAATTTTAGCTCAAGGCCGGCCGGGCCTAGACGGTGGGTACGGGGTGACTCCCCCCAGAGCCGATCCGGGAAAAATCCACAGGTAGGTACCTGTACGTAAAAAACGCAATAAAAAAATTTTTGGGTCTCCACCCCCCCCGCCCAGAAAAAAATCGTAGCGACGTTCTTGGACATTTGGACATTCCCTAGTTAGTTGAAAATCATTGCAATACAAATCATAGTGTACGATAGATGCGTTTTTCATGTTTTTAAGTGTTTGTTTCCACTTACCTGCAAGGCAGGTAGCAGTTATTGACCACCGGAGTTGCCAAGTTTGTACCTGTTGATGAGGCTGGCGGCCTAGCACATTGTTCAGCAGATGAACTTAAGTTGGACCTTCTATGAAATCTTTTTTTATTCTAAAATTTTCCTAAAACTCAGTACTTATTTTGAAAAAAAGGAGAGAGTACAGAGTGAGCCAAAAGTTCTGTTACACGGTTTTTTAATCAAATTTGACATCCAAATACAAACAGACGGTAGACAATGAAGAGTTAACTTTTATGATTATACAATAAAAAAACGCGGAGAATAAGCTAAAATTAAAAATTTTAAATAATTTAACCGCAGCATAGAGAAAACGACCGGTAAAGTATTGTAACAGAACTTTTGGCGCATTGTATCTTGTAACAGAACTTTTGTCGCACCCTGTAAAAGAAGACAAGGAAACGTATTCTATTGCAAGGAACTTTTTCACAAATACTTTTGAGGATCATAACCAGGCTTACGTGGAAAGTACCTTAACTGCTCCGCCCAGACCCAGCTAAAAATTTCCATATAAATTCTTTGTACCACCAATAGTACTTAAAAAAAGTTTTAGCTCGCGTTTTTGAGCTTTGAATTTAAATTATTAGGGTTTCCCGCCAATTTGGCAAATTTGGCATTGTGTTTCAAGCACTTTTTTCGACCTTCCAGCCAAGCTACACTAACAAATTTAAAAATTTAGGTTTATTTATAGGTATTCTACTAGTATATGACAGAAAATTCTTAAAAGTCAAAAAATGGCAAAGTTATAAGTATGAAACACAATGCCAATTTGGCGGGAAATTCAAAACTTAATTCTTTGATCTCGATTTTCTCGGGATTAACTGGAAAGCGCGATTTATTACCTTGCTGAACAAGCAAGGCCGGGCGCTGAGGGGAACACACCCCCCCCCCTCTACTCCCTCCTCCCCCCCCCCGAAAAAAAATTTCGAAAAAAAAGTTGAACTTGGCCCCCCCCCCTGTAGATTTCTTTGACCCCCCCCCCGCCCAGACGAAAAGTCCCTGCCCGGCCCTCAGGACAAGGCAGAATGATGTTCTGTGGCCTGGTTTTTTTAAGAAAATGTCTTATATTTCCAGCCAGGGCCGGGCGGAGACTTTTAGTCTGGGGGCAGAGGTCCAAAACATCGGGCACAGAGCTACCTGTGCTGATCTTTGCAAAATTTTTTTTTAATCCACAGGGGGGGGACCAAGTTCAACTTTTTTTCAAAAATTTTTTTCTGGGGGGGGGGGCGGGTAGGGTAGTCCCATCCCCTCCCTCGCGCCCGGCCCTGTTTCCAGCCATAAACGTAGCTACAGTGCCACGCGCTAAGGAGGGTGAGCGGAAAGGGAGGCCATGCCAGACTCAAACTGTTCACAACTTATTTTTTCCAAGACTAGCGCATCACAATAGCTACTTACCGAGCAGTGTTCAGTGTAAGTGTCCAATTCAGTCTTATTGTAATACATATAATGTGCTTCGCAGTCAAATTCATCGGGTAACAAATGAGTGAAGTTGGCACATTTGGTTCGAACGTCAAAACAAATTTGATCGGAAAGAATTTCTGTTATATCAAGCCACTAAAAAGTTCGTATAAATTCATGTAGGAGTACGGTAATGGCAAGGATACAGTAATAGCAAGGGGCAGGCAGTGGCAAAAGCAGGGTAGTGGGAAGGGTTGGAGTAGAAGGAGGGTAATAGCAAAGATAAGGTATTGGCAAGGACACAGCAATGGCAAGGATAGGGCTGTGACGGGGTAGGGTAGGGTAGGGTAGGGTAGGGTAGGGTAGGGTAGGGTAGGGTAGGGTAGGGTAGGGTAGGGTAGGGTAGGGTAGGGTAGGGTAGGGTAGGGTAGGGTAGGGTAGGGTAGGGTAGGGTAGGGTAGGGTAGGGTAGGGTAGGGTAGGGTATGTTTATCTAACTTCTAGCTAAACGTACTGTTCTACAATGACCAGATGGATTACATTTCTGCTTGTCTGAAAACATTCCCATCTTACTACAATTTCTGTACCAAATTGAACATACTGCAGGTTCTAGGACACTCCAGCATCTGTAATCGGCGATTATTTAACGAATTGCACTTTAAACTTTTTAACACTTTTATAATATTGCTGTATCAAAAAAACTTACTCTGGGAACTGCTTTAATACTCGAAGATAGCTTGGAAACGGAGTTTCTCTCATTGTAAAGTTGTAATTTATATTAATATCGAAGCAGTTGGCAGGTCCAACTCCATCACAAGTACTTCTCGTACTAGTAGAATAGGCAAAACACTTTGGTTTGCGTTCAAAAGTGTCGTCTTCTCTATAATCCTGCTCAGCATGCTCAATAATCTTTTTTAATGGCGTCGCCCACTGAAAACCACATAAAGTTAAAATTAACAGCTAATCCACATTAGTACTACATAAGCTGAAAGGAAATCAAAGTTTTTCTGAACCACAGGTAATAGGAATAGAATACCCCCCCCCCAGAAAAAAAAATTTCGAAAAAAGTTGAACGCGGTCCCCCCTGTGGATTTTTGGAAAAAAATTTTCGCAAAAAATCGGCACAGGTAGTAGCCTGTGCCGATTTTTTGGACCCCTGCCCCCAGACCAAAAGTCCTCGTCCGGCCCTGCGTCCCCAGAAAAAAATCTTCGAAAAAAGTTAAACTTGGACCAAAAGTCCCTGCTCGGCCCTGGTCTTACTAAAGACTGTTGACTGTACTTACCTCTGAACCATTTTGTTCTAATTCACTAAGAATTTCATAACTAATACGGTCTGTGAAAGCAACCACAAACAGGGAAGAAATTAAGAGAACACGCAGTATGTTCATGCTTGGTAAAACCCTTAAAATTTTAAATAATTTAAAACATGTTTTTCCTAATAATCGAGCGCTTTTGAACCCTCACTTAATCAGTCGACATAAAAAAAATCGATGTCCCCAAATTTCTTAAAATTTTCAAAATTTACCCTTCGTAGCAAGATAAACAAAGTTGCTTAAACAAGTTTTTCCAAAATTACCGTATTCGTGAGTTACAGTACGATTACTGTAGCTGTGCACACTTTTTTAATTGTTTTGCACTGATGCGCAAGTGCTACAAAAATGTTGTTGTAAGACAAAATACGTATTTTTTCATCCTGATTAATATAGTGAAAACCGCGTAATTTTACGATGCCTAGTTCTCGAGATACAAAAATTCGACCGACATTACCGTAACCCCACATACGGTAATTTAAAACTTGTTCAAGCAACTTTGTTTATTTTGCTACGAAGAGTAAATTTTGAAAATTTCATGAAGTTTGGGGACATCGATTTTTTTATGTCGACCAGGCATCTTGAGCCTTACAAAAAACGTGATTCAACATAAAAATGGTTTGATGAAAAAATTGTTTAACGCAAAGAAAGACACGAAATGTAGAACATAATGCAAGTGCGCAACGAAGTACACGGTAAAGTGCCATGCAAGTTCCGTTTTTTTTTTGGCCTCCCCCTCCCCCAGAAAAAATTCGTAGCGACGTCCCTGATATCCAAAACTTTATTTTCAAAACAATTGCCTAAACAAGCAAAACTAGTAACGACCGCCGTGTGATGATAGAATCTTTTTTCTTAAATTAATACATTTTTTACTAATAATTATTCTTCCCACAATTCTCTAAAATCTTGTTTTACATAATCATAATAGAAAATCAATATAGTCTAACTTCCACAAATAACAATCAAGATTTTTAATTTTCTTTATAACACGACAACAATATATAAAACGACAACAAAACGAAACATTTAAATTCCTTCGGCCTTGATCCAGTCGGCGACTCCCCAGATTCTGATGGTGTTGTCAGAGTATCCGGCGAAGAGTGTGTTACCATCTTGGGACCAGGAGAGGGATGTGCATTGTGGGGCGGCGGTGCCGGACACGTCCAACTTGAGTTCGTCGAGGGTAGATCGGTGCTCCAGGTCGAAGATGCGAATGGTGGAGCCAACAGCGGCGCAGAGCCAGTATCTGTTAGGCGAGAAGGTGAGGGCGTTGATAACATCTTGGGCGTCCAATTGGTACAAGTGCTTGTTTTCGGTCAAGTCCCACAAGTTGGCGATACCGTCCTTGCCTCCGGAAGCGCACAACGAGCCGTCGGGAGAGACGGTGGTGGCGTTGATGAAGCCGGTGTGACCAATGTGGTTGGTCTTCAAGCGGCAGTTGGAAAGGTTCCATACCTTAACAACCTTATCCCAACCAGCTGACACAATCGATGGGCTTGGAGAGGTAGAGGCAAATCTGACCGAAGATACCCAGTGGCTGTGGCCTTCGTCCTTCTCGGAGAGGGTCAGTTTGCATTGTGCCAAAGTGTTCCACAAACGGATGGTGCGGTCACGTCCACCGGACACGATTTGACGGTTATCGGCAGAGAAAGCCACAGAGAGGACATCCTTGGTGTGAGCGATGAATTGACGGGAGGTCTTTCCGCTGAAAGCAAATAGGTTTACTACACTAACTTAAAATAATCAAAACTATAATAATTTTAAAGAAAACCCTTCCCAGGATATAAAACTAATAAATAAAGAGTTACTACGTCCCAAAATTATCTAAGTAGCCTCTTACAAAGAACAAAAGCCCTAAAACAACAAAAACGAATAACTTACGTGTTCAAATCCCACAAACGAAGAGTACGATCCCATGAACCGGTCAAAGCAAAGTGACCATCGTGAGACAAAGCAACATCAGAGACGAAGTGACCGTGTCCGAGAAGCGACTTCAATGGACGTCCACCAACAATCTCGTCACCGTATTGTTGGAGATCCCAGACAAGAACAGACTTGTCTAAAACAATATGAATAAATAAAATTAAAATCCAAATGGCTTAAAATTAATTTTAAAATATACTAAAGAGCCTTTAAAAGGCTTGAGAAGATTTTGGTCCTAAAGGCTTGACAAAAAAATCAAAAAAGTTAAAATTCTGTGATCACAGATACCTATGTTAACATAATTTTATCGCAGCAGCTTAAAATGCCCAAAACTAGCCTTAAAAACACTTTCAAAACGTTGTCCTATATCGTAGGAAACTTTTCTATCAATTAGGTCAAAAACAAACTCCAAAAAAGGTCAAAATTCGACAATAGCATTGCCTATACCTCTTCATTTCCGCATATTTCCCTAAAATCCAACAAAATAAATAAAATCTTACCGCGAGATGAGGAAATCAAGGTGTTGGGGTTGGATGGAGAAGTGGCTAGCTGGGTGATGGCTCCGTTGTGGCCTTCGAGTTTACCACGTAGGGTCAAAGCCGATCGCTTGGTTCCTGCGTCTTCCATAGCTGGATTTTAAATGGGAAACCCTGAAAAAGACAAAAATAAGCCACAATTAATATATAAAACAATGTATTATAAGGATTTGCACGTAAAAAGTTACATAAAATTGTAAAAACTTGTTCTTCATCCAACGAAGATTTTAGAAAAATAAAGAGAAAAAGAATTTTGCCTAAAACAAGGTTCGCGGCGGGACCTGAAACGGTGTTTCCTGATTTTTGGCGTTTCGTTTTTTTTTTTGATAAAAAGGAGAATTTTCTGGGATTTTTGAGGAAATAAATATAAAATTAGGTAGACCAACATCAAATACAATGTTTTTTCTTCAAACATCATTATTTTAAATTTAATTCATAATATTTTTCAAATTTTAGTACTTTATAGACCATATTATCCTAAAAAATAAACTTTCCAGTCCACAATCAATTTTAACCACCAAATCAAGGTTTATCCTAGCTTTTACTGGTAACATTACAACAACGAGAGTTACAACATAAAAATATAGCTAATTTTGTCATGTCGCCTATGGGCAGTTGATGGGTTTGCCGGCGTAGGCGGCCAGATTGGCTTCTCGGAAGGCTTCGGATAGGGTGGGGTGAGCGTGGCAGACGCGGGCAATGTCTTCGCACGATGCTCCGTATTCCAGGGCTAGCACGGCTTCGCCAATCATTTCGCCGGCGTTCTGAAACGAATCGATTTAATTTATATTGTTATAGGTGATGTAAAGGTTGATTCAAGGGTGATATAAAGGTTGATTAAAGAGTAGCATAAATCCTGATTCAAGGGCAATATAAGGCTTGGCTCATGGATAATACGAAGATTTATTAAAGGATAATCGAAGACTTCAGTCGATGGTAATATAAACCTTGATAACTTACAGGTCCAATGATATGAACACCCAAAAGTCTGTCAGATTGCTTATCGGCCAATACTTTAACGAATCCTTCTGTGTCGTTGTTGGTTTTTGCTCGCGAGTTGGCGACAAATGGGAATTTACCGACCTTGTAGGCCACCTTCTCCTGCTTCAACTGTTCCTCGTTCTTGCCCACCCACGCCACTTCGGGATGTGTGTATACGACCGATGGTACACAGTTGTAGTCAATGTGTACTGGGCCTCCGCAGATGCCTTCGACGGCGATAATTCCTTCGTCTTCGGCCTTGTGTGCCAACATTGGGCCTTCGATGATGTCACCGATGGCGTATATGTTCTCGACCGAGGTTTGGAAGCGGGTGTTGACCGGGATGCGGCCGCGCTGATCTAGCTGGATTCCTACGTTTTCTAGGCCAAGCTTCTCGCTGTATGGGCGACGGCCGATGGCTACGAGGAGAACGTCGCATTCGAGCTAAAATTATGTTGTTATAGGTATAGCACTGGACCTAAAACTTCAAAATCAACTCAAAAAGCTCCCTTACATCTTGTTTCTTCCCATCCTTAGCTCCCTCCACCGATACAGTGATATTTTCTCCGTTGCGTTGAGCTCCCGTAACCTTAGTGTTCAACAAGAACTTGAATCCTTGCTTCTTCAACATGTTCTGGAAGCCTCGGGATACTTCACCATCGATTCCGACACCACCAATACTTCCCAAGAACTCTACAGCCGTGACCTCGGCTCCCAAACGTTGCCATACTGATCCCAATTCAAGACCAATAACACCGGCTCCAATAACTACCATCTTCTTTGGTACTTGGGTCAGGGAGAGAGCTCCAGTTGATGATACTACCTGTAAAATAGAAAAGATATAGTCGTATTACAATAAATAAGGCCCTGCTTCATCACTACTGTCACTAAAAAGTCAGTTTTTATCCGGTCAAAAAGTTAGTTTAAAGCATTATCCATCAAAACCTACTACAACATACCTGTTTTTCGTCAATTTCAATTCCAGGGAAAGGCGTGACTTCCGAACCTGTAGCAATAAGAATGTTCTTAGTATTAACCTTCTGTTGAGATCCATCAGCTCTGTTAACTGTTACTTCATTCTTGCCAGTAATGGATCCATGGCCATTAAGATGAGTGACTTTGTTCGCTTTGAATAAAGTAGCAACTCCACTCGTCAATCCCTTAACTGAATTATCTTTAGCCTTCAACATAGTTTGCAAGTTCAGTTTTGGCTCTACTTCCACACCTCTGTTGTTCAAGTCGCCGTGCTTGGCCATGTGGTAGAAGTGAGAGTTGTTCAACATGGCTTTTGATGGGATACATCCAACGTTTAGACAGGTTCCACCCAAAGTGTCATTCTTTTCGACACACACTGTCTTCATGCCGAGTTGGGCGGCTTTAATAGCAGCAACGTAGCCACCGGGACCTGATCCGATCACAACAATATCGGCATCTAAAATAAGGTCAACACCTGATTAAAAAGCAACCTTTAGGTGAATTCCTTCTAAGAAAAAGTAAATTATGAACTGCTAAAAATTATTTAAAGCTATTCGTTATTAATTAAAGGTTTGGTAAAAATTATAACCAAAAGAAATAAACTTTAGGCAAAAAACAAGCATATACCAAGAAAATGGCGTTTTTTTAAAGTTGTAAAGAAAGTTTTCGTAAATTTTTAACTTTTAAAAGAAAACCCAATCCATCGTTGAAAATTCCCCAAAATTTTAAATCATGTCAAAAACTGTAAAGAAAGTTATGACCTTTTTTAACAACAAGGGTTTTAATAGAGTCAATATTGTTCACCGTTCTCGCCATTTTTTACAACGTCTTAGCCTAAAAACAAAAAAAAATGCAAAAAAAAAACAACTTACCAACGTGAGACGAGTAGAATCTGCACAATACTGGGCTGATTTTGGCATGTTTTTGAATAGCAAACCTGGCCAACATTTTTCAATCGGCTCACCGTGCGTATGACCCACTAAAATAGAAAATGAAACACTGTAAAGATAACGTAAAACACTATAAATTATCGGAAAAGTAACTCGGTCTCGTAAAAAGTTTAGTTCTTAATCCGCGAATAATAGAAAGTTGAGTAAAATGTAAAAACCATCAATTATAATATAAAAATGAAAAAATTATGATATAAATTAATAACCACTTTATCAAGTACAAAAAGAAAATCAAAAAAATTGATCAGAGATCAAGAAGATGGTGTGATTGAACGAATCCAAGAGTTCTCTTGTGCAACATCGAGAAGAAAACAAAAAGAAGGGCCAATAAATACTTCGTGGCACTTCGTCTCAATATGTTTTGTGGCTTTTCGTTTAAATTCTAAAAAATAATTTTTCGAAGGAATATTTTTTGGCTTGATCTCACGTTCGGTCCGCTACTAAAGAGAAGGATTTTTAAAACGGCAGGGAGCTGCGTCCTAACCTTGCGACCTGCGCGTTTTTGCGTAAGACATCTTATACGATGTTTGTTGCACGAAAAATTATTAAAGTACTGTAACTTTCTACAAAGTACAAGAAAAAACAAAACCGTATTACAAAATTGGAAATTTATAGTAAAAAAATTCACTTAAAAACTAAAATTTATAATTTACTTATTTCGGCCAACACTCATTGAAGTAACTAAATTTGCACCGTATCAAGCACTTTAAAATACTGTAACAATTTTTTTAAGAAACAATACAATAAAATGTTTTACTAAGTTTATGTATGTTATAGAAACAACGTTTATACAAAATATTAAGTTAATACCTTGCATGGTTAATTTGGTATCTATTAAAGTGCTATGTGAAGTACCGTAAAAAACGTTAAAATACTGTAACTTTTTTTTAAAAGTCAAAATTTAAAAAATTTGTTTTGCAGAATAAAAGTAGACTACTAAGTAACTGTCCCTATAAAATCTGAGGCTGAGTGACCGCTTGGTTGTTCTAGGAACCTCCGGAGCAGTTTTTTTTGCACTGAAAAAAGCACTTAAAGTACTGTAACTTTTTTTAAAAGGCAAAATCTAAAAATCTGTCTTGCAAATTTAAAGTACACGTTATTGGCAATGTTTAGTTAAAAAATGAAAAAAAGCAGCGGCTTGATTTTTCCAGCATCCTTCGGAGCAACTTTTTTTTGCACTGAGAAAAACACTTAAAGTACTGTAACTTTTTTTTAAAAGACAAAATCTAAAAATCTGTCTTGCAAATTTAAAGTACACGTTATTGGCAATATTTGGTATGAAAATGTAAAAAATTTTGGTAGTAGAAATCCAATATTTCTCTGTATTATTCAGGCGCGTAAATTCTGAACTAAACCATGTAATATCGCAGATTACACAGCTAGGATATTTTGTATGGGACACAACGAAGGTTGAATATCTGATCACAAACAGAATCAACTTTTTCATGTACCAGAGTATTCATAAATAAACAAAAACTAAAAACACATTACTATCTCTATATAAGAAACCCGAAGAGACCAACATTTTGTGTTTACTATAGAAGGTGTTAGCTTTACAGAGTGATTTTTTGTGTAAATTAACTTTTTGTTTACTGTAAAGCGACTTGCTTATACAGATTGTTCACTATAGAAAAACCACTGTATTTCACTGAACACGTTATTGAACATCGTCCCTCGGGAATCGGTCACCTCTGGATAGGTCTCGTCCAGGAATAGGTTAACATAAAAAGTGGCTTACCTTACAGAACAGATCACCTCTAACGTACATCCAAAACTAAAGTCATTTTAGCCCTACCCAACTTACCTCCGCTTTTTTGGGTCAGGGAGAGGTAGGAGTAGGGGTAGAGATAGGAGTAAGAGCAGGGAAAGAGGTTGGGGTATAGGTCAAAATCAGGGCAACGGCGGAAGAAAATAGAAGAGTAGAAGTTAGGTTAGGAGTAAGGACAGAAGCAGAGGGGGGGGAAGTAGACCTAGCTCCCAAGCCAGACTTAACATAACTTCAGCGGCATGGTTTTTGGCCAATGGGCCGGTCAGAGATTTTGGTCCGATAGAACGCGGTCTTGGTAAGGGCAAGGGCAGAGGCAAGGGCAGAGGCAGAGGCAGAGGCAGAGGCAGAGGCAAAGGCAGAGGCAAGGGCAAGAGCAAGGGCAGGAGCAAAGTCAAGGGCAGGGGCATGGGCATGGGCATGGGCATGGGCATGGGCATGGGCATGGGCATGGGCAAGGGCAAGGGCAGAGGCAAGGGCAGAGGCAGAGGCAAAGGCAGAGGCAAGGGCAGGAGCAAAGTCAGGGGCAGGGGCATGGGCATGGGCATGGGCATGGGCATGGGCATGGGCATGGGCATGGGCATGGGCATGGGCATGGGCATGGGCATGGGCATGGGCATGGGCATGGGCATGGGCATGGGCATGGGCATGGGCATGGGCATGGGCATGGGCAAGGGCAAGGGCAGAGGCAAGGGCAGAGGCAGAGGCAAAGGCAGAGGCAAGGGCAGGAGCAAAGTCAGGGGCAGGGGCATGGGCATGGGCATGGGCATGGGCATGGGCATGGGCATGGGCATGGGCATGGGCATGGGCATGGGCATGGGCATGGGCATGGGCATGGGCAAGGGCAAGGGCAGAGGCAAGGGCAGAGGCAGAGGCAAAGGCAGAGGCAAGGGCAGGAGCAAAGTCAGGGGCAGGGGCATGGGCATGGGCATGGGCATGGGCATGGGCATGGGCATGGGCATGGGCATGGGCATGGGCATGGGCATGGGCATGGGCATGGGCATGGGCATGGGCATGGGCATGGGCATGGGCATGGGCATGGGCATGGGCATGGGCATGGGCATGGGCATGGGCATGGGCATGGGCATGGGCATGGGCATGGGCATGGGCATGGGCATGGGCATGGGCATGGGCATGGGCATGGGCATGGGCATGGGCATGGGCATGGGAATGGGCATGGGCATGGGCATGGGCATGGGCATGGGCATGGGCATGGGCATGGGCATGGGCATGGGAATGGGCATGGGCATGGGCATGGGCATGGGCATGGGCATGGGCATGGGCATGGGCATGGGCATGGGCATGGGCATGGGCATGGGCATGGGCATGGGCAGGGGCAGAGGCAGGAGCAGGGGTAAAAGAAGCGGGTTTGCCTTCTTTTGGGCTAAAAAAGGCGGGTTAGGCTTGTGTTGGGCTAAAAATGGCGTGTTAGGCTTATGTTGGGCTAGAAAAGGCAGGTTAGGCTTGTTTTGGGCTAAAAAAGGCAGGGTAATATTTTTTCAACAAACTATAAACATAATTTAATAAGACAAAAATATTTTATAATTTTTTCCAAGAATATTCAATACGGTGCAATGGTCATAATCAATCAATTTTAAAAATTTATAAATTTTTCTATACACACAACCCCGCAAAATATCCTGCCACGAAAACAAATAAGCGCTAATTTATTTGGCATTCTGTTTCTCTGCCGTTTCAATTTCCAAACGGACCGAACGTGCAGGTAAAATACCTCTATTTTGTTCATTTTTCAACTAAACAGCAATATTTTTTGGCATTGTATAATAGAAATAAGATTTATCTAGTGTTGTAAGATGTTTGTTTTGTCAAAATTTGGATATACGGCCAAAATTTTGCCTATTCACTTCAGCGCTGACTTTTTGGAAACATTGGTCAAGAGAATCGATCAGGATTTTGCTAATTTTGTAAGGACTTTCTTAATTTATGATAATTTGGATAGAAGAGAGCCTTATTTAAATTGTCTTATCAAGATTTTCACTGTATGCTTTTGGAAGTATTTGCGGTTTTAAAAGTCCTTGTTTTCAGGTGATAATCGACGTTGGACTATGTATAAGTTTCTACGATTTTGTCAAGATTGGAGCGTCGTATTTGATGGCAGGTGATGCAGCTAGTTATACTCCAATTGAATTTCGATATTTGGTGTTTCAACCGTTCAGAGGGGAGGTTCTACAAGCCACGATACTAAATAGTACGAGGGAAGGACTCAAGTTGACAATGAGCTTCTTTAGTGACATTTTCATTGCGCCTAACAATTTACAGGAGAATTCTAGATTGTAAGTGATGCTTTTTGTTAGTTTTTCTTATTTTAGGTAATGGTTTTGACTAAAAATGGCATATCGGTAATCGATATTGTTTTAGTGACGAAACAGAGAATGTATGGATATGGGAGTACGTGTCAGAGGAAGGTGATGCCGTAAAGTTTTATATGGAAGTAGGAAAAACCGTCAAGTAGGTTATTTTCTAGCCCTTTTTAAATTTTATACCAAATTATAGCTACCACAATATTTTTAGCCATTTTAATTTGATTTTCTTGTAGATTCCGTGTAACAGACATAAAATATCGCACAGTACAGCCGGGCGAAGCCGCGGCCGAAGTTAAAGTGATGGAGATATTGGGCTCCATGGCGGAGAACGGCTTAGGATGCGTGGATTGGTGGACGACACCAGAAGAGCCAGAAGAAACAGTTGAGGATGTTAAGGTCAAAATGGAGCCATAATTATTGTTGTAAAAAGTTTTTTTTTGTTGTTTTATTGTTAAACTTGTTATACTTTATTAATTTTTTGAAGGTGAAAATTTCGTAAATCTTCTGAGGGCAAAACGGATATTGTAGTAGGTGTGATAGACAAAACAATTCATAAATGGTATGTTTGACGACGTTTGCTATTTAAATTGTTAAAATTAGATAGAGTAGGGCTTTTTAAATTACTCCAACATTAAGCTACATTGCTGCTAAAAAAATTAAAAAAGTTATATTACACTAGACATAAGATGGCCAAGATAGCTCATAACTAATTTATATGACAAAATTATGAACTGAAGTAGTAACAAATGATGACACAAAGCATTTTGTACCTTTTTGACTTAAAACTTGACATTTTTTTTCAAAAATATCCGAAATTATATTACACTAGACCCATCAAAAGTCCAGACAATTTTTTATTGTCCACATTAGCTAAAACTAATGTTTAGAGAGTAGAACAAGTTAAAGATGATTGATAAAAACATTGTTTTGACCTTTTAATGTCCACCTGTTCCATGATCCGAGCAAAAAACTTCCAGGAACATGAAAAAATGCTTCCTGGACATCGAACTTTTGACATTTTACGTGAAACAAGCCATAAAATATGACGAAAATTGGTCTGGAAACAAAGTTTTTTTGTTGATTTTATGTTCTGTAAACAAAGTTTTGGAGTTAAAGGTAAAATTTGGGCTGTTTAAGAAAGTGGAAGTTTGGTGGAAGATTCTCAGTGAATTTTGCACTGAAAATCTTCCACTAAGTTTCCATTTCCAAAAAGTGCCGCAAACATGTTTTTAGGCCATTTAAACACGTTTTCAAAACGGAAGTTCAGTGGAAGATTTTTAGTGAAAAATACATTACAAATCTTCCACTTAAATTCCACTTTAAAAAATGTGTTTTTAGGCTTTAAATACCTATTTCTGAACATTTCTTAGCTTGTAAATAAAGTTCTGGCTATTTCTTTATTAAAAAAGATTTTTTAAAATTATTTTTGCTTTGTAAACAAAGTTTTTGCGCTATTAAACTCGAAACTTTCGAATTACATCATGTTTTTGCTTATCATAGCATAATGGTGATAATCAAATAAGATTGTATTGTTAAATAATTAAAAATTTTCTAGTCTCCCATCGTTCCGTGATAAGAACGATTCAATATAAATTGATAATTTATTGTTGGCTTCTGTTTCCTACCGACGACTTTACACTTTTATACTTTTTTCGTTTGCAAAAAGGACTGCAGAGCTACAGCTGTAGGCTTATGGTTTGAAAGGTTTTGGGGAGTGTGCTTGCGCGAGATGGGGGGGAGGTATTTGGGAAAAAAATTTCCAAAAAAAGTTGAACGTGGTCCCCCCGATGATTTTTGGAAAAAAATTTGAACTTGGTCCCCCTGTGGATTTTCCAGACCAAAAGTCTCCGGCCCTGCTTGTATGGTTTTAGGCTTGCTTTAGGCTTTTAAAGACTAATTCAGGCTTTTTAGGCATACTTGAAGCGTTTTAGGTTTTTTAGGTTGAGTTTAGACTTTTTAGGCATAGTTGAGGCTGCTAGACTTATTTTTGCTTTTCTAGGTTTAGGTAAAGGTTTTTAGGGTTATTTGAGATTTTTTAGGCTTAAGGCTTTTGTAGCTCAGTCTTTATTATATTCTATTTTGTAAATTCAAGCTTTATTTCAGGTCTTATGGCTGATTTTTCTGACCCTTTAGGCTTATTTTTTTAGGATTTTAAGCTTATTTCTGCACTTCTTTGGTTTATTTTTACAAATACAGCGTTTTTTGTGGTCTTTAAGGTCTAGGATTGTTTCAAATCTTTTTAATGTTGATTAAAATGGATGTTCAAATCATTTTAAAAATGGAATTTTAGTGGAAGATTTTCAGTGCAAAATATATTACAAATCTTCCACTGAAATTCCACTTTCAAAAACGGTCAAAAACGTGTTTCTAGGCCATTTTAAGACTTCTTGAAAATGGAAGTTGAGTGGAAGATTTTTTGGTGTAAAATACATTAAAAATCTTTCACCCGATTTCCACTTTTTTGAAAGTTATGTTTCTTGACCTTTAAACTAATTTTCTGCCGTTTTAAAGTAACAAAAGTGAATTTGTGTTCAATATCTGTCATAAATTACAATTTTAAGGGGTTAGGTCAATTCTCTACCTCTCCCCTCCTTCTTCTTTCAATTCTGTATCTTTCTCCTTTCCCCTTCTTACTCCTACCATACCGACCAATTACTCTGGGCTCTTTAATAGTTAGTTAACTGTCCATTAAATTGATTTCCGTTCCCAATCACGGTATGAAATTGTAAAAAAGTGAGAAAAAACCGGAATTGAAGGTCATTCCGGGAGTGTCTGCAGTGTTAAATTGTAATAGTATTACAATGGCCATTTCACTTTTAGTGTTCGCTTCAGGGTTTCAAGGTTAGAGGAGGAAAAACCAACGTTTTTCGGGGGAGGAGGGGTAGGATAGCAATTTTGAAAGATGGAGAAGAGGAGAGAGTTGTAAGGGGGTAGGAGGGAAAAGGGGGAAGGGTAGATGTTTTTTAAAAACACTTTTTTCTCGAACAAAAAGGTCACTTTTAAAACACTTTTGAATACTGTAACTTGTTAGGAACAATTTTCAATCAAATTTACACATTTTTGGAGGTTTCCAAAAAGTGGAAGTAGAGTGGAAGACTTGTAAGGTATTTTGCACTAAAAATCTTCCACTTAACTTTCATTTTCAAAACGTCTTAAAATAGCTTAAAAACACGTTTTTGACACTTTATAGAAGTGGAAGTTGGATGGAAGATTTTCAGTGCAAAATACATTAAAAATCTTCCACTCAACTTCCATTTTTAAAAAGTCATTTTTTGGGGTTTTTGGACTTTGTAACTAAAATTGTTGCAATGTATATTCAATTTAGTGTTCTATTGCGTTTATAAATAGCATTTTTTATTTTTTTTAAGACTACTTTGGATCTAAAATGACATATTTTTTGTTAATAATGACATATTTTTTTAAAAAAAATTAAAAAAGTTTTTCCAGGTTCAAAATGGCAAAACTCTTGTCAATATTCGCATTTGTGATCATAATGGTACCAGTTCTGTCAGTACTACCGGATTGTGGTCGAATTCCGCCTTCATTTTGGTGTAAGAATATGCAAATTGCTCAGCACTGTGGAGTGACAGCCGCCTGTCAGCGATATAATCAGATGAGTGCTAATAGAAAGGTGCATATTCAGATCATTATGGAGTCGTTGTGTCCGTTCTGTCAACGATTCATTGTTGACAAGTTCTACCACGATGTGTATCTGAAGTTCAGAGGCTATGTTGATGTTGAGTTGGTTCCTTATGGTAATGCTGATAGAAGGGTAAGTAACAGATTAATTACTTGCTTCTTAGGCTTACCATTAGGTTAGGCTTAGCCGGCTTAGGCTTAGTGGGCTTAGGCTTAGTGGGCTTAGGCTTAATAGGCTTAGGCTTAGTAGGCTTAGGCTTAGTAGGCTTAGGCTTAGTAGGCTTAGGCTTAGTAGGCTTAGGCTTAGTAGGCTTAGGCTTAGTAGGCTTAGGCTTAGTAGGCTTAGGCTTAGTAGGCATAGGCTTGGTAGGCTTAGGCTTAGTTGGCTTAGGCTTAGTAGGCTTAGGCTTAGTAGGCTTAGGCTTAGTAGGCTTAGGCTTAGTAGGCATAGGCTTGGTAGGCTTAGGCTTAGCAGGCTTAGGCTTAAGCTTGGTAGGCTTAGGCTTGGTAGGCTTAGGCTTAGTTGGCTTAGGCTTGGTAGGCTTAGGAGGCTTAGGCTTAGTAGGCTTAGGCTTAATAGGCTTAGGCTTACTAGGCTTAGGTTTATTATAAAGTGCTAGATAGGACTAATAAATACTGCACAACCGTACTATAACAGTACACAATGCACAAATGAACCTATAATAATAAGTAAATGACGCGCCGAGTTACGCAACGCACAAACTTTTTCTTAAGTTAATACAGTAAAGTAACGCTTAATACACTTATCATGTAAAATGACGCCTATTAGGCTTAGGCTTGCATAATGGCACGCATTTTTATGATATATATACGCTTACTACTCAGTAACTACTTCATTTTTACTTAGGTATGAGCTAGTGTAGGGTAGCTAGTTTTATTTTTTCTATTAGTAGGGTCGGGTCAGTACTTAAAATATTTTGGGAGTAAATTTTTTTAAATTTTTTTTGGGAGTGGATTTTTTTAAAATTTTTTTTGGGGGTGGATTTTTTTTTTTAATTTTTTTGGGTTGATTTTTTTAAAAAATTTTTTTTGGGGGGGTGGATTTTTTTAATTTTTTTTGGGGTGGATTTTTTAAAATTTTTTAGGGGTGGATTTTTTTTTTATTTTTTTTTGTGGGTGGATTTTTTTTTTATTTTTTTTGGGGGGTGGATTTTTTTTAAAAAATATTTGTTGGAGTGGATTTTTTAAACTTTTTTTGAGTGTGGATTTTTTAAAATTTTTTTAGCGGGTTAAAAATGTTTTTGCTTGCTTTTGTACTGATTTGGGTAATACTTACTAAATTTATAAGGCTAGGTTAAGCTATTAAGCTAGGTGAGGATTCTTAAAAGTTAGGGAACCAGAAAAATCACTTTAGTCTAGAACAAGGTCGGCGGGGGACTGTCAATATTTTTTTTATCAAAATTTTTTTATTTTTTTGCTCAAAAATGACAGTCCAACGTTCTTTGAGTATCTCCGCTCCAAGGGCGGGGTATATCTCAATGAAAAACGACCAAGCGTCCAGATTTTAGTGAGGATTCTGAAGTCGCTGAGACCGGGGGTGGGGTGGTGCGCGCTTCAAAAACCTATTGTGTCTCCACTTGCCTATACCTCCAATTCCCATGTCTTGATCTCGGCTAAAGGTGTCCTTGGCGCTGCCTTCAGAAAGCAGCTTAATACACCGTCTGAATGCCGGATGAGTAGAAAGGGATTGGCAGTGATGGCGGGGCTCGGATTCGCGATACGGTTCTTGGAGCGGTGGCGGCGCGCGCGACCAGCCCGAAATGTACCATTTCGGCTGGACTCCCAGTTCGGTTGGGCCCGACCGAACAGGGGGAGTTCAGCTGGGAAATGGTACAGAGTACGGCTGGGGCTCCTCTCCTCTGCTTCACCATCTGACGAGATGGCGAAGAAGAGGAGAGGAGATCTTCTCTTCTTCACCGAGGCTTCTCTTCTTCTTCACAGATGGTGAAGAGGAGGAGAGGAGATGGTGAAGAAGAGAAGGAAGAAGAAGACGAAGAAGAAAAAGAACCAGAGGAAGAAGAAGAAAAAGAAGAAGCAGAGGAAGAAGAAGAAAAAGAAGAAGAGGAAGAAGAAGAAAAAGAAGAAGAAGAAGAAAAGGAAGAAGAAGAAGAAGAAGAAAAAGAAGAGGAAGAAGAAGAGAAGCAAGAAGAAGAAGAAAAAGAAGAAGAAGAAGAAAAAGAAGAAGCAGAGGAAAAAAAAGAAGAAGAAGAAAAAGAAAAAGAAGAAAAAGAAGAAAAAAGAAGAACAAGAAGCAGAAGAAGAGGAAGAAGAAGAGAAGCAAGAAGAAGAAGAAAAAGAAGAAGCAGAGGAAGAAAAAGAAGAAGAAGAAAAAAGAAGAAGAAGAAGAAGAGGAAGAAGAAGAGAAGCAAGAAGAAGAAAAAGAAGCAAAGCTTCATTTAGGTCTCCCTACCTTAGAATTAACACAAGTACAGATACGTGCGCCTTTTATAATACAAATTTTTTGTGACATTTCAGTACACATATTGTAGTTGCGGGAGCCCTAAGCGTATATTGCGTGTATTTCCGTGTCGTGCGCTGTTATAGCTGGTATGCCTAAAACTAAGCCTAAAGCTAAACCTAAAAATAAGCCTACGATTAAGCCTAAGCTAAGTCTAAAGCTATGCCTAAAGATAAGCCTAAGCTAAGTCTAAAGCTAAGCCTACGATTAAGCCTAAGCTAAGTCTAACGCTAAGTCTAAAACTAAAACTAAGCCTAAAGCTAAGCCTAACGCTAAGCCTAAAGCTAAGCCTAAAGCCAAGCTTAAATTTAAGCCTAAACTTCTAAAATTAAGCTTAAAACTAAATTTAAAGCTAAGCCTAAACCTAAAAATAAGCCCAAACTCAAAAAAGTCTAAAATTAAGCCTAAGTTAAAAATAAAGTTTAAGCCTAAAAATAAGCCTAAACTTAAACCTAGGTTTAATATAATAGTAAGCATACAGTAGCAGTGTGCTTAGTTTGTATAATAATTACAATTATACAAACTAAGCCTAAAAATAAGTTTAAGCCTAAAAATAAGCCTAAACGTAAGCCTAAACTTAAAAAAGCCTGAAGCTAAGCATAAGCTTAAAATCAAGCCTAAACCGAAATCGTATGAAATATTATATCAAAAAATAATTTTGAAATTTCAGGGCACAGCCATAACCTGTCAGCACGGTGAGCAAGAATGTGAGATCAACACCTTCTTCTCTTGCGCTCAGGAACACATCAACCCCTCCTTCGACTTCATCTACTGCATCGAACGTGAGCTCAAGAACTTCTCGACCTTTGCCACTTCCAAGACGAGGTGCTACAAGGAGCGGAACGTAGCCGCGGCTACACAATCCCGCCTCCAATCGTGCACGTATGGCGCTGAAGGGAAGGCGCTTCAGATGAAGGCGGCTCGGATCACGGAAGCCGAGTTCCCCGAGCTACATCTGACCGTACCCTATACCATAGTAAACAATGTTAGCTTGGTTAGTGCGCAACATATGCGCAGTAACTTGGGGCTGATGATCTGTGATTGGTACGTGGGACACAACTTTGTACCACCACCGTGCAAGGAACTGTCTTAATGGTACTAACAATGGAGTGTGTTAGTGGTGTGGTACTAGAATGGAAGTGTGTTAATGGTGCGGTAATAGCAAAGGCGTGTGTTAATGGGACTAGTTATATGGTCTGGTGGTACTGATTTTTTAAAATGGTTTTGTTTTAGCATTTTAGTACTAGTTTAAATTTAATTTTTTTTTCAACTACAATGTAGTACTAATGATACTACTTTATTTTTATGTTAGTATTACTTTGAAAAAGCTTGCTTTAGGCTTAGTAGGCTTAGGCTTAGTAGGCATAGGCTTAGTAGGCTTAGGCTTAGGCTTAAGCTTAGGCTTAGGCTTAGGCTTAGGCTGAGACTGAGGCATAGGCTTAAATTTAGGTTTAGGCTTAGGCCTAAGCTTAGGTCTAGGCTTAGGCTTAGGCTTAGGCTTAAACTTATGTTTAGGCTTAGTCTTAGTAGTTTTGCTTTGACCTAGTAGTACTAATAGTACTTTTTATTGATTTTAAAAAAATAGTACAACTTTTTTTAACTAGTACTAAATATCATTTTAAAAACATAGTACCAGTAGTACCAATTGGGTCTTATGGCACAAATGTAGAATAAAACAGTTGTTATTGCTTTATGTTTACAGTTAATAATGTAATAAACGTTGATATTGTCCTAAAATTAAAAAATTTTTTTTTTTTTGAAAATTTTAAAACTTTTATGTCATGTTTACTGTACAACTTGTACCATAAGCTAAAAGTTATTTTCAATTTTGCAATTTTTGAAAGTCCGGACCGGACCGGTCCGGCAAAACACTGTGTACAAGTAACAGAACTTTTGGCGCACCTTGTATATTACTATGCAAAAAACACAATTTTTGGTATGTCACACGTTACCAGCTTATGATATCAAGCACTTGAATCTAATTTTGAATTCACTCGAACCCTTCGATTGAAAATGTCACGAGGCGGGGGAAATCCTCGGAAAGTGCAAAATCATCAAAAACTTGTCGCTGGAAACGTCATCGCTCAATAAGAAGCTTAAAAATACGACTACGATAAGTGATATGTGATGTATATCACATAAAATCTCATAAACTGTATTAATAATTGATAAATTATTATAAGTAAGTTGATGAGATATCAAGTGTAATATAGCTAATATTAGACGTTTTTTTAATAGTAACAGGCAGTTTGTCGACCTAATTTTAGCTAAAAAAAGCATTTCGATAGTACTTTTAACCTTTTTAACAAAAGGTTTTTAAATTTAGACTTCTGGCAACAAAAGTGATGACAGTTTATCAAAGTGGAAGTTGGGTGGAAGATTTGTAATGTATTTTGCACTGAAAATCTTCCACCAAACTTTCATTTTTAAAATGTCTTAATATGGTCTAAAAATAAGTTTTTGACACCTTTTAGAAGTGGAAGTTGAGTGGAAGATTTATAATGTATTTTGCACTAAAAATCTTCCACCCAACTTCCACTTCTAAAAATAATCAAAAACAAGTTTTTAGGTCATTCTAAGGCTTTTTGAAAATGGAAGTTGAGTGGAAGATTTTCAGTACAAAATACATTATAAATCTTCCACTTAATTTCCACTTTTTATTTTTATTTAAATACCATTAAGAATAACGTATTTTAAAAACTTCTTATGCCTAAAGTATTACTATTATATTGTTCAAATAGTTCTGAGATACTCTCAAAGCAAATTTACGAGTATAGAAGGCACATAATTATTTGAAAAAGCTAAGTAATAGGTCTTATCATTGCTACTTGGGCTTGAACACTATAAACCAGAATTCAAAAACAACATATACGACTGATATATGACACCACGTGGTAGTTGACGCAATTTCAACGACAAAACAGTGGGGAATTCCGTCTACTATAATATGTCATCAATTATATCCGAAAACGTTTGTCGCTGTAAAGTAAATTCTTGCGCTTTGATTATAATACATGTGGTTTAAAAATAAAAAACTTGACAAAACTAATCAATCATATACCTATATTGTTCTAAAAATGACAATGAATCATTTTACTGATCTAGTTTTACTGTAATACAACTACAATAGTGTATTTACAGAATGCGTCAAAAGTTCTGTTACACTGTTAAGATCAAAGGTAATTATTAATTTTTTTCGATAAAGAGTGGAAAGAAAGTTATTGCGCTTTTTTAAAATTGTTTAAAAATGGTCGTTTTTACATTTTAAACATACAAGATTTTTATAAAAAACAAAAGAAGGCCAAAGAGACTCAAAAATAAAAGTGAAAGTTCAGTGGAAGATTTGTAATGTATTTTGCACTGAAAATATTCCACTCAACTTCCATTTTTAAAATGTCTTAAAATGGCCTAAAAATGACTTTCAACACTTTTTTGAAGTGGAAGTTGAGTGGAATATTTTCAGTGCAAATTACATTACAAATTTTCCACTCAACTTCCACTTCTTGAAACTGCCGTAATTTTAAAACTGTAATAAAAAACGACTTCAAAACATTATTTTTCTGTTAAAAATATATTTAAAATTTAAATTTAAATAAGCTAAAGGCATTTTTTTACTTTATTACCTCATATATACGCTTTTAAATGCACCTAGCTGCCTATAATAATATAATAATATCTCATATGCACCCAAACTAATGTGTCCGCCAAATCTTAATTCATTGATCACTAAAATGGCATTCCAAACCCTTCTAAATCATTCGTAATCTTGCAAATTACCCGTCTTTTACTCTATCACCACTTCGTATCTCCACTTTTACTGTGGTATATTAGCATGTAGTGCCATGTGTAATCGAATATTCTCAGTAAGTGCAGTGTGCACCCAGCGCCGCGATCTCCTCTCGTAATCCGGTCAATGTCAACCCAGCCAAACATAGCTGAAATGGGCGCTCATTTCAATGACAACATACGACTATATTAAGGTGGAGGGGGGGGGGCATTATATACATGAAGATATTATGGTATGGGGGTGGAAAAGATGTTACACGGTTCAGAAGATTCATATATATTAGCTCAAACCATAAAAATGTTATAATATATCATAGAAACAAGGTCATGGCAATTTTAAAAAAGTGGAAGTTGAGTGGAAGATTTGTAACGTATTTTGCACTGGAAATCTTCCACACAACTTCCATTTTCAGAAAGTCTTAAAATGGCCTAAAAATGACTTTTTGACACTTTTTGGGAGCGAAAGTTGAGTGGAAGATTTTCAGTGCAAATTACACTAAAATTCTTCCACCAAACTTCCACTTCGAAAAACTTTTAAAAACTTGTTTTTAGGCCCTTTTGAAACTTTTTAAAAATGGAAGTTGTGTGTAAGATTTTCAGTGCAAAATACATTACAAATCTTCCACTGATCTTCCACTTTTTTAAATTTTGCAAAACTGATAAGTCATCATTCATTACCATAAGTTTTAGACATTACTCATGGATTACTTATTCTGTATATGTAATATATTAGCTGTTTGAAGCCGTTCTTTGCTGTATATCATGTTATGTCATTATCATATGTGATTTCTGTATAAGTAGGTAACATATACACTATCACGGTGAGTAACATACAAACATGTATAGATATGTTGAAGACTTGAGCAAAATAATGACGTATTTAAAATAATATTGGCTCAAAACGAATGTTTCATCAGTCTCACCGAGATATCTCGACCTTCAAACAGCCTCGCATCCGCCGTATATTGACGTATGATGTATATGGTTGTGGGTATGGTTTATGTGTTTAAACACTTTTTGAGGTTTTAAAGAGCCAAAACTTTGTTTACAGGCTAAAAAAAAGTTCAAATATAGGTCTTCCAAGCCCTGAAATTTATATTTTGCAATGTGGAAGTTGAGTGGAAGATTTGTAATGTAATTTGCACTGAAAATCTTCCATTCAACTTCCATTTTTAAAATGTCTTAAAATAGCCTAGAAACACGTTTTTGACTATTTTTGGAAGCGGAATTTGAGTGGAAGATTTACAATGTATTGCACTGAAAATCTTCCACAAAATTTTCATATCTAAAACGTGTCAAAATGGTGTTTTTAGACCATTTTAAGACGTTTTTAAAGTGGAAGTTAAATGGAAGATTTTCAGTGCAAATTACATTGCAAATCTTCCACTGCCCTTCCACTTTTTTCAAACTGCCATAACTTTTGTGCGCTTGAAAATTTTAAAAAATAGTCATATATAAAATTGAAGAGTGTTATCTTATGTACTTCTTAAACGTAATTTTGAAATTTTTTGATAATGATTTAAAAAGCTACAGTACTTTAAAGTGAGTCATTTGCCTTTCTTCAAGTTTACCGTATAGAGATCGCTCAAAAGCCATTTTTTTATATTTTTTTTTCTTCTTTTTATATGTTTAGTCAAAAACATCCCCAAAATTAATAAAAATCATCATTTTTCAAAAACATTGTCGTTGAAATTCGTCGATGACGACAATTTTCATTGTTCAACCCGCACCAAGACCGCCGGAATCACGAGGCGCGCGCTGATTGGCCGCACGAAAGGGCTTTCCCCAAGTTGGCTCCGCCCACTCGACGCCCCACATTTTCATGTCAATGTGCAAATAAGGGCAGGTATAGAGCTTTGAATGCAGGTTTGGTGGGCAGTCCAGCTTCGATGGGGTGAGGAGAAGGTTGGTGAGTGTTATATCGAGGTAGATTTATGTTATTTTATTGTTTGAGATGATATTTTAGGCAAAAAAGGTGGAATGGCTGAATTATAGGCTAAAAAGGGAGAATTTCGGCTGAAAAAGGCGATTTTCAACGATTTTCAGGCCAAAACCGAAGGGTTTCAATCTAAAATTAAGATTTTCAGACCTTGTAAACAAAGTTTTTGCAGTTTCAAAAATTTCTAAGGAAAGCCAGTCCTGTATTTGATATTGTACTCAAATTTTAAGCCATTTCGGAGAACAATTAAAAAATTATGGCAATTTAAAAAAGTGGAAGTTCAGTGGAAGATTTGTAATGCATTTTGCACTAAAAATCTTCCACAAAACTTCCACTTCTAAAAAGTATCAAAAACGTGTTTTTAGGCCGTTTTAAGACATTTTGAACATGGAAGTTGAGTGGAAGATTTTCAGTGCAAAATACATTGAAAATCTTCCACTGAAATTCGACTTTTTTAAATTTCAAAATTTTGGCTAAAATGAAAAAGTTTGTTGGAGATATGAGTAAAATCTATGATAAAATGATGTAATAGAATAGTTAAATCAATATTTACATCATATTTGTCCCGTTTGCACCTAAAATGCCGGTTTTTTGGGTATGGCGAAGAGACCTGAAAGGTCATTTCGTCTCGAATCAACTTCCAATATCAACCCATTTGAGTGCAAAACGGATAGCCCGGTTTGTCGACGTTATGAAAAAGTTGGAAATCGAATTATATGTCCGCTTTCCTTACCATACAATTGTCATCTATGTTAATATATACGAAATGACTTTTGATCATGGAATTTTATAGCAATATTATCAAACACCCCTTCACTTTTATGGTTTCATGGGGCTGTGTTCGCGATTTTCAAAGATTCTGCTGAATTGGCTTCTGACCTTCATTTGCATATCAATTGCGGGGGTGGTTAACATGAAGGTATATGGGCTTGTTTAATGATGTTAATGGGGTTCGAAACGTGTCGTTTTTTTATAGTATGTGAAGCAGGGTATTGTGCATGTGCTCTTGAAATTTTGTTAAGAAAGCTTTACGAGCCAAGAAGTTATGAAGATTAGAAGATATTACACTAGGCATCAGCTGGTACCCATGAATAAATTATGTTATTCGGTGATGTTGTTGAAGTTGTAAACATTCCATTTTTAAATATGTTGTCAATTGGACTATTTACAATGTAGTTGCCAAGCTTCATAAAGTAGTCTTTATTAGATAAAAAGTTACGACCATCAGATTATATTACACTACATAGGTACCAGCTGGGTGCGCCAGAAAATTTGTTATAATTATTTGTATTGATACTGGAAATATGCTCTTTTTTAATATCTTGTAAAACATAATATTTTTTAAATTTTTGTAAAATTTTATAATATTAAATTCCATATTTGAAAAGTTATGCCCATCAGCCTATATTACACTAGACATCAGAAGCGGCCAGACTGAAAACTTGCCAGAAATGGTCGCATTTTTGATTTTTATACATGATCTTTAATTGCGCATCTCGTATTTTACATGATATAATCTATTTTGACACTTTTATTACCTAAATTTCAAAGAATTTTGATTTTTCAACGAAAAAACGCGGAAAAAACAAGGTTTTTCGACTGAAACTGCCTGTGGCACTGTGTCAAATCATTTGGAATTTCAAGCCAAGTGTTTTCCCTTTCGTCGCGCGGGAATTTATTTTTGTTTTTATCTTGAAACATTGAAAACTTGGACAAATTTGAGGAAAAGTCCGAAGTTTTTCGCGGATTTTTGTCGTTTTTTGGGGGTTTTTGTCAATTTGTGAGCTTATTTATATTGTTTTATGTCGTATTTTGTAAATTAAATTTATATTTTATTGATTTACAATTTATTTTATACATTTATTTCATTTTAAACTTATTTTTTGCATTGAAACTTTAATTTATTGCGACATTATACATGATCGTTTGCTGTAATTTTATATAAATTGATCTATGGAACACATAATTATGGTAATTTTCAGACAACAGACACTTAGGCGTTTACTCTTCACACAGATACATCTTTTGTCGCGCCATCCTTGGTGCACGACTGAGATCAAGCTCTCGCACAATCTTCTTCAAGGTATTAGGCTCGTGGTGAAAGGTGAGTTATATTGATGTGTTTTAGGCTTGAATAGGGTTGTATTTGGTGTTGAAATGTAGTTAATTGAGTTTTTAAACTACTTAGAAAGTTTCATTATGTTTGGTTTTGTTTCAAAAAAGTTATTTAAAACACCATTTTAGCATTTTAAAACTGTGCAGATCATTGAAATATGGTATAGTAGACATTCAATATGGCATCTTTTCTCGGACCTATCGGATGTCTACTATAATATCAGATTTTAAGCTATAAATTTCGGATATACTTTTAATAGTTTTCATGGTATATATTATTTAATTTACAATGAAATTGGCTTAATATAAACGTTTAAAACGTTATGAAACATTGAGGTTTAGATTTTTTATGAGTATTTTTTGTTGACCACCTATTTGATGGCTACAATAATATATCTTTTTTGCTCATATCTTACTACTCTTTTAATTTCAGCTCACCAAATCGAAATCCCCTGATTCAGAAGGCTCTTTAGTAACTTTTGATCACAAGCACGGTCCCGTACCGGCTTTGAATGGACCATCAGGAATCAATTATCAACCACCACCCATCGACGGCACTGAACCCGGAACCGCGCTTACCATGGCGGAACTTTATAAAGCTGATCCTGATTGGCTGTGCCATGACGACCATTACCAACTTCCCATCAGCCTTCACGCACACGTCGGTAAACACGGCCGTCAAGGAGTTGAAGGGCTACCTGAACGAGAGTTTCGACGAACGAGGCTGGGAGTTGAATCGTGAACAACAGAGTGTGGTCCATGGATTCGTCAACTCGTGCTGGTTTGCTGGTCAAGTGATTGGAAGCTTTTTTTCGCCTCTCATCACCGACAAATATGGAAGGAAACGTAAGTGTTTTGATTAGGAGGGTAACTGTGTTTGAGGTGGAAGTTGAGTGGAAGAATTTTAGTCTATTTTGCACTGAAAATCTTCCACTCACCTTCCATTTCCAAAAAGTCTTAAAATGTCCTAAAAACGCGTTTTTGACACTTTTTACAAGTGAAAGTTGAGTGGAAGATTTTCAGTGCAAATTGCATTACAAGTCTTCCACTCAACTTTCACTCTTAAAAATGATTAAAAACGTGTTTTTAGGCTATTTTAAGGTATTTTAAAAGTTCTTTCTTGCTTAAAATACTCTAAAGTCGCATTTTCAAGACTTCAAAAAATGGTGCTATTGGTACCACTGGTACACTTGGTACTATTTTTGAAGAATGTTAATTTTATGATGTTTTTACAATATAGAAATTATAATTGAATGCCATTTTAGCTGCATACCTCTTGTCGACAGCCATGATGACGTTGGCATGTGCTCTCCAAGCCATCAGCACTATGTTCCCATACCCAGAATTCCTAGTAATTGGAAGAATCTTGGCTTCTATGTTTTCCCCCATGAGTGATGCTGCATTCGTGTTGTACATGCAGGTAGGTATTGGCACATTTTTGGTTTTTTATTTTGGAATTTTATAAAAGGTAGTTCTTTGATTTTTTTGGTGTTAAAAGCAATGTTTTTGACCTTTCTAGTAGAGTAAAATAGGTTTGAAAGTCTTTTTTGGCTATAATGATGGCTTGGAAGCTTTTAAAAAAGTGGAAGTTGAGTGGAAGATTTGTAATTTAATTTGCATTGAAAATCTTCCACCGAACTTCCACTCTCAAAAAGCGTCAAAAACGCGTTTTTAAGCTATTTTGAGACTTTTTAAAAATGGAAGTTTAGTGGAAGGTTTTCAGTGCAATTTACATTACTAATCTTCCTTTTAACTTCCACTTTTTGAAACCTCTTTTTTGAGACCTGTAAACAAAGTTTTTGCTCATTTTTGAAAATACTATAAAATACGAGTTTAAAAAATTTCAGGAGATTTCCCCAACTGGTATGCGTGGTACAATGAGCGCGTTCTTCGCCTCCGGTTACGCGGTGATGGCCCTTCTCGGTGCGGTTCTCGGAATGGAATCGGTTCTGGGCCACTCACTGCCACTTTTATTCAGTGTTCCAATTGCGCCCGGTATTTTGTCACTCGTCTTCTTGGCCATGGTACCAGAAACGCCCAAGTTTTTGCAGCTGGCTGGTGCCAAGAAGGCCCATAAATTGCGAAAAGCACTAGAATTCTATCAGGTAGGTTTGGTTTTGGAACTTTATTTACTGGGGGTGTGGAGGGGTAAAAGAAGAAATGTTTGGTTAGGAGACTAAAATGAGGCAAGATATACCTATTTTTAAACGAAATTTGGATAAATGTTAAAGTGGTACCACTGGTACACTTGGTACCATTTTTTGAAAAATTTTAAATTTTGGTTTTTTTGAAATTTTAGAAAAATTAAAAAATAATATTTACAGTATTAGTAGTACTAATGGTACCACTGGTACACTTGGTACCATTTTGAAAATTTAAAAATTTAGATTTTTTCGAAATTTCAGAAAAAAATTGTAAGTTGTATGATTAGCATTAGTGGTGCTAATGGTACCACTGGTGCAATTGGTACCATTTTTCTTAAAAAGCTTCAAATTGTTTAATAAACTCAAACTTTTTAGGGCCCAGCCATGGACACCTCCTTCTACAAGCCTTTGGCCGATAACGGTCACTCGAAACAAGAAGGAATGATGACCGACCGGTCGTTCTGGGACCTATGGAGACGTCGAGAGCTCCGTCGTGCCATCTTCCTGACTTTTGCTGTCTTTGCCCTAGCTCTACCCTTCTACCCGATCCTCCAATCCTCAACACACTTCATGAAAGAGGTTGGAATCTCAGCCGAAATGGCCGAGTTCTCATCCACCGGCCTCATGATCATGTTCGTGGTGGCCAGTGCGGTCGGGACCCTCTTGATGTCCCATGTATCGCGAAGAGGACTGATCTTGTGGAGTGGGTTCTTTTCCATCATCTCCATGTTGGTCTTCGTCATTGGAGCGAGATACAGCCAGGGCGCTGTTGTGGTGAAGTATATTGCGATGTTGGGCTTCTACGCCTATACCTTGTGTTATGGGTAAGTTATTGGGTATTTGACGGTCATATTTTGGGTATTACATCAGAAAATGATAGGTTTTTGTAGAATTTGAGAAAAAAGTTGAAATTTTGGTCCAAAAATGGCAGTTTTTGGGAGTGGAAGTTGAGTGGAAGTTTTGTAATGTATTTTGCACTGAAAATCTTCCACTAAACTTTCATTTTTAAAATGTCTTAAAATGGCTTAAAAATGAGTTTTTGAGACTTTTCAGAAGTGAAAGTTTGGTGGAAGAATTTTAGTGTAATTTGCACTGAAAACCTTCCAATCAGCTTCCATTTTCAAAACGTTTTGAAATTATGTAAAATTACATTTTTAACAATTTTTAGGCTTTTTTTGAGAATTTTATGACTATTTTTAAGCCTAAAAACTCTAATTTCCCTCCATTTTCAGGCTTGGCTTTGGCACAGTGTCCTACTTTATTGGTACCGAATTCTGCGACATCGAGTACCGTTCGACGGTCTTCTCGGTCTGCTACTCACTCAACAACATCTTCATCGTCCTTACCAACATGCAAGCCATTTGGGCATTCAAAAAGTTTGGACCAGTCGCCTTTCTACCACTCTTTGGTGTACCATGCCTTACAGCGCTGGTATACCTCTACTTTAGACTGCCAGAGACCCGAAACCGTGACATTGAGGACATTGTCGAGGAGCTGAGGTCAAACCGATGTGGCCTAAGGTCGGCGGCATTGCTGAATGCGGACAAGGTGGCACCAGTGTTTAGTGCGGTAGAGGAGTTGGATGTGACCGCCATCCAAGCTCAGGACTCACCTCAGAAGCTGAACAAGTCCGAGGAGAATCTGGAGACGTGAAAGCTATGGTTTTGGGGTAAGAAGGGCTTATTTTTGGCTAAAAATGTCTGATTTTTGGCTAAAAATGAGCGATTTTGGATGTTGTAGTAGGTAAAGATGTCGGAATAGAGGATAAAATGAGGTTTTTTAGCCTTTTTTTTGAAGTTTATAACACTTTTGCGCTTTACAAAGATATAACAAATGAAATTTTTAGTTTTTCTCAAAAAAAATTTTACGACCGGTCGATATTTTTTTTCAAAATTTTTTCAGAAATCCTTCAAAATAGTTTAAAATGCCGAAAATAAAATACCTTTTTTGCTGATCTTGATTAAAAAAAACCCCATTTTTTACTGATCTGACATCCTTTCCTACTACTGGGTATGTTATTGATGTTGTTGGTCCCACCCACAATAGGTGGTGCCATGACAATGTTTGTAGTATTATACCTGTTGTACGATTGTATTCTGTGCCCTAAGTGATATTATTTTTGATTGCCTGTCTTTTTGCCTATTTTTCCTTGATTTTAACGCCTAGTGTCATTATGCTATACCTATATGTTAGTAACGTTAGATTGTAATTTTAAAATCTTAACTATTTTTTCATTTTTTAACTCAATTTTCATAATTTTTTAACTTTTGTAAAATTCAATTTTACACCACGAATCCTAACATTGTTGTCTCATCACGCCGGCCCCCACGGCCATTGTTTATATTGACGTAGCTTCACAAAGCCGTATTTTAAAAAGCGCGGGCTTTCCAAAAGCCCCCGGTTCCATGTAAATTTGTTACAATTTTTCATATCAGTTTATTTTGATTGTTCGCGTCTCGTCGCCCCACCCTGAAACGACGTAAAATACGATTATTTTGAAACATGTCACGTTAAAAGTGTTTGAATAAACGGGTTACATGTATTTTGGCGGCTGTTTTGAAGTTTTTTAGCTTGGTAATTATTGTTCTAACGTAGATTTATGTTTTTGCTATGATATTGTAAAGTTTTATAGTCATATCAGGCTTTAGCTCTGAGCTACAACAAGTTATTTTACCTTAGGTGGCTAATATGAAGAGTATAGTTAATATCGTTCAATTTTAGAAATCTTCAAACTCTTAATGGGCTGAAATTACCATTAAAACATACCATGATGTCTTTGCTAAACTTATGTAAACTTTTATAACCATACTTGACTTGAAAAGAAAGATACAGGCTTTATATTAACATAGTTACGTTCATCCGCGCCATGGTTAATATCGCCTTGTTTTTGAAAAAAAAAAACCAGACGTTAACTTGTTTTTATAACATATAGAGGACAGCCCAGGATCTTAGCTACATTTCCACCAAAATTTAGGCTCCTATCTCCTCAAATCGTTAAGCTATAACAATTATATTAACATAGACACCTCCAACTATTCCAAACGAAAATATCAACTAAAATTTCTCTCATAAACGAATAAAAATTTATATATCACAACCTGCGATAACAATCTAAAACTAGTAACAATAATAACCCTGATTAAATAAGAATATGACCCGATTTACGATGAGTGAGTTATTTTTTCTGGGTTCCTCTACCACAAGTCCCATGGAGGTTTGTTAAGCGCGTCCCGCATTCCTTTGGTCGTAAAGTTGAACGGAATTCGTAGTTTAATGTAGTCGCCTTCGTAATTTAGGTAGTCTCGCATTCTTTTCCTGGAATTCGTTGAAGTAAGTTTATATACATCTAGATAGATGAAGGAAAATTGATGTAACTTCACTAATACTCGACCAAAATATTTAATTTTTATATGAGATTGTGGCTAAGAGCCTGTTCTAACTCATCAAAAATACTACGAAGACATACCCATTGTTCCCAGGGAGATATCCAGCCGGAATCCCGGCCGCTAGCCCACCTTCATCTCTGATCATCTCAATGAAACCGGATGTTGAATTTGCTGCGTCCGTAATTAAAACAGCACGTGCTCCAGCTCTTTCAGCATTCACAGCCTTCTCAGCAAACGAACAAGACCCACGTTCGATCAGTACGATGCTATCTTCAACATCAATCTCGTTCGTCAATGGTTCACAGGCTTCGATCGGTTTTGCTAGCACCATGTACATCTAAAATAATGTTTTTTAGGCTTCAAAAGTCGTTTTAAGTTTGAAAAGAATGCAAAAGCTTCTTGAGAGCCTAAAGAAGGTACCTAAACCAAAAAAACGAAACGTAAATACTTACTTCAACTGGAACATGAGGAAATCTGGCTCCAATCTGATAGGACGGCAAGAATTCATAAACATATTGCAAGTTCTCTGGATAATCAACTTGAAAGAACAATGAACCAGTTACAAACCCTAAAATAACAATACTCCATCTCTTTATCATCAAAAACTTACCATTCACAACATAACAATAGTTAAATAACACCAAAAACAACAAAAACATTGAATTAGTTCCAGTCAAATTAATAAAAAAGTTGCCAAGGATTCTGAAGAAATCCATAGCATAACTTGAGCAAGTAGAAATATCACCAAAATACCACGGTAAAACAAAGTATTCTCGAATATTTATCTTCTTGTTTTACGATTTATTTCGTATTGTTGACATTTCGTTGAAATTCCGTGTCTTTTCGTCGGTTTTTCTATTTTAGGCGGGTCACGCCACGAAAACCCTGTAAAATCAGGAGGAGTCAGAAGGGTACGGCGGGTTTTTCTCTGCGCATCTTAAAGTGCGCGTTAATGCTAGGCAAGGTATTTCATATATTTTTAGTCAGTTATATACGTGGGTTCGTCGATGGACACACGCATATTCTTCTGATATTTTTTAAGTATATATATTTTCGGTTTTATATTTGGTTTTTAGTGAGAAAACGAACATTTTTATTAGTTTTATGTTAATTTTATGTGAGAAGCGACTGATTTCCTAATTTTTGAATGCTAATGACTCATAATTTTTTTTTGAAGAAGGAAGATTCTATCTATTTTCAGCGCTTGCGGTCGTGTATGTATTGTTTTAGGTTTTATTTTACATATTAACCATGGTCTATTTTAGAGAATACAAAATGGGTCGTGATCGTGGTTCCGGATGTTTGTATGTTGGCAACTTGCCTCCAGACTGCCGTTCTCGTGATCTTGAAGATGTTTTCCACAAATATGGCAGAATCAAGTTCTGTGACGTTAAGAACAGAAACCATCGTGGTGGAGTCTCGTTCGGCTTTGTCGAATTCGATGATCCAAGGTAAGTACTTTTATTTGGCATTGTTTTTGTGTTTAGATGTTTGGGAAGCTTTCTCTGGCTTTGGTTCATGAATTTTCGTTTTACAAGGCCAATTTTAAGGTCAACCTTAATATAATTTGTGGTAAGAAAGCTTTACACTATCTAGACCTTTATTTTTTGTTCTGTTTCGGTTAGTTTATGTTTTGTGTGTTGTTAAAATTAGGGCCCAACATTTGAATTTTGAAATTTTGAGCGGAAAATGATGTTGTAGTAGGTTGGATAGAAAGGAGGGTATCTGTTGATGATACAAACCGATATTTCTAAAAATTTACATAAAGCTTCTCTAACATCTTTTAAAAAATTTTACAAATAATTATATTGTTTTACTCAAAATTGACTGAGAATCTATCAAAAACATCTTATCACCTTTTCAACCTACGATAACATTACTTTTTTGTAATTTAAATACTAATAAGCTTGTTGTTGTGTTGTTTATCTTGAAAACTGTCTTACTAAATTGTGTATCGTTGTAGTAGCAAGTTGGATTGTTCAATCAATCAAGGGATATCATGAGATTAGGGACAAGAACAATATAAATCTACTGTCTAAACTTATCAACCAGAATCTTTGGGAAAAAACTCGGCTTAACGGGACAATATTGGTATCATAAAGCACTCGATGTCAACAATGACAAACTAGGACACGTGATATCAATAATGCCAAGCCGTCATGTTAACTTTGCCAAGCTAGGACTCAATCTCAATTCTACCTCATAGGACAATATATATTGGAGTGAGCGTTGGCATAGAGAGTAAAAATGAAAGATGAGATGCAATTCTTGTTTTTCATTTTTACTTTCTAATGAATTGGGCAAATGTTGGGGAGTTGGAGCAAATTTTGGCTCATTTCTGGGACATATTGCGGATTTTACGCCATTTTCTGGACAGTTTGCCTATTCAATCACTATTTTTGGATCTCTACCATTCAAATTTTATTCCTCAAACACTTCTCATTCAATTGTCGACTATTGAGCATTGTTTTGGAAACAAGTGGTCAATTACAATATCATTTGTCAGCTAGGACAATATCGACTAAAATTCATCTTCTTTCAATCAATTTGGGCTCAAAGTACAATCAAAATCTATGAACAAGCGAGTGTGAACATTGACAGGAGCCTAATGTAATATACATGTCAACGTTTCGGCTTTAAAAGTTGAAATTTTTGTTTTACAAAACGAAAATTTTACTCTTAAGGTCGAAATGGGTCAAAATATCAAAACATTCTAATTTTTTTCTCTTTCAGAGATGCCGAAGACGCTCTTCGCGGCCGTGATGGTTACGACTTTGATGGGCACAGACTGAGAGTCGAAGAAACTCGTGGCAATGGTCCTCGTGGTCCCGGTGGTAGACCATTGAATGGTCCCGATGACAGAAGAAGAGAGCGTGGACGCTTTGGTGGAGGTGGCGGCCCAAGAAGACGCGGCCACAGAATCTATGTATCAGGATTGCCACCAACTGGATCATGGCAAGACCTGAAGGATCATATGAGGTCGGTCGGGGAGATTGTTTGTGCTGATGTCAACAGAGATGGAACAGGAATTATCGAGTTTGCCAGATACGACGACGCCAAGTACGCCGTCAAGAAGATGGATGACTCCAAGTTTACATCGCATGAGGTAATGTTTTGACATTTTTTAATGAAAAAACATCATTTTTTAAAATTTAAAAAGAAATTGATGTTTTCGGCCTATGATGAAATAGTGTCATGCTAATCATGAAAGAGAAATCGGTTTCTCGCTCCCCATGTTGCAAAAAACACGTCCTGAGGTCTATAAAATGATATTTCAAGTTGAACTCCAAAAAATTGAAATGTTATTTTATTAAGATTTTTTCAATTTTTTCATATTTTTAATGATTTAACCCTAATTTATATATTTTCAGGGCGAAACTTCGTACATTCGTGTGTCAGAGGACAGTCCAAGACGCTCCCGCACTCGCTCCCGAACACCCCGTTCCAGAAGCCGCTCCCCACGTCGTTCGGAACGCCGCTCTCCCGTCTACAGCGACCGTTCCGCGTCCCGATCTCGCTCCCGTTCACGCTCTTAAATTATTATCCATATACAGCTCCTTATTTGTTATCCAACCTTATTTTTACGTTACAAACTCAATAAATATTAAAGGAGTATTGTTGTTTGAATTTTTTGGGTTGTAACATGGGATGAAAACTATTGGACTATGTGATCGGGGCTGGAAAATTTGAAATATTTTAAAAAGTTCGGGGCCAGACAAAGCCGGCTATACCGTGCAAAGGCATAAAACTAAAACTTTCTTGCCACCTTTCAAAATAAAAAAAAATATTTTAATAATTTATTTGAATTTTAGCAAACATCTAACTCGAAACGAGGGAAAAGACCAATAGCCAGTAGAATTTGGTGGGATTAGATTAGATACAAAGGTGTGGGTTACCGTTCGTTACTCAAATGTTATGAAATAGAATAAATATCACAGTTGTGTCTAATCCAGCTTGATTCGCGAGTAAATCTTGTGGATGAAAGAGGCCGAGCTCACGTAGCCGATGGTGCCGCAAAGGATGCCGAGAGCGACCGAGAAGATGCCCATGTAGCCAAAGTAGAAGAGGGTTTGGAAGAGGCCGTACATCCTGAAATTTAGGTATTAAGTGGGTTGTTTTTATCAAAATGGCAAGAACTTTGTTTACAAAGCAAAAAATGACAATAAATTTCTTTCCAACTCCAAAAATTCTCAAATTCCCTCAAAATTCACAAAACTCAACCCATCAACCTGAACTTACTTAGTTTTGAAGAAGTAATAGTAGATCGAGTACAGGTAAACGTAAAGCGAGATGGAGCCACCGGCGGTGAACGACGACCAACGCCAGCGATAGTCCTCGGCGTTCAACAGGAAGTAGCTGGAAACAATTGTCACGCAGGCAGTAACGACCAGTAAAATGATGGCGACCAACAGCATAAAGCCGTAGACGTAGTAGATTTTGTAGGCCCAGAATGAGGTAAAGATAAAGTACCTAAAATAGGGTGAACTTAGGTTTAAAATTTTACAAAAACGGCTTCAAAAGTGCCAAAGCTTGCTCCGAATGCCACTTTTCACAACAAATATGTTAAACCTTTGTTTACAAGCCAACAATAACAAATTTAAAAAAATGAAAGTTAAGTGGAAGATTTGCAATGTAATTTGCACTAAAAATCTTCCACTTAACTTCCATTTTTAAAAAGTCTTATAATAGCCTAAAAACACGTTTTTAAGGGTTTTTAGAAATAGAAGTTTGGTGGAAGAATTTTAGTGTGTTTTGCACTGAAAATGTTCCACCAAAATTCCATTTCCAAAAATGCCTAAAAACGTGTTTTTAGGCAATTTTAAGACATTTTAAAAATGAAAGTTGAGTGGAAGATTTTCAGTGAAAATTACATTACAAATCTTCCACTCAATTTCCACTACTCAAATCTCTTTGAAATCTTCAAATCCCCCAAAAATTCGATCCTCCCCTTACATTTCAATAAAAATGGAACCAAAAGGCAAGAATCCGGCGATGACAGAGATGGCACTCGGCTCCAAGTACCATTTTTTGTCCGGGATCGGGCGTGGGACGACGTTGATTCGGCATGGAATGTCGGCTTGGCCTTTGAGATTGCGGCCCAACAAAGTGCCCACAAAGTTCAGAGGGAGAATGACGAAGGCACAGATGCCAAAAATGGACAACTGAAAAGGATGGGTTGTTAAAAATGGCAACAGATCATTGAAATTAGGTCAATTTTATGAATTTTGAAAAAAGAACCTTTTTTTCTAAAATCAAGTGTATTTTATGACGTAAAAGCAAATTTTCTTTATAGTTTTCGATTTAAAATACAATGTGCTGAGCTCCAGGTCCCAAATAATCATAAAAGCATATATACATTCTCAAAAATTTACCTAAAATAAAAAAAAATTATTTTTTCAAAATTTTGTTACCTAAACTTAAAATTTTGATTTTTCTCACCAATAATAAATCTAAAATCAAAAACCATTTAGTATAAAACTTATAGAAACCTTATTTTTATTCAAAAATTTAAAAATCCAGTGTTAATTTTAAAAATTGTTACCTAAACATGCTTAAGTACTCAAAATTTCATTCTTTTCCAAATATTCAGCAAAAACTCAACCCAAAACAAAAACCCAAGCATAATGCAGTACCTAAAAACCAATTTTTTAAACAAAAAAATTGTTACCTAAAAAATTTAAAATTTCAAAATTCGACTTTTTATTCCAAAAATTGAAAAACGTTACTCTCTCTGGATTGTTACTTTCAAAAAATCACTATTCCTTTCATTTTCCCTACCTCAAACGTTTCAAAATCTTCATTTTTAATCAATCTTAAGCTTCAACCGCCTCATTTCCCAGGACTAGACACAGAGCATTCCCCCCCCCCCCCCCCCACTTAAAACCTTCATTTGTATGATATTGTTCACATAATTCTGGGCCCCCGCAAATTTTCAATGTTAGACAGCAAAGAATTATTCGAACAACCTGATATCAACTTTAGATATATCAGGTTGTTCTTAAAGTCCCCCAGTTAAAACCTCCAAAAACTGACCATAGAAGTGAAAGGAATAGCCCTTGAAGCATGATAGTAGATGGCGACGGTATTAATCGACAAAGCCACCCAGGCCAAGAACCCTGGGAACAGGAATGCGCCAAAAACCATCTGTTTGATCCAGTTTTGGCCGTTCACCCGCGAGTACATCGAGCCGCCGAAGAAACCGTTGATGGGTGCGCAGATGGCGTAGACAAAGATGGTGGCCGACAATAATGATCCTCTTTCCGTGTAGAACTCGGCCAGAATGGCCAGAGCGATGGTGATGAATAGGACTGAGGCTAGATGGTAGCCGGTTCCAATTAGTGAACAGAAAAGCATTGGATGTTGAGGTGGTCGGAAGACGTCGCCGTGGACTTGTTTCCAACCGTAATCATCTGTTAGCTCTTCGTCCTGTAAAATATATTGTAAATGCAAGTATCATTATTAAAAATTTTTAATACTTTCAGCATTTTTCAAAAAGTGGAAAGTGAATGGAAGATTTGTAATGCAATTTTCACTAGAAATCTTCCACCAAACTTCCATTTTTAATATGTCTTAAAATTGCCTGAAAACACGTTTTTGAGCATTTTTAGAAGTGGAAGATTGATGAAAGATTTCCAGTGCAAATAACACTAAAATTCTTCCACCAAACTTCCACTTCTAAAAACCTTAAAAACGTGATTTTAGGCCATTTTAAGACTTTTTAAAAATGGAAGTTGGATAGAAGATTTTCAGTGCAAAATACATTTAAAATCTTCCACTAAAATTCCACATTTTCTAAATCATAAAAATTTTGTTTTTACTTCAAAATAACTTAAAATTCAACCAAAACCATTACTTTAAACAAAAATTTTTGCCAAAAACAATTTTAAACATAATATTAGCCTTACCGCTTCTACATCCAACTCCTTGTGATATCTAGCGTAATCTTTGCTCAGCGTTCTCAACAATATCATCCATACCAAACCGACCAAGAAGATGACCATCATGAAAGAATTGAAGATAGAGAACCAATGAATCTAAAAGTTTTATTAATAAAAGCTTCAAACTATATTACACTGCGCATATATAGCTAAAAACCGCCTCCAAAATGCCATATCTAATCATATGCAGCCTACTACAATATAAATTATCTCCAAAAAGCTTACTCTATGTTGGAAGAAGGTTGGATCCAAATATTTTTCGAATCGTTTCTCAAAATCGACCGTAGATGACTTCCATGAGACTGAGTAGGTGAAGGAGACCTCATCTCCAGCTTTGATGACCTTTTTGTCTTCAACTACAACCGACACATCCACGATTCTATCACCATTGTATCCGATTTCAAAACGTTTATTCGTATATACAGTCACTTCTTTGGTTGTTGGATCCAATTCTCCCACCAGAGCTAAAGATTATATTGTTTTAGATGAGTGAGATAAGATTAATTCATAACTCGATTTTTACTGGTCTGATTAGTACAAAGTAGTACTTTTTCAATTCACAAAAGCCTGGAAAATATTTTATAACCGTTCCCAATATCATTCCTTATCAAAAAATAAAGTTATGACCAAATGTTTTCGATCATTTCATATCTACAACAACATAATTAATTTTCACTCCATTTGCAGTAGTTAAATTAGTCTATAACAATATTTAGTCTCTCTTTATAAGCAAGAAGACCGCACAACGTATTTTACATTATACTTGTCCAAAAACATTAAGTTGTATCTAAAACAAAGATTTAAATCAAAAATCCTTACCCCAAAGTGGAAGGTCGTCGATGTACATTTGATACCAGTAGTTGTGTTTCACAGCATAATCCAAAGCTTCGACATCAGCACCAGACATGATCCTCTTACAGTACGAGGTTTTTTCTTGATTCACTAAAAAAATTATGGTTAAACACTTCATTTACGTCAAAATAGTATTGTAATGTCTACTACAACATCCATTTTAACACATCTTTTAAACCAATAGTCCAATTATATTCAAATTTTAAACAGACGTTCCTAAAACAATAATGACAAATATATTTAAAAAAATTACTTTTGTATCGAATATCCAGCCCAGAGTACTCCAATTCCACTCCCAGCAACGCTTCACCCAGCGTTTCATGGTAATGCTCAATGTTCTGTTTGTTTCCTCGACAAAATGGCAAAGAAAAATAGGAGTAAGTCTCTTGACGATTCGAATATGGCCCAATTGTGTTCATCCATAACACAACTTCCTCGTTTTCCTTGTAGGTATGTTCGTGTTCATCTGGTGTTACGAACAACGTTGATGTTATTAATAATACTAGGAAATTTCTAAAAGAAACAACTTTATATTAAAATGAATAGTCAAAAAGTAATTATATCTAGTAAAAAAATACTAATTAAAAAAACATAACAGATAAAAATGTTTTTTTCAAGTAAAAGTTATATTATCCATAAAAGCTAGATTAAAACTCTTGAAAAAGCAACAAAAACTATCCAAAACTAATCAAATTAATACTCTTTAAAATCCATTGACTCTTTTCCATCTTTTAAAACCAAAACCACAAAAATCAAACCAATATCCATCAATATATGATCTCATATTCACTATCAACCCCAAAGAGTGCCTAAAATCCAAAAAAACAATGCAAAAAACTTACTTAAACACATGCTTGCCCATATTTACAAAAGCCATAGCTTCTGATAGTTTAAATCTCTTTTATTAAGCCAGTTTTATATCCCAGTTATCTGAAAAACGTTATGTTATGTTAGGTTTAATAAGCTGTTATCAATAACATACAACAACATCAAAAAGTTACTTTGTAGATTATTGAACACGTAGTAAATTCTCAAAATCTATATAAAAGACAAATTGAAAAGCAGAAAATTAAGCCGCGATAAAATCTAAAAGATACTCCTTCAATACGTGGCATGGATAATATACTTGTTAAAGAAACCTAAATTTTTATACAGTTAAAAGAAGAAAAGTCTAAACTATATAAAACAATATGAAATAGATCCTAAAAAAGCTGTAAATAAACTCCAGAGTTTAATACCATAAAAGAGAAATTGTTTTTCGTCCATCTGAAACGTGGCTGTATGTTAATATAGAAAAAAGCCTAAAACCACATGTAAAACGTATTAAAGCAGACTATTTTGTATTAAAATTAAAAGAATAGTCTGTAATAGATATATTAAAAAGGTTTTTCCTGGTTTAGAGAGTTATTCAAGGCCGATTTCAGATAAAAAAGCCACGAATATGCCAACTCAAAATATCTTTAATTTGGTCCCGGCACGAAAACGTTTCGCGCAAATTGAATCGCCGGAAAGTGGACGAATTGTTATTTTTTTGGTATTGTTGGTGCTGTTTGTGTAATATGGACTTTTATTTTGTAAAATACGAAAAATTAGCCAGGTTTTTTTTAAAATAATTTAATTTTTTTTTAAATTAAAAATTCAAAAATTAAATTTTTTAATAATAAAATTTCGAAAAACTTTATTCAACAAAAATTATGTACAATTTGCATTTTTAGGTCAATATTAACCACGTCCTTTGCCGCCACCTCCGCCGCCTCCGTGACCTCCTCCGCCGCCTCCGTGACCTCCGCCGCCTCCGTGACCTCCGCCACCACCTTGATGGCCCCCACCACCTCCGACACGTCCTCCTCCACCGCCGCCACCTCCTCCACGGTTTCCTCCGCCGCCACCTCCTCCGCGGCCACCGCCATTTCCTCCGCCGTTGCCTCCGCCAAAGTTGCCTCTGCCCATCTGGCCAAAACCACCGTTCCAGGCTGAAAAAAAACGCAATAACTTTGTTTACAATGGGTTAAATGGCAAGAACTTTCTTTACAAAACAGAAAATGGCAAGAACTTTCTTTACAGAACAAAAAATGGCAAGAACTTTCTTTACAGAACAAAAAATGGCAAGGACTTTCTTTACAAAACAAAAATGGAACGAACTTTCTTTACAAAACAAATTTTCAACTTACGTCCGCCCCAAGGCTGATACCATAGTGGAGGTGGGGGTGGTGGCCAAAATGTGGGTACCGGCTCAACCCATTGTGCCACTGATAATGTTGCACATAGGCTAAGTAGTATTAGTAGTTTTAACATTGCTTTTAGAGCTCTGAAATTGAAAATTTTAAAAATTTTTAGACGTTTGCTTTTTTACAGTATACCAGGTTATAGGAAAACTTATAAGTTAAGACAATTTACTCTGATTTCAAATTTACCTCTATCCTTACACCTACCCCTACCCCCATCCTTACCATGCCCCTACCTCTACCCCTACCCTAACCCCTACCATTATCCTTAACCCTACTGTATATCATGGCTTACCCTACCCTACTTAACCCTGTTTTACCTTACCATTCTCTGCCCTGCCCTGTTCTGCTTTGCTCTACCCTACCTTACCCTGCTACTTTACCATACCCTAACTTACCGTGCTCTAACCTACTCTGTTTGCCTTACCTTGCTTTACCGTACCCTACCTTACCCTGCCCTAACCTACCCTGACCTACGCTGCTTTACCCTACCCTACCTTACCCTGCCCTAACCTACCCTGACCTACGCTGCTTTACCCTACCCTACCTTACCTGCCCTACTCTAACCTACCCTACCCTACTCTACTCTACCCTAACTTACGCTGCTCTACCTCCTGCTTCTACCCCTAGTTTTAATCTACCCATATCATGCCCCTAACCCTACCCCTGCCCGTATTCCCTACTTCTACCCCTACTATAGCCCTACTATACCTCTAATTGAGCTCTACCTCTCTTTCCCTTACACCTATCCTACTCTTACCTACCCCTACCATTCCTCTAGTTCTATGCTACCCTTCCCTACTTCTAGTTTGTTTTATTCTACCCCTCTACCCCGACCTCTACCCTAACCTCTGATTGTTCCACTATTCTTAAAGTCAAGCCTAAAAATGAAGTAAATAATGTCTAAACAAATTAAAGTTTCAAGTGAAAAACGGTTTTTAAACTCGTCAAGTTTCGTCGCTGAATATTACTTACGACTTGACTGACTTACTGGAGAGAGTCGTTGTAAACAAACTCACTTACTGCTTTACTTTACAGTAAATCTTATCACACTTATCAGTTTTCAACATTCGAATTCTAAGAAAACGTGGGAAGAGCAACACATGATGTCTGCCATTCATAGTTATGAAATTAGGCTTACATTATAAGCTTATTAAGATTTCTTAGGCTTCGGAACATATTTTAGGCTTACTGGGCCTTCTTTAGGCTTACACAATCACTTTTTGGCTTAGGCATGTTGTTTAGGCTTATAGTGTCTTCTTTAGGCTTGTGTAACTTTTTAAAGATTACATGTTTTAGGTTTATAGTGGCTCCTTAAGGCTTAATAATTAAGATTATAATGCTTTTTTAGGTTGGCGCAATCTTTTTAGGCTTAGGTACATATTAAAGGATTATAGTTTCTTCTTTAGGCTTACATAACATTTTAAACGTACGTACGAAACTTTAGGCTTATCCTTTCTGCTTTAGGCTTATGTACAGTGTTTTAAGCTTATAATACTTGCTCTAGGCTCAAATACACAGTTTTAGACTTATATTATCTGCTTTAGGCTTTTATTGTAGACTTATAGTATTTTCTTTAGGCTTAACATTACAATTTTAAGCTTATATTATATGCTTTAGGTTTAGGCTCTTAAATTTAGGCATATACTATCAAATTTTGCGAAATACTACTTTAGGCTTGTATTATCTACTTTAGGCTTAGAACACTATTTTAGGCCTACAGTATCTGCTTCAGGCTTAAATACAATTTTAGGCTTATGTTATCTACTTTAGGCTTAAATACAATTTTAGGCTTATATAATCTACTTTAGGCTTAGGCTCACAATTTTAGGCTTATGTTATCTACTTTAGGCTTAAATACAATTTTAGGCTTATGTTATCTGCTTTAGGCTTAAATACAATTTTAGGCTTATGTTATCTACTTTAGGCTTAAATACAATTTTAGGCTTATGTTATCTACTTTAGGCTTATCCACACAAATTTTTAGGATTAAATGTTGTCGCTTAGGCTTATAACATTTTAGGCTTAAATACACGATTTTAGACGTATGTCATGTGTTTTAGACTTATTGACGTCATATCATCTAAACATGACAGTTTAAACCATACGTTCAAGGAAGACCTAATTTTATACTCTTGTCGCCATGGTTTACAACGTAAAAGTTGTCGGTAAAACGTCAAAATACCCTTTTACTTACGTTGACAACATTAAGCTATTTGTTTTAGTTAAGTTTACTTTAATTCTTTAAAAGTTGTTAGTTGATTACATTTTTTGTCAAATTAACAGTTTGTTACCTAAAAAGTTTACTTTTTCTAAAAGGTTTACTATTGATTACTGTAGGTATTAAGTTGGTACAATTTGTGTTGTACTGACTACTAAAGGTACTATTTTATATTTTTCGTACTGTTTTGAGTACTAATCTGTAGCACAAGTAGTACTGTAGGTACTATTACTATCTTTCTTCTCTTTCGGTACTGATTTAGGTACTGTTTATACGTGGACATACTCTTGTCGGTACTATTTTTTACCTGTACGTACTTGTATAGGTGCTATATCTACTTGTAAGTACTCTTGTAGGTACTATTTTTTACCTGTACGTACTAGTATAGGTACTATATCTACTTTTAAGTTCTCTTGTAGGTACTATTTTTTACCTGTACGTACTAGTATAGGTGCTATATCTACTTGTAAGTACTCTTGTAGGTACTATTTTTTACCTGTACGTACTAGTATAGGTACTATTTGTAACTGTACGTACTACTCTAGACACTATACTTACCAGTACGTACTCCTCTGTAGGTACTATTTCTATCTTTACGTACTAGTATAGGTACTATTTGTAACTGTACGTACTACTGTAAGTACTATTTTTTATTTTTAGTACTGTATTTTGTTTGTATTTCAACTACTACAGTAAGTACTACACTGTATTGTATACCCTAGTACTACCTTTATATACCGCACTCCACTACACTACCCACATTACCTAAAAACCATGGTAAATCTAAAGCTACTATCCCTCATCTTACTAGTACTATGTGTATCAGCCCAAGTGCCAATGTCAGACCCTACCTTGGGTACGCTAGAAGGCATGCTTGGTCTGATGAATGGCCTTCTACAGACCATTCAAAGACCACAAGGTGGTCTGTTTGGCCCAGCAAATTCACCCCGCCCTCCACCTCGTCGTAACCCGCCCAAGCCTAGACCACATCATAATGAAAATAGGGGTGAGCAGGGTAGGGGCGGGCGGGGTAGAGACGGTAATTGGGGACAGGGTAGGAATGATAACTGGGCTGGTCAGAGAAGGGACGGTGGATGGGGTGGGCAGAGTGGAAATGCCAATTGGGGCGGACAAAACAATTGGCCGAACCAGCCTAGGCAAGATAATAACTGGCCTGCTCCAGCTAGACAAGAAAGTAAGTTTAGAACGGTAGGGTTAGATCTAAAAGTAGGGGGGGGGGCTAAACGAAGTCCCGGGCCGGAATATTGGACCTGTCCGGACTCTTTACAGGACTAGATGGGGTACTGTAGCATGAGACTAGGGTAGGGTAACGCATGGTAAGACTTTGGTAAGGCTGTGCAAGGTTATGGCAAGTAGGGTAGGGTAGGGTAGGGTAGGGTAGGGTAGGGTAGGGTAGTGTAGGGTAGGGTAGAGTTATTTAAGTACAATTTTTTCTTAAAAACCTATTTTAGCCAACTTCCAACCCCCACCATCAGCTCAACCCGACCAACGCAGTTCACCTGATATTCAGGATGTTGGAACGCCACATGGTCCTCCTGGTTTTTAATCATTAAAAGTGGAAAAACACAAGGTCATAATATATATAGTTTTCATGCACATACGACGATTCATTATATGAATAAACTAGTACTTTATTCTAATAGGTTGTGTAAAAAGTTCTAGGCCCCCTAACTTTACATAACGAGAAAAATACTACCCTGCCCCACTCAGAATCAGCTCAAAATATTTATAGGAACTCATTGTACCACCAATAGTCCCTATAATAAATTTTAGCTTGAAATTTTGAGTTTTAAAATTTAATTATTTAAATTTCCCGCCAATTTGGCAAATCTTGGCATTGTGTTTGAAAAACTTTTTTTTGAGTGTACCATCAATAGTACCTACGTTATATCATTAGTAGTACCTAAAAAAAGTTTTAGCTTCCTGTCTTGAGTTTTAAAATTTAAGTATTTGAACTTCCCGCCAATTTGGCAACTTTTGGCATTGTGTTTTAAGCACTTTTTACGATCGTACCACCAATAGTACCTACATTGTACCACCAACAGCGCCTATAATAAAGGTTAGTTCGCGTTTTTGAGTTTTAAAATTTAAATATTTGAACTCCCCGCCAATTTGGCAAACCTTGGCATTGTGTTTCAAGCACTTTTTTTGACTTTTTAGATAAGATAAGCTTACAAATTAAAAATGTAGGTTTGTTTGAAGGTATTCTACTAGTATATCACAGAAAAATGATTTAAAGTCAAAAAATGGCAAAGTTATAAGCTTGAAACACAATGCCAATTTGGCGGAAAATTCAAATATTTAAATTTAAAAGCACGAAAACGTCATTTTAAACCTCAATTTTTTCAAAATTTTGAAGAAAACCCAATTTAACTATGATATAATCATTTATTCCACCGCTGATCACCCCCAAGATCACTGCCAATTAAAGTGAAAATCGCGGAATTCGGGCAAATACGGCAACGGCGGGGTGTCACATGCCAATTGGGTATAGACCTGAATTGGAAACACTGCCAGTTCCAAGTCAACATCCTTCGACTGCATCCAGGAAAACTTGGACAACGCTACATCGTTCCGTTCTCTGGCTATCGCTTGAAGTTTACGCCATACCTCCATCCCTCGTTCGTAGATCAATAGTTGAAGGTCGTCACAAGTTTCACATTGGCCTTCCGTGAATACTTTCTTTATCTGAAAGAAAAGGTGGGTTACTATCAGAATATCGCATTATTATATAGTTTATAAGCCTTAAAATGACGTTTTAAAAAAGTGGAAGTTGAGTGGAAGATTTGTAATGTATTTTGCACTGAAAACCTTCCACTCAACTTCCATTTTTAAAATGTCATGAAATGGCCTAAAAAACACGTTTTTTAAGGGTTTTTAGAAGTGGAAGTTATGTGGAAGATTTTCAGTGCAAATTACATTACAAATCTTCCACCAAAATTCCACTCCCAAAAAAGTGTTAAAAACGTGTTTTTAGGCCATTTTAAGACTTTTTTCAAAATAGAAGTTTGGTGGAAGATTTTCAGTGAAAATTACATTACAAATCTCCACTCAACTTCCACTTTTTAAAAAGATATTAAACTTAAAAATCTCGTTGCTAAAGCAAACATAACCATCAAAAATCACTATAAAAGTTAACCTACCCTTCTACTAGCAGCTTGTTGTCGATTTAGCTGGATGATTCGTTCATTGATCAAGGTTTGGACGATTTCTGTGAAGTGGATCAACGGTATTTTGTGACGACTGCACTTGAAGTGCAGTGGACATAAGGGTGTGGCTTTACTCTCCGTAGGATCGTCTTGTGTTATCAGTTTTTCAGCCACAATCCGAGGCAGGTGGATTCTTGGCATCTCGTAGTCAGTACCGTATCGTTTTAGTTGATTCTTTACTTCGTAGTACCAGTTCAGTACTGAAAATGATGGTTTAGTAGGATAGGGTAGCGTAGGGTATGGTAGGATAAGGTACAGTAGGGTAAAAAAAATCAAAACCTACCTAGCCTACCGTACATGACCACCCTCTCTTCATCAGAAGCATATTTGGCGCGTTTTGAAGAACAATCTATAGCGTCCATGTTTGTGAAAAACTTTCTTTTACGACTTTCAGTTGGAGGCGGTGTTGTTGGCAGTGATTCAATGTCATCATCGAGTAGAGAAACCAACGATTCTACGGAAATCGACCGGTCTGATAAAGGTGAAGAGCTGAAAAAAACAAGTAATGAAATTCTACGTATTTTTGTACCTAATATACTACCCTACCCTACACTACCTTACCCTACATTACCTTACTGTACCCTATTCAACCCTACCTTATCCTAAAATGCGCTGGCCTACCTTATCATGCCCTTCCCTATTCCCTTACTCCACCCTAACCTATCTACTTCACTTTACCTTACCCTACTCTACCTTGCCTTGCCCTAACTTTCTTTACCCTACCCTCTGCACCCTGTCCTGTCCCGATCTACCCCTATCATTCAGCGTGCTTTAGCCCTATCCTATAATATTTTTGCTTTACCCACACCCCCCCCCCCCACCCTCAATATTAAATGTAGCTTTGACATGCATAGTCTTTATCACAATATTACTCGTGATAAAGATAATGTGATAAAGATAAAACTTACCAACTTCTATTGTCCGAAGAAGCAGCGTCATTAGAAAAGCCGGATGAAACCGGAGATGCGGACAGACTTCCAGACATTCTGCTTATTTTAAACTTGTGATAAGATAGTTAACAATATGAACAACAAGGTATCAAATACAATAATATTTTTAGGTATATTGGAAGGAATATGCAAGATCAAGAAGATTGCAATGTAGTAGCAACGTGCTTTAGTAGCAACAGAATAGAGAGAGTAATATCAAATTACCAAAAGTATTATTCAACAATACAAAAAATGAAAATTTTTTGCTTTTTTTTAATTAAAGTTTTTAATATATTATCAACAACACAACAATAACAATGACAACAACTTGGAGACTTTAGAGGATAAGGTATTTTAGGTTTTAGGAGAGAAGGATAAGGTATTTTAGGTTAGAGTAGGGTAAAATATAGTAGAAGAGGGTATTGTAAAGTACAGTGTGGTAAGGCAAAGTAAGATAGGGTAGGATAAGATAGAGCAGAGTATGGTGAAGTACAGTAAGGTAGGGTAAAGTAAAATGAAGTAAGGTAGAGTAGGACAAGAGAGTAAAGTAGCCTTAAAATCTAAGGATAAAAGGCTCGTCTTCAAAATTTGATGAAGGTAAAGTTCTGTAAAGATGAAGAACAAGAACTACAGTTTCAAGTAAAAGAAGAAGAAGAACTACAACAAGTTCAAGTAAAAGATGAAGAAGGATAAGAACTATAAGTTCAAGTAAAAGAAGCTGCAGAACTAGAACAACAATGAGTTCTAAGCTCAAGTAAAAGATGAAGAAGAACAAGAACTACAATCAGTTCAAGTAAAAGATGAAGAACAAGAACTAGAACGCAAAACCTAAATTAATTTTAAAATTTTATGCCTAGTGAACTTCCCAGACTTGTACAATATAAGGTTTCTTTTTAACGTTTCACAACTTTAAGCCAGAGTAGAGTAAATATACAATAACTTCAAGCAAAAACTACTAAAATTTTTTTCAAAAATTTATTTAACGATCGAGATACGAACACAATAAAGCCACCAAAAGAACAACAAAAACCTAAAAACGAATTGAGAAAAGGGTTTGACAATGTCAAAGACAACGGAACGTCGAGGAAATAGACAACAATGATTAATAGGACAAACAATAATCAAACAAATTCCGCGCCAAAAACTCTTTTCGCGGGCTCAAAACGAAGAGAAAATTGATTTTAAAAAATAATTTCGAAACGGGTCAACTTTTCCCCTATTCATGAATTCCTATCCATGTTGTACTTGATACGAGTGTGCGTACGAAACGAATGTGAGTGTATGAAAAACGGGAAAAGCCTAGGAAAAGCGGGTCAAGTCTTGCTCTTTTTGAAGACGGAATGTTGATAAGGGCGGAATGTCACTAATGATTTATTGGTTTTTATAAAATGACTTTTCGACCGGTCAATTTGGAGATATGAATGTAAAAAGCTTTGTCTTGACTAATAATTGATTGGATTTTGATAAAATGAGTTTTCGACCAGTCGATTTGGAGGTATGAATGTAAAAAGGCTTTGAGTTGAGGTATGACTTTTAATCCCACTTTTTTCAAAGACTATCCATGAGATCATACCCACCGTCCTTCCTTCAAAGTCTTTCCCCATCGCATGTAAACGTTTGGAAATGATCTGTTGGGTAACGTTCAACGCCAGAGCAAGTTCCTTTTCAGTTTGGGAGTCGAGTTCCTGACTCTGTAACTGAGTAAAATTAAGAAAGATCATAACAAGTAACATATCAAAAAATAGCATTTTAATGCTGGTTACGACAAGCACAAAAATAAATTTTGTTTAATATTTTTTCCGTATTCTAGACGAGAAAGAAAAATTTTGTAGATCTTATAAGAAGATTCAAAATAAAAGCAAAATAAAAAAAAAAACCAGAAAGAAAAAAAACAGGTTCATAAATTTGGACCAATGTCTTCTAAAAATCTCCAAAACCTTCCAAGAAAACATTTTTATCAACCTTTCTTTCCCTTCCAAGGCCTTCCACATTCTCCGGATAACATGTCACACCGAAAGCTGCGCCCTATTTTTGCTCATAAATATTTTCTTTTTTTAATAAACGTATACAAAACACTTTTTTCCAACCTTTTAAAGTATTATATACCTCTAATTAATACAGAATTTAAAAAATTCAATTGAAATTTTATTAAACTTGCTTTACATTATGGTTCATTGGCTATAACAAGATAATTCAAGGAGATTTGATCAGCTAAATGTTTATGGACATCAACAACGACTTATTTTACTGTAAGTTTTTTTGTTTCAGTGTAAAAGCTGTTTGTTCTTTCTGTGTTTAGGCTTGTATTTTGAAGAGGAAATATTTTGAAGAAGTTTTGAACTCTTGGCCATGGGTTATGTCATGGATAATATCACGTTTTTTTGAGAATTCACTGCTTTTAGAACTTTAAATGGTGTCTAATATTTTGTCTGTTATCTAATCTAACTTTTCAAAGGTTTTAATATATAAAAGTAGGCTGAATTTTAAAGAAAATAGCAGTTATATTAAGGATAACATTAAAAACTAGACTAGGCTTAAAAATTGATGTTTTCTGAGTCAATTTAAGCTTAATCAGCTGATTTTGCAGATGATATCGAAGCAGAAGATACAGCTCTTTAACACCGACGTGTCTAAAATTTATGTTTTTACCAAAATTATTTTTTAAATTTAAAAAAGTGGCAAATTTTAGTGATTTTTGTGGCAAATTTCACAAATTATGCCATAACTTGGTACAAAGTGGTACCATGTACTAGAATTTAGTACCAAAACGTAGTTGAGACTTTACTTTTTAAAATATTTATAGTTGTGAACAATTACTTTTTAATATTCGACTGTTTTCAGATGTTTATTTGGGTAATACTTTGTTTACAAACGGCTGATGCGTTTTACCGATGGTCGAATTTCGATAAAGCCTATGGGCCGCTGGGGGCAGAACAGTTGAAAATATCACGAGATGAGGCCAAGAGGATGTTCTACTTTGGCTATGACGATTATATGACACATGCTTTTCCTATGGACGAGCTGGATCCGATTCATTGGGACCAGATTATGAGAATCCGTATGTTTTTTTACTTTACCATTGTCAATTTAAGTGCAAACGCTGATTATTAGTATGTGTTTTCATTTTTTATGTTATAGAATGATAGTTTGGCATTTACGGTACGTTTAAGGAAGTTGAGTGGAAGATTTTTAATGTAATTTGCACTGAAAATTTTTCACCTAACTACCAGATTTAAAAAGTGTCAAAAAAGTGTTTTTAGGCCATTTTAAGACATTTTAAAAATGGAAGTTGAGTGGAAGATTTTCAGTGCAAAATACATTACAAATCTTCCACTCAACTTCCACTTCTATTTTGAGACTTTTTGGCCATTTTTTAAATCTAAATTTTACGTTAATTAAACTTTCAGTTTTAATAACTTTGGAACTACCAAGTTCAAAATAAAATTTGAAAAAAATGAGCAATTTAAACTTTTAAAAATTAAAATAAAAAAGATTTTATCGAAAATATGCAAAAAAATAAAACTGCATTTAGAACTTTCAAAAAATCTTAAAAAATGGTCATTTTCTCTATTTCCACTCCCACCGGTCGGTCGATAACTTACCCTCCGTCATGTCGAAGAAACCGCTGTCTCGAACCAAAACTAATGGGAATACAAATGCTAAAGGACCAGAACTGCCTCAAGTTCAGAAGAAAGCGCCGTTATCGTAAGTTTTTGTTGTTCTTAACAAACATTGTGCCAACTTTTGACCTAGCAAAAAAAGACTATGATTTTAAATTTCAGGTTTTTGATTGTGCGGCCTGCGGATGTTAATGCGCAGGTTGCGGCAACCAATTCATTTTTTTTTGTTTTTGAGCTTTGAATCGAAAAGATGTATGCCAAATTTTTTATACACAAAAAAAATTAAATTAAAAAAAATTTTCAGGCGTCGCAGAACGGGAGGTTCTATATCTCTGCCCGATGGTTTAGCTCCAGGATTAGCTGAAAAAGCGGCCAAACACCCGGAATTGGCGGCCAAGTTGATCGCGATGAGTGGATTCGCTAAAACATTGATGAAAAAGAATGTTGACGGATTGAAATTGGAGTTTCTCAAGTTGCGGAACACGAAAATCGCGTCCACTCAAAGCGCGTTTATGGCTAACCAAGGAAAGTGTCGCTACAAAGGTAAAGTTGTCAAAAGTATTAAATTTACGTTATTATTTTATAGTTTTTGACAAAGCTTGTTGCAAAAGTAGGTTACATATAAGTTATTATAAGTATAGATTGAGATGAATAAAGGATACCAGACCAACGCGGGCCCTAGGATATTGTTATTAAGGTTATTGTAAGAAATTTGAACAGGCTGATTACGCTTTGCTAATTAAAATGTCATTTCAGACGTGGGTTGCGCCGACAAAACCAGAGTAGTGCTAAAAAACACAAAATGTGATTTTATTCACGCAAACTACATTAAGCACGACGTAATGGTGAACACGTTTATTGCATGTCAAGTAAGTTCCTAATCTTTTCTTTTATAACTTGCAATTTCTAATATTACACTTTGAACTTTTTCAACGCATGAGAGGGCAGGGAAAAATAGGGCAAGGTAGGGCTAAACTGGGCATGGAAAAGTGCTTAAGGGTGGTCAATTTTTTGGGCTGACTTAATCCGACAGTTGACCTATTCACCCTCTCAATTACATTGTTATTTTTTAAATTTTTTATTTTTGCAGGGGCCCTTGAAAGTTACTGTAATAGACTTTTGGACCATGGCATGGCAGGAGAATTGTTATCACATTTTTATGTTGTGCAAGTTTGTGGAGATCAAAAAGCAAAAATGTTATCCATATTACCCTGTCAAAGTCAACCAAACCCTCGTAGCCGGCCCATTCAGCATTAAAAGCGTGGAAGCGTCGTCGGATTCCAACCTGAACTATACGAAACTTGTTGTCACTCGTGGCGATGAACAACGCACTTTTGAGCATCGTCAATGGGCTTCATGGCCGGACAGATTCATTCCACAGACGGTTGAGCCTGCGTTCAAATTGTTGGAGCTGGCAAGAAGTCAACCCAAAAATCCGACAATCGTTCATTGTTCGGCGGGAATAGGCAGGACTGGTACATTGGTACTCTTGGAGTGTTTGTACAGAAGTTTGGAGTTGGGAATCGAACCAATTGTGTCAAATGTCTTTTTGAACATTAGGCATCAACGACTTCAAGCAGTTCAAACAGAAGATCAGTTCATCTACGTTCACTACGCGATTCTACAGAAGATTGTAAATTCTGGAGTATTGACGCACGAAGCTTCAAGAAGTAAGGTTTCTGTTAAAGTCAAGTTAAAAACAACATTCCTGATTGACTTTTTTTTAATTTTTTGAAAACGTAAGTATGATTACGATGTATCCTTTGAATGTAACTATTTTTTACTTGACATGTCCTTTTAACATTAATATTTAAAATTTCAGCGTTCATGGCAAGCTACGATCGTTACATGTCAAAGATTGGAGCGCCGTTACCTGCGCTGTTACCGGAGTATAACGACACAACTACAGATCGTCTGACTACAAAGAAACGGGGTTCTATTGTGCAGAAAGAAAAGAAAGAGGACAGAAGACAAGAAGAAGCTAAGCCTATATTCAAAGGAAGCAAAGAGCACAGTCAAGGCGCAGATGCTGACAGAAGGGGTGCAGAACACAAAGATCGTACAGAAAAGTTTGTTGTACCAGACCGGATGGTGGAGAAAAACATCGTTACGAATCGTGTCGTTCTAGCTGAAGCTCAACCTCGTGAGGTTGAAGAATACACGACTACTGACCGACCTAGCCCTCCTGATAATGCACCTACTCGTGTTTTGGAAACAGATGGAAATATCCACAAGCCTGGAATCTATTTCAAAACATCAACAGACGTTTCGGATGATAATCACCAAGGAAAAGAGGAAGCCAAATTGTCAAAAGAGCATGTTACATCGAGCACTGGCGTCGAGAAGAATGCGTCATCAAGCAGCATCAGAGAGAGTCATGAAGCCAAAATAAGGAACTTGCTTGAAAAAAAGCCACCAACGTTGCCATTGAGTAGGTTTATGCTGCACACTTAACAAATAATAGGTCTTTAGTACGATATACAAATCTTTTTGCCCTTTAAAATGAATAATTTGTTTAATTTTGATAGTTTTATGTTGTTAATTAAAACTTTTAGGTCCGAAAAACAGATCTAGTCGTTCTACCTCCGACTCGGCAGAAGATGCTGGTTCAGTTTACTTGACCACCGAAATGAACAGAAACTCAATGAAGTACATGAAAAGTTCAAAACATCAGAAACCGAATGGTCGGAGATAAAGCAGGTTTTGTGCCAATATGTACAATAAATATTTTTGTGTTTTATCTTGACAGCTGCTATCAAACTCTAATTCCATGAAGAATATTTAGATCATCTGCCTGAGTGGAGGGCACGTGTGTCCTGGAAAAGTTCTTTAAAGAACGTCAAAAACGTTTCGAGTATTCGGTTAGAAACGATATTGAACGTCCTCTGTGTTTATTATTTTACTATATTTGTTGAGTTTCTGATACCAAAAACAACTCAAAACATTTTCAATATTTTAAAATAATTCTGTAACTTCTAGTCAAATCATCGTATCTATCCCGCCGACGTTGTATCTCTTCTAAAAATCTCCAAAACCTTCCATGAAAACATTTTTATCAACCTTTCTTGCCCTTCGAAGGCTTTTTACATTCCCCATATGACATGTCACAACGAAAGCTGCGCCCTATTTTTGCTCATAAATATTTTCTTTTTTTAATAAACGTATACAAAACACTTTTTTCCAACCTTTTAAAGTATTATATACCTCTAATTAATACAGAATTTAAAAAATTCAATTGAAATTTTATTAAACTTGCTTTACATTATGGTTCATTGGCTATAACAAGATAATTCAAGGAGATTTGATCAGCTAAATGTTTATGGACATCAACAACGACTTATTTTACTGTAAGTTTTTTTGTTTCAGTGTAAAAGCTGTTTGTTCTTTCTGTGTTTAGGCTTGTATTTTGAAGAGGAAATATTTTGAAGAAGTTTTGAACTCTTGGCCATGGGTTATGTCATGGATAATATCACGTTTTTTTGAGAATTCACTGCTTTTAGAACTTTAAATGGTGTCTAATATTTTGTCTGTTATCTAATCTAACTTTTCAAAGGTTTTAATATATAAAAGTAGGCTGAATTTTAAAGAAAATAGCAGTTATATTAAGGATAACATTAAAAACTAGACTAGGCTTAAAAATTGATGTTTTCTGAGTCAATTTAAGCTTAATCAGCTGATTTTGCAGATGATATCGAAGCAGAAGATACAGCTCTTTAACACCGACGTGTCTAAAATTTATGTTTTTACCAAAATTATTTTTTAAATTTAAAAAAGTGGCAAATTTTAGTGATTTTTGTGGCAAATTTCACAAATTATGCCATAACTTGGTACAAAGTGGTACCATGTACTAGAATTTAGTACCAAAACGTAGTTGAGACTTTACTTTTAAAATATTTATAGTTGTGAACAATTACTTTTTAATATTCGACTGTTTTCAGATGTTTATTTGGGTAATACTTTGTTTACAAACGGCTGATGCGTTTTACCGATGGTCGAATTTCGATAAAGCCTATGGACCGCTGGGGTCAGAGCAGTTGGAAATATCACGAGATGAGGCCAAGAGGATGTTCTACTTTGGCTATGACAATTATATGACACATGCCTTTCCCATGGACGAGCTGGATCCTATTCATTGTGTGGGCCGGGGACCAGATTATGAGAATCCGTAGGTTTTTTTGTTTTACTGCTGTAAATTTAGGTACACAAGTTTATTTATAAGTGTTATTCTTCTATTTTTTGTGTTTTAGAGTGTTATTTTGGCTGTTATAGCACATTCTGTATAGTGGAAGTTGGGTGGAAGATTTTCAGTGCAAAATACATTACAAATCTTCCACTGAAATTCCTTTTTAAAAAGTGTCAAAAACGTGTTTTCAAGCCATATTAAGACTTTTTCAAAATGAAAGTTGAGTGGAAGATTTTTGATGCAAATTACATTACAAATCTTCCACTCAACTTCCACTTTTTTAAAAATGCCATTTTTTTAATTTTGATGTTCTTTTAGAGACAACATTAATATCAACGATGTTTTGGGGGATTTTTCATTGACTTTGGTGAGTTCTTTAATTATTTTGCCATACCGTCCTGAATTGCTTGACCTTAGCCCAGTCATTATTCTTAACCCTGACACCCCTACCTCAACCTTTACCCTATTGTATATTATTCTATCTCTACCTATATTTTACCCTGTATTGAAGCCAATTTTAGGTAGATTCACTGAACACGTTGGCAATTATGGGTAACAAATCCGAATTTCATCGTGCTGTGAATTTGGTGATAGAACACGTTCACTTTGATAAGAATGTGACTGTTCAGGTGTTTGAGACTACAATAAGGTAAGGGCTATTGGACTGAACGTATTTTACATTAATTTTTTTTGTAAACAAAGTTCTTGTCATTTTTTGCTTTGTAAACAAAGTTTTTGCCATTTTTGTTTTGTAAAGAAAGTTCTTGCATTTTAAAAACAATTTTCAGAATGATAGGCTCCCTCCTATCAACCCACTTAATACTCATTGGGGAAGTACCATCTTTCAAAGAGTACCAGCTGTCAGAGTACGAGGATGAGCTATTAAGTATGGCCCATGACCTAGCCAATCGCCTTCTGCCAGCCTTTGAGAACACTGGTACCGGTCTACCTTTTCCTCGTGTCAACCTCAAAAGAGGTGTACCACACGGTATCATTAACGAAACCTGTACTGCTGGTGCTGGATCTCTGTTACTTGAATTCGGCATTCTTTCTCGACTGGTCAATGACGATTTGTTCGAAAGATTGGCCAGAAAAGTGGTCAATACCTTGTGGGACTACCGGGACAAAGACACTGGTCTACTGGGAAATGTCATTGATATACAGACGGGCCGATGGAAAGGAGTTCTGTCTGGATTGGGCGCTGGACTGGACTCGTTTTATGAGTATTTGCTGAAGAGTTACATCATGTTCGGGGATCAACGGTAGGTGTATCTTTTACAATTGTTAGCAGGGGTGAACGGACTAAAAAGGGTGGGAGGTGTGGCTTTGATTTTTAAGTCAGGGGAGGAGTTTTTGGGGTGAAAAAAATATCAATTTTAATCTTGTTAAAACAGAATTTTTAATAATATTATGGGCTGTTTTTCGAAATTTTACAAAATTTGAAAAAAACAATTATCGACCGTTCGAAAAATTTTTTTTGAGTTTTGGTTGTTATAACTTGAACTAGAGTGTAACATATCCTTGTATATCTAGTATGTTACAGACTTTAAAAATGATTTGAGAGTTTTTTAGACCAAAAAAATTATCGACCGGTCGAAAAAAATTTGAGTATTGACATTTTTTATTTAAACTAGATTATGATATAACCTTGTATAGGCTTTTAAAGAGCGTAAAAAATTATTTGAGAGAAATTTGAAAAACAACGAATTATGCCATAAAGTCTTGTCGTCAATCTACATCGTTGTCAAAGTTTAAAAACGACTAGACTTCGATTTAAAGCCTTTCAATATTATGAAGACAGGTATAAATTAAAATAACAAAAATCGGCATTACCTAATCTTTTGATATAATAAGACAGCCTCAGAGAAATTGCAAGAATTCGTATTACGCAACGTTTTCTTATGTAATATTATAACTTTATATAATATTTGCCTCGATGTAAAACGACCCAACAAATTACTGCGAGTGTTGGGATTTTACACCGTTTTTCCGCGGGTGGTCGATTTTTACTTGCCGATTTCTTGCATAATGTGCTAAAACATTTTTTATACTAGAAAAGATAAGCCTAAGCCTACTAAGCCTAAGCATACTGAACTTAGGCATAAGCCTACTAAGTATAAGCCTACTAAACCTAAGTCTACTAAGCATAAGCCTACTAAGCTTGAACTTATTAAGCCTAAGCCTACTAAACCTAAGCCTACTAATCTTAAGCCTACTTAGCCTAAGCCTACTAAGCTTAAGCCTACTAAGCTTAAGCCTACTAAGCTTAAGCCTACTAAGCTTAAGCCTACTAAGCTTAAGCCTACTAAGCTTAAGCCTACTAAGATTAAGCCTACTAAGCCTAAGCCTACTAAGTAGCTTAAGCCTAAGTCTGCTAAGTATCAGTTAGCCTAAACTTAAGCCTAAGCCTACTAAGCCTAAGCCTACTAAGCTTAAGCCTACTAAGCCTAAGTCTACTAAGTATTAGCCTAAGCTTAAGCCTAAGTCTGCTAAGTATCAGCCTATGCTTAAGCCTACCAAACTTAAACCTAATATGCCTTGTAAGTCTTCTAAACCTAATGATAAGCCTGATTTTAACTCTGATAAGCTTAAGGGCACCAATCCTAAGCCTACATAACTTAAGCTTAATAAGCCTAAGTTTTCTAAACCTAGTTCTAAGCATAAGTTTAAACTTAACCCTACAACTTTTCAGGGACCTAGAGATGTTCATTCAATCAAAAACCGCGATCGAACTAAACATTCGCCGAGGTCGGCCAAAATGTCGCTTCGGCGAAGGTAACCCTCCCTTCTATACCAATGTCGACATGAGAGACGGCTCGTTACTGAACACATGGATGGACTCACTAAGTGCCAGCTATGCAGGGGTACAAACATTGTCTGGAGACTTGGATGAAGCCATTTGTATGCATGCTTTGTACTATGCTTTGTGGAGGAAGTACGATATGCTACCGGAACGATACAATTGGAGGTTACAGTAGGTTAAAAGCTGATTCTTGGCATAGTGGAAGTAAAGGGAAGAGAGATAAGGTATTTTAGTGGTTAGTGACCTTATTTTAGGGTAATAAGTTGATTTTCAAGATTTTAGGTAACAAATTTTGTCTTTCATTTTGCGACCGGTTGATAATTTTTTAGACATGAAAAGGTCAAAAATAATTTTTTAATGCTTACAAAAGGTAGTATAATCCTGGTCCTACCAATAAGAAGCTTAAAACAGCCTTAAATTTAAAAAAGTTTTTTCGACCGGTCGATAATTTTCCCGCCCTGAAAAGCTCAAAAATCATGTTTTATTATAAAGGGTAGTATAATCCTTGTCTTACCAATTGGAAGCTTATAACAGTCTAAAATTAAAAACTTTTTTTTTCGACCGGTCGATAATTTTTTTCCCAAAAAAACCTCCTTAAAATACAAAAAATAATCTAAAAACCCCATTTTAAGGGAACCCGAGGTAAAATTCTACCCACTTCGACCAGAATTCATTGAATCCACATATTATCTATGGCTAGCAACCAAAAGCCCCTTTTATCAACATGTTGGGATGGAGGTAATGGACAGTCTAAACCGCCATACCAGAGTAATTTGTGGATTCGCCACTGTGCATGATGTGATGGACAAGTCTTTGGAAGACAGAATGGAATCGTTCTTCTTGTCAGAGACCTGTAAATACCTATATTTGGTGAGTTTTGGGCCTTTTTTATGTTGTTTTTGGGCCTTTTTCGACTGGTTGATATTTTTTTGTAAAAATTTCCAAGTTTTGACTGAATTTTTGAAACTTCAATTGTTAGTGATCTTCAGGAAGGAGGTTATTAAAGTTTGAAAATTTTTATTTTTCGACCGGTCGATAATTTTTTTTGTAAAAATTTTTATTTTTTACTACATAATTTCCTAAGAATAGTATATTCCATGACAGACTAGGCCACAGTCATACGTGTTAAATTTTTTTTCGACCGGTCGATATTTCTTTTTTCAAAAATGTTACCAAAATGTCATATTATAGTTGTTCGACGAACAAAACCCGTTGAATAAGCAAAGTGAACGGCTGATATTCTCCACGGAAGGCCATGTTTTCCCAGTTTTGGCCAAATTTCAACGGCCAAACGACGATCTTTTTGGTGATTCCTTATCACAAAAGCCTAAAGATTTGGCCATAGAAAAGTTTTCACTATATGCGGCCAATGAATCTTGTGAAAGTTATCCCAAAATTGGCCAGATATTGGCACCATTGGATTCGAATCACTTCGAAGAGTTCTTTAGAGCAGTTGGAATGGATACTAAAGTTATGGAGGTCTTTAGCGACTTGTATGGGTATTAGGTGGCACGTTGGGTAGGGTAGTCTCAAAATCCAAAGGCTCTTTTAAAATGGTACTTTATAATTTTATTAGGCCAAGGTGGGGCACAGAATTATTTAAATAACCTGATATAACGCTAGCAACTTGATTCATAGGCTCTATAAGGTTCAGCTCAAAAAAATTTGGGCATAGGTTTCCCTGGAAAGGTAATCTTTAAAATGAAAGTGATAGGCTTAAGAATCAAAGCGATAAGCCTAGAAATTAATATGATAAACTTCAAAATTAAAGTGATTTAGCTAAAAATTAGAACGTCAAGCCTAGAAGTCACAAAAAAAGTCATTTTTAAGCTTTCTGTTTTAATATATAGGCTTATCACTTTAATTTTCATGATTATCATTTTAATCTTTAGGTATATCATCTTGGTTTTTAAGCCTACCACTTTCATTTTAAGGATTACCTTGAAAAATAAACCTAATGGCTTATGCCAAAAATTTAATTTTGAGGTGTTAGGCTTATTTTGTTAGATTGATTCTAGGCTTATTCTTCAAATAGTTCTTGTAGTTATAAAAAATTGTAATTTTAGGCTTAATTTAATTTCTATTTTACTATTTTTAGTTACCATGATTTTAATTTTTTATGTATTCCAATATCTTGTAGTAGAATTATTGTACTTCAAAGCTATAAAGCTATTTTTGCCTCAAGTCTTTTCCATATGAAACGCTGCTTCAAGTGTCATATCATATTGTAGTAACATATCAATCAAAGAAGATATATACAAATATCTATGTTTATTATTGTGACACATAATTTATATTTACTCAGATATAAATAGACATATAATAAAAGTAAAAAGTGTTTCCTGAAGTTATATTTGGCATGGTAATTGGCAATTTGCGTGGTGAACTTACATATTTACAAAGGAGGAGAGGGTGTATTTTACAGTATGATCATAGATTAGCTTTAGGCAGGTACATAGAGTAAAAAAATATTGACTGGTCGATAGTAAGCTATTAAAGATAGGCTTTTGATCTATAAAAAATATCAATTGTCGTGAAGAATCAGTATCTAGCCTTTTTAATAACCGGCCGGTTGAAAAACAGCAAAGCCATTTATCGACCGGTCGATAATTTTCGAAGTACATACACATTTTTGACAAACAGACAATACCGATATCTATGACATATGAAGCGTGCTATTGTCAAAAAACAGCAAAGCAATTTATCGACCGGTCGGTAGCCAAAAATTAGAGATCCTTCAAAAATCCCAGTAGCAACCGATTAAACTCGTCGGCCGTTGACCCCAAATGACAAAAATGTCGACCATTAGCTATGACAAACTCGTTGCAATTTTCGAATTTACCAAATACAGCTGCCGCATTCGGCCCAATACTCGTGTCCCACTCGCCTCGAACCAATAGTGTTTTAGGTAACGACCTTGATGTGTTCAAGACTTCTGTATCTGACAGTGCGATCGCTACTAGACCTAAAATATGCAAAATAGATGGAAAAGATCTATGAGCTTGTTTTAGTATCAAAACCTGTCAGAAAATCTTGAGAAACTCTGCGAATTTAGCTGCAAAACCGATATTACCTTTTATATTGACGCCTCTGATGCCATGATTCAAAGTTGGTATAATATATTGGCCTGCCATTGAAGCCCCACATAAAACAACATTATCCTGACGAAAGAGAGCACAAATTTGTTGTAAGAACGCGGTGAAAAACACATATTTATCTTGTTGTTCCAAATTAGGGCCTAAACTTTGGCCATGAGTCGGTAAATCCAACGAAATGTAGTTGTAATCGTTGATTACCAAGTTTTTTACAGTCTCATTTTCCATCCAAATCGAAGAAGAGTTAATCTGATCATGTACTAACACAACCAGCGGCAAATGCTTGCTTCCTGAACGATTAAACGAGTAGAAAATGCGATGTTCACCTATGTTAATATAGTTGGTCTCGGTTTTTAGGTGGTCAATCTCGTTGTTAATGTCTACTATAACTTTTTCTAAATCTTCTTGAGGTATAGTGTTGGAATCTCGTTGTTGAAACATGTTTTGTTCGTGGATTTTGGCAGTTTTTTTGATATTATAGTAGATGGACCTAAACATCAGATAATAATGAATAACTAACTTACTTTTTAAGTGAATTTTGACGAGGTGTTGGTATCAGTAGATAGCCAAGAGTTTATTCTAGCTGCATATAGCAATTTAGCAGAAAGTCTGGTTTATATTGTTGTAGGAGATCAATTTCTTCAAACACTACTTCGACTATCTAGTGTAATATAAAATGTCAAAGATAAAATAAGTTTCAAAGAAAAGCTAATCAAATATAGTTGTAGAAGGAGCGGCGAAGCTAATGGCATCAAAAACAATATTGTTTTACGCCTTGAACCAAGTATACTATCCAAAAACTTGTAGGTATACCTTCTATAACTCGAAAATATCGAGAATTTCTAAAATAAAGTCGAAGTTCGAAGAAAATACGACGGAAACAAATATAGGAGTCAATTCATTTGACGAATAAATAAAACATGGAAGCGATCGAATGTCGCTCTCTTTTCAGGAGGATCAATAGCCTTCTCCTCTCTTTTACGCTTTTCGACTGGGCTTTTAATTGGCAATTCGTCATAATTTTTATTGATTTATCGGATATTGGCTGATTAATTATTAAAGTAAAACGCTTTGATAAAATGTTTTAAAATAAAAAAAAATAAAGAGGTATGCCTGAACAGCAACGTATTTTACTAAAAATCTCAAATTATTAAATTCTGCGTAATTCATAAGTTATTGAATCATAACCAAGTGTAATATTATTAGTCAACCTGCCATTTTACCTAAACTAATCTAAAATCCGAAAATGTAAATTGACAATATCTTTGACTATACTTTTAACTATTTTTTAACACAATTTCAGATTTTTTGATTAATAACGTTTCAAGATATGTCACAATTACAGTGCCGAGTCACCTCGATATGGTCTGTAAATTTTCAAAAAATCATAACTTTGGTAAAAATTGTTATTTTTAAGCAATATTTTATGAGAAAGATAATATTTTACTACAGTGTATATATCTAAATTTTTGAAATGATTGGAAAAGTATAGAATGAGATGCATTAACTATTGTCATCAAAATCGGCCGTTTTTTCAAAATTTTTAATAATATTCAATATAAAATTTTTGTCTGATGACAGCATTTGATAAAGAAGTATTTCCTACCGCTTGTGTCAAACTTACAGCTTTTTTCAATCACTTAACTGAAAGATATGACTAAATTACTGTGAAATAAACCACGAATTTTTTCAATTTTTAAGCTTTTTAGTTAAAAAAAGTAAAATACGACGCATTCAGATATGAAATAATGTAAAATACGTTTGTCTCAACGTAATAGACAAAAAATATTTTTAAAAATGTTTTAAAAAACACTCTGACTTCCTATTTATGCGGCCGATTGTCACAGTTTATTCTGTCAAAACGGAAATCCCCGGAGGGTTTAAAGAGGAAAAAAGTCATTTTTGGCATAAATTGTTGCAAAATCTTTATAATTTCAAAATGCCACCTAAAATTTCAAAAATTTGCTACAAAATTTTTGATTTTATGACATTTTGGTTTGGATATTAAAATTTTAGGTAACACAAGATGTAAGATGACATATTTTTATACATCAAATATAAAAAGTTTATTCTAGAGTAAAGTTAACACACTTGACAACTCTTTTTGCAATATTCGTTCATTTCGGCCGATCCACAACGTTCCAAGAACTGGGCGCAGTTCGTGGCTCCGTCCACGCAGGCTGCAATCAAGTAATTGATCAAAAAATTTTTAAAAACCTTAAATATAAGCTAAAAGTATAAAAAGAATGACATCTTTTTGACCACGATATAATATTCCGAAACCAATGTTTCTGATTTTAGTCTTATGTTTGCACCGTGTAAACGATAATAATGTAAATTCCAAATGGCTGTAACTTTAAAAGTGCAAGTCTATAAAACCTGAAACATTGAAACATGAAGCTTTATTCAATGTAGAATAATACGGCAAAAATGTTTTTTCGGATTTTAGTTTGTGAACATTAAATATGCACTGTGCAATGAAACCTAGTCAGTTCTTGCACAGTGCAAGCGTTCGTAATTAAAATTTCAAATAGCCGCAACTTTAAAAGTACAGAGCTGTAAAATATGAAAATTTAAAAAATGAAGCTCTATTATGAGTAAAATGACATGGTAAAAACATCTTTTCGTCTTTCAGTTTTTTAAATACTAAATTTCACTGTGCAGTAAAAGATGCCTTACTTTTGCACGGTGCATTCAAAAAGTTAAAACAATTTTAAAAATTTCAAAAAATGTCTTACTGGCAGGGGTGGTGGGTGAGCATAGTCCACACGTATGTTTACAGTAGGTTTGAATCTTGGATGAGCTTTTACATTCGCTAATATAATCATTACAGTTCAGGGCTCCATCGACACAGCTGGCTGTGGTAGGGGTAGTGGGGGTAGTTGGAGTGGTGGGTGTGGTAGGAGTAGTAGGGGTTGTTGGCGTGGTAGGTGTGGTAGGAGTGGTAGGTGTAGTAGGGGTAGTAGGGGTGGTAGGTGTGGTAGGAGTGGTAGGAGTGGTAGGAGTAGTAGGGGTGGTGGGTGTAGTAGGGGTGGTGGGTGTGGTAGGAGTGGTAGGGGTGGTTTGTTGAGGATGATTTGGATTGTATGGATACTGATTATACACATCCGAGTGCATTGGATTCATAATCAATTCTTGGGCTATAAAAAATAAAAATTCAAAATTTCAAAATTTTGATAAAAATTTAAAAACTGCCATTTTATAGTTATGTAATCCAGGATTTAAAATTTTTATAAATTAGAGTTAAATATAGTGCCATTTTTTACATTTCTACCAAATTTTATAAGCTTAAATCAATTTAAAAAAAAGTTATGACTTTTTAAAAAAGTGGAAGATTGGTGGAAGATTTCTAATATATTTTACACTGAAAATCTTCCACTCAACTTCCATTTTGACAAATTGTCGTATTTTTTTGTTATTACAAATATGGCTTCAAAAAACCATTTTTAAAATTTTTTTTGTCATAAAATGTTATATTTGAAATAAAAATAAAATTTTAAAATTTCAAAAAAAAATCCTTACCTTGACATACCGTAACCGCAGCAAGAAAGACAAAAACAAGTATGACCTTCATTTGGACACGTATTCAAAAACAATGAGCAAAATTAGTTGCCAAATGTTATTTAACAATTGGCGGGGGTGTTTGTTCAGCTGCCACTTTGTACATCATGACTTGATTTTTTTGTGTATCACAAAGATTGTTAGGATGTTTGTGCGTAATTATAACATGTTAAAGGGCAATTTGGTTGCTCACATACGTAGTTGGTTTGAAAATGTCATCCCACCCAACAGGGATTTAGAAATTAAGTATAATGGAAGTCACGTAAGCCTAAGGCGGATGATATAAGCCTAAAAAGTTACATAAGCTTTAACTTGTGTGTCTAAGCCTAATGCAAATTACATAAGCCTAAAACAGATAATGTAAGTCTAAACGTGTGTGCTTAACTCTAAAAGAACTTACGTAAGCCTGAGTCAGATGAAGTAAGCCTAAAATTGTGCTCCTAAACTTAAAAAAGTTACTTGAGCCTAAACTTGAGTGATTGAATAAAATGCGTACCTAAGCCTAAAAAAGTTACGTAAGTTTAAAACAGACAATATAAGCCAAAAATTGTGTGCTTAATCCTAAAAGACGTTACGTAAGCCTAAAATGCGTGCCTAAGCCTAAAAGACGTCACTTAAGTCTATTGTGTGCCTAAGCCTAAAAGACATTACGTAAGCCTAAACTTGAACGCCTATGCCTAAATAACGTTACGTAAGCCTAAAATGCGTGCATAAGATTAAAAGCCAATTCGTAAGCCTAAGGCTGATAATATAAGCCTAAAATGCATGCCTAAGCCTAAAAGTAGTTACGTAACCCTTAGGGAGATAATATAAGCCTAAAAGGAGTTACGTAAGCCTAAAAGACGTTGCGTAAGTCTAAACTTGAGTGCCTAAGCCCAAAAGACGTTACGTAAGACTAAAATGCGTACCTAAGCCTAAAAGACGTCACTTAAGTCTAAAATTGTGTGGCTAAGCCTAAAAGACATTACGTAAGCCTAAAATGCGTGCATAAGATTAAAAGCCAATTCGTAAGCCTAAGGCTGATAATATAAGCCTAAAATGCGCACCTAAACCTGAAAGAAGTTGCGTAAGCCTAAACTTATGTACCTAAGCCTAAAGCAGATTATATAAGCCTAAAAAAGTTACGCAAGCCTATAAATATGTACCTAAGCCTAATTGTTTGCAATAATTAGATTAAGCTAATGATCAATCTATTTGTAACATATTGACCTTTTTTCTTCCCACAAACGTTCTCAACGTTCTTTTATTTACTTTTTTCGGCCCAGACACTTCTACTTTCCCACAAACAAGAAGAAATTTGTTTTTCGCAAAATTCTTTCGAAATTTCGCCAAAATTCGAAAAAATTTTTATTTTTTCCTCAAAAAATATTGCTTCAAGCTCATTTTTGAAATTATTTTTGAGCCCTACAGCTTTCCAATGTTGTTTTTAAGATTCTCGAGATTGTTTTCTAGTTATTTATCTTCATTTATTAGGGTTTTGAGCAAAGAACCGGGAAGAGAGATCAAAGTTATCTTATACATGAGAGCTTTTTTTGTGATATTGTTTTAGATTTTGATTGTTTTTGTTATGGATTTAATCGTTTTTGAACTTGATATTGGTATAGCTAGATTCAGCAGAATCTTGTGAGTATTTTGATATCAAATTTAGTCAGATTTTATAAAAATCAGGGAAAGCACATTAAATTTTATGTTATCCATGACCGCTTTTTGGTGAAAATTTCATGTTTTTGATAGTTTTAGGTATGAATTTGAAAACAAAAGCGTTTGGTTTAATAAGCACTAGGTTCCCTACGATTTTGTGATCATTTCGATATATAATTTGACCAGGCTCCTTAAAAATTCGAGGCAATACATCAACTTTAATATTATCCATGAGGTCCCTAAAACTTCAAATCTTCATAACTTTTGCCATAATGAATATTATCAACTAATTCTTTTTGTACATATCTTATAATTAACTATAGTTTCTACTCTTTAAGTTTCGAAAAAATCCGTGTAATAAACTGTAGCTACCTTTATATTATGATACCTAGTTTTATTACCTAAAACAAACAGTTTGTATTATTGTAAACATGTTTATTAATCGCGCTAAACTTTGCTCCTTGATGTTTTTCATCGTCAAGATAAAACTGAGATCAAAGTACGATAAGATTGTTTGCCTTCATTTTACAAACGCTTCAATTCCGCTTTTCTCTCCTGTTTCTTACTGTTTTAGCTAATAGTTGGGTGCATTTTGGGGGCTTTTAGCTGAAAATTGATGTTATTTGAACAACAATGGATAAAACTATATTATTTTATACTTTTACAATATTATCTTATCTTATTTACATTTAAAAATGGGAGTTTTTATCCAAAAACAAATTAATTTATGAAATCAAAAGGATTTTCTCGACAAAAAGAAAAAGGGTAGTGCGCGCAGGCTGCGCAACGATTTTTGCAGGTCGCGTATTGCTTCAAACTTTGATAACGAGAAAAGTAGTACAAATGACGGTATTTTATGAATTCCTTCGACTATAAATTTTAAAATGGCACAGAAATTATTATTGTGAGACGAAATTTTTTAATTTTTGTTTTAACTTGTTTTTGTTATGGCAACAAATTTTGTGGTTTTAAATTTTTAAAGATGAGAAAGTTGATGAAAATGGGACAATTTTTGAAATTCCTTGAAGCATTATTTTAATTATGGCGTGTTTTACATTATTGTAATAGAAATTTGTTTAAAAATGATTTTTAGGTTAGCTATGCCGTGATAACATTAACCTATATTATGATAGGCCAATTTTTTGTCTTTTTTTGGCGAAAAATGCCATTTTAAAAGAACAAATTCCTTATATATATATATATTTTTAGCCGGAATGGAGCGCAACGAGAACCGTGTGGGTCGCTGGTACTTTGGCGGTTTGGCTGGTGCCGGTGGAGCCATGTGTACACATCCATTGGATCTAATCAAAGTGCATCTTCAAACCCAACAGACCAAGATATCATTGCCGTCGCTGGTGAAACAAGTATATCGGTCGGATGGTGTTATGGGATTCTACAATGGTTTGACAGCTTCAGTGTTGCGACAAATGACGTATTCGTTGAGTCGATTTGCTGTGTATGAAGGGGCTAAGCAGCAGTTGGACAGTGGGAAGGGACCGATGCCGTTTTATCAAAAGGTCGGCCTGGCTGGACTGTCTGGTAAGGTTTTTATTCGTTTTTTTTGAATTTTAGGTAACCGAAGGACTGAAAAACCTTAATTTAGGTTATAGCGGCATGGTTTTGGTACTAAAAGTAATAATAAGCCTAGATACTAAGCCTAAACCTACTAAGCCTAAGCCTAGTAAGCCTAAGCCTAGTAAGCCTAAGCCTAGTAAGCCTAAGCCTAGTAAGCCTAAGCCTAGTAAGCCTAAGCCTAGTAAGCCTAAGCCTAGTAAGCCTAAGCCTAGTAAGCCTAAGCCTAGTAAGCCTAAGCTTACTAAGCCTAAGCCTACTAAGCCTAAGTCTACTAGGCCTAAGCCTACTAAGCCTAAGTCTACTAAGCCTATGCTTACTAGGCCTAAGTCTACTAAGCTCAATTTTACTCTTATGAACATTTCACATCATTTTAGGAGCTATTGGTGGTTTCGTGGGTCAACCAGCTGATTTGGTCAATGTTCGAATGCAGAATGACATGAAGTTGGCAGTGGCGGATCGTCGAAACTACAAACACGCCTTCGATGGCATTTATCAGATCTGCAAACATGAAGGCTACCAAGTACTGTTCAATGGTGTCACCATGTGTGTGGGAAGGGCTGTCTTAATGACTATTGGTCAACTTTCGTTTTATGATCAGGTGGGTCTTATAGTATACCCAAGGTGCCTAAAGTACCTAAAATTTGATTTTTAGATTAAAAATGGGTTTGTGAATAAAGTTTTTTCTGATTTTATGTCTTGTAAAGAAAGTTTTTACAATTTTTTATACATTTCCAAAAAGTATTTTTTAGTTTTATGTTTCGTAAAAAAAAGTTATGACACTTTACGAAAAGTGGAAGTTGGGTGGAAGATTTGCAATGTATTTTGCACTGAAAATATTCCACTCGACTTCCATTCTTAAAAAGTGTTAAAATGGTCTAAAAACATGTTTTTGACACTTTTTAGGAGTGGAAGTTGGGTGGAAGATTTGTAATGTGTTTTGCACTGAGGATCTTCCGTCCAACTTCCACTTCTATAAAGTGTAAAAAACGTGTTTTTAAGCTATTTTAAGACGCTTTGAAAATGGAAGTTGAGTGGAAGATTTTTAGTGCAAATTGCATTGCGAATCTTCCAATTAACTTCCGCTTTTTTAAACGGTCAAAAACTGTTTAAAGTTAAATTTTATGGCTTTTTTAGGTAGCACAAGGTTAGAAAAGCTTTATTTTAATTTGTAAAAAGGGTTAATGAAGGCGTTTTTTTAGGTAAAACAAGTCCTGATGGCCAAGTTCAATGCCCCGGACACTGTCCATACCCACTTGTTCTCTTCGTTTCTGGCCGCTTCAGCCGCGACAGTCCTAACCCAGCCAATGGACGTGCTCAAGACGCGAATGATGAACGCCAAGCCAGGCGAATTCAAAGGACCAATGGACTGTTTTGTATATACCGCCAAGACCGGCCCCACCGCCTTCTACAAGGGCTTCATTCCGGCCTTTGTTCGGCTAGCACCACATACTATACTGATGCTGGTGTTCTTCGAACAGCTGAGATTAAGATTCGGGTATATTCCGCAAAAGGCCACCTCATAGGCTTTGGATTTTAGGCTTAGAACTTATATTGTATTAGGTTAGAGGTATTTGAGATTTTAGTACTGTACTGTAGGGTTTTTAGTACAGTATGATAGGACTTTTGAGGGTTTTTAGCATAGACTTGTAGCTGGTATACAGTGTTTTTCATTTTTTACGCTGTAAAAAAGTTACAAGGCCTCAAAAAAGTCTTGTCGTTTGTGGTCCTGCAAAACATAGTAAACTAACGACAAAACTTTTTTAAAGCCTTTGTAAGCATGATTTTTTAGTATATAATACTGTATACCAGCTTATAGCTCAATATTTTGTAACATTTGTCATTTTATAACAGATTTCTAACCAATTTTGTGTTTTTCATACTCACTTTTGTCAACTTTTCACAGTAACTATCATATAGTATTATACGTTGTAAACTCGTGCCATGTTTGATTTCAAATCCATCAATAAATGAATATTTACGAATTTTGGTTGTTTTATATTTCTGGTGTGGGTATAGCTACTTGCGTTTTTTCAAAAAAAAAGTTTTTTTTAAATCCACCCCTTGAGAATGAAAAAAACTTACCCCTGCCGGTTCAAAGCAAAATTTTCACATAAAAATTAGTCATTTGGTAGCATTTGTGATGGTCGGCATTAACCCAAGAGCATTTTTCCCTATTTTAAGACGCACATCTTTCATCGTATAAGATGTCGCGGCGCAGTTTGCACGCTTTACGTAAACAAAAGCGGCGACCCGCGCAAAGAAATTATTTATTTTTTTCTCGATTTGGGAGAGAAAAACAGATCCTGTTCTTGTTTGTGATGTAAATCCCCAATCTTTTTATAATATTGAGCATATCATGTACAATATTATTTACTTTTTTCTATTTTTTGTTGTTTTATATATTAGAGCACTTAACTTTTTGTTCTCCGCATGTTATCCACGGTTGGTCGTGTGAAAAATGGAATTTTTCTTCGGTTTTTTGTGCGGCCCGAAAGCCGGGCCATGTTGTGGCCAATTTCGGCGAGTCTAATACTTTCGTGAGATGTGCTGTTACATTTAAATGCGATTTTGAGCTTAAGGCCATCTAATTTTTATTGCTTGTTCTTGCACTTTTTTGGGTTTTAGGGAGGATAACTTTGGTAATTTCGGTCGAAATGGTGTTTTACATAAACTATATTAAAGTAGCCATTGATTACAAATCAATTTGCTTCTATGGTATCAGTGTATGTTACAAAAAATGGCAGTTTTATGGGGCTGAAACTTGAAAAAATACCGAAAAATTATATTATCATAGGTTAATATTGCTCATAACTTCCTTTAAACTTTAGCTAAAAGTTCGAAAGTTGGCAAAAATGTAGCTTATTCTATCTGCTAACTAACGCTAGAGCAACAATTTTATATTCCTAATATTATGGAATTTACAGCAACTAACACATATTCATGTTAGAGCTTGTTGTTTCCAAACTTTTTTAATTTTTTAGTCATGAAGGCTGTTTTTGCATGCTTAGTGGAGTGTTTTTACATAATTTATAGATTTTAAAATATGTTTGGTTGGTTTAGGAAGCTCTATTGCAAAAAAGTTGACCTTGGGTTATAATGTAGTAGATTGAATTGTTGAATGATATTGTCGTTTCTTCTGCATTTTAGACAGAAATTTGACCTTTTAAGATGGAGAGGATACTAATGATCATTATTGTTTATATTTTGAAAATCATTGTGTCTGTAAAATGCTTTAAAAGTGAAAAAAGGGTTATAATTAGGTAGGTGGTTTTGAAAAAAGAAGTTTTTGGTCGAATGTTTGGCCGTAATAGGAAAAAATGTGTTTCAAACTAAGAGAAAAAACTACAGAGAAAAAAAAAAAAGATAATAAAACTGTTAAAGATCTGAAAATACAATGATAAATACTAAAAAATGCCAAAGAATGGCTTAAAAATACAATAATAACTATGGAACTAGCCTGTTAGCGGCCTAAAACACAAAACACTACGTTTCTATAAGAACAAAGACCAAAATCACTCACTGGTTACGTTATGAAAGACTCACACATAGCAAGACAGCAAGGTTAATAACATAAAAGTACATTATGTTGCTAACCTTGCTGTCTTCCTCACGTTTCGCTCTTTCCGTATTTGGAAAAAGCTGGACGCGTGAAGAAAGACGAAAAAAGAATAAAAATAGGGTTGTGAGGGGGTTTTGCACATGCTTTCTTGTAAACAACATTCCGCATTCCTTAATTCTCTAGGTTATATTATACTTGAAGATTTTTTGATTTTATATTAGGGGCCTATCTTTATATATTTGATGAGGTTATTAGGCTTAGTGAGCGTAAGCTTGAAGGTTTCGGCTTAGGTTTAGTGGGCGTAATGGGATTAAGTTTATTAGGCCTAATAGGTTTAGATTTATTAGGTTTAATAGGTTTAGGCTTAGGTTTATTAGGCTTGATAGGTCCAGGTTTAGTAGGCTTAATAGCTTTAGGTTTAGTAGGCTTAACAGGCTGAAGGATTAGGTTTAGGCTTATTTATATCTATCTTTTTTATTCAAGCTAATGAGTCCAAAAACGTTGAAAAACTGAACTTTTACGTCTATTTCCTCTCATATAATCCTCAAATTGAAGCTAATTTTCGGCCGCAGAAACGTAGAATAGAAAACAAATTATGTCGATAATCTCCTATGACCGCCGTTTTCAACAAAAGCTCAATTTATTGTCGTTTTCTAGAAAAATTTTTAGTTTGCCATAATTTTAGTGCACTTTTTTGTGTTTCTAGTGCACTTTTTGTTTGTTTCTGCCATTTATAAGTTTATTTCTTATGTTTTGGCTTAAACTTATCTTTTCGGCCGCTCATGCAAAATCTTCAACCCTATGGCCATTTATATAAAACAGGAATTTGTTTTTTGGTAAATTGCTTCGGTTGAACGAAGCGGAAAAGCCTTATTGACTTTGACATATTTGTATGTTGTTTCGTCTGAAAATACGAAATTTTTGGCTTCAGCACGTCTTCGTTAATAAAAACTCGGAGTTTGTGGTTCGAAATGGTTTGGTTTTGTGCTGTATACCGAAAGTTGGCTTCTGGAGGGTATTTTGTAAGACATGGATGTGGGGAGGTTGTGAATGGCTTTTAGGCTAAAGCTAAACAACATATAACAGCTTCGCATACCTTATCCAGCTTGTGAATAGATTTTAGGCTAAAGTTGGGTATTGAGTTGTTCAAGTAATTCTGTGCCTCCTTTCAAAGAAAATTTTCGGAGCACAGAAATTAACCGTTATTCAAAAAGCCATTCACAAGCTTGATAAGGTGTTCGAAGCTGAGAAATATCTTACCTACCTTTAGCCTAAATGCTATTCACAACTTTTTACATCCATGTTTTAAAAAATACTATCCAGAAACTAAGCTTTGTGTTATACAGCACAAAACCAAATCATTTCGAACTACAAACTTCGAGTTTTTATCAAAGTAGACGTACTGAAGCCAATTTTTGTATTTCGAGACAAAACAACATACTAAAATGTTGAAGATTATACTTGATATATTGATTTTAATGCTAATATTACGTTGTTCAAATAATTCTGAGTTTTTAACTTCGACAATTTGCTTTGAGTGGAGTTTCAGAATTATTTGAACAATCTAATATTTGTAAGCGATTATTTGTTAGTATTAATGTTGTTCATATTGCTCCGAAAGAGTTAGTAATTTTTTACCCATTTTTTGGCCGATCAAAATATTTTTATGACGCTAATAGTAATATCAACGGTTCCGCACGTTTAATAGCATATTTGATAGTGGTATTCGAAAACAAATTTCGTAATTGTGAACAGCAAACAAATACAAAATTATTGTTCTTTCTTCTGATTCATATTCAATGTGAGCTACAATCATTTTAGGTTTAAATATAACATTTTTAAGCCATCTTTATGTAAAGTCATATTAAACTTAAAAATTCTATTAGATTGTTCAAATAATTCTGAGCCTCCTTCAAAGCAAGTTTTTCGGGTTAGGGGCACAGAATTATTTGAACAATCTAATAAAAGCTTTTAATTTTACTACAACTTTAAGTCTTGTTGATACAAAAGGTCACGTTTTTTGTTGTTCATTTACGTCAGAGATTCCAAAAAATTTAAAAAGATTGTTTTCTTATCAAATTTCGTTTGAGTTCATCATCGAAATGATTCATGTACAATCGCTTTGTATTTGAAGTTTCTACGAATTTTGGTGTTTGATTTCTTGAAAATATAGGAGAAGATGCCTAAAATTATATGTTTTAAATTGAAAAAAAATATTTAGGCTGTTAAGGCTCTGATAAGCTAAATCTCGGTCTTTAACAGATCATTTTTCAGTTTGTCAGCCAAGATTTATCTAATAAAACCTCCTTCAAATTATAAATTTCAAAATTTCGAAATTCAAACACCTATCACTAAAACCCATTTTTAATTACACACGATCCTGTGTGTTGATCTTGTGACTGGTAAATAAAAGTAAAACAAAATGTGTTTTTGTTTGGTTCGAAAACAAACATACCATTTTATATTCGTTTTTTAGATCATGGTTCTCTTTTTCACCTTTTTAAGCCAAAAATAATGAAGATAACATCAGCTGGGTGTGTATTTTTGGCAGTTTAGGCTAACGATTAATGTTTGCAATGCTTTTTCGTTTGATTTTTGGGGAAGCATGGTTTTAGGTGTGTCGAGAGGAAAAGTGACGTTTTTAAATGATGTGATAAAGGGAAAATAATGATATTGGGTATAAAGGATGTTTAGAGTATCTATTTTGATATGCTGGTTTTGGATTTAAAAATTTTGTAGTTTTGCAAAAGTTCTCGAACTTTTTGCACTGTGCAGTCAGCAAAAATTGCGGTTTTTGAAATCTTTAGTTTTTGTTTAATTTGTGATAAAAATATTTTTTTAAAATGATGTGTCATACTATTACGAGAGTCTTGACAGTCTGATAAATACTTTTTCATGTAAAATTTTAGATAATAATTATTTTTAAAATGACTTTTTATAAACCTGGGGCTTTGATGTCGTTACCTACAAAATTATTGCTGATTTTCGGGAATCTTCTAAAATTTCGTGAACACTTCATCAAATATTAAAGAGATGTTACATTTTGATCTAATCATATTATATTTCTAGACTTACGGTCGCTAAACCAATAATGGCCGAACTTAATTCGCCTATCGGCGAGGGGTTCAAAACCCCGAGCGATGAAGACTTTCGAGGGCCGGATCTAAGAAAACGCAAGCCCAAAACAGCAGCTACATCAGATGAGAGTGAAGAAGATGTTGATAAGATTGATGAGCGGTAAGAATTTTTATTTGTTTTTATGATTTTAGGTATTTAATATGGCATTTTGGAGGCTTGGGTCTAATTGGAACTATGTTAATATAAAAGGTGATGTAGCTGCACTAAATAAATTCCTAAATTGAGAAAATGGTTTTAATAAGCTAGATATTGGTTATGACAACATAAAAAATTAAAACTGATCGAAAAGTTCTATAATTTTGATACTTAAAAGTATTTTCCACCAAACCATCTATTTTAACCTAAAACAATATAAAAGGCATTGTAAATCATGTAAAACAATATGAATCTTTTAAAAACTTTTTTAAATACGTTGCTTATAGACTGGACGATATTAAAAAACATTTGCCACAAGGATCAGACTCTATGGGATCGTATGTTGACGGTAGTTTGAACCAGCTATCGCCAAGGTGGAGAAACTGGGTGGTTAGAGGGATATTCTCGATTGTTATGATTGGAGCCTTTACATTGGTGGTCAATAAAGGTGGCACATGGCTTATGGGCATGGTATGTCAGAAGCAATTGGTCAATTTGAGGGGGTTCTGGCTTAAAATTACCTGTTTTCTTCAAATTTTACGTAGTTTAATATCAGAAGTTTGGTTTAATGGTCATTTTTAAGAGTTTATTGATATTGTATGGGTTTGATATGTTATTGTGTTATGTTTTAGGTATTTCTGATTCAAATGACATGTTTCTACGAGATCATCAGTATCGGATTATACGTATATCGACTCTACGATCTACCATGGTTCAGAGGTTTGTCTTGGTGGTTCTTAATAACGTCAAATTACTTTTTCTTCGGGGAAAGCTTGATTGATTACTGGTCGATTGTGTTAAGAAAAGATGTAAGTTGCTTTTTATTATGTTGTTTTGGTTTTTAGGTACAGATTCAGACTTTTACGATGTTATTCATGATATTATACTACGTTTTGATGGGAGAAACTTGATTTTCAATATTTTTAGGAGTTCCTGCGCTATCTGGTGGTTTATCATCGAGTTATCAGCTTCTCCTTGTACTGTGTGGGCTTCGTGTGGTTTGTGCTGTCATTGAGAAAAGGGTTATATCTTCGGCAGTTCTCGTTGGTAGGTTTATATTGCTTTGATGTATTTTTTGTTGAAAAACAACTTCGTTGAACATTTTTTTGATCTAAAATGATATTGTTAACATTGTCAAGTATTTAAAATGGCAACTTATATGGTTCTGGACATTAAACTTTATGTTATTCATGATTTAGAACATAAAATAGCATATTAACCATGATATTTGCTATTTAAACTGATGTTATTCATGATCCCCGACTTTTTCAGTTTGCCTATACTCACGTAGCTCTTCTACTAATCGTAACTCAATCTTTCTTGATCGTCCAAAACCTATTACAAGGTCTGGTATGGTTCCTACTGCCGGTGTCAATGATAATCTGTTGTGATATCATGTCCTACATCTTTGGCTTCTTCTTTGGCCGAACACCGTTGATCAAGCTGTCGCCGAAGAAAACCTGGGAAGGATTCATTGGTGGTGCTTTTAGTACCGTCATCTTTGGCGTTTGCGTAAGTTTCTGAGGGTTCAGGCGGTGGAAAGAAAGTGTTTCCGTTTTTTCAAAAGTTATTTTTTTGCATTTTCAGCTAGCCTCAACCCTCGTAAATAACAAGTTTTACGTGTGCCCGGTCGAATCGTACTACGAAAACAACATGAACTGCACATTACCATTGGCTTTTGTACCACAGTAAGTTGCTTTACAAGATGAATAATATGACTTTGAAAGATAAGGGCGGTTTTAAGCTTAAAAATGTTGTTTTAATGGTTTATTATGCTTTTGTACAATTTAAATGATCGGTTTTCGAAGTTAAAAAAGTGGAAGTTGAGTGGAAGATTTGTAACGTGATTTGCACTGAAAATCTTCCACCAAAATTCCACTTTTAAAAACGGTTAAAAACGTGTTTTTAGGCCATTTTAAGACTTTTTGGAAATGGAAGTTGGGTGGAAGATTTTTAGTGCAAAATACATTACAAATCTTCCACCCAACTTCCACTTTGAAAAGTATAGGTTTTTGGGTTTTAATGCAAATTATTGAAAAAATTGCTTTCTGAAGTATTTTAGGCTTACGCTGCATCTTTTTTGAGTGATTTTGTAGGCAATCCATTGTAATTCATTTAAAAATGGCACTTTTTCAGAGAATACGAAGTTCCTCGCCAATTCGCCTTCGTATTCAAGGTCCTAAAACGATCGCCAGTTGTCACAATAGCACCATTCATCTTGCACGTGTTCGTACTTGCCCTATTTGCATCACTAATCGCACCATTCGGCGGATTCTTTGCCTCCGGCTTCAAAAGAGCCTTCAAAATTAAAGATTTCGGAGCCATAATCCCTGGCCATGGCGGCCTAATGGACCGATTCGATTGCCAACTCCTCATGGGCACATTTGTCTATGCCTACATCCACTCCATCATCCGCTTCCCCAACTGGAACAAGGTGGTACAGCACATTTTGTGGCTCCCGGTCGATGAACAACTGGCCATTTACGAGACTCTGCAGCGGAAATTGATCGAAAATGGCGTTTTACCCGGTTTGTAAGCTTAAATTTTATTTTTTAAAAGGGTTTAACCGAGTTTTTGAAAAATTGAAATGTATTAGATGGGTTGTTAAAATGGAAGTTGTGTGGAAGATTTGTAATGTATTTTGCACTGACAATCTTCCACTCAACTTTCATTTTCAAAATGTCTTAAAAAGGGCTAAAAATGACTTTTGGACACTTTTTATAAGTGGAAGTTTGGTGGAAGGTTTTCAGTGCAAATTACGTTGCAAATCTTCCATTCAAATTCCATTCCCAAAAAGTGCTAAAAACGTGTTTTTAAGCCATTTTATAACTTTTTAAAAATGGAAGTTTGGTGGAAGATTTTTAGGGCAAATTACATTAAAAATCTTCCACTAGTCTTCCACTTTTTTAAATTGCAAAATCTTGGTTTTAAATGCCAAATTGGCACAAGTGGACGTAAAAAATGGTCAGACTGGTCCAAAAGTTCACAGAATGACCCTCAAAGATGTCATATTCGATTTGTTTTCAAAAATTCGGTTAAAATCCTCGTAATCCTGGCTAATTTCATAATAATTACTCTGTAAATAACTAAATTGTGATTCTTATTTTTCTATTTTCCTCTCGAATATTGTAAAAACAACCGACTTCTGAAGATATAACAGTATTTTTGGACAAAGTTTGTCCCCTCTAATATCGCCCTCCGTTAGATCTCTATTCTTTTCACTCTTTAATAAATGAAAATAAACCTAGATTTGGAAAAAGCGGCCTTTTCCTTTGATTTTTTGAATTTCATTTTGATTTTTTGAGCTTTAAAAAGGTGAAATTATGTTTCAAAAGCTTTATAAGCTACTAGGAATGAAAGAAAGTAGGCTTAGAAGGCTAAAATATGTTATAAAAAAAAGTGGAAGTTGAGTGGAAGATTTGTAATGTGTTTTAAACTGAAAATCTTCCACTCAACTTCCACTTTTATAATGTCTTAGAATGTCCTGAAAACACGTTTTTGACACATTTTGGATCTGGAAGTTAGATGGAAGAATTTTAGTGTAATTGCCACTGAAAATCTTCCACTCAACTTCCATCTCTAAAAAGTGCTAAAAACGTGTTTTTAGGCCATTTTATGACTTTTTAAAAATGGAAGTTGAGTGGAAGATTTTCAGTGCAAAATACATTACAAATCTTCCGCTCAACTTCCACTTTTTAAAAAAGATCATAAACTATAAAAAGTACTTTGATGATGCTAAAATACGACAATATTTTCGTAACAAGCCTAGAAATCCGATATATTTATATTTTCTGAGGTTGTTCAAAGCATAAAATTTTAAAAATACACTGCGAAATCGGAAAAATACAATTTCACATTGCTGCCATTTTTTATACGATATTATATGGTAATACACTCCAACGCCGAACAAAATTCAGCAAAGTCCGCAAGTTTGTTTACATTTCGATTGCATTTTGGGCAAACTGCACTGGCTGACAAATTGGGCACAGTTTGTCGCACCGTCCACGCCTGAAAATGAAAAAGTGAAAAAAAAATTTATAAAAATGATGACAAGGCTTATTGACATTCGGATATGTCAAAAACTTCGTTTACTGCTGAAAAAACGACCGGAAATGAGGTATTTAAAGAAGTGGAAGTTGAGTGAAAGATTTGTAGTGTATTTTGCACTGAAAATCTTCCACTAAACTTCCACTTCCAAAAAGTGCTAAAAACGTGTTTTAAGGCCATTTCAAGACATTTTGAAAATGGAAGTTGAGTGGAAGATTTTCAGTTAAAATTACATTACTAATCTTCCACTCAACTCCCACTTCCAAACCTTGACAAAATTGCTTAAAAACTTACATGTACATGCCCCACAGGTTTGTTTACAGTATTTTTGCATTTTGCTTGAGCTACATTGACTAGCGAATTGAGGGCAGTTAATCGCACCATCTACGCATGAAGCCGAGGTTGGGGTAGTTGGAGTTGTGGGCGTGGTGGGGGTGGTTTCCTCGCTACTGCCGATAATCAATGAACCACTCAATGAAATCTTGGCTGAAAAGTTTTTTCAACCAAAGATCACACCTACCGTAACTCACGCCGACCCACAAGCAGAGTAGGCCAACCCAACCGAGCACGTTCATGGCCACGTTTTTTCACGTCAATCGGTTCGAAAAATGAAAAAACTTGTGGTTTGGCCCTTAAATATACATGTCATATGCAAATGTGACATACAATTGCCGTTTCTGTTTGCACACCTGCTGTTTTGACATGGGAATGGGATCTGGATTCGGTTCACCGTGATTGAAAAAAGTTTCGGATTGACGTCTTGTTTGGTTGTTGTTTGTTACTACAAGCCTCGAAATAGAAGCGCAAACACGGATGTTGTTGTAGTTTAAAGGTTCAAAACTTAATATTTTATATCTAAACGTAAGCCTAAGCCTTTGGATTAGCTAGAGCTTGAAGTTGGTTCTTTAAAAGGCACTAAAAGCATTGAAAAAGGCCCTAAAGACAAAAAAAGGTACATAAAGAAGCCAGAAAGGTACCAAAAAAGTGCAAAAAGTACCAAAAGAACAGAAAAAGGTACCAAAAGTACTAAAAAGAACCAAAAGGAGCGAAAAAAGGTGCCAAAAGAAATGAGAAAGAGGCCAAAAAAGTGAAAGGTACCAAAGAAAATAAAAAAGATATCAAAAAAAGTAAAAAGGGTACCAAAACAAGTGCAAAAAGTACCAAAAGAAGTGGAAAAGGTACCAAAAGTACTAAAAAAGGCACTAACGGGAGCAAAAAAGTACCAAAAGAAGTGTGAAAGGTACTAAAGGGAGCAAAAAAGGTACCAAAAATGAGTGTACAAGGTACCAAAACGAGTAAAAAAGGTAACAAAAGCAGTGGAAAGGTACCAAATCAGCAAAAAAACCTAAAAAATCCCATTTTTACGACTTTTGTTACAGTATAACTCCCTTCAAATAGAAGTTAGAGGCGTGAAAATTTACGACATTATAGCCCGTTTTATGGCCACCTAACATGTAAATCAACTTTTTAAAATTCCCATCCAATTAAAAGTTACAGCACTTTTACTGAGGTATGGTTCCCACAAAATCGAGGTAAAATAAAAATAATTTTTAAAATTTAAAAATAATAAAAAGTAAATTTGAAAATCATTCAAGTTAGTGCTAAATAGCACTACGGGGCTGTAGTTTTCATTCCTGCCTCATTAAAATACCCCTATACCTGTAATACCTACTATAACATCAAAACCTCCAAAAAATGTTTTTTCAAAAAATGTCAAAACTTTTCGCTAAAAAATATAATTTATGTAAAGCTGGTAAAAGTACAAAATATAAAAATGAAAAATATCGCTAAATATATTACACTTCGGGGCCCTATGATACACCCGATACTCGTTTGTTCTTTTGAGCATAGTACTCGTGCAACAGGTCCGACAGGTACTGCAGCCGCTTTTCGACCAGCTCTGAGGTAAATTCTGAAATGGCGCAGTCTTATTATCAACATTTTTATGTGATTTTGATTCGAATTACATTTAAAATGGCAATCGACTCCAAGTGGATTCGAACTTTTTTGGATTTTCGACTTTTTAAAATTACTGTAACTTTGCCATACCTTGTTGTATCAACATGAAAATTTAATTTACGGTAGTATTTTGCTAGCTTTAATAGATGTGCTAAGCAGGTTTCTATTTTAATTTCAAATTTCGGTCTAAAATATTTAAAAAGTTGAAAAAAAGTCAAGTACGGTAAAATTACTGTAACTTTTTTATTTTTTAAAACTTTCCAATTCTGCTTTTTACATTAGTTGGCTATTGTAATTCTCTATCTATGCACCAAATTTCAATCTTATACCTAATTTTTCCAAAAAGTTATAAACACTTTTGCCCCACGAATCTACTATAATATCCGTCTTTTGGCCGAAAAGCCCAATTTTTTGAACTAAACAGCCAATTTCTTATACTTCCAACAAAACTGGCTACTACTATACATCAAAGACCTACTATTCCCGTAGCAATTGATGAACTTTTCGATCGATTTCTGTTTCGATCCCTTGGACAAGTTCATCAACTCCATCAAGCTTCGATCATGGCTCTGCGAGAAGGCCTTGAATCTCAACAACCACTCCTTGTACTTGTGCAGAATGCCATGCTCGTCCTTGTGCACGATCACATTGATCCATTGTTGTTTATTCGACTGGTAAAACGTGTTTTGCGTTTTGATTTTGGCGTTTTCCAGCACGACCGGTCGAAGTCCGCTTAAATCCACATGTTCCGCTCGAATTTGGGACTTTTTGGTTGATAAGTCGGTCGATTGAGTGTAGTGTTGGAAAGTTCGTGCTGATATGTGTTCGGCTTTGTGCCATCGTATCTTTTCGCGGTACCGTTCCTGTGGTAGGTACTGTTTGACTTTGGCCCATAGGGGTTCATGTTGACCGGCGAGGAGTTTGCGAAGTTCCGCGCGGAGGCTGTGCTTGTTTTTGTAGTCTGGAAATGGACGTTTTCGAATCGACAGGGTCTTCTGGATATTTTGAATACAAAAAATTGTTTAATTTCTTACTGTAACATTGATAAAAATTGAGATTTTAAAGCCTAACCACTAAAAATTTAACAAAAATCCAAATAATTTTCAGTTTTTCTAGCCCTAGCCCGCAAAATTGAAAAACTCACGTTCAGCCACCACCGTGCGGACCTTTCTTATCATCATGCTATTCTGTTGTCCCGTGAAGTATATCTAAAATTGTGTAAAAACCAATGTCAAACCACAAACTTGATTAAAATTTTTGAAAAATTTAAAGTTTCAACTTCAAAAATTAAAAAATGGCATTTTTCCAAAAAAATGACTCACATTGATGTTGAGGAACAACTCTAGGGCATCTTTGCATTCTCTTCTTTTTAGATTCACAATTTGGCACTTTTTCAGTTTGGACTCCTGGAACATCGAGCCGATCCAATAGACCAAGTCCAGGGCTTCTGGGAACTTTTTCAGCAAATTGTCCAGCTTCTGGAATTTTAATGACGATTAAATTCAAAAAAATTCATCAAATTTGTCAACATTTTTTAAAATTTCAAGAAAAATTTTAAAATTTAAATTTTTTTTTCAAACTTGAATTTTTTTGTGAAAAATTTAATAAAACATGGCCATCGTGCCATAAAAACGCCCATATATACCATGAAAACCAGTTTTGCGTTTTATATTATGCTATTTTGTCAAATTTCAAAAATTTTTTAAATTTAAAATTTTTTTAAATTTCAAAATATTTTTGAAAAATCGGCTAAATAATGTCTACTATATCATGAAAACCTTCATACATACTACTCAACCCCATATTATCTTTTCTAATTCAAAAACATCTAAATTCGGCCGCGTCAAAAAGAATTGTCCAAGTTTCTATTGAGTTTCTTAAGGAATCGGCCAATTCTTATTGGCGCGGTTGAATGAATCAGGAAAATAAGGTAACTTTCAGTGGTTTTTGCATTGAAATCAACTTCAACTAATAACGTAGGGTCTTTGTCATCATTTTATGACCCTTTTACCTAACATTCACCCTCTTTCATATTAGTTTTCATCACTTATATCAACTATAACATCAACTTTTCTCCTTCTTTTCCTTAATTTCCTGCCATTTTCTACCCAAATTCTGCCATTTCTTACCTTATCATCGTTCTCATTTGCCTTCAGAATCGTTGCAAACTCAGTCGTCCGTCCACGATGCATAAACAGCTTCTTTCGGCCGAACCGTTTGATGCACTCCAATGCCAAACGGCACCATATTTTGACGATTTTCGCGTTTCGAAACACTTCCATACACTTTTCGACCTGTTCCGGTCGACGGGGGTTTTTCGACCAGACGCCAAAGGGTTTTACTGAAAAATGTCACAGTTTTTACTTCTATCATTAAATTTTTAGGCTTGATGCAAGAAGAATGGCACATTTATAAAATTTTTTTAAATCGCGCCATTCTTTTTGCATCAAAGCTAAAATTTCAAAAAACGCCATTCTTTTTACATCAAACATAAAATTTTTTAAAATCGTGCCATTCTTTATGCATCAAACATCAAATTTTATAAATTCACGCCATTCTTTATGCATCAGAGCTAAAATTTCAAAAAAACGCCATTCTTTATGCATCAAAGCTAAAATTTTAAAAAACGCCATTCTTTTTGCATCAAACCCAAATTTTCCAAATTCACGCCATTCTTTTTGCATCAAACCCAAATTTTCCAAATTCACGCCATTCTTTTTGCATCAAAACTAAATTTTCCAAAATATGCCATTCTTTTTTGGACTTCCCACAAAAATCACAAATACGCCATTCTTTTCGCATCAACTTACCAAAAAACCCTCCATTTTGTGGTTCCACCGCCTTAGTTTTGGCTTGATCTTTGGTTGCCGTGCCCGCCGTACCGTGACTGACTTCTGGAATGTCTTGTGAGTTTGACGGTTCGCCTTCTTCTCTGTCTATTAACATGGGTTCTTGAGGTTGTTCTATTTGTTCATGATGTTCTACTTCATCGTCACTTTCTATTTCTCCTTCCTCTTTTTCTTCTTCTATGGGTTTTTCAAGTTGTTTGTGTTCTTTGTGCTTTTTATACTGTTTATCGTGTTCCATGGCTTCTTCATGTTCTTTATCACTGTCTTCATTACCTTCTTCTTGCTCTTTATGACCTTCTTTATGTTCTTTGTCAACTTGTATGGCTTCTTCATGTTGTTCATCATCTTCTTCATGTTCGTCGCCTTCTTTATGTTGTTCATCATCTTCATTATCGTTTTCATGTTGTTTATCTTCTTCGTCATCTTCTTCGCCTTCTTCATGCTCTTTATCATCATCTTGCCTCGCTTCATCAACTTCAATGACTTCTTCATGTTCTTCATAATTTTCTACCTCTTTTTCTTGTTCATCATCATCTTCTTCGTCTTCTCCATGCCCTTCATCAACACGCTGTTTCCTTTCGTCGTCTTCTTCATGTTCTTCATCATCTTCTTCGTGTTCTTCATCATCTTCTTCATGCCCTTTATCATCATCTTGTTCTTCTTCATCAACTTCAATGGCTCTTTCATGTTCTTCATCATCTTCCAATTCCTCCCCACGTCCTTTATCATCTTCTCCATCATCTTCCACTTCTTCATCATCTTCTCCATCACCTTCCACTTCTTCCTCATGCTCTTCACCCTCTTCTCCATCATTATCATCAATGTCTTCGGTCGAATTCAGTCCACTTTCATGACTCGAATTAAAATTGTCACAAAGATTTGATAAGCGTTTACCTCGAGATCGTGGCTTCTGAAGGGTAGTCGGGTTCGAATCGGCACCATCAAGTTGTGCCAGTCTTGGGTTGACATACGAATCATGAGGTTGTTTTGTGGGTGCTTTGCCACGTCGATACGAGCCTTTGAATGGTGCAAAGAGTAGTCGTTTTAGAGCTTTTCTAGGCGATGGTACCTTCTTTGGTGATGGTACCTTCTTCTTGGGCGTAGATGAAGATGGTCCTGTAGCCGTTGGTGAAGACGATCCTGTAGCCGTTGGTAACAATGGTCCTGTAGCCTTCAATAAAGATGGAAGAGTAGATTTCTTGGGGGTTGAAGCCATTAGTACTGTAGCTTTCCTAAGCCTGCATGACGAAGTCAAAGCCGTTGATAAAGAAGCGTCAGAATCCTTTGACGATGAAGAAGATTGCCCAAATTCAGATGACTTTAACGATAAAACTGAAGCTTCATATGACTTCGACAATAAGGCTTCAGAATCCTTTGACTTCTTTGACGATGAAGAAGATTGACCCAATTCATATGCGTTTGACGATGAAATTGAAGCCAAACCTCCAGAACTGGATGACGATACTTTTGAATTTTGAAAAGATAAGTTAGATGAACTTCTTCTTGGTCTTTTCAACGATGAATTTGTACCTTTTGAAAAACGGTACGATGAAAAACATGCTGGAATCACAAAGGGCCTTAAACCTGGAGCTTCAGAAGGAAAATTCACATTCTGTGCATCACCGTTCTCAATATTCACATTCTGTTCATTATCGTTCTCTATAAGCACGTTCTGACCTTCACCGTGCTCAATATTCACATTCTGTTCTTCACCGTTCTTCAACAGCACATTCTGACTTTCACCGTACTCCAGAATCTCTTCTTCTTCACCGTGCTTTGGCATCAAAGTCTGACCTTCACCGTGCTGTAGCATCACATTCTGAACCCCACCGTGCTTCAAAACCCAGCTTTGTTCCTCGCCGTGCTCCAATGTCATATTTTGTCCATCAACGTCCAGTACCGTACTCTGGCTTTGCATTCTCTCCAGTACCATATCCTCAGCCTCCGTGCTATCCAGCACCGTACTCTGGGTTTCTACGTCCACCAGCATCTCATCATCTTCTTCTTCATCGACTATAACCATATCTTGATCTTCGTACTGTATAGCACTATCTACCATATTTCTTTTCTTCACGTACTGTATACTACCAACCATCGTATTTCTTCGCTCTACGTACTGAATAGCATCATGAATCCCATTTCTTCGTTCTACGTACTGAACAGCACCAGAAATGCCATGCCTTTGATCCACGTACTGAATAGCATCATTTATTTCATTTCTTCGCTCTTCGTACCAATTAGCACTACTAATTCCTCTCTCTTCGTGCTGAATAGCACCAACCTTCTTTTGGTACTTTTGTACCACTTTGACCCAATGTGGTACAGCGACCGTGCTGTTCCAGTTCACTGGTCCATTCTCAACGGGATTCACGTTCAAAAACTCCACCGTGCCGTGCCACTTCCCTTCCAATGCCCGGAGGCACAGCTCGTCCACCACCGACCAGTCTTCCGGCTTCGTGCGCTTCAGAATCCCGAGTACGGTGTTGAGGTTGTTGACGTACTTGTTGGGCAGGTACTTGTCGATGATTTTGGTGAATCTCAGATTGATTTCGTTCTTCTGGGCCTCTGGTACGTGCTTAAAATGGTACAAGCCTAGAGCAAGTAGGACCTTTTCGGATTGAAGGAATGGTGCTGTTGGGACAGTTCGAGGTGACTTTATAGGTAACAGGTCAGGGTAGAGAAGGCCTTTGCAGTTGGATAGGACCACGACTTGAGGACAACGCCATTCCACTACTAAAAATTTGAAAAATGTCATTTCAAATGGCAAAAAAAAACCAAAAAATGGCAAAAATCAACAAAAACTGCCATTTTTCAACTGACCCTTTTAAAACTCCAAAAAAATATCCTTAAACTAAATAAAATTTCAATAAATGTCATTACCAATAAAAAAAACCAAACCATTCTTGACACAACCTAAAAAATCGATTATCAAAAGTGGAAGTTTGGTGGAAGATTTGTAATGCATATTGCACTGAAAATCTTCCACTCAACTTCCATTTTTAAAATGTCTTAAAATGGTCTAAAAACACGTTTTTGACACTTTTTAGGAGTGGAAGTTTGGTGGAAGATTTGTAACGTGATTTGCACTGGAACAACTTCCACTCCAAAAAGTGCCAAAAACGTGTTTTTAGACCATTTTGAGCTATTTTAAAAAATGGAAGTTTAGTGGAAGATTTTCAGTGCAAATTACATTACAAATCTTCCATCCAACTTCCACTATTTTAAAACTGCCATAACTGGCTTTGCAGTTATCAATCTGCTTCAAATTTGATCACAAGAGCCTGAATCGCCATAACTTTCTTTGCAAAGCCCGAAATGGCAATAACTTTCTTTACGAAGTTAAAAAACAAAAAAGGCAAGAACTTTCTTTCCAAAGCAAAAAATGGCAAAAACTTTCTTTGCAAAGCATAAAACTGCAAAAACTTTCTTTCCAATCCCCAAAGGTACTTAAAAACCTACATTCCAGTTCCTTTTCCATAGCCGCTGGGCATAAATCTTCGTTGAAATTCCGAATTTCATGACATGCTTTGACGGCTTCGTTTAACTGAGTACCATTGAACCAGTACGTCGAGGTGGCACCAAATTTTTGGTCCAGTTCATTCAGCATCTTCATGTTTGTGTTCGATGACTTGATGAGGTTGTTGTTACCATGGGATGATACGATGGATTGACATAGTAGCTGGGTATGACATTCGAACTGGTGCTTTAGTACGCTTAGTTCTTCGGCTGTGAATGGTACTGAAGCTGATGATGGTGCTGTATTAAATAATGGTGGTACTGTGGCTGACAGTACTGATGCTGTACTGGATAATGATGATACCGTAGCTGACAGTATTGGTGCTGTACTGTGTGATGATGGTACTGTGACTGACGGTACTGATACTGAGTTTTGCTGGATTATTGGTACTGTATTAGATGTGGTTGGTACCGCATCATATGACAATGGTACTGCAATTGATGTTACTGGTACTGCATTAGATGATAGTGACACTGCATTAGATGATACTGGTACTGTATCAGACGATAGTGGTACTAAACTCTCTTGTAGCCATGGTACTGTATTGGTTAGTGGTACTGAGCTTTCATTTTGCTGTAGTACTGATAATGCATCTGATAGTATCATAGAACCCAATCCCGTACTCTGCTGTAGCATTGGTACTGTATTCTGTAGCCCCATTGGTACTCCATTCTGTAGCGACAATGGTACTCCATCCTGTACCAGTACTATATTTTGTAGTGGTACTGCGTTCTGTAGTGGTACTAGTACTCCGTCTTGTAGTAGCATTGGTACTGTTTTTTGTAGTAGTACTGGTACTCCATCAGCAGTACCAGTTACGATTGGTCCTGGTACTGTAAATGGTACTGTTGAAGCGTTGTGTAGTTCTGATATGCTGTAAAGTGGTACTGGTACTCCATTTTGTAATATTACTGGTAGAGAATTGTCCAGTAGTACTGGTGCTGAACCTTGTAGAAGTGATGTACTGTCCGATAGTACTGGTACTGTATTGCCACATGGTACTTGCAAATTGTTTCGTAATGGTACTGTATTGCCCATTGATACTGGTACTGTATCTTGTAGTAGTACTGTATTGTCCATTGATACTGGTACTGTATCTTGTGGTAGTATTGTATCGTCCAATGATACTGGTACTGAATCTTGTAGTAGTACTGTATTATAATTTGGTACTACTCCTGTACTCAAATGTGATACTGATGGTACTGATACTGTACCTGACCGTGACTCTGATGCTGTTCTTGATAGTACTGCACTTGGCCGTGATAATGGTGGTGCTAAGTCAGTACTAATCGGTGCTGACGTATCTTTGGCATTTTGATCCAAAATGATTTTTATTCGAAGATTACTGTAACTTCTTTCCGGGTCTTGGCATGGTGCGGCGGAGAAGAAGCTTTGAATCACCTGAAAAGGTAAAAAATAAGCAAAAACTTTGTTTACAAACACAAAAAATAGTTTTTTTAACTCAACAATAAGCCTAAAAATCCAAAAATAAGCCTAAAACCCGAAATTAAGCCTTTATTATTACATAAATACTTTTCTAAGCCTAAAAGATACTATTTAAGCCTAAACTATGTAGTTTAGGCTTAGAAACACAATTTAGGCTTATTTTACTTCTTTTGGACTTACGAAACTCATTTTAGGCTTAGATACCCAATTATAAGCTTACATTATCATTCTTAGGCTTATATAAATTTTTAAGCCTACATTACCAACTCCATCCCATTCCTGTCCTAAATCTCTACTTTCTACTCTACCCTCCCCGTCTGTGCCAACTTTTTTTGGTCTACCCTACTAATTAATCTCGGGCTTTAACTTATACCTTACCCTTCTCTACCCTTCCCCTAAATACGTACCTCCACACCCCCCCCCCAAAAATTTTTTTGGCACTACGCCCTACCCTACCCTTAATCCTTACCTTCTAAATTTCTAAATTTAACTTCCCCCCCCCCGGCCCCAAATTTTTTAATGCCCCTGCCCCCCCCCCTATATAAATATTTCAAAAATTTACCCCCCCCCCACTCAATTTTTTGGCACCATGCGCTACCCCTCCCTTAAATCCTTACCTTCTAACTTTACCACGCCCCCTCCCCAAATTTTTTATACCCTGCCCTACCCCCTCCCCTAAAACCCAACCTTTTACCCTATCCCTTCCTCCCCCCCCCCATTTTTTTACTCCACCCTACCACCCCTCCTCTCCCCCCCCCCTCTTCCCTACCCGACCCCCCCCCCTCCCCAAACTTTTTCATACCTCATACCCCCCCCCCACCCTACCCAACACCCCCCCCCCACTTTTTCCTTCCCTTATTCCCTTACCTTCAGCCAATACGGTATGTTGTTCACTTCCATTGGCCACTCTACGGGTCTGTCATTCCTCCTGCCTTCTCCTTGATCCAACACATACTCAACGTTCCATTGGCCGTTCTCGGCGTTCACGATCATTTGATGTAGTGGGCTGTTCAGTGAGCCTGTCCGGACATTCTTCATGTAGTTCCTGATCTGATTGTGGGTCTTGTTTGGGAGGAAGTGCTCGCTGATCAACTTGTACTTGGAGATGCGAGTGGTACCATGCGAGTGGGGCACGTGTACCATTTCGAAGATGGCTAGTGCCAAGAGGAATTGTTCTGATGGAATAAAAGTTGATGATGAACTGGTCGATTTAAGCTTTGGACCTGAATGTACCATCAAGTTTGGGTACTTTAGGGCTGTTGATAGGCCTAGTAGTACCGATGACCTCAGGTCGATTTGGGTTGTCGCCAGTTTTTCTTTGATTCGACCGCAAATCTCGGTGTTATACTGACCTTCTTCAAAGACATCAACCTCGTTGGCTGTTTGAATCGCTGACTTTAGGTTTGAAATATGGTATATTGAGGTAGGTGCAGCGGCCGATTGTTTTTGATCAAGTTCTATCTAAAATCATACCTAAATTATATCAAAACTTACCTAAAAATGCATTTTTTGCCATTTTTAACCAATCTACAACAATTTTTTTAACCACTTTTTGACTTAAAACCAAGTTATAGGATTTTTAAAAAAGTGGAAGTTGAGTGGAAGATTTGTAATGTATTTTGCACTAAAAATCTTCCACTCGACTTCCATTTTCGAAAAGTCTTAAAATGACTGAAAACACGTTTTTGACACGTTTTAAAAGTATAAGTTCGATGGAAGATTTACAGTACAAAATACAATATAAATCTTCCACAAAACTTTCACTTCCAAAAAGTGTCAAAGACGTGTTTTTATACCATTTTAAGACATTTCAAAAATGAAAGTTGAGTGGAAGATTTTTAGTACAAAATACATTACGAATCTTCCACTCAACTTCCATCGTCACATTTTATGTTCTAAACAATTTTTTAAAACTTTCAAGTGAAAATAAAAAATTTAGGTCGACTTACCAACATTCTAACACATTTGTTTCTTTGTTCCACTAAGGATGGCACATCTTTCGTCACAACAATGACTTGAGCCATCAGTTGGACGTGCTAAAACAATATTTTTAGCGTTTTTTCCTGTTTTTATCAGTTGAAAACAATAGTATCAAAACGGTCAAAATTCAAAACGTATTTTACATCAAAATCAACTATAAACTTCAAGGACAACATCCACTTTCCATCTGATTCTATGTTATCTTATGTTGTCCTACCTGCTCAAGCTGAACTCTCAAAGCCACAACTTCTTCGAAACTCATTTGAATTGGCTCTGTGTTCCTTTTTAGTAATGACCATGATGTTTTAGAAGTATCCATCGCTTTAATCTTGTTCTTTTCTTGCTTTTTGACTACTACAACATCTGGTTGAACTACTTGAACTTGTGGTTGTTCTCGAGGCACTGGTGTTTTGAACGGAGATTTTGGTGGCTAAAAAGTTGACTCATATTGTTATGCACCATATTTGACATATAAAAACAGCTTATTTGTCATATCTTTCATGTTCTGAACAAAAACATATTACACTACCCATCAGTTACTACAATATCACTTTAAAACCTTATAACTCAAAAACCAATCAAAATCCACCCTCAAATTGAATAAATTAAGAAAATCTAACCTCTTCCACACTCTCCACATCAATGAAAACCTCTTTTCGTGGTGTTACAAACAGCGGAACATCTAAATCAAAGGTTTGAGTATCAACTGAAGGTGTATAATAAGCGTCCTGCATCAATGAGTGCACTTCATTGCCTGGAATCTTCTCCAATCTGCCATACTTTTCACACAGATCTTCTTCATCATTAATTAAGTTGTCTTCAAAGTCGGGATCATCGTTATCTTCATCAAAAACATTGTCCAAATGGTCTGGACCGAAGCAAGATTTGAGGAAATCAACGTATTCCGATGGCTTTGATTCGGCCATAACTGGGTCCCAGTCGAAGATAAGAGGTCCATTCGCTGTGGATTTGAGGACTAGAGGGTCTTCTGCTTCCTGAAATAAAAAGGTTTAAAAAGAAGGTCATATGAAAAATTTATAAGGTAATACCAGTCTTCCATTCTTGAAACAAACTCCCAAAAACCTGCCATTTCTTTTATAACATTACATCCAAAAACCTCAAATTTCAAAAAAAAAACAAAAAAAACCTACCGCATCATTAGTATCACCATTCGGTTCCTCAGTCACTTCATCATCATCCTCTTCTTCATCATTATCATCTTCATCATCATCCTCACCTTCCGGCTGATAATCCGAGCTCTCTTCTTCTTCCTCCTCATCCCATTCGTCACGGTAAATCTCCAGCGGCCTTAACTTTATATCAATCTTGGCATGAACAGTCGTTTCCAACTCTTTCAAACGAGATCTGGTCAATCGAAGGTTTTCCAAGGCATCCGGATCTTCTTCCAAGATTGATGCCAAAATGTTAGGGTCTTTGCAAATGTTCTGCAATAAGTTGTGTTAATATAGATAGGAAATCTTGTTTTTTATCCGTAGTAAGAACTTCCAAGTTAATTTTTAAGCTTCCAAAAAGATACGAACAAAATTCGATATTACACTAACCATCAGTTGTTTGTCTGTCCAAAAGTCATTATAAAACCTCTGCAAGATACCAAAAATTAACAATTTATCTTTGCAAAATTAAACAAGTATGTTTTCTATCAGCTATTAAAGTCTCAAGCCCCTCTTTCACTTATCGTTCAAGTTACAGCTCAAAATCCATATTACACTAGACATCAAATGATCATCCATAAGAAATTGCCTAAAAACCAAAAATACAAATAAAAAACCAACCTTTATAATATCTTTGACGTTCATCTTGCTAAGATTGTACTTTTTAGCACAATCAGTCAGGTTCTCATCCAGTCTGGCAGTCTCTGCCTTTCGTTTCCTGTCCTCGGAGGTTAAACTTGATGAACAACATGGTTGTTGTTCGTCCTCGTTTTCCATGCGAAATTAAACTGTAAAACATAAATATTAAGCTAAATAGCATTCTAAACTACCTAAAAATGTGAAATTCGAAGAGAAACGACTTTATTTTAGCCCTGAAAATGTTAAAAACTTGTTGTAGAGCAGACAAATATTTTTAAATTAAAATTCCACAAAGTTCGAAACTTTAAAGACTTAAAAGCATAAAAATCACAATTATATATATGACAGTGTCACAAAAATATTATATTTTCATGAAAAATCCTCCAAAGCTTTTCTTATTCTCGATTTTCGCAAAAGTATTTATTTTCCGCTTCGCAGCTCGCGTCCTCCTTTTTTAAAAGCATTTTATACGATGGAACGTTATTCTCAATCAGCAAATTACGCAATTTTATTCATTTTTGATAACTTTTGATACATTTTTGGGTAGTATCCAGTCGAATCTTCAATGTTGACAACGTACGTTTTGATTTATGTTGTTTTACTTTACTTTAAACTTTTTTTAATTTCTTACTGTATTTTTTGACCGAATATATAAATTTCGATCAAAAATTTTATCGTTGTTGTCAACAAAACGTATTTTACCATGATTCCTTAAATTTGATTTCTATATAACAAAAAATTTCAGGCTAAAATCATACCATGTGCTGATAAGGAATACCACTTTGACATGTTGTATAAGCGGTTTGGCTGACATTACGGAACAAAAAATGGTCAATGGGAAGGTCGATTGGTACCGGGCTGGTATGTTTTTACATTTTCATTAATTTCTACGCTTGCTTTTCACATATTAGTAAATTTTAAAAATAATTTTTTCCAAAAATTTTGAATTTTTGCCATTTTTTTAGTCATATTAAAAAAGTGGCAAAACTTTTATGCTATCTTTTACAATACAGTGTTTTAGTATGATCATGTGACTGTTTTGATATTAAAATAACTCTCATACCATAACCGTGACGTTAGATATCACAGTTTAAATTAACTATACCTAGAAAATTTTTTGTCTCAATTTTTGCCTTTTTTGTGTCATAAAATTAGCCATACCTAACTTAAAACAACATTTTGTGCCAAACTTAAATTTAGTATCGTTTGAGTATTCTTTTAGGCTTCTTTTAACACTGACTTCAATTTTTTATCATACCTCGGCATTAAGATATAAAATTTATATTAGCGATAGCAAGATCTTTTTGTGATACTTTTGCAGCATTGATGACATTATTTTTGTTATATCTAAATTATTTTTAAAGCTTTGACAAAAATAACTTTACCTAATCATTTTACATTATCTCGGGACTAATGTACAAAATTTACCGAGTTTATAGTAACCCTATTCATCAAAATATACTCCTTTATATTATCCATACAATATAAAACTTAAACCTAATTTTCAACTTTTTTCAGCCCGAGTCTCATCGACAGGACTATTTTTGGGTCCCATGTGTCATGGATGGTACAAACTTCTGGACAAAATTTTCCCGGGACCCCCAACCAGAGATGTTATACTGAAAAAAGTTGTGGCCGATTTCATAGTAATACCATTTTTCGCTTGTCCATTCATGACCTATCTTGGCCTATGGGAAGGGAAAAGTTTGGAACAATGCCTCAGGGAATATGTTCACAAGTTTCCTTCGTTGGTCAAGGTAAGTGAAGGGTAGGGTAAAATAAGGCAGGGTAGGGTAGGGTAGGGTAAGTTAGAGTAGGGTAAGGTAGGGCAAAGCAGGATACGATAGCATACTTTAGTTTAGAGTAGGGTAGGTTAAAGCAATATAACATCATTTCAAAACTGGGCGGGGTAAAAACGACCTCATCGTCAACATTTCAGCTGGATATCTGTTTCTGGCCCCCAGTCCAAGCCATCAACTTTTTCTTACTACCCACTCATCTGCGTGTTCCCTATGTGAATATCTGTCAGTTTTTCTACAACACTTGCCTTACTTACATTAAACATGATCACTAACTCGAATTATGTTGGTTACAGCCAAAAAGTTCTTTCAAAACCCAAAAAAAATATATTTTTAAAAAAGTGGAAGCTGAGTGGAATATTTGTAATGTAATTTACACATGTAATTTTAAAAATCTTCCACAAAACTTCCGTTTCTAAAATGTCTTAAAACGGCCTAAAAATGACTTTTTAACACTTTTTTGAGATGGAATTTTTGTGGAAGATTTTCAGTGCAAAATACATTAAAAATCTTCCACTCAACTTCCACTTCTAAAAAGTGTCAAAAACGTGTTTTTAAGCCATTGTAAGAAGTTTTACAAATGGAAGTTCAGTGGAAGATTTTTAGTGCAAAATACATTACAAATCTTCCACTGAACTTCCACTTTTTTAAAATGCTTTAACTCTTTTTTAAAAATAAAAAAAAAAATTAACTTAAGTTTCTACATGACAAAAAATTTAATTTACTATTAATAAACCGTAATGTTTGCCATTTTGTCTATTGGGTTATATATAAAATGGCATTAAAGAGAACAATAAACTATTATTTATAAGGCTACAGCTTTGTAACTTCTGTTTAAGTACTATAAAAGGAACTATAAGCTACTAGCAATTTGTTCAAATAATTCTGAACCACTCTCAAAACAAATTTTCGATGTAAAGTAGCTCATTATTATTTAAACGAGCTAATACAATTAAAACTTCAGAATACAACCAGAGCCAGCATACGTAGCAATATTGTAGTAGTAGTACAGATGGTCCAGAGCAGTGAGCTCCAACTTTGGTACCGAATCCTGGCCTTCTGGGTCTTCGGTAACGTTCGATACACGATAAGCCTTACCAACTCGAGCACGTTGTGGGTACCACACCTCCACGCCGTGATGTGTGTAGTTCTCGTGCTCAAAGTCGGTCCATGGTATCTGTGGTACCAGGTCATGTCGATCCACAACACGATAGGCTTCTGGAAGGAGCTGATTCAGGGCTTCAGCATACGCACCATCGCCAGTACGAGGCTGGCCGAAGGTGACGTATTTGATCCGTTCGGCTTCGATGCCATCAACGACGATGGCTTCACCAGCGTAGACTGACGATAACGCCCCGCCCAATGACATTCCAGCCACGTATACGGTGTAGTTGGAGTAGAGTTGGGAGAGGCGGATCATTTCGTCGTTGATGCCAGCTGCACGAAGTTCGGCCGCAGCTCGCCCGAAGTAGGGGTTCATTTTACCACCGATTTTGGCTGGTAACATGGGGTAGATGGCACTGTCCAGCACCTCGTAAACTAGCTGGACTGGGCTTAGGGTGGCACTGGAATTGAAGTTTTAAGCCTATTTTATATTCATAAGCTTAAGTGATTTTATAAGCCTAAAAATATTTGTAAGCCTAGAAGTAATAGCTTAAGCCTAAAAATAATTTTAAGCCTAAAAGTAATAGCTTAAGCCTAAAAATATGTTTAAGCCTAATAGTGACTTAAGCCTAAAATATTTTTAAACCTAAAATTAACTTAAGCCTAAAAATGACTTAAGCCTAAAAGTAACTTAAGCCTAAAATTAACTTAAGCCTAAAAATAACTTAAGCCTAAAAGTAACTTAAGCCTAAAATTAACTTAAGCCTAAAAATAACTTAAGCCTAAAAATAACTTAAGCCTAAAAATAACTTAAGCCTAAAAATAACTTAAGCCTAAAAATAACTTAAGCCTAAAAATAACTTAAGCCTAAAAATAACTTAAGCCTAAAAATAACTTAAGCCTAAAAATATTTTTAAGCCTAAAAAGAGCTTAAGCCTAAAAATCCTCAAAAATTTAATATTACTTACCGAAATCCGACAAAAACAACATTAGCTTTTTCAGAATACCCAGTGTAAGCGTAGCAAATCGGGCCTTCCAATGGGTCTACTCCGCAGTAAGTCGAGGCTTGCTTGGTTATCTACAACCACAATATTATTGATTAGGTAGGGGTAGGAGTAGAACTTGGGGCAGGGATAAAAGGTAGAGTTTGAAGTATGAGTAGAGGTGGGGTTTAAGGTACAGGTAGGGTTATAGGAGGTAAAAGATATAGTTTGGGGGGGGAGGGGGGGGAGTAGAGTTTGAGATAGTGAGTATGGGGTAGTACAACACCAAACTTCCATTTTTAAAAAGTCTTAAGATGACCTAAAAACACGTTTTTAAGAACTTTTAAAAGTGGAAGTTGAGTGGAAGATTTTCAGTGCAAAATACATTACAAATCTTCCACCAAACTTCCACTTCTAAAGAGTGTCAAAAAGTCATTTTTAGGTCATTTTACGAAATATTAAAAATGAAAGTTGAGTGGAAGATTTTTAGTGCAAAATACATTAAAAATCTGCCACTCAATTTCTACTTTTTAAAACTGTTAAAACACAATTTTTTTGGATATTGTGTCAAGGGGCGCAAAATTAAGTGAACGGTCTAATAATAGGGTGTAGGGGGTAGCTTACCACTCCATCGGAGAAAGCCTGTTTGACACAACTGTCCACAAATGGAGTATCGGCACCTAAGGCTATGGCCACAAACTCAGTGCTGGCCAGCTCTTCGTCAAAGTCGGCCAAGGCTAGGCTTACAAAGACTGCTAGAGCAATACAGGTTTTCAGCCCCACCATGCTTAGACTAGCCGTATACAATAACCTTTACACTAGCCTTATACGATCACTGAGGGCCTTCTAACAGCTTTTATACCCCCATAACAGCCCGTTTGAACTTATTTTAAGCCTTAAAAAACTGTCAAAGCCAGCACGTTTTGACTGATTTTTAATCAAAGGCCCTGTTTCAAAAGTTCATAGCCATTTTTTGAGCAAACACACTGATGAAAATGGTAAAACTTTTAATAATAGTCGAACGGTTTTGTCAGCAAAAAGTCAAATGTTCTCGATTAAAATTCAAATCCAAAAGCAGGGAGGTAACAGCAGTTCTGTAGAGTTAAATAATGCAAAGCTGGGTCACTTGAATTTTGTACCAAAAGTTCATTTTTGTTTGGTTTGACTTGCTTATCTGACCTTGCCTTATTTTACCCTACCTTACCCTACCCTACCCTACCCCTACTTCCTACACTCTACCCCTACCTTTACCCTTAGCTTTAGTTTTACCCCTATTCCCTAAACTTACTCTTAGCCCTAGTTTTACCCCTACCTTAAGCTTAAAGATCCCTTTAGTTTTGAGACACTTTTAGGCTTAAAATATTTTACCTTGCAGTACTACTAAAGCAATCTTAGCTAATTCTACAGTATTCAAAGTGAGCAGTATCTTATCATCCCACAGTCCCACAGTAACGTATAAGCATTATATCATCAAATTTATTCTTACAGTACACTATAACGCCCTAGTCACACAATAATTCCTATAGTACCATTAGCTTAACAGTAGAGTACTATACGCAGCTGCGTTAGTCATATCCTCCTCTAGCCGGTAGCTGGGGGAAAATTTTTCATAACCCCCCCCCCCTTCTATTGATTTTCGGAAAAAAAAATTAAAAAAGAGTCCACAGACAAAGGACATGTAACCAGAAGCGTCGCTACGGTTTTTCGCTAGGGTAAAAAATCGAAAATTTACAAATCTTTTTACGTCCAGATACCTACCTGTAAAATTTTTTTCGGATTAGCTCTAGGGGGTATTATATTGCCAAAGATTGCAAAGTTTAGTTGTTTAACCACGTGCCTTCTCATATTAACAAGTTTATTCATGCTTGTACTTACAGAAAGACCATTATCACGCGAAAAAATAAATAAAAATAGGTTTTCAATAGAGAAATATTATGTTTTAAATTGAAGTAACCGTATTGAAGATGAGAAGATTCGGCAAGGACCTAGTTTTAAAATTTTGGCCAGCAAGGTGATATTCAAGTAGGTTATTAGTACATTATAAGTGCGTTATAAATAAAAATATTTTTAAAAAAATTTTAAAAAAATTAAAAAACAACCCAAATAGTACCTATTTGACCAGTAATGCAGTTTCGTGTGTAAAGACACATTTTTGATTGTAATATTACACTAGAAATGGCGGGGCTTTAACGATATGAAAGTTTAAGCCAAAGTCAACCTGACATGACAGACTTATAATGTTAACGCACAACTTTCCGTATTAGGTTGTTCACCTAATTTTGTGCCCCCTCAAAACAAATTTTGAAAAGGCACAGAATTATTTGAACAACCTTATATAGCTCAAGGCAGTAGCTCAAGGCAGGTATTAGGTTGTTCAAATAATTCTGTGCCCCTCAAAACAAATTTTGAGAAGACACAGAATTATTTGAACAATCTAATACAAAAAGTCATACGTTATAACTTAGTGTCAAGTTGTCCGAATATGAATGAGCCATTCAAAGCGCCAAACTGTGAACATTTCTGGCTCATTCATATTCGAACAACCTGTTTTATTAGATTGAACCAAAAGTAGCGGGACACGTTATACTTGAAAAATAAAGTGTCCCACTACTTTTGGTTCAACCTGATATTGACTACCATAACCCCAGACACATAACCCTAACTTATTGTGGGCTCAAATCGCCCACGAATTGCTCATGAACATCAGGAGTCAAGCCACAAGGCCGGCGGAACTCTTGACCACGTTCGTGGATCCACTTGTTCGATACCCACTTAACACCTTGTAGTACTGGACAGGCGGCATGTCTCGTACGCATGTCACCCTCGCCCGATCGGTACAAGTTGTACCAGAAGAGAGCGCTGTGTTTCACTGGGAATGTGCCCATTCCAAGTTCAGTATAGACCGTGGCACCACCGGTTACTGGCTGGGTCATCTGGAAATGGGTGGGGTAATTTTGGTGTTTTAAAGTTTTGTATTATTGTAGTTTTATGGGGTTATTTTGACGTTTGTTTTGGCTGTTCTTTGAAGAAAAGAGTTTGGTACGGTAGAACTCTTGTATAACGAATTGCTTGAAGATTTAAAATTTGTTCGTTATAAAGAAGTTTTCGGTATAGAGGAGTTTTTAAATGCACTGTGTAGCCGGCATTGTTGAGAGACGTGCCTATTTTTTTGGCCCGGCCTGACCTAGGGTAAGGTATGGTAGGAAGGATAAAATAGGGTAGGACAAAGCATGGTAAGACAGGGTAGGGTATGGTGGAGAAAGTAGAGTAGGATTGGGCAGGGTAGATTGAAGTAGGTTAAAGACCTAGAACAAGACTCACTAGGCCCGGCCTTTATCCTACCGTACCTACTTTATCCTACCTTTCCTTGCCGTAATCTATCTATTTTACTCTGTCCTATCCTACCCCTCTGGCCAACACTACACAGTACATTTTTTGAAAACCTCTTCCTACCAAAAACTCCTTTATAACCAAAAAAATTAAAAACCCCCAGGCGATTCGTCATACTGAAGTTTCACTGTAACTTGCTAAACTTTTAAATACAGTCAAACATCTTTAGTACGACACTCAAGGGACTGGTCCAAATCTTTTCTTATGAATAGGGCATCAGACTACCCAGATAATTTTTGATAGGAGTGGTATTAGGTTGTTCAAATAATTCTGTGCCCCTAAATTGCTTTTCTGGAAAGCACATAATTATTTGAACAACCTTATATTAAAAAGAACGATCAAAAAGATGATATTGTAGAGAGTGTCATACTATCCAGGGTCATACTAACAAGATTTCACTGTATTTTCTGATTTTTAAAATTTTAAAATTTGGTCACAAAAATGAAAAACGGAAAAATGTAAATCACTTCAAAAACTAAATTCTACGAAGCCAAATAACGTCAAATAACTCCACAACGTCAACTACATTAAAACGTCGTCTATAATAATAAAAAGTTAAAAATTTATTCAAGATTCTGAAGTGCATCCATAGTTAACAAAGCCAGCGCCTTCACCAGAACCCGAAACGTTAGAGCTGAACCAAAAGTTTGTTATGTTTCAATGTAGTTGGCGTTGATGAAAACTGGTCAAAACTACTGGACTACTGTACTTTTTATGCTCTTTTTGTCTTGATAGGGGGTCTTTATATATATACTATATCCGCAGCGTCTTATGACACGAATCTCTTTAGTTTTCAAACACTTTTGTCAAGTTTTAAAAAAATGGAAGTTAAGTGGAAGATTTGTAATGTAATTTGCACTAAAAATCTTCCACCCAACTTCCATTTTTAAAATGCCTTAAAATGACTTAAAAAAACGTGTTTGATCATTTTTAGAAGTGGAAGTTGAGTGGAAGATTTTCAGTGCTAAATACATTACAAATCTTCCACCAAACTTCCACTCTTAAAAGTGTCAAAAACGTGATTTTATGTCATTTTGAGGCTTTTTGAAAATGGAAGTTGAGTGGAAGATTTTCAGCGCAAAATACATTACAAATCTTCCACTCTACTTCCACTACCTTTTTTATCAAATTTAGCCGTATTTGCACTAAAAATTGTTGAACAGATTTTTTTACCCTTCCTATACCTAAACCGTCAGACCTACGTCAAAAACAGCTTTTTAAAATTTAAAAAAATTTTTTAAACCCAAAAATAGTACAGTAGTCCTCAAAAAATACAAAAAAAAATATAAAAACGGTAAAAAATAAAAAAAAGGTAAAGCGTACATAGAACAGAACGGTGGCAACGCGATTGCCGGTGCCCAGCTTCTTGAAAGCATTCTTCTCCTCCTTCTGCAAATCACACACGTTAGTGAGAACGGCAAAAAGACTTACGTAGAACAGCACGGTGGCTATTCGATTGCCGGTGGGCTCTTTGTACGGGTTCACGCCGCGGTTCTTAAAATTGGGGTTAGGTGCAGAGTTCCCGGGTTTAAAATTTCCGGCTGTGGCTTTTAACAAACTTTAGCTCCAGTTTATGCTCCAGAGCCATAGTTGCTTCAAGGCCGAAGCCGGCTCCGGAGCCGTGACGGCTAAGGAACTCTTTTTCATGGTTCCGGTTCCGTTGTTTTTTTAATTTTAGCTCCAGCTCCGAAGCCAAAGCTGTCCCAAGACTACAGCTGTCCCTGTAGCTGTCTGAACTCCGGGAATCTTTAGTACTGAAACGCCATAATTTCTAGCTCCGGCTCCAAAGCTGGAGTTGTCGCAGAGCCGCTCGAAGACCGGAGTCAGCTCCGGAGCCAAAACGGTTTCGGGAGTCTTTGGCTGCCTCCAGCTCCGGCTTTTTTAAACTTTAGCTTCGAAGCCAAAGCTGGAGCTGTCCCTACGTCGGAACTGACTCCAGAACCGTAACAGTTCCGAAATTCTATATTGAAATTCGACATATTCTAGCTCCGGCTCCAGTTTTATATAACGTTTCGCTCCTGTTATCTAGCCAAATCTACCCCAGAGCCGGAGTCAGTTTTAACATAAACCCATTGGGAACTCTGGTTAGGTTTACAATGACATTTTTGAAAAGTAGCTTTTTTAAACAGTTTTCATTTTGAAAATTCTATTTTTGTATACAGTGAAGCCCCTGTATGAAGAATCGCATGGGTATTCAAAATGCGTTCGTTATCAATATGTTCTCTATACAAGAGTTCCACCGTATTGCCATTTTTCAAAAATGCCATTGCGTTAAAATTATTTTTCATAAAATCTCGTACCCTAGCGAAGTCAAAGTGAGGATCATAATGACCACCGATACCATAGTTGGCAATTTGCAAGTCTTCTGAAGTTTCTTGATTCAAGTTGGTCATGAGGTCGATTCTCTGGTTGACACGATGAACCACTGGATGTTCGTGATCTTTCAACCAAGCTGATTTACTGATACGGTAGTTGGCTGTCTCTAGTTCACCAGTTTTGGCATTCTGGACTGTAGCACGACGAAGCCGAGGCGTAGCCAGCTCTTTGATCACGCTGATCTCGTAGTCGCTCAAAACTTCGTGGAACAGCACGGCCAATGGGTTCAAGCGCACGATCTCGACCTTGAATGGAGCTAGCTTCAGGAATGGTCGATCTTTCTTGTAGTAGCAGTAGACTTTAGATGCCATTACTGGGTCTGGAATGAATTCACCGCGACACAACTTTTCGGTTACTTCACGTTCTTGAATGTCGTATTTTAGGTTACGTTCGTTTTTCAATGGTGGCATGTAATCCATGGTAGCCAGCTCTTCTGGGCTCATTCTCTCTTTGTACCACTCAACATTGCCAGCAGCACGTGGGTGATAAGGATCTTGTCGCACTAGCTTCTGGGTCAAAGCCAATGCTCGCTTAATGTTTCCTTGTTGATACAAAGCATATGCCATATATTCCAACAGGTCTGACTCAGTAACTTTGCTGTTCTTCTCCAATTTCATTCGCTTTTCCGTCTCCATCATCCAATCAAGACAGTGATAGTAATCACGTTGATTGTAGGCGGCACGGCCAATTTCGAAACAATCTTCTGAAGTCAACTGCTTACCCGTGTCGATTCCATTGACGATTCCGTTGGCCAGGTCGATGGTTTTGAGTCTGTAGGTGTCTTGGAGACGTAGAAGGCCCACAGCTGCACCGTCAACGTCCTCATCGTCCGGGAATTTGACCTAAAAATAAAAAATAAATTTTTTTTAAAAAAATTTCAAAAAATTTTATAAATTACCCAAAGTCATTTTCAAACGCCAAAAAAAACTTTTTTTCAATTTTGTTAATTGTTCAAATAATTATGCGCCACTAAAAAAAGAAAATTTTCTTTGACAGGTGGCTCAGAATTAATTAAACAACCTAAAATTTTTTTAAAAATAATTTTCAAATCGAATTTTTTACTTATTAAAATAACTTTTTATTAAAAAAAAATCATTTTTAATATAAACAAACACTATTTTTAGTTTTTTGTTACCTAAAAATTTTTTTTTCAAAATAATTTTCAAATCAACTTTTTACTTATTAAAATGCCTGATTATTCCAAAAAAAATCATTTTAAATATCAAAAAACACTATTTTTTTCCCTTTTCGTTACCTAAGAACATCTTTTTACTTCATTACACTATCACAATCACCGAAAGGTCTCCGAAATCAAAAGAAACATTAACCATGTTCGAATAGCCAAGTGGTCTAGACGTTAGACTTCAAATCTAACCCCCGTTGGTTCGATCCCGGTGACTTCAAATCACCATTTTTGGCGTTTTTAAGGCTGACTTTTTAGATTTTTATATAGGTAAGTACTAGCAATAATCTGTTTTTAAATTTCCTTACTTTAAAAATTTAATTTAGTCGGTTTTAAACCCAAAAAATCGATAAGAAATAAAAAAAAATGATAAAAACCAAATTTTTTCAAAAAAATCGCCCTAAATCCATAACTTACAGATTTGCTGTCGCGTTCATCGTTGATGTTTTTGATGAATTCATCAGCTCCATTCGAGTGTAACAACTCTTTCAACTTTTTCCATTCACTGCTCAATCCTTTGATGAAGAGATAGGCGCGAACTGGGTCAGTGACGTCGGTGATGTTACGGTTCTGGGTGGTGCCGAGCTTGTATCGTTCCGTGAATTCCTGAATCTCGCTCAATCTTTTGGCTTCTGATTCGAGATATTTGTCAAGTAATAAGGTTGTGGATTCGGCTTCGTTTTTCAACATGTTTTCAATGTCCACCATCGCCGTAAAGACGTCGGCCGAAGCGCGAAGCGACAGTAAGGCTACTGTCGTTATTAGTAGTAGTTTCATCTGAAAATTCGAAATTGATAAAAAATATGAAAGATGTTTACACGAATCATGATTATTTCGAATTATGTCACGATAAAATACAAATAATCAAAAATAAAAATGGAAGTTGAGTGGAAGATTTGTACTGTATTTTTCACTGAAAATCTTCCACACAACTTCCATTTTTTAAAAAGTCTTAGAATGACCTAAAAAACACGTTTTTAACACTTTTTAAAAGTGAAAGTTTAGTAGAAGATTTTCAGTGCAAATTACATTACAAATCTTCCACCAAACTTCCATTCCCTAAAAAGTGTCAAAAACGTGTTTCTATGCCATTCTAAGACGTTTTAAAAGTGAAGAGTTAGTGGAAGATTTTCAGTACAAACTACCTTACAAATAAATCTTCCACTCAACTTCCATTTTTTAATATGGTGCAAAAACTTTGTTTTCGTTATTACTACTAACATTGGGGTTGTAAAAACAAACAACTTAGCCTTATATATACCTCATATAAAAGCACGACACTAATGATTACTAATGAGACAAACCTAGTACGGAGTAGAAAACCTAATTAGTATATACTGCAATATAATATAAAATTGTTATATCATATCAAGTAAGTTGATAAAAACCAAAAGAAGCATATTTAAAAGTTTTTTCAAACAAAAAGCCTACTAAGCATAGGCCTATTAAAAGCCAAAGCCTATTAATCCTTAGACTACTAAAATTAAGCCTAAGCCTACTATACATAAACTTCTAAAACTTAACCAAATAAAGTATATCCGCCCTAAGCCAACGCCAGTTTTATCACCACGTCCCTAGCCTGACCCGAGCAATACCTATTTAGCTATTTCTGTATCCTGAAGGCTTATAAATTGAAGCCGCGGTAACTTTTCCCACCTCTTTTAAACTCCCTCCCCCCCCCCAGAAAAAATGAAATTGAAGGTGGAAGAGGTAGTAATGACAAAGATGAGTTGAAACAAAAAAGAATTCCGAAAAAAGCCTCCAACAACTACGCGTAGCCGCTGTCGAATTCTGAAGGCGTTACTCGAAGCTTCCACTGAAGAAGACGCGTTCCTTCGCCGCTTACGTGCAAATCGCACCGCCACACGAGAAGAGTAATATATCGGGGCGAAATAATATACGAAACGGCGGAACAACAGATGGAAGCACTGATTTAAAAGGGATGAATGAGAAGGAATGACATTTGCATATTTCTTTGATTGTTTGTCAGGTAAAAGTCAGGTAGATGAAGAAAGCCTAGGCTTGCTCAGCCGAAGCCTATTAATCGTAAGCCTTCTAAGCCTAAGCCTACCAGAAGTCAGCAAACCAACTTCAAGCCTAAAGATATTCAGAGCTTAAGCCTACTAAGATTGAGCCTACTAAGTCTAAATCTACTAAGCCTAAGCCTACAATGCCTAAGCCTACTAAGCCTAAGCCTACTAAGCCTAAGCCTACTAAGCCCAAGCCTCCTAAGCCTAAGCCTACTAAGCCTAACCCTACTAAGCCTAACCCTACTAAGCCTAAGCCTACTAAGCCTAAGCCTACTAAGCCTAAGCCTACTAAGCCTAAGCCTATTAAGCCTAAGCCTACTAAGCTTAAGCCTACTAAGCCTAAGCCTACTAAGCCTAAGCCTACTAAGCCCTAAGCCTACTAAGCCTAAGCCTACTCAGCCTAAGCCTACTAAGCCTAAGCCTACTAAGCTTAAGCCTACTAAGCCTAAGCCTACTAAGCCTAAGCCTACTAAGCCCTAAGCCTACTAAGCCTAAGCCTACTCAGCCTAAGCCTACTAAGCCTAAGCCTTCCAGAGCTAAGCCTAAGCCTACTTATGCAAAGCAAAAAAGGATCTACTGAACTACCATAAACCTTCAATTTAATATGTTAATCAGTAGCAATAGAAACTGATTAGCGTATCAAATAAAAATTATTCTTAATTAACATGGTAAAAAAATGGAAGTTGTGAGGAAGATTTGTAATGGCTCTTGCACTGAAAATCTTCCACCAAACTTCCACTTCCAAAAAGTGCCAAAAAATCATTTTTAAGCCATTTTAAGACATTTTAAAAATGGAAGTTGCGTGGAAGATTTTCAGTGCAAAATACATTACAAATCTTCCACTCAACTTCCACTTTTATTTTCAAAATTATCGAAAAACACGAAAAATCCTCAAACCTTATTACCCAACCTTCAAACTTAATAAACATGAAACACGCTTCGAACTTTTAAACCCGGAACAATTAAATGCCTTTTTTGGTTTGACAAAAGTCATATTATAGTAGTTAACCTAGTTCTGTTCGCGAGAATCTGAATCGAGCGGCTTTTAAATCCTCGTCGAAGTGAAGTAAAACCGCCAAAAAAATAAGAAAAAACCTTTTCGAACCCCCAAATCTTGGCGTTGACGTTGAGAACTTCACGCAACATACGAATGTCATCAAGATAAACGCGACCGCTTATCTAAAATGAGGTGTCTCATACCACAATCGAGGTGTTTCATATCCAAATTAAGATTTTTCATAATAAGATATTATCTAAATTGAGGTGTTTCTTATATAAAATAAAGTTTTTCGGGCCTAAATCTGTTTTTCATACCTAAATTAAGGTTTTTCGGATATAAATTGAGGTATTTCATACCTAAAATAATGTTCTTTTAAATGAGCCTGGAAAAATACCTTCAGTTTTTGTATCCTTTTAGGCTTATATTGCCATTCTATGCAATTTGCTAACCTTTAACAACGATTAAAATAGGGTTCCAATCGATTTTTAACAGTTTTAAACTTTTGCCTTAGGTAGAACACTTTAAAATGGTGTTAAACTTATATTATTAATATAATTTTCTCTTATTTTTGGCTTCAAAATATTCCATATTATCAGCCTTATCATTAAGCGCCAAATGATCAAACAGATACTTCCATTTATAAGCTAAATTCGCCAAAAATGATGCTAGCTATCAAGGATAATATAAAATATTTTTTGCTTCAATTTATAAAAATTTAGCGTTACTAGCTTTTAATTAGCCTACTGCTTCAAATAATAATATAAAATATAGGTATCACTTCCATTTTTAGAAAAAAAAACACCCTAACTTTATATGGAAAATATAAAATATTTTTTGGTTTGAAAAAAAACTATAATTAGTTTTAAAAGCTTCTAGTTGCGCTATTGCTTCATATAGAAATGTAAAATTTAGGTATCACTTCCATTTTTTAGCAAAAACCACTAAAACCAATATAAACCATCATGGATAACATAGATAAATCCCTGTTTCTCCCGTTAAATTACACCAAAACCCATTGAATTTATGTCAAAACATTCCAAGTTTAAATTAAAACCATAAAATAACACATATTCGAATCTAAACCAAGTATTTCTCAACGTTTTAGCGAATATCTTGGGGTTCCCTTCAAAAGATCGTGCCTTTAACAGCTCATCAGTCGCCAATTCCACGTCAGTCTTTCTTTTTTTTGCGCTGTAATAGGTCTACAATAACTTCCGGCTTGTCTTTCGAACTTTTTGTCAACCTTTCTTCTTGAAACATCGTGAAACTTTGCGGAATTTGTTGCAAAAAGACCTTGTTTTAGGTATCAATCGACTGTTTTTGATGTTTTTGGCTTGAAATATGATGAAAGGAAAGTCTAAATAGATCAAAAAGATAGAAAAAGGGTAGAACTTACTTTTAAGACAAAAATAGACAGCAAAATCTTGCAAACTTGAGACGAAATATCTTGTTTTAGGTAACAATCGGCAGACTTTCAAAGTTTTCGTCCTGAAAATTTGTGGAAAACGTGCCTAAATAGGTTAAAAAAAACAAAATACAAACAAAACTTACTGCTAAAACAAAGAATACATTTTAAAACCCTGGTAAAAACCTTTCCTGGAACTTTTCTTGGGCGTTACCAACAAAATTCCGCGTATTTTACAAAAGAAACCGTTCGAATCCATCAAAAAACAGTAATAAAACAGTTCCGAAACCGGTCCAGCGCCTGCAGCAATCCATTTTCGACTTGAGATAATTTGAAAACTTACGTGAGATCAGCGAAGGATTCTGAATTTGTCGAAAAAGTCAAGACATCAACGAAACAGCGAGGGGAGAACGGAGAGCCGGCCGAGAAAATAAAAAAAAGAGAAGAAAGGAAGAGAGGAACGGTGAAGGTGAGAGTTTAGCCAGAGAATGACCTCTTTGCGAGAGGAAATTGCAAGAGAGGCGAGAAGCGCAGAAAACGAAGAGAGCGACCAGGAACAGTGAGAAAAGGCCGAATGGAAATGAAAAGGAAAGAAGAACGGAAGAGCGTGCGAAATTCGGAGCGTGTGCAGTGAATCAAAGAAAGTATAAAAAGAGAGAGAAAAAACCCGCAAAATAAGAGAGCAGCCGAGAAAACGACCAAACTCAGTCAAAAAGTAAGCAAACGAGAAAACGTTATGCTGTAAGAGAGTGCACAGAGAAACAACTAGTTAGAGAAAAAAGCGAGAGAGCGTGCGGAAGTGAGAGAATTGACTTAAAAACGGCCTAAAAATGGTTTTAAACGTAAAATACAAGTACAATAGTGGAAAAAAATAAATAATTACCTAAAATTTTGATGTTTTTAAATTTTTTAAACTTTTTTTATGCTTAAAGCAGTAAAAAGCCATTTTTCTCCAAAAATTCCCAAAAACAAAAGATCACAGAAACAAAGAGCCTTGCCAGACGACTAGAAAATCAGGAAAATTCGCGAAATTTGTCGCAGAATCCCAAAAAACGTGTGAATTTGAAGAAGAATCGCCGATTCGGAGCAATTACAATCAAAGTCAAGAGAATAACAACCTTTTCGAGTAAACTAATTAAAAAACAAGATGATCTACATGATGATTCTACTGTTTTTCACGTTCTACAGCAGTTTTATTAGTAATTTTGAAGTTAGAAGCAATTTTATGACGTTTTTGGAGAAAAAATAAAAAGTGGAAGTTGAGTGGAAGATTTGTAATGTATTTTGTACTGAAAATCTTCCATTGAACTTTCATTATTAAAATGTCTTAAAATCGTCTAAAAACGTCATTTTAAAGGTTTTTGGAAGTGGAAGTTGAGTGGAAGATTTTCAGTGCAAAATACTTTACAAATCTACCACTCAACTTCCACTTTTTGTAAAAGCGATTTTTTGGTCGTTTTTCACGAAAACCTTTAAAAAATGAGCAAAATCAAGTAAAATCCACCCCAATGACTTCAAATACCCCATAAAATGTCATGTTATGACAACCCCCATTCTAAAAACGCCTTTGGAAACAAAAGTTCTCGGATTTTTGTTTCTCTCAAGTTTCGGCCTTATGTTTTGTGGCCAGTGGTCATAAACAAAACGAGGGCCGAGGGTTCGCTTTGTCCCAATAATCTTCGATTATGCACGAAATCTTCATTTTCCGGCAATATTTGGCCGAAATTGAGACTTTTGGGCCGTTATTTGATTGAATCTTGAGGGTTTTTGAAAGAAAGAAAATGGCAATAACTTTCTTTACAAGTCTTAAAATAGCAAGAACTTTCTTTACAAAACCAAAAATGGAAAGAACTTTCTTTACAGAAGAAAAAATGGCAAAAACTTTTTTTAAAGATCTTAAAATCGCAAGAACATTCTTAACAAAACATAAAATGTTCAAAAAATTGTTTAAAACCCCGAAAAATGACTGTGAAAGGTGAGTGGAAGATTTGTAATGTATTTTGCACTGAAAATCTTCCACATAACTTCCACTTCTAAAAATGTTCAAAAATGTGTTTTTAGGTTATTTTAAGACTTTTTCAACATGGAAGTGTAGTGGAAGATTTTCAGTGAAAATTACATTACAAATCTTCCACTCAACTTCCACCTGCTTTCATACTTGAAAAAACGTTAAAAAATCAAGTATTGATCTAAAGTTCTCTTTAGAGAAAGACAAGTACTGATCTAGAACCCCCTTAGGGTAATTTTTCCATCTTTTGTCCACCAAAGCCAGGCTCCGCCCCTTTCGGCCGAAGAATAAGCGAAAAACCGGTAGTCGATCTTTAAAGAACACAAAGCAAACAAAAACTGTACAGATCGAGAATATGATCAAGAAAAATCATTTTTTGTTTTAATCTCGGAGAAAAAAAAAGATTTTTTGATCATAAATCAAGAGATGGAAAAGTAAAAACTACCCCACCCCTGCCCTTACTCCTACCCATGCCCCATACAAATTTTACTCAAAAACCATCATTTTAGGTCCAAATTTGATGAGGAATTTGAATAAAACATTTATTTTGCATGAAGAATATTTATTTTGACGTTTTTTGCTAAAAGGAGACATCTTATACGATGAAACATGTTTGAACATTGAACATGTTTCATCGTATAAGATGTTCACTTTTCAGATAATTTAGAATTTTTGATCATAAATTAGCAAAAAATAGTTCAAAGAACATAAAAAAAACATTCGTTTTTAGACCAAAAAAAAACATGTATACGATGAAACATGTATAACTTGTCTCCTTTCAAAAAATTTAATTTTTTGTCTTTAAACTAGCGAAAAATAGTTAGAAAAGTTTCAAAAAGACGTTTTTTAAAATTTTTATTTCAAAAATCGACATGTTATACGATGAAACATGTTTGAACACTAAACACGTTTCGTCGTATACATTGTCACTTTTTTGCCTAAAACCAAAAAAATCACAAAAAAAAACAAAAATACTAGAACATACAACCCATAGCAATCAAAACCAGTCCAAAACTATCAAGTTTATTGTGATTCAGCTGGAAAAAACGAAATTTACAAGAATGGAGCGCTCTCTACGAAGCGATATCTGACATGTGTAATATAAACTCATGGTAAATATGGGTAGGAAATCGTTTTCAAATTTGTGGTCATGCTCAGTATGACCATTTTAATGATTGAAGACCAATTTAATGATGGAACAGCCGCAGGCCAGTGTGAATGAGTACCATACCGTGCTCGTTACAGGCCTGGATCACGTCTTCGTCGCGGGTCGAGCCGCCTGGACTAGCCACATATTTCACGCCAAACTGAAATTGAATTAGATTTAAAAAGAAAGTTTAAAACCAGAAAATCCCATACCGTATTTTACAAAAAATTTCAGATTTTAAATCGATTTTTGAATTTTTTGGATATTTTTCATCGTATAAAATGTCAGTTTTTCATAAAAATCCAAATTTTATCAAAAAATGTTCAGAAATAATATTTTAACACAAAATCAATATGTTTTTCATATATTAAAACCAAAAATCATATTCTTTAGCTTGGAAATATTTCATCGTATAAGATGTCGCTTTTATGCATTTTTCTTCTAAATTTAGGCCAAAACTGACAAAAAATTTAAAAAATGTAATTTTAGGCTTAAATTGTATAAATTCTTCATATTTTATACCTAAAAAATATATTTTTTTTAATTGGGCATGTTTCATCGTATAACATGTCACTTTATCATTAAAAAACAAACTTTTTGCAAAAAAAAATCAAAAATGTACATTTAAGCCTAAAATTTAAACATTTTTTACGTTTTATACCAAAAAAACATTTTTCGTATTTTAACCTCAAAAAACTTTTTTCAACCTGAACATGTTTCATCGTATAACATATCACTTTATTATTAAAAAACCAGCTTTTATCAAAAACTGTTGAAAAATGACACTTTCACACAAAATCAACATGTTTTTCATACTGCATAACTAAAAATTACATTTTTTTGCTTGGACATGTTTCACCGTATAAAATGTCGCTTTTTAATATTTTTTCGTCAAAATCCTCAAATTTTTGCCAAAAATGCCAAAAAAAGTCAAAAATACAGTAAAACCTACATGTTTAGCACAATCAATGTTGTCTCTGAACGGGAAGAAGGCATCCGAAGATACGATGACATCAGTCAGTTGTGACAACCATTCCTGGCGCTCTTCTCTCGAGAATGGCTGGACCTTCTCGCTAAAATAGGTATTCCAGCTCTCTTCATCATCAGAAATGCCTGATACTAGCTGATCAATGGCGTTCGACTTCTCAGCACGCTTTACATTCGCCTTCCATGGCAAATCCAGGATTTTGGGGTGCTGACGAAGCCACCTAAAACAATATAATTCAATTTTTTAAACTTGAAAATTTAATTTTGGGTTTAAAAACATGCGTAATAGACCTGAAATCCCATTTGAACCTAGTTTTGACAATTTTAAACCATTTTGTCACAAGCTTTCAGAGATACATCACATTTAAGAAAGTGGAAGTTGAATGAAAGGTTTGTAATGTATTTTCCACTAAAAATCTTCCACTCAACTTCCATTTTAAAAAGTCTTAAAATAGCCTAGAAACGCGTTTTTAAGCATTTTTAGAGGTGGAAGTTAAGTGGAAGATTTTCAGTGCAAAATACATTACAAATCTTCCATCAAACTTCCACATCCAAAAAGTGTTAAAAACTCATTTTTAGGTCATTTTGGGACATTTTAAAAATGGAATTTGAATGGAAGATTTTCAGTGCAAAATACATTACAAATCTTCCACTCAACTTCCATTTTTCTAACCTTCAGTTTTTAAGGTTTCTTCGTAAAATTACTGCCATTTTATTGTTTTGTAAAGTTCATTATTGCCATTTTGCCTTGTAAACAAAGTTTTTTTTCCATTCTTTTAAAAACCCACATTTTTTCTCAAAAAACAGAAAAATTTTGCAAAATTACAGTACCCAGTATCGTGTTCGAAACATTTCGAGCACTATTTTAATCTTTCACAATTCTCTGAATCTGATGACGCAAATTCAACCCATTTTTCACCAGCCGCCGTCCCTCGAGAGGGCTTATAATAATTTTTATTGCGACAAAGTTCAGCGCCTTGGGCAGTGCTTCATCTCTGTCATTACTTTTACTATAAAAACATGTGTGAATAACTGTAGATTGTTTTTGTGGCATTTTTAAATCTTTTGAAATAGATTTATGGTTATTGATCTTTTTTGATAAAAAAATGCAAAAAAAATTATCGACCGGTCGAAATTTTTTTTTCTAAAATTGCCAAAATCGAGTTTATATATGGTTTGAAATGCTTTTTAGTACCTTATATTAACATAAATAATACCAAAATCTTAGTGTTTCATCAAGAATTGTCCAAAAAAGACCATTACCTGCGCCCTGGTTTATTATTACATTCATAACGCATAACTTTTTAACCTATCGACAAAAAATCATAAAGTTTGGCAAAAACATGCCAAATGACATACTTAATAAAACTGTCAAACGGGTTTTTCCTTTTGTTACTTAAAGCTCTAAAAACTCTTGCATTTCCCATTTTTTTATAAAAATTCAAACCAAAATCAAAAAAAATTTCGTTTGTGTCGCGTGTTCCAGCCAATTTTTGCTAACTTCTTATCACTGCACTAAATGTCCTTGTAAGTCCAATCATTCGAGAGCTCAACTCGCGTCTGATTTTCGTACAAAAGTAACATTAAACCGCAGTTTTTATCTGATTTTGATAAGGTTTTTCGTAAAAAAACGTGTTTTTCCTAACTTTTTTTCGCAAAGGGTATATTTATCTAGTGCAAAAGGAACCACAATTGTCCTTTTGTACTGCCATGAAGGTTATTATTCCTATCAGAATAAAAAAAACTGATTTTGAAAAAAATGGAAGTTGAATGGAAGATTTGCAATGTATTCTGCACTGAAAACCTTCCACTCAACTTCCAATTCCAAAAAGTGTTAAAAACACGGTTTTAGACAATTTTAAGACATTTTAAACATGGAATTTTGGTGGAAGGTTTTTAGTGCAAAATACATTACAAATCTTCCACTCAACTTTCACTTTACAAAACGTTAAATTTTGCCTTTCAAAAAATAAAAAATTGAAAGTTCCCATGAATCGATTATAGTATAGATTGTAAATTAGTACTGGCGCCTTTAAAAATCAAGTCATGCCTTTTTCTTGAAAATCGATCATTTGTCTAATTAGCTATTAACAATCTAATTACTATGCTATGCTATTAGTGATTTGCTTTGTTTACAGTCCTTGGGTTTTGTTTTTGACATCATTTAAGTCGATTGTCGCATGAGTTTGGAATTCTTTTGAGTAGTACTATTTGAGTACGGAAAACTTTTTAATTTCAAATTCATATGTTGTCTAACTATACTATAATATGATAGTAATAGATAGTAAACATTCGGTCAGTCAAGCGTTAAATATGAAGCTATAATAATAAGACTATATATATGCTCATATACCATGTAAAAGTCATTTTCTATAGTAAAACTGACCGAAAGGACATGTTTTTTACCTTTTGCCTAACTTGTATTTGAAAAAATGGCTTATGATAACAGCTTTTTGATGAAAAATGTGTCACGATGACATTTTTTTTCCTGAGAAAATGAGTCATGATGACTTCATTTTGAAGTTTTTTTCTTTGTAAGGACAATGGAAGATTTTCAGTGCAAAATACATTAAAAATCTTCCACTAAACTTTCATTTTAAAAAATATCTTAAAATGGCCTGAAAACGCTTTTTGACACTTTTTGGGAGTGAAAGTTGAGTGGAAGATTTGTAATGTATTTTGCACTGAAAATCTTCCACTTCACTTCCACTTTTAAAAAGTGTCAAAAAATCATTTTTAGGCCATTTTAAGACATTTTAAAAATAGAAGTTGGGAGGAAGATCTTCAGTGCAAAATACATTACAAATCTTCCACTGAACTTCCACTTTTTAAACCTTCAATTTTCCATAAAACAAACAAACTTCTGGTCTTTGTTTTAGAAAATACAGTATGCAAACAGTTCTTTGAACCAAGATTTTTCGATAAAATCGATGTTTATGATGTGCATAGTAACATATAACACCATGCAACACGTCTTTGATTTATTATTCCGCGGGTTTTATAAGATTCCACAACATTTGCATTTATTTTGAGTCAAAAACACATCCCCTCAGGGCATGACGTTCGCATCAGAAGTCGACTTGACATTCTGTGTCGAATTTGTTGTGGTTTACTACGAAAAAACAACCGTATCGTCGTATTTTGGTCGTAAAAATGTAAATTTGGGTAAATATTGAGCTTTTTTGATGTTTTTAGGTATAAAACAAAAATCTTTTATGCTTTAAAATGTCTTTTAATCCATTTCTAAGGCTTCTAAACCATTTTTGACCCTTTTTTGTACTTTTGAAAAAGTGGAAGATTAGTGGAAGATTTGTAATGTAATTTGCACTAGAAATCTTCCACTCAACTTTCATTTTTTAAAATGTCTCAAAACGGCCTAAAAACCCGTTTTTAACACTTTTTGGAAGTGGAAGTTGATGGAAGATTTTCAGTGCAAAATACATTACAAATCTTCCATTCAACTTCCACTTTTTTACACCTCGTTTTTCACTTTAATTTTTACAACTTTTTGATTTTATTGGCTCAAAAATGCAAGTACTATTCAAAAATGATGTTTATTTCAAGCTAAAAGCATATTACAGTCTACTAGGCTGTACTTGTGACAACAAAAGCAGTCGAAGGAGGACCTACATGTATGTAAAGTATGCTAATGTAAACGGATGTCAAAAAAACTTCCAAAAATTTGTTTGCGAACTAGACCAACACGTCATTGAGCACGTTTTTAGACTCTCAGCGATTCATCAAACCTATTTTTATTTAACTTTAAGACCACTTTTCGGATTTAAAAAAATGGAAGTTGAGTGGAAGATTTGTAACGTATTTTGCACTGAAAATCTTCCACTCAACTTCCACTTCTAAAAAGTGTCAAAAACCTCTTTTTAGACCATATCTTCCACTAATCTCTCACTTTTTCAAACCGCTATAACTTTCTTTCCAGTGGTCGTATCAAAAGGCCTCTTTTGCAATTGTGTTCCTTATCAAAGTCCTAATCAATATCTTTTACCAAATTTAAAAAATAATGTCATCATGACCTATTTTTTAAGTAAAACTGTCGTCACACCCAGTTTTTTGCCAAATACTGTCACATTTTTGCCAAAATACGGTAATTTTTTCAAAATTTCAAATAGCACTTCAAAATTCTGGTCAAATATTTGCGGTCGTTACGAATTTCACCCCAATTTTGCGTGACGTGTGTTTTGAACTTCTATTTATGCCTTCAGGGGGTTCGGATTACGAAGCCGTCTTATTACTTGAGGCTTACTATAGGCCGGTTTGTCCCAAATATACTTGTTTTGTTGAATTTTTGGTCATAAAAACATACTACTATGGTTGGATGACACAATAAAAAGAGTTTTCTTTCAATTTTCTTTGAATTTTGATTGTTTTGGCACTTTTTTTGGGAGTGGAAATTGAGTGGAAGATTTGTAATTTATTTTGTACTGAACATTTTCCACTAAACTTCCGTTTCTAAAAATTCTTAAAATGGCCTAAAAATACGTTTTCGAGCATTTTTAGAAGTGGAAATAACGTGGAAGATTTTTAGTGAAAAATACATTACAATTCTTCCACCAAACTTCCACTTCTAAAAAGTGTCAAAAACGTGTTTTTAGGCCAATTTAAGACATTTTAAAAATGGAAGTTAAATGGAAGATTTTCAGTGCAAATTACATTACAAATCTTCCACTCAACTTCACTTTTTGAAAGTCTTGTTTTTGGGCTTTGTATGATAAAATTTGGTGGTTTAATGGCTAGGCCGGGTGCAACAGACTATTTTCTTGGCTATGCTTAGAAAATAATTACATTTTTTTATTTTTTTAAACAAAGTTTTTGCGGTTTTTTGCTTTGTAAAGAAAGTTCTTGCCATTTTGTGTTTTGTAAAGAAATTTCTTGCAATTTTTTGTTTTGTTTACCGTTTTTTTTCTATTTCCGCAACTTTTCACCGTGTTCCCTCTACAGTACAAGCTTTTGAAAATTTTTTAAAATTTAAAACAGCACGACTAAACGAGATTAAGGTCCTGATTTATGTACTTAACCGAGTTTGGAGCGAACGTTGTCTTACGACGTCGAATTCGACGTCACCAATTGTCATAAAAAAAGGCGGTGACCTCAGAAAGTAGGCTTTTTATTGTTACGAATGTAACAACAAACACTTCAGAAGTACGACCAGCATGTCAACAAGACCCATTTAGAGGTGATGAAAAGGGGGGGGGGCAAAGAATTTCGGAAGATGGGTCGAAGAAAGATTAAAGGAGGGGTGAGCAAGGGAGGCAGGGGGGGGCTTGAAAGAAAGGCAGAATACAGATTTTGACCTAAGGGGTAGTTTAGAAATGGCATTTGTATTATTTTTTAAAGCCATTGTTTTGCAAAGAAAGTTCTAGCAATTTTTTGTTTTGTAAAGAAAGTTCTTGCCATTTTTTGTTTTAAAACGCAACCTTATGCCATTTTTAACCTTACACTCTAATTTTAATCCATTTTTTACAATAGAAAAAAGGTTATGGCACTTTTTAAAAAGTGGAAGCTGAGTGGAAGATTTTTAGTGCAAAATACATTACAATTCTTCCACCAAACTTCCACTTCTAAAAAGTGTCAAAAACGTGCTTTCAGGTCATTTTAAGACATTTTAAAAATGGAAGTCGAGTGGAAGATTTTCAGTGCAAAATACATTACAAATCTTCCACTTAACTCCCACTTTCTTATTTTTTCGCTTTGTAAAGAAAGTTATTGCCGTTTTGCGCGATCTTATATCATTTTATGACCAATCAAATTAATTTCAGAGTACTTTGTCGTTACGAAAGCTACAGTATCCTAACAGAAGCACATTGTTCAATGCGCGTAAAGTTATTGCCAATTTCGATTGGAAGCGTGCCTAGACTTGACTACCACGAATTTGGCGACCATATTGAGCCGTGAACTAACTACAGTATTCTACATAAAAAAAGGTTACAGTAGATCTACATTAAAGCTTGCTACAGTACTACTTGTACTACAATTACTGTAACTACAATATAAAACTACTGCAACTACCGTATAAGGCTACAGTAATTGAAAAATACTGTCACTTTGCATAATTTTCACTTTGATATCAAATTTACGGTAACCTACCGTAACCTTTTTTGCCTCTACTTAAAGCTACAGTACTTCATTCTGAGCAATACAGTAAGAATGGAATCTTACAGTATGATTGTAAAAAGCCTAGTAGCTACCGTGATACTAATGTTGATGAGCTTGGTCAATGGATTCGCTCATGTTGAACAAAGTAAGTCCATACTCTTAGTTTTCTTACAGTAACCCTATATAATACCTACAGTAAAACTATGAGTTTTCTTTTTTTTACAGTACTACCTACAGTAACCGCCGCTATACTAAACTACAAAGCTTTAAGGTACCCTTTATTACAGTACCCTTACCCCCACCATACAATAATCAATTCTTTATCTCAAATTGGTTACAGTATCCGTACCTTTATCATACAGTAACCCCCATACTGTAATAACTTTTTCACCTCAAATTGAATACAGTATCCCTACCCTCATCATACAGTAACCCTCATACTGTAATCCAATTTCAAATTGATTACAGTAACCCTCATACGGTAATCAAAATTATCAGCCTACAGTAACCCTAACGTTGTCAAATTACAGTAGCCTTCGACAGTCAGTGTATGAAAGCGATGTGTATCGCAGACAGTGGTTGTCATCAGACTGGCTGCGCGACGGATGCGTTCGGCCGGGTTGGGTGTGGGTTCTTTCGAATGAATATCTGGCAGTTCAAACAATGCTATGAGCCGGGCCGCCTGATCGGCGAGGAGTCGGAGGAGGCGTGGATGAAATGCGCCGAGAATTTCGAATGTGCTAGCAACTGCATCAAGGTAAGTTACTATAGCATTATATATCTTGAGGACCCTATCATTACGATATTGGGCAGTTCAAATAATTCTGAGCTCCCCTCTCAACGCTTGACAGTCGCAGTATTGGATTTTAGCACCTTTTTTAATAATTTTGACCCGTCGAAATCAAAAAATTTCAAAAAATACCCAAAATCAAGCTTTTCAAATAATGGAAGTTGAGTGGAAGATTTGTAATGTATTTTGCACTGAAAATCTTCCACCAAACTTCCACTTCCAAAAAGTGCCAAAAAGTCATTTTTAAGCCATTTTAAGACATTTTAAAAGTGGAAGTTGCGTGGAAGATTTTCAGTGCAAAATACATTACAAATCTTCCACTCAACTTCCACTTTCATTTGTTCCATCAAATCCACCCCATTTTTAAAATTCAAAATTTGCAGCACGTAGCAACAAGATTCCGTCTAAAATGCTATGGTAAAAGCGACTGCGAGACGATTGCTCGTATTCACGATGGTGGTGCTAATGGTTGTCGTACTGGTGTAACGACGCCTTATTGGGAGGCCGTCAAGGAGATATGCCCCGATTGTTAATATTATTATACCCTTTTCTGATGACTTTTTGACTTTTACTACCACTGTGGTCTTATTTCTACTATATTATGTAATATTATACTCTATATGTAACCTTTTTCAATAAATATTACCTAATTTTTTAAAGAAAGAATAATTAAGGCACTCGTATTTTACCAAAAACTACCCTTTTCTAACTCCACAACCCCATAAAAACTAAACTTCTAAATTTAGAACACATTTTATACCACTCTTAGTACTTTTACAAAATGAAAGATCAGTGTAAGATTTGTAATGTATTTTGCACTGAAAATCTTCCACTCAACTTCCATTTTCAAAAAGTCTTAAAATGGCCTAAAAACACGTTTTCAACACTTTTTTGAAGTGGAAGTTTAGTGGAAGATTTTCAGTGCAAATTACATTACAAATCTTCCACTCAAATTCCACTTCTAAAATTTTATGATTTAGCTATAATATGACAATAACTTTAATTTAAACTCGAAAAATGAGTTTTAATATTCATTTAAAAACGCAAAAACTTTGTTTACAGTCAAACTTTGGTCGAAATTTGATCAAAATAATCGAAAAAAAAAATTTTTTTAAAATTTTAAATTTTCAAAAATGCTTTATCTCTAATGCTGTCTATAAAAAAAAGACTAAAAACATTTAAAACAAGCCTAAAAACCCCAAAAACAAGCCTTAAAATTCCAAAAACTAGCCTAAAAACTTCAAAATCAAACCTAAAACCCCAAAAACAAGCCTAAAAATCTCAAAAACCTACCAGTTAGCGGCCTTTTCTCCAGCCAATCGAGTGCAATGGATTCTGCTCTGTTGGCCGGCCCCAATTCCGATCACTTGGCCGCGATAAGCGAAACAGACAGAATTGGACTGGGTGTACTTGACAGCAATTGTGGCTACCAGCAGGTCATCGACAGCTGATTTTGGGAGCTGAAAATAACTTTTTTAAATTTTTTAAAATAACTTTCTTTCCAGACGCCTAATTAAAAAAATTTCTTTTGAAATTACCATGCCCATGAAATTCTCTATCTTAAAACACCAAAACCGCAAGAACTTTGTTTACAAAAAATTTTAAAATGCCTTCGAAACTCCAATATAAACCTAGAGAAAACTATTATTTTCCTTAAAACCGCAATAACTTTCTTTCCAGCCGCCTAATTAAAAAAAATTTCTTTTGAAATTACCATGCCCATGAAATTCTCTATCTAAAAACCCCGAAACCGCAATAACTTTCTTTACAAAACGTTTTAAAAAAAGTTAAAAAAGCCGCGGTGACCCCGACATAAACAGAGTAAAAGCTATCATTTTCCATAAAACCGCAATAACTTTCTTTCCAGCTGCCCAATTTAAAAATTTTCTTTTACAGTTATCTTCCCCATGAAATTCTCTACCTAAAAATACCAAAACCGCAATAACTTTCTTTCCAATCTCCTTAAAGACCCACCGATTTGTTCTCCGACACCACGTTCGCGAAGGTTTCGGGCGCGATAAGAGCGGCGTTTCGCTTTTGTTTCAATTTCAAACCGAATACAGTTCGAATTTCGTCTTCGCCAGGCAAGTACCTGGGGTCGATCTTGAGTATGGTGTAGTTGCCACCCTTCTTTTTGGCTAACAAGTCCAGCGCGGCGTCGTCGAAGCCGGGCGCGATAACTCCGTCCGAGACTTCGCGCGAAATGATTTTCGCCGTCATTTCGTCGCATTTGTCGGATAACGCGACGAAATCGCCGAATGAGGACATGCGATCGGCCCCTAAAATTGAAAAATTAGTTAGAAAATGGCATTTTTGGATGATATTCTGTGGCAGTCAAGTACATAAGCCTAAAAAAATTTACAAAATAAGCTTAAAATTCAAAAGGCAGCCTATAAGTTTCAGCGTAAGCCTAAAAATTCAAAAAAAAGCCTAAAGCTTCAAAATATAAGCCTATAAAATCAAGCAAAAACACTAAGCCTAAAAAAACCAAAAATAAGCCTAAGAATTCAATTTAAGCCTAAAAAATCAAAAGTAAGCCTAACATGCAAAAATAAACCTAAAAATCTAAAAAAGCCTAAAATGAGAAAAAGAACAACTAAACCAACACCTCATACTATATAGTAACAGTACAGTATAGTACGAGTACAATATAGCATAAAACCAACACCTAGTACTATATAGTACCAGTACAATATAGTATCAGCAAAATACAATAGAAAGAACAAAATTTGTACTATCTAGTACTAGTACAATATAGTATCAGTACAATATAGTACGAGTAAAATATAGTACTAAAACAACTCCTATCACTATATAGTACTAGTACAATATAATACAAGTACAACAAAGTATAAAACCGACACCTCGTACTATATAGTACTAGTACAATATAGTACCATAACTAAAAAAACAGTACCAAAAGTGTTTTGCCAAAGCGTCGTGATTTCACCTAACAACATTGTGTGTGTGTTATCACTCGGCTTTCATACCCAAAATCTTGGCCATTTTTATGTCCTGCCTTCGACACATTATCCAGAACTGCTCTAAAGCGTTAGAACTTTCTTTACAGAAGAAGGAAACGTAAAAAAACGTAAAAAATAAAGGATAAAAAGGGACGTATTTTACAAAATAGAAAGACTAAAAATAGATTAAAACCCCTAAAACAATCAAAATTTTAAGTGGAAGTTGGGTGGAAGATTTTCAATGTATTTTGCACTAAGAATCTTCCACTCAACTTCCATTTTAAAAAGTCTTAAAATGACCTAAAAACGAGTTTTTGGCAATTTTTAGAAGTGAAAGTTTGGTGGAAGATTTGTAATGTAATTTGCACTGAAAATCTTCCACCCAACTTCCACTCCTAAAAAGTGCCAAAAACGCGTTTTTCGACCATTTTAAGACTTTTTAAAAATGAAAGTTTAGTGGAAGATTTTCAGTGCAAAATACATTACAAATATTCCACTCAATTTCCACATTTTTAACGCTCCAAAAATGGTATAAACTAGCTTGAAACATTAGTAAAAAAGATGTTAGTACCATAACCAAGTTAATATAAGCCCAAAAATTTCTAAACCAACCTCTAGCTCTAGCATAAGCAGCGGCTAGCGACGGATTCTTGTTGTCTAGGCCAAGATCGTTGACGAAGAAGGCTCTGGCTTCGGCGTCACTCAACGGTAACCCCACCGCCGCTCCAGCCGGCGAAACGTGTTTGAAGGAAGCGGCCGATGGCATTTGAGTGGCTACGGCCAGCTCGCTGACCAGCTGCCATGCGTTCAGTCCGTCCAGTATGTTAATGTACCCGGGTGCGCCATTTAACACTGAAATTAGGTCATTTTAGGTTGTATATACCGAAAATATTGTTATCATATGGTCACAACGTCAACAACCACGTCGTATTTTACCATCAAATGTGTTTAAAACCAAAAACTTTGTTTACAGACCAAAAAACAAACTTTTGAAAAAGTGGAAGATGAGTGGAAGATTTGTAATGTATTTTGCACTGGAAATCTTCCACTCAACTTCCACTTCTAAAAACCTTCAAAATGATGTTTTTAGTTCATTTTAAGACTTTTTGAAAATAGAAGTTAAGTGGAAGATTTTCAGTGTAATTTGCATTAAATTTCTTCCATTCAACTTCCACTTTTTTAAATTGTCATATCTTCGTTAAATTTCAAAAAAAAAATAAAAATTAATTGTCTATATCATAAAAAATTTAGTTTACTACCACTACATCAAATTGTTTCGACATTTTTTTCTATTGGGTCGATTTAAAAATGACATTAAAAGCCATATAAACAAGGATTATACAAGGTCTCCTACAGACTAGGCTATTTATTAAAATTGAAGCAACCCGTATTTTACTAAAAAAAATCTTTTTTTAGTTAACAAACCTTGCATTAACCAAAAAAAAATCAATAATCAATAGTGGCACATCGTTCCATATAAGAAAACCAAAGAACGTATGCAAATTTGCCCTCAAGGCCGTTAAACTCTTCAGTCCCAATTTCAAACCTTTTTTTGCGAATTTTATTGAAGTGTAAAATTTAATTTCGTCATTACTACGTAAAATACGCTCGGAAGCAAAAAAAAGCTAGACTGAAAGAAATGGAAAAAAAGTTCTTGCCATTTCTTGATTTGTAAAGAAAGTACTTGCCATTTTCTGTTTTGTAAAGAAAGTTCTTGCCATTTTTTGTTTTGTAAAGAAAGTTCTTGCCATTTTCTGTTTTGTAAAGAAAGTTCTTGCCATTTTTTGTTTTGTAAAGAAAGTTCTTGCCATTTTCTGTTTTGTAAAGAAAGTTCTTGCCATTTTCTGTTTTGTAAAGAAAGTTCTTGCCATTTTTTGTTTTGTAAAGAAAGTTCTTGCCATTTTTCTTCTGTAAAGAAAGTTCTTGCCATTTTTCTTCTGTAAAGAAAGTTCTTGCCATTTTTCTTCTGTAAAGAAAGTTCTTGCCATTTTAAAGCATTTCACAAAACCAACCTTTAATAGGCATGTCCTGCTGCAGCGAATACAACTGGGCGTCCCCCTTCTGATGCGGGTTCGAGCCGTAGCGCAGCGGAATGAAGCGTTCGCCATTGTCGCCGAACTGGCGTCGCATATAACCGCTGATGGATTCGTCGTATGATGACGTGTGCTCGAAGACCTGGAAGTTAAATTTTAAAAGTTTTTTAAAAAAAAATTTAAAAAAAAAAAATTTTTTGAAATTTAGTATTTTAAAAATTAAAAAAATTTTCTTGACTAAAAACGTCATTTTTAACAACTAAAAAACTTAGAAATGTATTTTTTTTTGCAGTTTTAAATCTGAAAAAAAATTTTTTTTGAATTTTTTAAATTCCAAAAAAAAAATTTTAGGCCCTAAAATGGCATATTTTGGCTAAAAAAAAACGCCGTTTTTGGTCTCTTTAACCAAAAAATTTCAAAATTTCCAAAAAATAATTTTTTTAAAAATTTTGAAAATTAAAAAAAAATTATTTAAGTCCAAACCCTATGGCTATTAAAATAAGAAGCCTAAAATGCCATTTTTAATTATATTTAAACATAAAATCTAAAAAATAAAAAAAATTTTTTAAGCCTATAACCTTGATGAAAAACTTAAAAAATTAAAATGCTGAAAAAACCTAAATATGCCATTTTAAAAAACCAATTCGCCCATTCAATTTCATTGGCATTCTGTCCTAAACCACAAAATTAAAAGAAAAATTTGTTTCATTTTTTAAAAATTTTTAATTTTTTTGAAATTTCAGTTTTTAAATGAAAAATCCATGAATTTTCCCCAAAATTCTACCCATTTTTACCCATATTACAGCTTTTGCCACCCTTTTTTTTTAACTAAAAAACATTTAAAAAATCAAGAGAATTTCAAAAAATGACAAAGTTTTTCAAATTTTTACCCACCCTCCCCTTCAAAACCTCAAAATTTGCCCTTAAAAACCAAAACCTTCCTTAATAAAGCCTTATTTTAACTAGGATTTGAGTATATTTTTAGCCTCTCAACATCATTCCGCAAAGAAATTGAAACTCGTCGGGTTTTTGAAGATTTAAATCGAATTAGTTGAAAAAGTTTGAAAAAAGAAGAGTAAATAAAACTTTTTGAGTGACTGGAAACAAAGTTTTTGTCATTTTTCGTTTTGTAAAGAAAATTACTGCCATTGTCTGGCTTGTAAAGAAAGTTCTTGCAATTTTCTGGCTTGTAAAAAAGTTCTTGCCATTTTTTAGTTTGTAAAGAAAGTTCTTGTCATTTCTATGCCTTTCAATCAAAATTTCTGTCATATACTATCCATTAACAAAAATTATGACCCTTTTAAAAAATGGAAGTTGAGTGGAAGATTTTCAGTGCAAAATAAATTACAAATCTTCCACCAAACTTCCACTCCTAAAAAAGCTTAAAACCGTGTTTTTAAGCTATTTTAAGACATTTTAAAAATGGAAATTTAGTGGAAGATTTTTAGTGCAAAATACATTACAAATCTTTCACTCAACTTCCACTTTTAAAAAAAGCCGTAATTTTGTTATAACATGTCATAATATTGAAGTATCTAGTAGAATAGGTCTGGAATACATTCAATTTTAATATGAATTTAAAAAAGTGCAAAAACTTTGTTTACAAGACCAAAAAAGAGCAAAAAACGGCAAAAACTTTCTTTCCAAGGCATGTTTTTGGTTATAAAAGGGCATATTTGGCGCAAAAAACTCAAAAATTTCAAACAAATAAAGCATTTACAGTCTCTGCCATTCCATATCCACTGTTTACATTGCTTTTTACCCCGTTTATGACAATTCTCGTAAAGATGCTGGTCCGCCTGGCCAGCTGACTTTGTATCGTATCCAAGAGTCGTGAGCCAGATCGTGACCTTCGCCTTAGTGGGTCTATTAGGTCTAGTTGGTGCTCCTTGATGGCTTCTTTTCGACCGTTATCGGCGTCTTCTGTCTCAGCGACAGCCCTTCGAAAGCGGGCCATCGACGAGATGCGCGACATGGTTACGGTAGAAGTGGTACCTGTCTTTTAGGTGGAATACTGCAGTACGTATACTGTACTCTAAGTTATTACTGTGCTTTCGAGATCAGTATAAAATGTAGTGAAATAGAAACGCCGAGATACTGTATTGATTACGGTATGTTATGATACGATAGAAGTGATGGTAGCAGTCTTGTAGGTGGGGTACTGTAGCTATGTTTACCGCACTGTTATGGCCAGGAAAGAAGACTTCGTATACAGTAGAAACGCCGAGATACTGTATGGGTTACGGTAGAAAAGGGTGGAATACGGTAGATGAAAGTAGCTTCTTTTAATTTGAGATACTGTAGATTGGTGTACTGTACGATGAAGAAGCTGAGATATTGTAAGGTTTTGAATGGTAAAAGTGGTGAGATACTGTAGGAATATACTGTAGCCTTGAAAATATTATGTTTTGTAGACAGTTAATGTAAAAAACTGTAGTTGAAGCAGTTACAGTGATATTATTGCTTCAAAAGCCGCATTATGTTACAGTAAATTCAATAGTTATCGTCGTCAAACTTCAGATTCTTTGACACTTTGAATTCAAGGTACAGTAAGTAATTCAACCAAACTTCATTGCTTATGCATCCACTCAAAAAACAGAGAGAATAAAGGCATACACAACCGAGTATTAAAGTACATGACAAAACTCGTGACATTAAATGTGTGGAGCGTATCAATAACCATAAGGTATCTTACAAAGAAGGGTAACATTATATTTGATATCAAACTACCTTAATCTTCCCTACTCTACCATACTCTACTTTACCCAACCCTAACCTACCCTACCTTACTCTACCCTACCCTACTATTACATAACCTTGCTCTACCCTTCCCTGCTTTGACCTTGCATGCCCTGTGTCCTGCCGTGTTTTAGCTTACTAGAAGTTACCCTACCGTACCCTACCCGACCCTACCCTACTCTCCCCTACCTTACCCTACCCTACTATAATCTTACTCTACCCTTCCCTGCTTTGACTTTTCATGCATTGCGTCCTGCCGTGCGTTACCTTACTAGACTTTACCCTTCCCAACCCTAACCTGACCCACCCTGCTCTACTCTACCTTATAGTGCCTACCCTACCCGAGAGATCATAAATACTATAAGACCTCGTAGAGTATAGTAAGGTTGCGTAAGGTAGAGCAAGACAAAGTAGAGTATAATAAAAGAGAGTAGGTTATGATAAGTTATATTATATTAAGGTAAGATATTGTAGGCTAGAGTAGAACAGAATAAGGCAACCATAGTAGTAGAGGTAAGGGTAGATATGAAAATAAAGGTAGAACTGCGGGTAAGGAACAAAGTAAGAAGGGAATGTTACGGCTTTTGCAGAGTAAAACTAGGGTAAAATACAGTTACTGTAGAGTAATCTATACATACACTAAATTTCATACAAGCCTAGAGTAATGTAATTCAGAAAAGCAGAGTCAAATCTCCCCCTTACAACCAGTTGCTAACCCCAAAAACCTTAGCCAACCATACCCAAACCGGCACAATATCCGAACACCCCTACCGTAACCCGCGGACAAACAACTCCTTGGATGCCAGCGGCAAAACAAAGAGGAAATCTCATCAAAACGGGATTAAAACAAGAACAAAGCCGCAGGGCGGTTGGCCCAAAACAGACCGTTCCCCCGGCCCAATTTCGCCACATTTCCCGACACAGAGTCACTAAAAAGTCGTTTCAAACCTTCGCAAATGCCCCGAGGTTCCGTACTTTGCCAAGTGTAATATAAGGGACGAGACGACGGGCTTTGGGTTAATCGGTTAAAGAAAAGTTGAAATTTAAAAAATGGGGGTTGATATGAGGGCGAGGGCGCGGTGGTGAAAAGGCAGGGGCTAGGGACTTAGCTGACATTTTGAGAAAGATATACAAAGAGAAGGGGAGGGGGAGGGTAAACGAAGGTGAATCAACACAAGGACGTCGATGATCACTCCCCTCACTGTTTTACCATAACGACACTAAAAACAATTTTCTACCATTCCCTGCAAACAAATTTCATCCCAAAAAGAAGCTTTTTACCCCGCCTGTAACAAAAAAAATACCCCCCCCCCCCTCCTTTGAAAACAAGAATTTTACCATACCCACCCCAAAAACATTTTTTTTACCCTGCCATACCCAAAAAAATTGTTTACCCTGCCTGCAATAAAAAAATATTTTTACCCTCCCCTTCTTAAAACTACTATTTTACCATACCCTCTCCAAAAACAATTTTTTTACCTTTCCCTGCCCAAAAAAACAGTTTTTTTACTTTACCCTAACCCAGAAAATTCCTACCCCACCTCACCTGAAAAATTTTTTTTACCTCTCAATTCAAAAAAAAAAAGTTTTACCATAGCCTGATCTAAAACAATTTTTAACCATGCCCTAACCGAAAAACAGATTTTTACCCTGCCCTTACCGAAAAATATCTTTTTATCCTGCCCTGACTACAAAAAATATTTTTACCCTGCCCTACTCGAAAAACAATTTTTTACCCCGCCCTAACCAAAAAATGAGATAACACTTATATCCATCAATTCCAAAAGAGAGTACAAGAGAAAAAAACTACAAAAAACAACAAACTTCTGCTCATTCCAAAAAGATAGAGCTACTCATTTCGAAGCCTATCAAACCGAGCCGTTGGCCGCCTTTTCCGAACACAGTTCCGAGTTAACAAGGTAAAGAGACAAGTGCACAACGCATAAACAAAATGTATCAAATAGAGGTAAAGTAATTCTAAGCTTACAAAAAGACGTTTTAAAAGCTTTTTTTAATTTAAAAAAATTTTAATTTTTTGGGTCCTACCACGAAAACATGAAACATACAAAAATACCGTTTAAAGTCTTTTTAAAGATAATAAAAAATAGTTTATCAACACTGAAAACGTTTAAAAACGAATTTAGAAGAGAATAGGATACTGTAGGGTCTCACCACGAAAATTCAAAAAACCTTGGCATTCTGTTTCAAGTGGTTATAATGTGATAAAAATAATATTTAAAATAAATTAAGGAATCTTAAAACATATTAAAACAACTTTTTACTTATTTTTGGTCCCACCACGAAAACCTGCAAACTCTTGGCATTCCATTACAACCCCTTAAAATGTCCCGAAAATGCATAAATTCAATAAAAAAGACACCTACAATCAATAACCAAAAAATTTTTGAAAAATTTCAAAAATTGCAAAATTCTTGGTCGCACCACGAAAATACCTAAAATTTTGGCATTCCGTTTCAAGACCTTAAAAACAACCACAACCATGATATCACTTCCAAAACCCAATTCCCAACCGCATAAGAACATTCTTTGAGCAAATTGTACACTTGTACTTCCTCATTTCATACTATTATACTTGGGATTCGACGTTATTTCCAAAGTAACAAAAGGTTCATGGCTCGTTAAACAAAAAGAGCGGAATGTCCATAAATTACCGGGCCCAAATCCACTCGGTGAACATCATTTCACATTTAACAAACGTTTAAGCCAAAAAGTTTTGGAAATGACAACAATTGCTCGTTGAAAATTCAAAAAATTGTAATAACTTTCTTTACAGGATAAGAAATAGCCTCAATGTTTACTACAAGCCAAAAAAGTCCTAACTTTCATTACAAACCAAAAAATGTCAAAAACTTTCTTAACAAACTCAAAAAACGACATTTTAAAAAAGTGGAAGTTAAGTGGAAGATTTGTAATGCATTTTTCACTGAAAATCTTCCATTCAACTTCCACTTTTGAAAAGTCTTAAACTGGCCTAAAAACTCATTTTTGAGCATTTTTGGGCGTAGAAGTCGTATGGAAGATTTTTAGTGCAAAATACATTGAAAATCTTCTACTAAACTTCCACCTCCAAAATGTGTCAAAAACATGTTTTCAGGCCATTTTAAAGCTTTTTAAAAATGGAAGTTCAGTGGAAGATTTTCAATGCAAAATACATTACAAATCTTCCACACAACTTCCACTTTCACAACTTCATGATTTAGCCATAATATGACAATAACTTTGCTTTCACCTCAAAGGACGTTATTAAAAGATCATAAAAAGATGCAAAAACATTGTTTACAGTCAATTTTTAGTCAAAATTTGGTTTTTAAATTTCAAAAATCCAAAAAAAAATTGAAAATTTTTCAAAATTGCCTCATCTCTAATGCTGTCTGTCCAAACAACCAGCCAATAATTTTTGTCTGGTTTTTGTTTTTTAATCTCCATATTACCCACCTTTTTTCGTCGAATTCGTTTTTCGCTCATTTCGAAAGAAAAAAAAACGAATTTAATTCGAAACAATGCCAAAAGTGCAAAAACTTTTGATTAAAATTGTGGAAAGCGTTAAGTGAACAAAAAACAATCCAACTCTGTAAACGAGTACGCTTCGTATGACTTGGAGTTGTTTACTTTGGCTTTATAAGGTCATTATACTTGAATGTTCAAATAATTCTGAGCCCACTCAAAGAATTTTTCAAAATTAGGAGGCTCATAATTATTCGAACAACAAAGGCTCATAATTATTTGAACACGCCCAAGACAGTGATTCGGTTGTTCAATTAATTATGTGCCTCCTTAAAAGTAAGCTTCAAGATTAATTGGCTCATAATTAATTGAACAACCCAACAACTCAAGACAAACATATTATTATGACGAATGAAAAGAAAGTTATTGCCATTTTTTGATTCAAACTAAAAAAATCATGCCATTTTTAACCTATGGTATAAATTTTGGGCAAATTTTATGGTCATAAAAGAAATTGTGACAAACTGGAAGTTGAGTGGAAGATTTTCAATGTAATTTGTACTAAAAAACTTCCACTCAACTTCCATTTTTGAAATGTCCTAAAATAGTTTAAAAACACGTTTTTGACACTTTTTAAAAGTGGAAGATTGGTGGAAGATTTGTAATGTATTTTGCACTGAAAATCTTCCACCAAACTTCCACTTCTAAAAAGTGTCAAAAAGTCATTTTTAGCCCATTTCAAAACATTTTAAAAATGGAAGTTGAGTGGAAGATTTTCAGTGGAAAATACATTACAAATCTTCCACCAATCTTCCATTTTTAAAACTTTTCAATTTTCAGCTTTTAAACCTATCTTTAAGCCCCTGACTACAAATATGACATCAAAAACCACCCCTCAAAGAGCAGAGAACCAACAAAAATGTAATCAAATCCAAAGAGATACCCATAAGTTATGTTCAACTAAGAATAACATAGTAATATATTGTTCAGGGGCGTCGCCAGGAATGCTGCAAATCTGCGCGCAGTCTCTTCATTTCGCCACGTTCTCTCGCCACTCTCTCATTTCTCCGATTTGAGGGGAAATGTCTGTCGTCTCTCCTTTTTCGCACGGGGTCTTCTTTCTCTCTCGCTCAAGTGCAAAAGAGCGAAAAAAGCGCGTCGCGCCTCTCTACCCATGCGAGAAATGAAGAGACTTGCAATGAAAAAACGAAGAGACGCAGACATTTCCCCTCAAATCGGAGAAATGAGAGAGAGGCGAGAGAACGTGGCGAAATGAAGAGACCGCGCGGAGAACTGCAGAATTCGTAGCGACGCCCCTGATATTGTTGTTTAGATTTATGATGGCTTGATATCAAACTTGATTGATAGTTGAGGAGAAAGAATGTATAAAAGGATAGACAATGTTGTGATTTAGATATGGCATGGCTTTTTCATTATTTTGCTTTACTTTTGCCATAGCCATTCATTTTTACTGCTTTGGTGGCGTTTTAGGCCTGTTTTGCGCTAATTTTAGGCCATTTTTAGTTTAAAAATGATCTGTTTCTCTTACAATAAGCTTAATTTAACTTAATTGTTAGTTACAGGGACGTCGCTACGGATTTTCTCTGGGGGGAGGTCGAAAATTTTTTGGTCCACAGGTAGCTAGCTATTTTTTTCGTTTTTCACGTACAGGTACCTACCTTTCGGATTCGGATCGGTACCCCCCCCAAACGACGTCCCTGGTTAGTTAGTTTTAGGAATTTTAATTAATTTTTTTTTCAATATTTCAAACTTTTTAAATTAAAAAATTTTTTATTTTTTTTTAAAGATCCACTTACCTTCAATGCCAGTTTCTCGCGAGTCTCCTTTGACACCTTGCCGTTGTTGCTTTTGAACTGAAATTAAAAAAAGTCATTTTTAAAGAGAAATTTAAATAGAAATAAATAGGATGAACGTATTTTACACAGCCTGTCCCAAAATGCTCCACCCTACCCGCTCTAACCAAAAAATGTGTTTATCTCTGCCAAAAAACAGTTTTATCATGTCCTTCCCAAGAAAAATTTTTTACCCTCCCCCACCCAAAAAAAGATTTTTTTACCCTACCCTGCCCAAAAACAGCTTTTTATCCTCCCCTAACCATAAAAAAACCGTTTTTTTACACTGCCCTTCCTAAACACGATTTTTTACCCTACCATGCCCAAAAGACAGTTTTTTACCCTGCCCTAAACAAAAAAAAACAGGTTTTTTACCCTGCCCTAAATAAAAGCTGTTTTACGCCACCCCCCTTTCTCAAAAAATGTTTTACCCCTTCCCCTACTCAAAAAATTTTTTAACCTCCCATTTAACAAAACATTTTTTACTCCCCCCCCTTAAAATTTTTTAAACTACCCCCCTCCAAAAAATTTTTTTTTGCATTTCTTTTCAAGAAAAAGTCTCTCTACACACCCACTCCCCCACAAAAATATTTTACCCCTCCCCCCTATAATTATTTTCTACCCTACCCTCCACAGAAAGAACCCCTGCCCTCAGTGTTTTGCCCGGACCGGTCCGGAGTGTTTTTCACCGGTCCGGTCCGGCGATTTTTTGGGTCCGGTCCAAACTTCAAATTTTTGGGCCCGGTCCGCAAAAAATTTTTTTTTTATTTTTAAAAAAATCAAGGATCGCTAAAACTGCTTTCTTTTTGCTTAAAAACTTTTAAAAATACATTTTATTTGCAATTTTTAAAACAGTTTTCTTAAAATAAAAAAAAATTTTTCTTCCGGACCGGTCCGGAACTTTTTCTTCGGTCCGGGTCCGCAGGTTTTTGGGTCCGGTCCGCAAAAATTTCTGTTTCGGTCCGTCCGGTCCAGTCCGGACCGGACCCGTCCGCGGACCGGCAAAACACTGCCTGCCCTTTTCAAACACCACTTGCTTATGTGTTTCAACCTCTGCAAATTCGAAGGTTTTGAACCCGTGAACTCTTTCACATAAAGGAGCACGCGTTCGAACACGTTACCGTTCGAATAAATAACATTAAATTTGTTATTTACCCATCCCTTCCATGGTAAAACACTTCGAATTCTATTTACAGTGTGACCACAAACGGGTGAAATCACACCTTTACCCCCTTCACCTTCCCCACTAGACATGAGGAACGGGCCAGGCCTTTATTTCAGGCCCGAACCGTTCCTCATGTCTACTCCCCACCCCCTAGCGAATAATTTGACCTCACGCTGCTTGAAGAGAAGTCGTATTATTCAAATTTAACCGAATTTTTTAAAAATTTACGACTATTTAAAAACAAATCCCTATTTTTTAAGACAAACGAGGCTTAGATGAGTGTAATTTATTATTATTTTTTAATTTTTAGTCATTTTTCAGCCGTAATTTGTCATAAAATTAATTGCCTTGAGGCCTAAATTTCATTTTTTAAAAACTTTTTTCAAAATTTTAGTAAAATTGTACCACATATGATCAGTAAATGACCATAAACGAGTACAGTCACTGTACTACAGTGGAACCCCTATATAACAAATCGCTCGGACGTTTTAATTTTTGATATAAGAAGTTCGCTATAAAGAAACTCGTTATACAAAAGTTTTAGTGTACTTTACATGGCTTTCTCCGCAACACTTTACCCTACGCCGTTCCAACCAAAAAAATGCTTTTACCACTGCTCTTAAAACACTGTTTTAACATACCCTACCCAAATACTTTTTTACCCGACCCTACCCAAAGAAAAAAAAAGTTTTTTATTTTGCCCTAAACAAAAAAAAATTTTTTTTAACCCGCCCTAACAAAACATATTTTACTCCTCAATCTTCAAAAATTCTTTTTCCTTCCTTTACAACACCCCATTCCCCCCCCCCTTCTTACCACCAAAAAAAAGATTTTACCCCTCCCACTAAAATTAATTCTTTGAAAACTTCTATATAACAAAACTCCTCTATAACAAAACAAATTTTCAATCCCCGAGTGACTCGTTATACAGGACTCTTCCTTATGTTTATCATGTCATACAATAGCCAATTTAAAAAATATTTTAATTTTTAAAAAATTCAAAAAAAAATTTTAATGCCTAAAATCTCAAGAAAAAGTGAACCAAACTTCCAGAACGGCTCAAATTTTGCAGGTTCGGCTCAAAAACGGCGCAAAAACGTGAAATTTTTGTTGTTGGGCCGAACACGCCCGTCCCTCCCGGGGGAGCCGTTTCCTCGTCGACTGACTTTTGTTTTGATTGTAAATTTACTTATCAAAGATCTACACGTCTTTTTGTCTACATATATGACATTTTTGCGTGTATAAAAAAACTACGTGGCTTTTAGCTTGATATTATGTTATCCATGACCAACAACAATGTAAAGTGATGTTAAAGTAAGATTTTCGTGGGTTTGACAAAACAAAATGCTACAAATGGTAAACAATGTCATATTCTTCCTATATGTAAGTTTGTTTTGACATGTTTTAGCTACAAACCATAGTTTTGACTAAAAACATGTTTGATCGTATAACATGTCCCTTTTTGGTATAACTGGTCCGTTTCCCTAATTTTGTTCAAAAATCCTTCAAATCTGACCTTAACTTACACTCACAAACCTTAACAAACCAACATTTCCACAAATTTTAATCCCAAACAATCAAAATCCACCTTCAGCTACATCAATATAATATTAATCTTACCTCTTCGATGAATTTGCCATAATCAGCTGGATCCGTGAGCACGGTAACACGTTCATGGTTCTTACCAGCAGCTCTCAACAACGTCACACCACCAATATCAATGTTCTCGATGGCGTCGGCCAACGTGCAATTCTCCTTTTTGATTGTGGCATCGAATGGGTATAGGTTGCATACAACAACTTGGCAATAGTTAAAGTTATTGGCCTGAAAGTTGCAAAAGGTTAACTTTATTTCATAGATAACATCTTAAGCTATCTAACAACCTAAATTTGACATATTAAACATTATAAAATGGCATAAAAATGACATTTTTTTTCAAAAAAACCAAAAATTTGATACCTAAAAAATTTCAAATTAATATAACTAAAAAACTGCTGAACCAATCAGAACAAAATTTTGGCACAATACATGCTAGTATAAGTACTATCAAAGTGAACTCACTTTCAGATCAGCAACATCGCTAGCCGTGTCCCGGGCCAGGATTCCGGCATGAACAGCGGGATGAAGGGTTTTGACGCGTCCGCCAAGCATTTCATTGAATTTCGTGATGTCCGACACATCTCTGAAATTAGAATTTGATGTAAAAAGATTTAGAAGATATTAGAGAATAAAATAGTTAATAACTAATCTTTTTATTAACTCGTATTTTACGTAAAACCAAGCGATAACTTTGAAAAAACCTCAAAAATATGGAAAAAATCAGACATCATCTCAGTCTTTTAAATTTTTCACCTCGTTAAAAGACAGCCCATGCCCAAATTATATATCAAATAAAAGCCAAGATTCCATTCTCAAAACATCTTATAAATGTATTTGTTTTCGGCCTCGTATTTTACCTAAAATCAAGAGAAAAAAACGTGAAAAAACCAAAAATTCCGAAAAAATCGAATCTCCCCCGAATATTTTTAATTTCTCGCCCCTTCAAAGAATCAGCCCATGCCTAAATTATACATCAAATCAAAGCCAAGAATCTACACTATCAATATCAAAGGAAATCAACAAAAACTTACTTTACATCCAAGCCATTGTCTCTCAAAAGCTTGGCGGTACCTCCAGAGGCGACGAGTTGAAGGTTGGCTTCTTGAAGCACTGTGGCCAATTCAACTAGGCATGTTTTGTCGGATACTGATAAAAGGGCTGAAAATATTTATATTATCCACTTTTTTTCAAAAATTTTTTTTAAATTTAAAAAAACGCCCAAAATTTCAACCCCAAAATTACCCGCCAAAACCAAAAATCTATAAAATACGTCATAACTTACCGAATTCCTTGTCGCACATAGTTGTAAATTCAAAAACTTAAGCTTGAACACCTGAAAATATGAACTTTAGCAAAAATTCCCGATAAAAATATCTAAAAGTTCGAAAAAACGAGCGCCAAAGTTTAGATAACAAAAATGTGTTGAGTTGATTGAAAAACAAGATTACTACCCAAAAAGACTACCTTGGAAGACAAAACAAAAATATTTTAAACAGTACAAGTATAAAAAGTAGCTTGCGACACTCAATAACAGCAATTTTAAAAGTGGAAGTTAAATGGAAGATTTGTAATGTATTTTGCACTGAAAACCTTCCACTCAACTTTTATTTTTAAAATGTCTTAAAATATCCTAAAAACACGTTTTTGACACTTTTTAAGAGTGGAAATTAAGTGGAAGATTTGTAATGTATTTTGCATTGAAAATCTTCCACCAAACTTCCATCTACAAATGCCAAAAAAGCGCATTTTTAAGCCATTTTAAGAATTTTTAAAAATGGAAGTTAAGCGGAAGATTTTCAGTGCAAAATACATTACAAATCTTCTACTGATCTTCCATTTTTTCAAAAGTAAAAAATAGCCTCCCAAACATAAAAAATCTAAGAACTTGATCACAACCCTCTAAAAATTCATTTTACACTATTTAAAACCGAGTGCAAGTTGCAAAAATAAATTTTGGAGACATTACAACAACTTTCTTTACAGCTCGCTGTAATGTGAAAGAACTGACGTTCTTTTTCACAAGATTTTATCAAAACGCAACTTTTAAGTTTGAAAAAGTGAGAAAATACCTTTGTGAAGGCATTTTGTCAACGACAAATGGGGTTTTTGTCTCAAAAGGGCAAAAAATCTGATAAGAAATTATAAAATGACTAGGATAAGGTAAGGTGCTACAGATCTATTGTACTTTACCCTACCCTACCTTACCTTACCTTACTTTACCCTACCCTACCCTACCCTACCCTACCCTACCCTACCCTACCCTACCCTACCTTACCCTACCCTACCCTACCCTACCCTACCCTACCCTACCCTACCCTACCATACCCTACCCTACCCTACTCTACTCTGCCTTGCCCTACCCTGCATGGCTTTATCCTTCCCATGCCCTAGCTTACCCTACCCTGTTCAACACTACAGTAGCCAAACATAAACTTACAGTACCCTACCGGCCTTTTTCCTACCCCAACCTATAGACTTACTTTACCCAGCCTTACCGTAACCCTACTCTACTATGATGCTACTCTACCCGGGCCTAAGCCTACATTACCGTTACCTTAAACCTCCCCTTTCCTTTCATACTGCCTTGAATCTGTTTTGCCCTACCTTACAGTGCCATGCCCTACCCTACTGTATCTTATTCTACCCTACCCTTTCCTACTCCACCCTGGATTACCCTATCCTACATTAATCTACCTTACCCTGAAATACTAAAAGATAGCAAAAAACGACAAACCAACCCATCAAGCCCCCCTATATTACAATACATAAAATAACCCTGACAAGTCCAAATAACCACCAGCGACACCCAAATTCATCGCTTTATTTATCTAGAGCGATCTCTACATTGACATTCTTTTTGATGTAAGATGTGAGAAAAATGATCAAAGATTGATAGACAACCTTTAAAACCCACGTGATTTTCGTATCAAACATAAATCTCAAAAAATTACGCAAGAATAAAAACTGTTTGGGGTCAAAAAAATGAGTTACAAAATGTGCAAGTTGAGTGGAACATTTTTAATGTATTTTGCACTAAAAATCTTCCACCAAACTTCCATTTTTAAAAAGTCTTAGAATAGCCTAAAAATGACTTTTTGACACTTTTTAGAAGTGGAAGTTAGGTGGAAGATTTTCAATGTATTTTGCACTAAAAATCTCCCACCGAACTTCCAACTCTAAAAGTGTTAAAAATGAATTTTTAAGCAATTTTAAGACATTTTAAAAATGGAAGTTGAGTGGAAGATTTTCAGTGCAAATTACATTAAAAATCTTCCACTAAACTTCTACTTTTTTAAAACTTTCAAAGCTGCTTAAAGATCAAAAATAACTTTAAAAAACTTCAAAAGTTCAAAAAAAATTTTTAAATTTCTGAAACTTCATTCACTTCAAAAAACTTTTATTAGCTATTCATTTCGTCTACCGACCGGTCGGACCAGTAAAATGGTGTCTATTGCGTATTCTAAACTACTATTATTCGTACTCTTCGGCTTCGGATTTCTTGGCCAAACATTAGGACTACCAGCACCATGTGTACCAGCTTTTCAAGCGAATGCCAGCGCTAATGAAACAGAAGCCTACTTGGCCTGTAATGTCAATGAATTTTGGTTGAAACGACCGAAAGAAATCAAAGAATTCGTTTTTATTTTAGATGGGGATCAGAAGTGCCCTACGTAAGTTACTGTAGCTTGAAAATTTGATATTTGGGGTGGTATGGTAGGGTAAGGTAGAGAAATGGGTAGAGTAAGGTAGCCTAATAAGCATATCATTTCAGAAAAGACTTTGAATTTGAAGTTTCCCTCGGAAAAGAACACTTGTTGACCATGAGACGGATGGACAAGGATACTTGGATCATACAGAATCGTAAGTCATCACTATTCTACTCTATACTGCCTTACCCTACCATACCCAACTCTACTCTACCCTACATTACCCTACCCTACCCTACCCTACCCAACCCTACCCTACCCTATAACCCTACCCTACCCTACCCTACCCTACTCTACTCTGCCTTGCCCTACCCTGCATGGCTTTATCCTTCCCATGCCCTAGCTTACCCTACCCTGTTCAACACTACAGTAGCCAAACATAAACTTACAGTACCCTACCGGCCTTTTTCCTACCCCAACCTATAGACTTACTTTACCCAGCCTTACCGTAACCCTACTCTACTATGATGCTACTCTACCCGGGCCTAAGCCTACATTACCGTTACCTTAAACCTCCCCTTTCCTTTCATACTGCCTTGAATCTGTTTTGCCCTACCTTACAGTGCCATGCCCTACCCTACTGTATCTTATTCTACCCTACCCTTTCCTACTCCACCCTGGATTACCCTATCCTACATTAATCTACCTTACCCTGAAATACTAAAAGATAGCAAAAAACGACAAACCAACCCATCAAGCCCCCCCCTATATTACAATACATAAAATAACCCTGACAAGTCCAAATAACCACCAGCGACACCCAAATTCATCGCTTTATTTATCTAGAGCGATCTCTACATTGACATTCTTTTTGATGTAAGATGTGAGAAAAATGATCAAAGATTGATAGACAACCTTTAAAACCCACGTGATTTTCGTATCAAACATAAATCTCAAAAAATTACGCAAGAATAAAAACTGTTTGGGGTCAAAAAAATGAGTTACAAAATGTGCAAGTTGAGTGGAACATTTTTAATGTATTTTGCACTAAAAATCTTCCACCAAACTTCCATTTTTTAAAAAGTCTTAGAATAGCCTAAAAATGACTTTTTGACACTTTTTAGAAGTGGAAGTTAGGTGGAAGATTTTCAATGTATTTTGCACTAAAAATCTCCCACCGAACTTCCAACTCTAAAAGTGTTAAAAATGAATTTTTAAGCAATTTTAAGACATTTTAAAAATGGAAGTTGAGTGGAAGATTTTCAGTGCAAATTACATTAAAAATCTTCCACTAAACTTCTACTTTTTTAAAACTTTCAAAGCTGCTTAAAGATCAAAAATAACTTTAAAAAACTTCAAAAGTTCAAAAAAAATTTTTAAATTTCTGAAACTTCATTCACTTCAAAAAACTTTTATTAGCTATTCATTTCGTCTACCGACCGGTCGGACCAGTAAAATGGTGTCTATTGCGTATTCTAAACTACTATTATTCGTACTCTTCGGCTTCTACCCTGCATGGCTTTATCCTTCCCATGCCCAATACAATACCTTACCTTAAACACCCTCCCCCCCCCCACTTTGACTTGAATTACCTTGCTTTACTCTACCCCACTTTAACCTGACCTACCCTACCCTGCTACAGCCCTACCCAAGCATGATCTTACAGTACCATACCCTACCCAACCTGCATTCTATTATATAACTTTACTTATACCGTGTCCTACCGTAACCTTGTGCCAGTATGTTTCTAGCCATCCCAAGCTTACAGTATCTATTACAATTGTCCTACTCTACTCTTAACGTACCCTACTTTACTTTTCCCTGCCTTGCCCTACTTTACTCTATATTACCATAGTTAGCCGTACAATATTCTTGCAATGCCACCTAATACCACACCCATTTCCAGACGTAGTAGAGACCCAAATAGCGAAACTTCAAACGAAAGAGATGACCCATTTTGATATTGGCTTCTCTATAACCGAGACAGATGTCATCGTAATAACGGACCAGAATCTCACTCTCAAGCATGGCCTTCTGAATCCGATTCGAAAGCTGAAGGCTCAGTTTTACATCACTATCGTGCACTCGGATTGCGATGTTAAGGTCAAGGTGGTAAGTACTGTAACTGGGGTTACTGTAACTTAACTTGGGTTACTGTAACTTAATTAGGCTTACTGTTACTTAACTATTCTTACTGTAACCTAATTTGGGTTACTGTAACATAGCTAGGCTTATAGTAAATTGGCTTGAGTTACTGTAACTTAATTAGGCTTACTGTACTTTAACTGAAGTTACTGTAAATTAATTTGAGTTACTGTAACTTGGCTTGGGTTACTGTAACTTAACTAAAATTACTGTAAGTTAGCTTGGGTTACGATAATTTAACTGGGTTTAATCTAACTTAATTAGAGTTACTGTAAATTAACTATGCTTATTGTTACTTAACTGGGCTTTCTGTAATTTAATTGGAATTATTGTAAGTCATCTAGAATTACTGTAACTTAATTGGGTTTACTGTAACTTCTTTTTCAGGGTTTCAATTTTTGATACTGTAGAGTACTATAGACCTTTTATCTAGTACTGTAACATAAATTTCAAAATTTCATACTGTAACCTACTGTAACACACACATTTCAGCCCACCCCTCATCAGATTTTGCCCTCAAGCCAAACGGATATGGTAAGGGTGTACTGTGGGCTGGGAATGGTAGTGATTGTGGCAGTCGGTTGCCTGATCGCTTTCTCAATGATTGGCAACTACATATTAGAACGAGAACTGTCAGTGACACCATCGATGAGCCTGTCTGAAGAAGGTCAGATAGAAAATGGCAGTGAATACGAAAAGAGCTCTAGACGAAGCCAAAAGAGTACCAAAGGCACCAGGAGACACAGAAAGCGTACCAAAGGCTCCAAGAGTGCTAAAAGCTCAGTCAGATCAGATAGAGAGTCCCAAATATCGGCCAACAGTACCAGAAGCCCAAAAGAGTCCAACATCGGAAGTGGTGCCATTAGCTCCACAACCTAAGATACGACCGGTCCATAATTCAAAGCTTAATGGGAAAATAATTGAGAAACCTTTTTTGTAATATACTGTAACTTTTATTAAATTTTGAGCTTAAATAAAGTCTTTGTAAGCATTTTTTGTTCATTTGGTACAATATAGTACCGTACTAGACAGTACTATAAATAAAAATCAAAATTTTTAAAAAATCTTTTTAAGATGCCATTATTTATTGACGCAATATTAAAATTTTCAATTTTTCGATATATGTTACCTAGATAGTACTGTACTAAACAGTACTGCGTGCAAAAATTAAAATTCTCAAAAATTTTTAAATTTTTTTAAAAATATGCCAAAACTTATCATCAAAAAATCTAAAAAATCATTTTTTAAACCTTAAAATTTCTAAAATATATCCAAACCCCTCAGGCAATATTTAAAAATGAATAGAAAAGTCAAAGACAAAGTGTGGCGAGATGTGGTCTAAGACGCTGGTTTAAGGCACGAGTCTTTTCGGAGGCGTGGGTTCGAATCCCTCGTCAGATTTATTTTTTGGGGTTTTGGGTATAAAAAATGATAAAATTGGGTAAATTATAATTCCTTGAAAATTTAAAAAATTAAATTTTTAACCTAAAAATTCAACTTTTCAACCAATTTTTTAAAATTTTTGAAAAAAACGGATTTTTATTTTTTGAATAAATTAAAATAATGAACCCAACACTCAATACAAATAGTACGATTTTAAAAAAACCATTCCAAAAAAAGCTCAAACATTTATTTTTCCGAAACAACAACAACACTTACAGTATACCAAAAAAAGTTACCGTACGCTTACAAGTGCACCAAATCTCTCAACTTTTGGACGAAACCGCGTGGCTTGGGCGAGGTTGGCTTGTGATGTGGATGGCCGGTGGGGTGGGAGCCGGCGTGGCGTGGGTGACGTGGGTGGCCGGTGGGGCGAGAGCCGTGGGGTGGATGAGAGAAGCCGGCGCCACGTGGTGGGCGTGGATGACGGGTAGGGTGGGTGCCGGAGTGGTGGTGGGCTTCCATCACGGCCACGATCAGAGCTACACATAGAGCGACGGCAACGACTTTCATGGTTAACCAACAACGAAGTGGATATGATACTAGGAAAGGGTTTGGGCTTATATAGCTTAATTTTAAAATCAAATTTTTAATGTTAATAAAAAAAATGTGACACGTTTTGATATGCAAATACTAGAAATCTTTTTTTCGAGTCTCAAGCTAAAAGTCTAGGCGGCCAAAGGCCAAACAGTAGTTTCGATTTGCTTGCTCACTATATTGCATCACTCTTTCACATGCCTTTACCACCGTTTTCTGGTCTCAAACTATGATCATACCACTGCCATTGTTTAATGTGTTAGTTAAACAGTCAATTATGATCATAAACTTGATGACAAGCAAACATAACATCCAATAAACCATGGGCTGAGCCAGGTGTGCAAGCAAATCGGTCGGAAACAACAGAATCGACCCTCATCAAACAGTGTCCACGTATGTACACACCCCTAATTTTCATTTAAAAAATTTTTTTGATCCCTAACTAGACTATATAAGCCCAACCCTCCTTCAAGTATCATATCCACTTCGTTGTTGGTTAACCATGAAATTCGTTGCCGTCGCTCTCTGTGTAGCCCTGATCGTGGCCGTGTTGGAAGCCCACCACCACTCCGGCACCCACCCCACCCATCATCCACGTCACGCCCGTGGTGCCGGCTTCTCCCATCCACCACACCACCACTCCGGCACCCACCCAACTGGCCACCCACGCCCACCACGTGGCGCCGGCTTCTCTCATCCACCCCACGGCTCTCGCCCTACCGGCCACCCACGTCACCCACGTCACGCCGGCTCTCACCCCACCGGCCATCCACACCACAAGCCAACCTCGCCAAAGCCACGCGGTTTCGTCCAAAAGTTGAGAGATTTGGTGCACTTGTAAGCGTACGGTAACTTTTTTTGGTATACTGTAAGTGTTGTTGTTGTTTCGGAAAATAAATGTTTAAGCTTTTTTTGGAAGGTATTTGTAGTTCATATAAAAAAGTATCAAAGTTTTTATTTAAAAACCAGCTTTTTCAAAAATTTTAAAAAATCATTTGAAAAGTTGAATTTTAGGTATAAAATTAAATTTTTAAAAATTTCAGCTATTTTTAAATTTTCAAAAACTAAAATTCAATCGATTTCACCAGTTTTTACACCTAAAAAGCCCAAAAACAGATCTGACGAGAGTGGGATTCGAACCCACGCCTCCGAAGAGACTGGTGCCTTAAACCAGCGCCTTAGACCACTCGGCCATCTCGCCACATGTTTTCTTTTTCTTTTCAATTGATTTTTAAATATTCCCTGGAGAGTTTTTGATTTTTTAAAATGATTTCTAAACTTTAAAAAAATTTTGAAGTTTTGGTCAAGTGATGTTTAATTTATTTAACAAAAACGATCAATATTTAACAAAATGCCATGGTGAATATCACTGGCAAGGTCTGGGCTGTCTGTGTTCAAAATTGCACATTTCCCATACGTTTCTCATATCTTTAAAGTATTCGGAATCTTTTGGTCTTACATCTAACTTTTCACCAGCAACATTTGTTATTGGGTGAACGTGCTGATGCTTTCTAGAATTTCAATTTTTTAAAATTTTAAATCAATTTTACTGCAGGAAAAAGGAAAGAATAATGGCTAGTATGTTTACTATAGGATAGTCAGAGTCTTAAATATATAATGTAAAAGTACCCACCCAAAAATGCAGCGAATACCCTCGCTATGGTAAATGTAAAGTAACATAGCGCTCTCCACTAATCCATATCCAGTATCAACAATTTGCGTTATCGTATAAGCGGCTTGGTACATGCAGCTAAATATCATAATAAACTGTTTTCTACTTCACAGCGCATTAAAAATGGCAAGAAAAAAGAATTTTTGTCAAAGGGCATGGCAAAAAAATTGCTTTGAACTTACAGCGGACCAAAATGTTCGAGAACCAAAAATATTAAAATGTTCGAAAATGCCAGGCGTAATGACACAATAATGCCACATTTGCACAAAATTCGAGAACTTCGATAGTGGCAACTTATCTAGAAAGTTTTAACGTCATTATGAAAAAAATTTTTTTTTTGAAAAAATGTTGAACTTGGTCCCCCTGTTGATTTTTCAAAAAAGTTAAAATTTCAAAAATATTTTGACAGTCCCCCTATGTCACCACAGCTCAGTAAAGAAACTTGTTGTAGGATGAAACGGAAGAATTTTTTTTTAACAAAGGGTCTTGTGACATACAAAAAAAATTTTTTTTTAATTTGAACATGGTCCCCCCCCCCTGTTAATTTTTCAAAAAATCGAAAAAATAAAAAAAAATTTTTTTTTGATTTTAAGCAACTTTTGTAGCCTTAAAGGCATGTGTTTTTAACAATCCATCTTTTTGTCCCAGCACAAAAAATTGTTATAAAAAAATTTTTCGATTTTTTTTGAAAAAAAAATTCAACGTGGTCCCCCCCTGTTGATTTTTTAAAAAACTTTTTTTTTCAAAAACAAGTTTTTTTGTTATAATCATATCAAAATACATAGTTTACCAATGCAAACACACCCACCTCAGTTTTCTTGTCCAACTGACCAAAAAACTTGAACTTATTTGACCAAGTAGGTTCTTCATGCCATAGCGACTAATCGCCACGCCCATAACACTAATGACCATATGAAAGAAGAATACCACTTTTACTTCGATTAAGCCCAAGATAATACCAAAATAGGTGCTAAAAAAGCTTGTCATCCAAATTGAGCACACAGCCGAGGCTACTATAACATATCTTATACTTGGGAATTTGTTACTCAGTAAAACGCCAATTGAAATGTAAAACCCACTGTAAAAGTGGGTTTGCATAAAAAAGTCATGCCCAAGTCTGGCATATGAATCTGAAAAGACTTTAAACAAGGGTGTAGTCATGATATCGTTGTATTTGTACAGTATGCCCAAGGGCATGAAATATAAAGTGGCAGTGAATTGGTTGATGAACAATATCTTGGTGGCTGAGTTGACTATCTGGCACTTGAGCAAAGCTAATATGAATGAGGTGTTGAGTAGAAGGGTTACGGTCACTACGCAGGCTTCGAGGTACAGTAGGAAAAGATTGTAGGGTTGGGGAACGAAATTTTCCTTAAAGAGATGCATGTCGCATTTTGGCAGTGGTAGGGTAGAGTTGGACATTCTTAAACACTTGAAATAGATTTTTAGGCTTAAAACGAAAAGGTAAAGCGCAGAAAGGTATTTTAGGGTAGGAGAACGTAGGGTAAGATGGGGTAAGGTATCGTACCGTATGGTACTGTAAGGTAAAGAAAAGTAGGGCGTTTTAAAGCAAGGAAAATTAGAATATCGTAGGGTAAAGTAAGATACCGTTACGGTAAAAATAGTAAGGATGGAGTAAGGTAGGGGTAAGGAAGGGTACTGTAAGGTAGGAGAAGATAAATTAAGGTAAAGACGTAGAGGGTAAATCATTGTAGGGTAAAAGAACGTGGGGTGAGACAGGATAGGGCATCGGGTATGGTAATTAAGGATAGAGTAAAGTAGGGTACTGTAGAGTAAGGAAAGAGAATAAAGTAAGATAAACAATTAGAGAAAAATACTGTAGAATTACAGTAAGACTACGGTAAATATAGTCAGGGTAGAGTAGAATAGGATACTGTAGGGCAAAGAAAAGTAGGGTATAGTAAGGTACGGTAAGATACGGTAAATAATAAAGTTAGAATAGGACAAAGGTAAAGAAGAGTACTGTAAAGTATGAGAAGGTAAAGTAGGGTAAAAACCATATACCTATTATCAGGGCAGGGTAAAGCAATATACGGTAACAAACGCTACCTTATCATCGGATACATTAAGTTATAGTAGGTTAGAGATACTGGAGGCTATGGTTTTGCTACGGAAGGGTAGAGTAGGGCAATGCAACTTAAACCTTGGAAGTTATGATTTTTCAAATTCTAGAACTAATATGATGACATTACACTTCCAAAAACTAAATTTTTTGCCAAATTTTTGCAAATTAGGTAACAACTAAGCGAATGACAAAAACCAAATTCCACTTGAGTAGAAAGCAAAAACCGAGCCATAAGAACGTCTTCGGCCCCGATAACACTTGAAGAGTGTTGTAAACCGACTACGATTCGAATTTGAATAAATGCTACAAACCGCGAGAACGCTACGATTCTATTTTCTTTTCGTATTATCGCTACAATTCGCGGCGCAGTAACAGTGGCACAATATGAAGCGGGTACAGGTTTGTATATGTTGTTATGGTCACAAAGGAATTGTCAGAAAGACGAGTATCATCATTAGAAGGGTTGTGAAACTAAGCTAAAAGTACGTCCAAAAGAACAGACACACGTTACTGTGCGGGTGCTAAATTTGTTTACAGGCTGTGGTTTTACTTTCTTATGCTTGGCTGCAGGGGCGTCGCTACGGATTTTTTTCTGGGTGGAGGGGAGGGAGGGGAAGGAGGTAGTGAAAACCCAAAAAATTTTTTTGGAACTTTAGCAAAACTATGGATAGACATGAGCAACGGGCCGGGCCCTACCTTCGGGCCGGGCCGGGCCTGAGCAAAATCGAAAACGGGCCGGGCTTGAAAATTGGGCCCGGGCCCAAAAAAAAAATTTTTAAATTTTTTAAAATTTTTTATTTTACTTCCCGTTTATGTTTTTTGGTTTTATTGGATTCTATGATCCATAAATAACCTAAAAAAACAATTTAAAGCCAAATTTCCGTTTAGTTTTTAAGTTTTAAAATTTTTTAAAACGGGCCAGGCCGGGCCTAAAAATTTTCTGATCGGGCCGGGCCGGGCCTGACCAAAATCAAAAACGGGCCGGGCCTAAAAGTTAGGCCCGGCCCGGCCCGTTGCTCATGTCTAACTATGGACCAACTATTCAAAAAAAATTTTTCAATTTGCGTTTTAGTACCATCTACTACTAAAATAAGAGTACTAACCAGGAAAGTACCCAACCAGCCCCACTCAGAATCAGCTAAAAATTTTTATATGAATTTTTGTACCACCAATAGCCCCCTTACAAAGGTTTAGCTCGCGGTATTGAGTTTTAAAATTTAAATTTTTGAGTTTCCCGCCAATTTTGGCAAAACTTGACATTGTGTTTCAAGCACTTTTTTCAACTTTCCTGACAAGCTACACTTACAAACTTAAAAATGTAGTTTCATTTAAAGATTTTCTGCTAGTATATCAAAGAAAAATCATTAACAGTCAAAAACTGACGAAGTTATAAGCTTGAAGCACAATGCCAATTTGGCGATAAATTCAAAACGTAATTTTTTTAAATTTTTTAAACCTCATGTATATTTACAAGGTCCAAAAATGTCCAACACTACCCTACCGTTACCTGAATGCAACCTTCACCACATGATAGACAATCTTGATATCCACCCCCACAACGTTGTGCTACTGTTCCTTGAAATCATCGTAATAACCGCAACTCTACTACTGAGCACTCTATTTCTAATAGCTTTGACCAGAAGTCAGTTGGTCAATTCAGCTACCAAGATATTATTCATCAACCAATACCTCGCTACCGTAACCTTTATGCCATTACGTTTACTCTACACATACGACGATGTTATGACAACAACGTCGACAAGATTACTCACAGGTGGCGATAGACTACACGTACAAATAGTTTATTATGTAGCGCTTCAAACTCACTATTACAGCATATTTTATATGTCAATTGCCATTTTACTAGTCAAAAAGTACTCAAAGATACGATATATAGTACTAGCCACGGCAGTATGTGCCATTTGGAGTACAAGCTTTTTGAGCGTTTATTTTGGCATTGTGGTACCATTAATCCCGACAATGCTTGGATTTACTGTGTTTATAGTTACCAGTGTTTTTGGCGTGGCAATTAGTCGCTATGGCATGAGGACCTACTTGGCCAACTACAAGTTCAAGCATATTGGTCAGTTGGACAAGAAAACTGAGGTGAGTGTGTTGGGCATGGTAAAATACAAAATTCAAAATTTTACCTTTTTTCAAAAAAATTTTTTTTTAAAATTATTTTAAAAAATCAACAAGACCACATTCAACTTTTTTCAAGAAATTAAAAAATTTTGAAAAAAAAATTTTGAGTGTAGGAAAAAAATGTCAAAAATACACGCCTTCAAGACCACAAAAATTATTTTTAACTAAAAAAATAAAAATGTTTTTTTGTTTTTCGAAAAATCAACGGGGGGGGGGGCACGTCCAACCTTAAAAAGAAATTTTTTTACGCAATGTCCATTTTTTAAAATCAGTCAAATTACAAGTCATTACCACTATTACAATTTATTACTTTTAGCCCTAACAAAAACTCTCAAAAAAATTTTTTTGGCCTAGTCTTGACACCACAGGGAAGACCACGTTCAACTTTTTTTCAAAAAATTTTTTACGTCGATTTGAAACAGTATTGGTGGCTTTAATAGAGTAGCCTCAAAGTTGTATCCTATATTTCAGATAAGTTGTCACTTTCGAAGTTCTCGAATTTTATGCAAATGTGGCACGATTTTGTCAGTTCGCATCGCCTTTTCAACTGTTGTGGTTTTTTCAATTATAACATATTTTAGCCCTCGGTACGTTTTTTAGACCATTTATGACATTTAAAAATAATTGTAAATTCATTTTTAGATGCATGTACCAAACGTCATTTACCTTAACCCAGCTTAACAATACTATATTTGAGTTACTAGAGGCAGTTATGATAGTCTACATTTACTTTACCGAAGATATTCAATTGAGGTGTGTAGGCAAGACAACTTCTACCCTACCCTGCTCTATTCTACTCTACTTTACCCTACCTGCCCTACCCTACCCTAATCTACCCACTGACCCCTATCACCACCATACCCATATATTTTCCTTTCCGTACGGCAGGATAACCTAATCCTACCACCACCCTCAAAATTTTTAAATTTTAAAATTCAGAAAGCACCAGCACGTCCATCCAATAACAAACGTTTTTGGAGAAGCGCTAGACGTACGACAAACCGATTCGGAATACTTTAGAGCCATGAACAGCCGGTGGGATCGATATCAATTTGATAACAAACAGCCACGCCCTTATCGTTGACATTAACCATGACATTTTATTAAATATTGATTTCTTGTTAACTAAATTAATATGACTTAATTAAAGTTATGTTAAGTATAACTCGACTAAAAACTCAAAAAATCATTTTTCAAGTTTAAAAAATATTAAAATAGATCAGAAACCCCTCAGGTAATATTTAAAAATCAATTGAAAAGAAAAAGAAAACATGTGGCGAGATGGCCGAGTGGTCTAAGGCGCTGGTTTAAGGCACCAGTCTCTCCGGAGGCGTGGGTTCGAATCCCACTCTGGTCAGATTCATTTTTTGGGCTTTTTAGGTATATAAAAAGTGGCAACATCAGTTAAATTTAAAATGTTTAAAATTTTAAAATGCCAAAAATGTTTTAAAAAATAAAATTTTATACCTAAAATCCAACTTTTTTTGATTATAGAACCAAGGTGGCCACTTTAGAGCCATTTTGACCACTTTTAGAGTCATTTTAGTCACTTTCAAAGTCAGTTAGGTTACCTTTAGAACCATTTTATACCTTTTTAGAACCATTCTTGCCGCTTTTAGAGCCTTTTTATCCACTTTCAGTACCATCGTGTTCACTTTTCGAGCCATTTGAGCCACTTCTAGAGCAATTTTGGCATCTTTTAGAGCCCTTCTTACCCCTTTAAAAGCCATTTTTACCCCTTTAAGACCCGTTTTGGCCACTTTTAAGGCCATTTTCGACCAATTCTACCGCTGTCACTTATCATCGTTTTAGCTTTTTTCAAATTTCTAAAACCGCAATAACTTTCTTTCCATTCTTTCCAATAAGATATGTTTATTTGGAGTTTGAAGAACTATAGAATTTACAATTTGAATAAAAATTTGCAGTAAAAAAGTTGCTTCAGTAAGATCATTTCAATTACATTAAGCTGACAAAAAAGACTGTTTTAGCTTTGATTTTCTCAAAAGTTCTCGGACTTTTTTCATTTTTTTATAAGCCATTTTATAATTTCATGTTTTCGTGGTGGGACCGGCATTTACATGTCTAGACCCTAGTGTTAGGTTGTTCAAATTATTCTGCGCCCCATCTCAAATCATGTCTTCCAAGCTAAGGGCACAGAATTATTTGAAGAACCTAATATGACAAAAGATGCCAAAAAGAGTAGTTTTAGGTATAAAGATCACTATTGCCTAGTCCGAGAACTTTTGCAAATAGCCTTTAATAAACTTTGAGCGGTCCAAATGTTGTTAGAAAATTTAAAATTCAAGCAAGTTATGTACAAAAAATGACACAAACAAAATCTTAGAGTTAGCACTAACTTGAAATATTCTACAGATCAAGGCTTGTCGAGAAAGGGGGGGGGAGGGATGGGGTAAGGCAAGGTCAATTTAGCAGGGGGGTGTAAAAAATAGAGGGTACCACTAAATTTTTTTTGTTTAAAAAAGATCCTCGTTATCCCCTAAGTCATTTTAAAATAAAAAAAAATTTCTTCCCCCCCCCCTATCCTCACTTGGAAAAGAGGGATGAGCACTTTCGAGAAATCAACCCCCCCCTCTACCAACCAGCCTTGCTTTTTTAAATATAAATTTTTATATTTTGTTAAGTAAGAAAAGACCCATAACAATCGTAATATCACCTTTGCCCTTAGGATAAGGTCAAAAATAAACATTTTTAAAAAAATTTTAAAATTAAAAAAAAAATTTTCAAAATAAGACAAAATCTAATAAAAATCATATTTAGAGTATCGAAAATCGACTGACAAGTCTCAAATCGACCTTTTTAACATTTAAAAAATTGAAAAAACGACTAAAAACTGAAAAAAACAGCTAAAAATCTCGAAAAATCGACCAAAATCCGCCATCTAAACAATCAGATAGGCCAATGCCAGCAAGAACAGTGTCGGCACGGCCACAATTAACGTTGCTGACCCATTTTCCGGCGCTTTTTCGGTCGTTTTTTCCACGTTTTCTGCGGTTTTTGGTTTTTTGGGCTCGGGGAAGGGCTCGGGCAGGTCGTAGACCCGTTCGCCGATCAACGCCGGGTTGATGGCGCGGTTGGAGATGATGGGGTAGTAGAATGAGCCGTGACTCGTGTCGTGCGCGTTGATTTCTGAACAACGTGAGGTTTAGGCTTGGTTGTTGTTGTTTTTAATGGTTTATGCAAATTTTATGTGGTAATTTGGAATGTTACGTAATAGTAAACTGGAAAACATTTTTGAGGGTATAACGTGTCATTTTGACAAAAGAGCACTTTTAAGCCCATAAACTGCCATTCTAGTACTATTTTTAACCATTTATGCTAATTTTATGACCATTTATAGGAACCACTTAAAAACAGGTTTCATCGTATAACATGTCGCTTTGACAAAAATGTCACTTTAAATGATACAAAGTGTCCTATCAGTACCACTTAAGCCCATTTATGCTAATTTTAAGCCTATTTTTGTATCATACAATATAGAAACGTAAGAAACATGTTGATCGTATAACATGCCGCTTTTACAAAAAAATGCATGTTTTATCGTATAAAATGTCTTCTCAGTACTAGTTTAAACCCATTTATAATAACACGATTCTAGTTTCCGTATTTTACATCACAGTGAAACCACCTTTCATCGTATAACATGTCCCTTTAATCGCAATATCTCTCAAAATACTTACCGTCAGGTTGTGCCGACCCGGTGGCTCCGAAAATGTAGTATTTCGAGTTCAACGACCAAATCCGACCATTCTTCGACTCCATCTGTGGGACGATCTGTTGACTGAACTGGCACGAGATCCGACCATCCACAACTTGACCTTCGACATGGCTAAAGAGGATGGCGTTTTCTGTCTGAAAAGATGAAAATATTAGAGGTAATGGTTAAAAATGGTTCAATAACAGAAATTTAAGTAACACTTTATCACTTTAAGCTAACTATAAGGCTAAAACCATCAAATTTTACCTAAAAAACGGTCTCTTCAAGCCTAAAACAAAGTAAAAATCAAGCTCTGCCATTATTTATTCAAACCTACCGAGTTCAAGTACGTCCTATCGTTAGATTTGCCTTCATTGTACGACGTAAACACCTCAACATCATTAAATGATCCACCTTTCGGGCTTAGAACACATTCAACAACATAGTCGTCTCCCTGAAAATCATAGATAACATAACTTCTTTTTGTGTTTTTGATGTGAAAACTTGATATTATCCTCAATATTTTTGATAATTATTACTAAAAAATTACTGCTCTATCAAAAAAAAGTCCTTTTCCAAAGACACAACATCAAATTTTAGTTTAAAACATCAAAACACCTTGATATAGACATCAAAACCAGACCTCGTGAACAATATTTTAATTTTTTGATGTGAAAACTAAATGTTATCCTTGACATTTTAGACTGAAAGTAATAAAAAAAACTCCTTTAGCTAATGCCAACCTTTGATTTTCAATAAAACATCAATTTCCACATCAAACAACCAAAAAACCTTAATTTAGGCACTTGAACCCTATGGATAATATACTTTTTGATGGTTTCTTGTAAAAACCTAATATCTACCTAAACATTCATATCAAAAAAGCTTCAAAAGACCTATATCTACCTTAGTATAACACCTCACACAACAATAAGCATCAATTTCCACTAAAAAACACCAAAAATATTAAGTTAGACCACCTGTTACCTTTGATCTCTAAATCAGCGTATAAAACCTTCAAAAACATACCATAGTGCTGTCGTGACTGTAACCAACAGCAATATATTGTAGTTGAGGTTGTGGCATCAAAGAAGTGGCAGTTAATTGAACCGTCAACTCGTTTGGTCCGCTTACGTAGAAGATCATACCTAAAACAATATAATTTGAAAATAACGAAACTTCTTAACCTTTATACCAGCTTTTACTCTGTAAAGAAAGTTCTTGGCGTTTTTAAGCTATCCAAAAAATTTTTTTCAATTTCAATGCCTGTAAAGAAAGTTATGACACTTTTTAGGTAACACACCTTAAACTTCACTTTATTACCTAAAACAACATACCTATCGTGCAATCGACCATTGGATCACACCCGGAAGGCCTGAATAGACATCCTTTCGTCTCTCCACATCCACCACGAGTCAATTCGATGGCGGATTCTGTGGGATTCAGAAGGAAAACGGCCAGAAGTAAGGCAGAAACGCGAAACCTTTGAAGCATTCTGAAATTGACAAATTAACACACTATAAAATACAAAGATATGTAATAATATAAAAAAACAATGGCACAATTATCTCGCAAACATATTTTTACATAAATTATCGGCATTATTGGCCAAGAACATTAAAAAAAGCCAAAGAAAAGACGATGTTCGGCCAAATTTTTGATTTTCGGCACTTTTCAGCGTATAACATGTCTACACCAAGGTAAAATACGTTGCAAGGCGTTGTAAAGGAAAATGGAAATAATAGGCTTGTAAACATAAAATACATAAAAATTACGAAATTTTAAAAAATAATTGCTTTAAAATTTAAAAACTTTAAATAACGTGACAAAAACGCAATAACTTTGATTCCAAAAAACCAAAATAAAACATATTTTTATAAAATTTCAAAAATGCCATAATCTATCCTCAAAAGTCATAAAATAACCAAAAGTTTTTTTAAAAACCCAAAAAACGACTATTTTAAAAAGTGGAATTTGAGTGGAAGATTTGCAATGTATTTTGCACAGAAAATCTTGACCTAATCCTAGGCCAAGCTCTAGTCTAAGCTCGGCCTGTTCCCGGCCAGGTTACAGCCCAAGTCCTAGATAGGTAATGTCCTTTCAGTCCTAACCTTATTTGTTCAACTAATTCTGTGCCCCCCTCAAAGCAAATTTTCGAATTTAGGGGCACAGAATTATTTGAACAACCTATTAATTTAAATCCCAAGCCCCGCTGGCCTTCAGTCCAATGTTCCGAACCAACCAAACCAAAACCGTGTTTTGTTGTTGGAACAGTGAAAACGTTAAGCGGTTTTAAAGTCAACTTGCTGCTGAAATAAAGGAAAACGGTTTCCGACAAAAAATGAAGCGACATAAATCACGCCCCATCGTTCTCCCTACAGGGTGGTAATGGGCTTTTTGTACTCACATTTCAACCGAATCAACCAAGAAATCACAGTTTAAATCTAAATCAACCAAGAAATTACAGTTCTCGGTTGAAATATGAGAAATGTGATTTCTTGGTTGATATAGGACTTAACAAGAATTCATGTCTGATTTGGGGCTAAACGATGATTATCGACCAAAGTAATGGCTAAGACTGACAAAAACGTAACGAACAGCATAATGAAAGTCTATAACAAACATAATTTAAACAGTAAAAGTATAAAAAATAGCCTACGACACTCAAAAAACGCACTTTTAGAAGTGGAAATTGAGCGGAAGATTTGTAATGTATTTTGCACTGAAAATCTTCCACTTACTTCCATTTTAAAAACGTATTAAAACGGCCTAAAAACATGTTTTCAAGCATTTTTGGAAATGGAAGTTGGGTGGAAGATTCGTAATGTATTTTGCACTGAAAATCTTCCACTCAGCTTCCACTTCTAAAAATGTTCAAAAACGTGTTTTTAAGCCATTTTAAAGTTTTTTAAAAATGGAAGTTGAGTGGAAAATTTTCAGTGCAAAATACATTAAAAATCTTCCACTCAACTTCCACTTTTTTAAAACTGTAATAATATTCTTCAGAGGTTGCACGACAAGTAAAAATGAAGTTGTGTAGTAAAGGTAGGTTCAGTAGCAACGTTATAAAGTAAGTTAACCGTCATTATAAACCAAGTAAACCTTCACAAAGTCGCTTTCTTTTGTAAATATTATCCTAACCAATTACCGACCCAATAAGTGGTTCAAGTTGGATTGTCACAGTGAGACGGAAACGTATATATAAAAATATGTATATAAAAACCGTGGTTTATGGTATAGTAAAAACAGTAAAAAATTGATTTTTGAGCAGTTTTAATATTAGGTTGTTCAATTAATTTTGGGCCCCTTCTCAAAGCAAATTTTCAGGGTTAGAGGGCTCATTATTAGTTGAACAACCTAATGGCTCAAGATAGTTATTAGGCTGTTTAAATAATTCTGTGTCCCCTTTCAAAACAAATTTTCAGGGTCAGGGGGCTCATTATTATTTGAACAACACAATATTTTTACAAAAAAAATTTTTTTTCAACATTTTCGATTTTGTTACCCAAAACAATAGACGACTTTTTATAATATTTATCGACAAGGTGATTAAAAAGATACCTCAGATTCCTCGCGAATCGAAATCGAAAGTGAACAAGGTATTTTTTCATTTATAAGCCCAAAAACTCGTTTCAAAGTTTCAAAATGTCTGATTTCACTATCAATATCACCATATTTAATCAATTTTTTGTTAGTAAACAAAGGTTTTGCGGTTTTACAATTTTTCTACAATAAACATTTAACTTTCTTATTATCGTAAAAAAGTTATGCAACTTAAAAAAAGTGAAAGTTGAGTGGAAGATTTGTAATGTATTTTGCACTGAAAATCTTCCACTCAACTTCCATTTTTAAAAAGTGCCAAAAACGTGTTTTTAGACCATTTTAAGACATTTTAAAAAATGGAAGATCAGTGGAAGATTTTTAGTGCAAAATACATTACAAATCTTCCACTCAACTTCCACTTTTCAAAAATCGCCAAGATTGTCAAACTTTGATCCCAAGTCCTACAGAATCATTATAAAAGGTCAACTTCTACTTTAAAAAGTATTTTTTGATGCTATAACAAGAGTATTCCCCCGTCAACGTCACCTACCGCTCCAGAATCAGCTTAGAATCACAAGAAACTGAAAAATCTTGTTCGCAGTAAAACAATAGATCAAAACAGATCAAACCGTCACCTCCAGCAGTAATCACACTATTACAATCTCGAACAGGCCCGCTTGTTGTAAACCCAGTTATTTTTTGAAAGCCGAAAAGTTGTTGGAAAAACAAACGAAGGCAATTAATCACGGCTGCGAACAAGGCTACAGTGTAAATAGAGGGTGAACACAGGGGTGAGGGGGGGGACGTAAAGTCAAGACAAAAAGGAATGCCGTAGTTAGTACCAGGATTAAGTTTGGAAATTTGGGCTAGGGCCGGGACTTGGGCGAGAGCTAGATCTGAAGCTAGAGCAAAGACCAGAGCCAAGGCTACAGCTAGGACTAGGCAAGAGCAGAGCAAGGGCTAGGAAAAAGCTAGGCAACAGCTAGAGTTAGGGCTAGGTCTAGAGCTAGGGCTAAAGCTAGAGCTAGGTCTAGGGCTAGAGTATAAGCTAAGGCATGGGATAGGATTAGAACTAGGGCTAGGGCTAAGGATCAGGTCTGGTTCATGAATCTAAGCCTCAGCCTAGTCCAGAGTTAGAGGCAAGGGCTAGGAATAGACCAAAGTAAAGCTTGGGCTGGAACTAAGCCAGCATAAGTCTTAGACTAATACTAGGCCAGGGCTACGCTTGGGCTGCTGCTAGACCAGAGTAAGATTCAAGCTGGTGGTAAGCTACGGCTAGGCTTGGGATGAAATAAAGCCAAGCTTAAGCTGGAACCAAGTCAAGTTAAAGTTTAAACTGGGACTGTGCCAAAGGTAAGCTTAGGCTGAAAATAGGCTAAACTTATGAACTAGGTCAGCTAGAACTTTCAGTCTAACTCCTTTAATTTCCCACAAATTCCCCCCTTTTTCCATAAACTTTTCCCCCAAAAACACCCCCAAACTTAATTAAAATCACCCTAGCCAGACAAATCACAAACATGCCAAAAACCACTAACCAATTCAAACGGAAAGGCCTATATATAAACAAAGATGTTAACCTATTAGCAGTCAATTAAGCTCTTCAAGGTGTGTTGTAATAGCAAAACAAACCCGATTCTGTTAGTCGAACTTGAGGAAATCGTCGTCATTCCGAATGTTTTTGATAGAATATCAGACAAACTGTACTTGAAACACACTTTACAATACCAAACCTTACATTCAAGTACAACAAAATGTTTAGGCTTAGCTGTTTTTAAGCCTAAAATTGGGTTTAAAGTCAAAAATTAAGTAAAAATTTCAATATTTTTGGTTACGAAAGTTGATGTTGAAACATACGGCAATAACACAAGTTACTGCGCAGTAAAATGCGCCAATATAGTTTCATATGATTCCTTAAGATTTGGTAAACAAAATGTAATAAATGGTGTTGTCAAAACTTTCTTGGATATTACAATATTATCATCAATTGTACTACACCCACTCAAAGGTCTATATCATAGCTAAATTTACGTCTTTTGTTCTTATAAGGCTTACTAGTACTTTGATAATGTAAAAACATAATTTAGTTAACGTTGTAGACAACCGTATTTTACAAAATTAAAAAAATTTTCAAAAAAATTTATCGACCGGTCGAAATTTTTTTTTCGCAAAAATTTTTTTAAAACTCCATTTTTGTTCAAAATGCCCTAAAATACGAATGGGACTTATAAAATAACCTTTTGTATCAAGGTATACCTTTAAAATCGTTAAAATCGCATACAATTTGTTCAAAAACGAGCTCGAAAAGCGAACAACCTATTGATGTTCAACTGACCAAATCATTAAAAAAACTGGTCGAAAAGTTGAGGAAATGTTATTGAATTAGGTAGAAAACATAGTAAAGTAACTCAAATGTAAAAATTCAATTTGATTTTGTTAGCATTTAAGTTGGCTTAAGAAATTTTGGTCGAAAAAGCTATGTTAACATAGGTAGGATGACGTTTTTTGATGTTGTGACAAAGTTTGATATCAAAATGCGGCCAAAACCATTTTTTTTCATAATCTGCAGACCTTAAAACGTCGTAATATGACAAAAAATTAAGGAACATCATTTTAGTAATAGCACAGCATCAATTCCTTCACCACCATTTATATTCTCCTAGGTCAGATAAAGCTTTTTGATGTTGTGACAAAGTTTGATATTAAATCGCTGCCAAATCACTTTTTTCATAATCTACAGGTCTTATAAAGTCATAGTTTGCCAAAAACTGAACCATGCTATCATTAGTTTTAACTCAGCATCACATCCTTCACCACCACCTATATTATCATAGACCAAATAGTGTTTTTTAATTCGGTGACAAAATTTGATATCAAAATACGTCCAAAACAATTTTTTTATTATTCACAGGTCTTATAGAGTCGTATTGTAGCAAAAAATCGTTTCACCTCAT